GCGTGCTCGAGCTCATCGACGCGGGCACGCATGCTCGCGAGCTCGTCGCCGAGGGGTCCCAGCCGGCGCTCGACCGCGGCGCGACGAGCTCGTCGACGTGCTCCTGCTGGCGCTGCAGCGCCTGCGTGAGCGCGGCCGACTTCTGCAGTTGCTCGTGCAGCCAGCCCTTGAGTGTGCGCGCGTCCGCGAGCGCGTCGTAGAAGGCCTCGAACGGCGCGAGGAACGCCGACTTCTCGCTCGCGTACTGTGGCCGCGCGAACGCGGACGGCGTGGGCGGTACTAGCGTGGTTGCGATCGGTACTGTCGTGGTCGGAGGGGACCGCCCCACGGTTGCGGTGGCTGAGATCGAGCCGACGCCGAGATGGTGCGTCCCCGCCGCGGTCGATGGGCCCGCGGTCGTTGGGTGAGGGTTTCGCGCCATGCAAGCCGGGTGGGCGTGGGCGGGACGCGGCTGGTCGTAACCCGGGGTGTGCTCTGTCCGGGGCCCATGACGGGTGGCAGACTTGGGAGGGCCATTCCCGGCCACCGACTGGAGGTGTTGCCTTGGTTGAGGCCAGCGCGGGGGATGGGCGGTGCGCTCTGGACGGAAGGCTGCAAACGATCCATGTTCGCGTCGCGGGGGCTGATCGTGATGTCCGCAGGTTTGCCCTTCCCCCCCGAGCGTGCGGGTCGCCCGGCGGCGAGCGAAACTGATGGGCGGCGCGGGCAGCGCGTGCGTGTGCGCGGGGATGTGTGAACCCGGGCCCTCATGTGCGGGGGCAGGCGGAGGTTGGAGCGGGATGTGTCTGGGTGGGCTGGGACCCTGGCGAGAGGAGAGTGGGCGCGGTTTGCAAGAGGTGTGCCGCCGACGATAGAGCGACGTGGAGCGATGGCGCCTGCGTTGGGCTTGGGACTCCGTCCGCCGGCGCGAGTGGTAGGATTCTGCTTGGGTGGTTGTGGGCCGTCGGGGGGCGGGGGAGGGGCGTTGACGACGTTGACGGAGACGGTGGGGGGCGCGACGGAGAGGATGCCGGCGGTGCTCCCGCGACGCTGCTGGATGAGCTCCTTCTGCTGCTGCTTGATGGTGAGCATGGACCGCACCTGCTCGATCGCGGCGGCATCGTCGCGAGGAATGGGGAGCCCCATGACCACGGGTGAGATCGATTTGGCAGCGTCGGAGGCGGGGGTCCTGACGTCGGTGTTGATGGGATGGGATATCCCGCTTATCGTCACCCGCCGCTTCTTGCTGGGGACGGGTGGAGGGCGGAGGGCGGGAGCGAGGGAGTAGCTGCTGCCGACTGCGCATCGTCGTGGGGTGCGGACGGCGCGTTGCGGGCAGTGGGTGACGGCAACGACTCGTACTCGGCCTCCTCCTTGATGCGCACAATACGAGGAGAGCGTCGCTCGCTGGTGCGCGGCGGAGGTGCGGGGATGAATACGCGAGTGGGGCGTGGAAGCGGGGGGACTCACTCTGGGTTCGAGGCGCTATCGTCGGCGTGCTTGGGGTCGTCAGCGCGGGAGCGCTTCTTGTTAGAGCGGTCGCGGTCGTTCATGGACTCGTGACGGTCGCTGTGCGTTGAGGACGGGCGGGGGTGGAGGTCAAAGGGGAGGCGCGGGACTGGATGGGGGGGAGCGCATTGTTTGCGTCGGTAAGGCGGGAGAGGGAGGGAGCGCCGAAGGCCTGGGCGAAGGAGGGCAGGGACTGGGGCGGCTGGGTCGCCATGGGCGGCGGGCGGGGGCGGGCTAGAGGGAGGAGGAGGAGAGGGCGGGGCGCATGCGGCGGGGCAGGTCGCGGTTGGGAGCAGGACGGGTTGATGAAGGACAACAACGGACGACGGCGGCTGCAAACGGGCGAATCAGCGCCCGGCCTTCCCGTCCTCTCCTCCTCCTCCCGCCACCATCCACCCAGTCCGTCTGCCCCCGACCGCCGCAGTGTGCGCCGGCCACCGCCCTCTCTCCCGCGCGGATATGTTCGGCGCACTGCTTCCCGTCCACCCAATCCGTCACAACAGCTCACCCACATCCGGCACCTCCAGCCCGACACAGCAGCTCCGCGCAATAACCGTTCCACGAGGCCAGAGCTCACCTCCCGCGACCGTCTCGCGTACGCCCATCTCACCAGCCGAGTCACCAACCCGCGATCGCGCTGTCCGCCCTCCATACTCCGCTCAGTCCATTATGCTCGACGCCGCCCCAACGCACCACGACCGACGCCGGCCACGGCAACTGAGAGCGCACCTCAGCTAGGACGAACTCACTCGCTATATCAGCTCTCTGCCGCCGCCTTTGTCCCGCCCCACACAGTGCTGCCAGAGTCCGAAGCATACACTCATCAAGTACTCCTGTGCCAAATCAGCGATCGCCCCTGTTGCGCGCCCGATCCTCGATTTCGTCTCAGAATGCCCTCGCGGAGCTCTCCTCGAAGCCTGAAGCCTCCACCCTCCGGTCCTCATGACTCCGGCCGTGCGACGTCGGGACTCCAACACAGATCGCAATGACTCTTCATCGGGCTATATGCCCATAACGTTTTCGCCCGCACCTCCACAGTCGGCAGCCCAGGCCTAGCCCCGCCTCGCGTCGATCATCCTCGCACCTCGCACGACACCAACTACGACGGCCACGCAACACGACGCCGACATGTCTCCACACGCTGCGCAATGCTCTCGCGCTCGCACGCGTTCGCCACGCGGCTGAGCGTCGAGGATAACGCTGCCCGAGAACGTCCCCTCCGCGCGTTCGCAGCGTCTCTTCGCCTTCCTTTTTGCGCACAAGGGCCACCTCCACGCGCGCAGGAGGGCTGGGAACTGCGCCTCAAACGGCAGTCGGCGCTGCCACGGGAGCGGGCGGGAGGGGTCAGCGGAGGGGTTCGGGACTTGTAGCCAAGTTCCCGTTCTGTCTGCAGGTAAGTAACGTGAGCCGCGTCGACGGGACGGTGCTCACGATTGATTGATTCATCGCCCGTATCAGCTTGACTGGGAAGGTCGCTTCTGCTGTGTTCCCCACACCGCTTGTTCGACGGCACACACGGCGAACGGGCATCTCGACGTCCAACGTTCGTGTTTGGGCGACGACAATGTCTCATAAATGTCAAAACTGAGCCGTCGGAAGAGCACGCGGCCAGATGCTATCAAGCCCGTCTGGATACTTAATCTTCTGGTTGCTTCCTCTTTTGATCGCCGAACGTCTTAAATAGTACCCACTGTATGTATGTACAGCTATGAGATGCATTGCAGCCGTTATCATGGCCATAGACCTGTTTCGCCACCAATCATGCACGGGAATTCCGAACCCAAACCAGACTCGACATCGCTTGGAGCGCGAAGAGTTCGCTTACTCCCCGGTAAGCGTCGCAACTGTCGAAAGCCGTGACACCGCACAGGTTCCCGTGTGCGTGCTTTTTTTCGCGCACGCCTACTTATAATTATCGATTTCATACAGCCTGAAGTCGTCCGTATGGTCTGTTGACTACACTTGCTTGGTCCCTTCGAACCGAACCGAACCGAACCGACCGTGTCTACGTTTCGATTCGTTCCAACACGGACTTTCGCGGCAACGGGCGCCACGCACACAGCACAGGATCGCGCGACGGCCCGCTGGTCGGCGAGCACAAGGCTGCGCGGTGGTTCCGACGAGCACGTCACAAGTCCCCGCAGGCCGCTGGCATCGACGAGCACAGCCGTCGGGGCTTTGAAGGACCCTGCGGCCGCGATCTCCACAAAGAGCACGGCGCCATGAACGGTTGCGGGCTATGATACAGGCTCGGAGCACCACGGGCGTAGCATACATCCGACGCCCGCGGGCGCGGCCAACCCGCGGACCGCGCGCCGTCCCAAGGACCCGCGGCGCGGCGACGATCCCGCAGACGACCCAGGCTCGGCGTCACCAAGTCTCCCCCGGGCTCCCTCTCCCCTTCGCGTCCTCCGGGTCCGGCAGGGGGTCGACGCGCTCGTGCACCGTCCGCGACACCGCGATCTCCACGTCGACGTCGCCACTCGCCTTCGCGCCGCCGCGTCCCCGGACGGAGCCCGCGCCGCGCCGCGGGCCGTCGAGCCGTCGAGCCCGCCCGCGAACTCGCTGAGCGTGACGATGCCGCCGAGGCCGGAGCGGAGCTGTTCGCGGCTGTTCAGACTGTGAGGGGGGCGGGGTCAGCGATGGGAGGACCGGGAAGGGAGCGGAGCGGGCGACGGACAGGCCGAGGAAGGCGTTGACGTAGCCTGAGGCCGAGTCAGTGCACGGAGATGAGGAGGAAGCGTCGGGGGCGCTCACACTTTCCGAGCAGGAAGAACACGCTGATCCAGACGAGGTTCGTCGGCATCGCGAGGAACTGCCCGAGATTCCGTTGTTAGCAGTGTCGTCTTCGGGCCTTTGTCCGAGTGCTCACCAGTATGAGGGAGAGCAGCGCGACGATGCTGGTCAATACGCCGCTGTTGACGCTGTACACCATCAACATGGTGACCACAGAGTCCGTCCTATCGAAATTCGACGTTCAGCTCTCGTTCTGCCACGCATCGATACGGCGTGTGGGTCGCACTTGCCGAGGCCGGTGCGTCTGCGGTACAGGTAGTAGCACATTGAGGCTGCGATGATGACGTCGCCCACCACCGATGCACCAAGGCCCAGGCAGATTTCCCACTGGCGCGCACAGAGACGAATGAGAACGAAGCCGTTCACTGCGGATATGGAGGCCAACGTACCGTCAAAGTCGTGAACTTCGCGAACTGGACGAGGCGGAAGCTGAAGGTAGATTCTGTGTCAGGCTCGTCGCCCGGGTCTGGGATCAGACGGCAGAACTTACGACTCGATGGTGAAGACTGAGATGGAAACGATATGAGTGGATGAGAGGCGCCGTCCAAGGATGTAAGCTTACTGATGACGGCGACTGCGAAAGCGGAGATGTGCAGGGTCATTCACGATGCCCTTCTTCGTGGACGATTTGGACGGAACTCACTGATCTGAAGCAGTGCCATGACAACCTGCACCCGTCCGCGGGTCTGATGAGAGACGTAGGGGTAGCAATGGAACGGGGGACTCACGATTGTCGTCACGAGAAGCCAATTCTTTCCCACTGCACGGAAAGCTTCAGAACATCGAGACTCTTGAGAAGAGTTTCTCCTACTCACTCAGCCATAGACGACGCGCGAAGAAACTGCATACAAGTCAGAATCAATACCCCACCTGTCAATGAGCTCGCTCACCACTCGACGATAACGGTTATGAAAGTCTGGTACACAGCGGGTAAGACGCGGAACGATGTGTGAAAGAGCACGGGAATTCACTTGACAGTCCGTCTGAACCTGGAGGAGCGACGTCAGGCCCGGTGGGGGCAAGAGAGGTAGAATGAAACTTACATTCAGGCTCCTGCGCGAGGTACGACGGGCATGGGGAAACCATCAAAATGTGTCAATAGCTCTCTGATGCTTGCTACTGACCATACAGAGTTGTTGAGGTTATCGGAGTTGCCGAAGTTGGTCACCAGATACCTACATCGTGGTCAGACAAGTAGATGGGCGAAGACAGGGTGGCGGAGGACCAACCAGTATACTGTGTGGAGGGCCAGTACGAGATGAAGAGTATCGAGGAAGCTGCACGAAAGTGAGCTGTGAACCGTAGAGACCAGCAAAACGTACGCACGTGAGAATGATAACCTGTGAGGCACAACTGCAGCCGTCAGAATGTATATGGATCGTGCACCGAGTAACGCACGAGAGACTTGGTGAACCAATGGTCAGAGTGGTACTTCCTACGACGTAGACATCAGTTGCATGTCAAGGACTAGGACAAGAGTCTCAGCCTTTACCTAAAGTAGAAGAAGCTACGGAATAGTTCTTGTTGAGCACATGCACAAATGTACCAGGAATACACACGTACGTCTGCAACAGTGTGATGCCATACAGGCTGGTCGGAGGCGACTGTCAGCGGATTTCAACAGCGAATGTGAAAGAGGGACCCACGTCGCCTCGACAACGATCGCAACGAGCGTAGCGCCAAACGTGGAGTTGAGTGAAGCCATGGGTCGTTGGCGAGTCCTCGGGGCTGTCAGGAAACGGTCAATGTAGCAGCCGAGGGGCCGGGCATGCGTGCGGTACGCGAGCGGGCGGTTGCATGGACCTCCTGTTATGTACACGGACGGGGCCCTCCACGACTAAAATGCATGCCGAGGAAGCCGATGGGCTCCCCGAGAAGTCGAAGCCAGCGTGAGAGGGGAGCCTCTGGGGCTACTGACTGGGGTCACAACACAGCGTCTCCGCTATGCCCGGTTGTTCCGATCGCCCGCAGCGGTTTCACCGTTGCGCGCGTTTCTCGCAGGAAGCTTTCGTTGTGAGTGCTTCGTGGAGCATGTGGCCGGCCTGTCGGAGGAGGGCCAATGAGCGACGTCTTCGCTGTCTCAGACATGTCCACATATTCGTTTTCTTGATCTCCCCGGGCCTTTGGGGAGCAATTAATAGCCCGAAGGTAGAGAAAGTTTAGTGCGGGCAGTGTGCAGACTTACGAAATTGGATGTCAGGATGGCTCATCCAAAAAATCCACATGGCGGACAAGCTGACACTGGCTGATAGCACAGGTGCAAACGTCATCTCCTTGTGGCAAATCAATCAGCGACACAATGAGCTCGCATGGAATCCAAAAACAAACTCGGGGTGGATGCGAGCGGAAGTGGAGAATTGAGAACTCGTGGACTACTAACGCGTTGACTAGGGCGATGCGTCGGACCCCGTGGTCGCGGAAGGGGCGTTTGGCTGTTGGGCCAGAAGACTACCCGCGATCGGCAGACAGGATTTGCATTGAGCTACGGCGTTCGTACAGCGTATGCGCACCCACGCAGGAGGTTACCAGAAGCACATCACGATGCGCAACACCTGATAGACTGCAGAAACCAGTGCTCACCGGTCACCCAACGAAAGCCTCGACACATCTGCCCCATCGCCTTGGCCGTCTACCTATACATTCCTTTCTCCCGCATCATCGCCATCGCCCGCACCACCGTTACCACCTCGGCCGCTCCCGTAATGTGACCGCACCGGATGAACATGAACTTCCGGTGTCGCTACGCACCACGGAGAGCCAAGAGATGACGTCCAGAGATGCCTCTAGCGCCTTGGAGATGGGCTCCGCGAAATTAATGTTGGGAACGCCGCGCGGGAACAGAGGTGCCAAGGGCTGGGCAGCGGAGTGCGCTGAACCTTGAGTACTTTGAGTGCCGTCGTGTAGATGGTCCGGTGGAGACTGTCATCGATTCATCCTTGCGTCCTGGTAGACGAATGGTGCGGGAGCAGTGGGCGCAGAGACCGGGTCTGTGCTCGAAGGCCACGGATGGCGACCTTATCCCGTCAACGCCAGTGCCCCGCCCACTGCTTTCCGAAAAGGAGCCGTGTGTCGAAACCGGGATGGCGCGAATGAGGATGAGGGTGGGAGCTGGGGAAGCAGCATGCCCCCGGTTGGCGTGCAGGGGGGGGGGGGGGGGGGGGGGTCGCCGAACACGACAGACCACATGTAACGCGTTCCAACAACGGAAGACCGGGACTAGGAGTAGGAGCAGACCTCGCCGCGCTATTCATGACTTCATCCGAGCCGCAAGGCTCCAGTAGGAGGACGCAAAAAGCAGCATTTTGACTTGGGTAGGGCTTGGGATGTTTGGAAGCCAGCGCAGAAGATCAATCCGGGAATTGCATGCGCCACTTCCTCATCCGCGAGTTTGCTCCGTGGCTGCGGTAGGAGCACGAGATGACTGCCAAGCCCAGCCGAGGGGAGTAATGCCGCCTATGTAAGCTGAGGCTGGCGCGGACGTCGACCAGAGCGGGGGAATGGTTGGGAATGGCTCCACACGTACGTGGTGAGACTCTCAAGGCGCAAGGTGGCAAGGGTGTGTTGGATGGGTCGGGACTCGGAAAATGGGAGCGGAGGGGCGAAGCGCTCTGCCACACTCGCACTCAGCGCTTTCTGTAGCGCGCGCTCCTCCAGCTGCCTCCTCAGGCCTCAGTACTGCGCGTACATCTCCAACGTTGGTAGCTTGAACCTGAGAAAGCTCGCCTTTCAAAATTTCACCTCCCACCAACACTACGGACACTACGGCTGATCGATAGTTCCCGCGTGTACTACACTCTTCTCATCGGCCCTGCGGGCCGCATCCTTACCCCAGTTAACATTTACGGAATCACAACACAAAGCTGGCACTTAGCATCAGTGTCGTCTCCGTCCCAGTCTCGCGCCGCCATCTTCTCCCTCCTTGCACTCCATCAGCTGGCACTTGCCTCACCCCTGCTTGCTCCCCGCTCCCCGCTCGCCGTCAAGAATCAGACTCAAGATGCGGGGACGCCACCATCTCGATCAGATTGGCTCGACGGCAGCACCGATCGGCAATGGCCACAGCTGTGTCTCGAGGAGCCCGATAAATATGCGGCTCCAGATCATTACACTCGCGGAGTTGTACAGTACACGTTCAACAGGACCAGGACCCAAAAAAGCAACGAACGGACGCCCACCACCCCAGTCAGTGACCGCACGGGTGCGCGCTCACCACGCCGTCCCCGCCCCGGCCTTGTGCTTCACGTCCGCCGCGTCCGAGTGCTGGATGACCGAGCGCGAGACGCCGATCTCGAGCACGCCGATCTCGACGTCGCCGTGCTCCGCCCCGACGCCGGCGTTCGACTTGGCGCCGGCGAGCGCGCGCCGCGCGCTCGACATGCCGTGCGCGGCCGCGTTGGTCTCGCCGCCGCTGGAGAAGCCGCTGATGGTGACGACGCCGCCGATCCGCGCGCGGTCGCGCAGCTGGTCGCGGGTGTTCAGTCTGCCGGGGAGGGAGGTCAGCGCGTGGCTCGGGAAGAGCGGAGGGAGCGGGAGACGTACAGGCCGAGGAAGGAGTTGACGTAGCCTGAGGGCGTCGGTCAGCGGGATGCGGTGCGGGAGAAGGATGGGCTGCTGCAGCGGTGGGGGCTTACATTTTCCGAGGAGCCAGAAGCAGGCGACCCAGATGAGGTTGGTGGGCATCGCCAGGTACTGCGGTGTCCAGCGTGTCATTATGTGGTCTCGGGAGCGCGGTGACCCTTCAAGTACTCACCAGAATTACACAGAGCGTGGCTACGATACTGCATCACGGCTACTCGTGAGCGGCGCGAACGACGGAGACGGGAAACCACGTACCTGCTCGCCAGACCGCTGTTGATGCTGTACACCATCATCGTGGTGACGACCGAATCCGTCCTGTTGGTGGTCAGCCTTCGGCCCATTCCCGGGCATATGGATGGTGTAATCGCACCTGCTCAGGCCGGTCCGCTTTTTGTACAGATAGTAGCACATCGAGACTGCGATGATAACATCGTCTATTGCGGGCGCCGCAATGCCGACGACGATAATGTACTATGACACACCGCACAGATGATATTGAGTATACAGCGATTTATCATAGTATGAGTGGAAACATACCGACAGACTCCCTAGCTGGGAGAAATGGCCCAGGCGGAAGCTGGATGACAACTCGTCAGCCCTGCAACCGAGTGTGATATTTGATGAAGAGGCCTCACGATTGCACAGTGAAGGCTGAGGGAGAAGCCTCATCAGCGGGTGGTATGCATCGTACCAAACCATTTCAGACTCACCAAGCCCAGTGCCTGTCCGCGTAGTCGAAACGCCAGAACCGTCATGATACCGTTCCTCTCAATGATGTTCTGTGGGACTCACCGAGATGAACCAACGCCAAGATGACCTAGGACAGTTCCTCGTTCATTCAGATCGAAGGGAAACGACTGAATTTCACAACTCACCACGACACCGGTGAGGATCCAGTTCTTGCTCACTGTGCCGAGGGAGGTCAGTGGAAAGGCGGCGCTTGAGCGGGGTTCCACGCACTCATAAATAGTCGGCGCGCGAAGAAGCTTCAGAGCACGTCAGGAGGTCAGATGAAACGCCGTCGCTGGTCAATGTCCTGGCGCACCATTCCACAATGACGGCAATGACAGTCTGAGGAAATGCAGGTGAGATACTGGACCGTTTCCTGATGTGGAGAGAACTCACATTGGCCTCTACTTGCAGCTACAGGGACACGGCATCAGGTACGGTAACGACTTCGGCCTCGACACGACTCACGTCAAATGCCCTGTAAATGCGACGCGCACATGAGAACGCATCGGGAGGCACTCGACGGCGTGTTGCTCACCACATAGTCTTGTCCAGGTTTTCGAAGTTTCCAAAGTTTGACACCAGATACCTGCCGAAGGATCAGCCCGAAAGCGTCTTAGCAACGGAGCAGGGAACCGACCAGTATACAGTGTAGAGTGCCAGTACTACATGAAGGGTATCCAACAATCTGCGCTCTGGGGAGTCAAGCGTGGATCGTTACACCCGCTACGGCGCACGTACGTGAGAAAGATAACCTGCAGAGGGCGTGAGCATGATGAGATTCCGTGCAGATCATGAACCGTGTGGGCGTACGAGTGATTTGGTGGTCCAACGGTCGTCGGCGTAATTCCTGTGACAGAACAATGAGCTATGGCGCTAAAGAGGAGCACAACGGAGGGGAACAGACCTGAAGTAAAAGAAACTAGAAAGCACTTCTGCTTCAGCCCGTGGAGTGAACGTCAGTGCCAGCGATGCACACGCACGTTTGCAATAATGTGACACCATATACACTAGTTGATGGCGGGCCACCGTCAGCGAATCCAGGGGAAAGACTAGCCACAGACCAAGAGAGCGGACTCACGTTCCCTCTATCGTTAGTCCGACGAGCGTGGCTCCGAAGGTCGTGTCGAGCGTGGGGGCCGCCATTGTTCGCAGATCCTCGAAGCCGTCAGTTCAAGGTCGGAGGCTGCAGGTGGACCGTGGGGTGCAAGGAGGAGAGGGCCACGAGAAGCTGTCTCATGAGATGATATACCCCGACCAGTTGATGCGCGTTGTCAGTGCTATCACTCGTTGGAAACTGAAAGGCGCATGGACCGGGTCGGATCGCCCGCGCGGGGCGCCGCAGTCCGGCGGCCACTCGGCTGGGGGCCCGACGAGCCTGCCAGAGCTTCCAGCGGCGATTGGAGCTGTGCTAGTGGGCATCACATATGTATCTCGTACTTACCGAGGGATCTGTGGGCCATGGCAACTGGCCTGTAAGCGCGACCGTGAGTCGCTGGCAGGCGATGATGAGAGCCCCGTTTGGTAAGGCGCGGGCGGCAAATGCGTCCCTCCTCCAGATCTCCGATACTCTGAGATGAATTGCCGATATCAGGGCCGTCCATCCCTGATTTTCTCACATGGACCGTAGCGGGCCCGCGTGCGGCGTGCCCGCGCGTGCCGTCACAGGTGCTCCAAACCGAGGGATATGACTCATGAGCACCGCTGCGCAGGCGAGTTGGTATGTTTGTTCCCGTGAGAGGGTGAGGCAGCCGCGACAAAACGAACACACGTCCTCTCGCGGAGACCGGAGGTAGTGCGTGCCACATGCTCGTAAGTCGTGAACCCAGACGCTGATACGCGATCATGCTTCTCGCCATCTGTCCGTCTTTCCGCGAGGCATTGGAGTAGATCATGGGAACCAAGCTGATTCCCTTGGCACCAAAGATGCGCTCTCACTGCATATCCACCAGCGCGACGAGAACGCCCTGTCGGGATTCAGCCTTGCTGCCGTATCCCCGACAAGAGGTACGTTCGTTCTTAAGCAGGCGGTAGCGCATCGCAGCTAGAGGCCTAATAATCCCAGATGAATGCTTCTGTGTGGATGGAAATCTATCGGTTTGCTCTTGAACGAGTGCTGTCCAAGAACGGAGCTATAGTTTGGCGATTTGGAGGATCAGTCAAGTCGCTACGCACGCCCCCGCATACTCGTTGGAGAATCATGCCAGACCACGCAACAATCTCTTGACCGACAGCACCCGGGGCGCATCCCCTCTCCACTCGTCTAGATTGGCGAGCTCAGCGAGGGCGTGCTCGCTCACAGGTAGCGGCCACGCCAACGGCGGAGATGACATACGGGTCCAACGCGACGCGAGTAGCACTGATCTTCCATCGGATGGGCGCTAGGCCCAGTGGTCCCCCACCGTCTTGACCCCAAGTGCGCTCTGAGCTCAACCTGAATCGCTGCCGCCGGGAGCCGCATCAGCGCGACCTCGTTCTCGGGGCCCCGCCTCCGAGACACCATTTTCCCGCCTGAACAGTACTTGAAGCTCAAGACCCCACCCATATCTAGTAAACCGACAACCGCTTACCCCACTCTCGATAGCCCCGAAAGCGTCTGGAACGGTCGCACGTACTCACTTTCATACCGGCTACGCCTGTAGCCTCCGGCGGCCGTCCGCCGCGATTCCCCGATGGCGCCAGCTCTGAGTGGCTAGAGCGCTCCCGTCGCGCGGGCGTGCGCACTGCGCGACGGGGGTGGCGCCGCCGGGCGGGCGTGCGCGACAGGGCGGGCGGCGGGCGTGCGTACGCGACGGGGGTGCGGACTGGTGGTTGGGCCGCTCGGGGTCCGCAGGCTAGGCGCAAGGGGCGGGCCGCGGGTGTCGCCGACGGTCGTCCAGAAAGCCCGGCTGGTCGGCTTGTTTGGTTGACGGGCGGAGTCCGGGCAGAGGCTCTCGCGCTGGGGGCCCGGGGGAAGACGGGCGTCAGGGAGGAGGCGGCCTCTCGAAAGGGTTCAATGAGCGGGAGGTGCGCGCGCGAGAGGGGCCCGGGGCGCGCGGCGGTACCGAAATCGAGCGCCGAGCCGCGCGTCCGCAGTTGCGCACAGGCACGATCGTCCTGCGGCGGAGCGTGCAGAACTGCGCAGAAGAAGTTTGAAGGAGCTTCCTTGGGTCGTCGGATCGCCCACTGTGTGGTCGTGTATGGCTGATGGACGGGTCGAGGAGAAGACCCTGCTGACGAGGGCTTGGGCATGATGTAAGTACGTCGAGGGCGCCGGTACTTAGAGTACCTCAGTTCGAATCCTCGATGGGGATATGATACACACTGGGAATATGTACATGATGCTCTACTGTGCACCACTCCAGCGTAGCATCCCCACGGACGCCTAGCGCGTCCGTGTATCTTGGGTACTGGACTCCGATGACAAGGACTACCGCGCGATAAAAAAGCAATAAAACAAATCCACAGCCCGCGGAACATGACCTCGTACACCGCATCCAATGCCCATCCCAATCCAAAAGCAGGCTCGCGCGCGCGCCTACCAGTCGTCGCCCGCGGTCTTGCGCTCGTGCGCGTCGTCGGCGCGCTCGATGACGGTGCGCGAGATCCCGATCTCGACGTCCACGACGGGCGCGCCGACGCCGCCCTTCGGGTTCGGGAGCGCGCGGCGCGCGTGCGACAGCCCGCCGCCGCTGCCCGCGCCGCCGCCGCTCCCGCCGCTGCCGTTCGCGGCGAAGTCGGAGAGCGCGACGACGCCGCCGCGGCCGGAGCGCTCGCGGAGCTGCTCGCGGCTGTTCAGTCTGTGGGTGCGCGCGCGTGTGTGTGGGGTCAGCGTCTGGCTCGGACGAGGGGAGGGGAGGAGGCAGGGCCGTGCCCGAGGAGAGCGGGGTCGGCAGAGGTGGTGGCGGTGGGGGAGCGAGGCGAGCCTCGAGGGGCGGGGGCGGGGGTCGGGAGGAGGGACGACTGCGGGTACGTACAGCGCGAGGAATGAGTTGACGTAGCCTGGCGCGGGCGGCAAACGCGGGGGTCAGCCGACGGGGAGGCGGCAAGGCGGATGCAATGCACGCACATTTGCCGAGCAGCCAGAAGAACGCGATCCAGATGAGGTTCGTCGGCATCGCGAGGAACTGGCGCGGGGCGCGTTAGGGCCCGGGTTTCAGGACGGGCGTCGGGCGGAGCACTCACCGTGATCACGCAGGCGGAGGCGATGATGCTATTCATCGACGTCCGGTGGTGGTGAGCGGGGGAGTGGGCATGATGATGACGGGGAGAGGAGCACACCTGGTCGTGAGACCACTGTTCACGCTGTACACCATCAGCGCGGTAACGATGGAGTCCGTCCTGTCAGACCGGAGGGTAAGCCTGCGGAGTGCTGCCGACGGGGTGTGCGGCGACTGCGTACCTGCTGAGACCAGTGCGCTTCCTGTAGAGGTAGTAGCACATAGATCCCGCGATGAGGATGTCGGCGACTGCAGGCGCGACAAGACCCAGAACGATGACCGGCTAACACAAACTGAGGATGATGTGGTCCATAGGAGATAACACGGGGACGTACCTTGAGAGTAGTGAACTTGGAGAAGTGGCCGAGAGTGAAACTGGAGGGGAACGGGTCAGCTCCGATGTCCCACTCAGGGCTCTGAGGGGAAACCTCACGCTTTGACGGTGAAGACTGAGAGTGGTGAACACCATGAGCGGATACCACAAATGGGTGGACATGATAACTCACCGAGACCCGTGCCTGCAGATGCGTCGAAGCCGACTCGTTTACAATGTTACCCCTCATGCGCGAGCCAAGTGAACTCACTGATATGGATCAAAGCCAGAATGACCTGGGAGATAGCGAAACTGCGTTGAGAAACGCAGTCCGAGTGAAAACCAACGAGGAGAAACTCACGACCGTGCCGGCGAGGATCCAGTTCTTGCTCACTACGTGGGAAGGTGAGGGAGAAGAAGCCAGGAATAAGGGTTGTTACGCACTGATGTAGAGGCGTCGTGCGAAGAAGCTTCGAAGCTGGTTAGACCGATCGGTCTCACGGTCCGCGGTTCGCACTCACCACTCGACGACGACGGCAATGACAGTCTGGTGCGACGCGGGTGAGGTGCGGAATAATTTTGGACGGTGCGCGGGAACTCACGTTGGCCTCTACTTGCAACTGCGGGAGAGGTCAGGTCAGACGATTAAGAAAAGATGACGGAACTCACGTCCAGACTCCTGGGAAAGGCAGGTGCAAACATGAGACTGTGATCGAACGTACTAGACGGCCTGCTGCGTACCACACGGTGTTGTCGAGGTTGGCGACGTTGCCGAAGTTGGTCACGAGATACCTAGAGGTTGGTTAGACGGAGATCGGAGCGGGGAGGGGTGCGAGACCGACCAGTAGACGGCATGGAGACAGAGGACGACATGGAGAGTGTCCAAGGTGGTGAGGAAGATGACCTGTAAAGCACGACAGTGAGGAAAGAACGGGCAGATGGGAGATCGCAGGACGTACGAGGCCCTTGATGTACCACCGGTCGTTTGCGTAGTTCCTGAAACGCGGCCATCTAAGACAGAGCGCCGGGGCTGAGGACGAGGATCGCGCACCTGAAGTAGAAGAAGCTGGGAGGTGCTCCGGGTTGAGCGCACGGAGGTCAGCTCGATGAACGGGGCACGTACGTCTGCAACAACGTAATTCCGAAAAGGCTGGCGGCGGACGAGAATGAGCACACGCCAAGGCGGAGGGAGGGGGGAACACTGACGTCGACTCAACGACCAAGGAAACGAGCGTGGCGCCGGAAGTTTCGTCGAGGAGACCCATCGTTCGCTAGTCGTCGGTGCTGTCGCGGGGATGTCGAGGGAGGAGCCGACGGGTAGGCGTGCACCGACATCGGAGCGCTTTCGCTGGGTACTTATGGTACCAGGGCACCGTCTTCTGCGTGACGCTGATGGACTGGAGCAGGACCCCGACATTCCACCCAAATGCCCGATCCCAGATTTTGAAAAAGGGCGGAGAAGGTCCTGACCCCGTTTTGGCTGGGCTCGGCCGTCCGTAGGCTGATTGGGTCGGTCGGAGGTGCGGTGGCCACCGCTCGATGGGGTGTGGACGGCGAGACGGTTTCGTCGCTCGATCCTTCTGGGACGCGATCGGTCCCGACGCCTCCGAGGCAGTGCCGCTTCAGGTCGCTGGCTCGCGTTCGTGTGGCTGCCGGCGACGTCCACGGAGAGGCGGACGCGACGCTCCGCGTCCTCCGCACCGGCACCGCGCTCCGCCCGCCCGCTATCGACCCCGCGAAATCGTGGTCAATGAGGGATTCCATGGGTGAGATCTCGGGGTCCTGCCCGAGCGTTCGTTACGACATCCCGGCGTTGTTCCTTTAGCTCCGGCCTCGTCCTTGCCCAAGTCTGGGCGGTACATCAGCGAATCCCAGGGAATCGCCGACCACCTGATCTCCGATGTCGCCCAAAAAGATCTGCCTTCTCCAAACACGATGCCCACGTGTTCGCCACAGACGCCTCCCCGAGCCGACGGCGGTCAATGTTTCCATCAGGGATCCGTACAACATATGACCGATGATTGTCGCCCGTTGCAGCGCATATGTTACGCCTGGGGGACTTGGGGAGCCGCAAAGCGTTTCACGATAGCGGAGGATATGTAACGCCAGTCAGCAGATGTTCGGCAAGCCGTCAATGCCTGAACATCGAAAGCGCCAGATGAGCTCGCCAAGACGTGGGTCGTCATCAGCATTGCCCGCACAGATTGTACTGCATCCGTGAGTAGGGGCAAATTCGTACTTTCGAAGCTGATGGCGCGCTCGTTCAGCGGCCGCCACGACCTGCATTAAAACGACGCCTATCAGCGCTCCAGCTCCAGCGCAGATTAGTGGTAACTGGTCAACCGGTCAAGTTTGCCGACAACAGAAAGATGGATGGAAGTTTGGAGGACGAACCAGGTCTCGTCGCCCGGATGTCGCTGTCCCTAGCCCTGGGCGTACATATGTCGCTGCGAGGATTCCAGGGTGCAGCTTTGATCAAGCATCCTCGTGCCAGATGCCGGCTGTCGGACACCGGACTGCCTGCGATCTCTCGAAGCGCAAGCTCTGAAATAGCACAGCTCCAAATATGAATGGCGGTTTCGTGCCTCGTCTTCCCCGCGCGCGTGGTGCGCTCGACCCCCAACAAAAGAAGGAGCTGCTGTGGTCACCAAAGCGCACTGCCGGCCGGGCCCGTATGGGGCGCGATGGACTGCCTCGGAAGCGAGCAGAAGCATGCGGAGGTGCGTAGCAGTGGCCGCGGACTCCAAAGTCCAGTCGTGGCGAGGCCCTCCCCGCGCATCCCCATCCCCCCTCCGCACTGCCCACGCCCCCGCACTCCAACCCAAGTCCGCCGAGCACCGAGAAGCCTCGACGCGCACTGCTCGCGGACGACAGCCATTGGCCACGCTGTCGCGCGCGAGTTGTCCAAGCGATTGAGATGGCGGAGAACTCATGACGGACGCCCGCACCGAGCGCTCGGAGGGAAGTCCGAAGAAGAGATGGAGAGAGAAAGACGAAGCGAACGGGAGTCCGTGCGTGAGTCCGTACGCCAAAGGTGCCGGTCGTGCCGAACCTTTCTCACACAGTACGTTGTAGTCTATTGAATCTCCCGGCACGATGGAGGCTTCGCTGTTCGCAGCGCCCAAAATCGAGCCCGTCAACCTCCATGACCTAAAAATGAGTTACACTACATCTCTACCTAGCACCCACCCATCGTCGCACTGAGCACTCGCCACCCTCCGCACCGGGCCCTCAATCGCTGACCTGTTCCTTCCCCACTCGGCGCCCCCAAACACGTCTCCCTCCCCTCCCCTCCCTCCGAGTCCCCGCTCGCCGACCTTTCCGTCCACCTCGCCTCGCTCCCACATCCCCGCTTTCGCGCCCACGGCAGACACACAACTCATTGTCGCACTTACGTATTTGTTCACATCATGATAACGCACACAATCCGCACAATACCGCACAAATTCAACATCACAGCGCCCCTCCCTCTCCGCCGCGGTACTGACCTGCGCAACGCCGTGTGATCAGCGCGAGCGCGACGACGCCGTGCGCCGCAGGGGGGTCCGGAGGAGGTCGCGAAGAGGGGGGAGCCGCCGTTCGACATGGAGGTCGAGCAGGACTGCAGAACGGGCTGGTTTGCCTCCGCGGGAGGCCGGGGTCCCGGCGACGCGCGATGGAGGCGTATCTGTTCGCGCATGTTTCGGCTATGTTTACCACGTCTCGGGTGGCTCGATCGGCTGCCGCTAGTCGTTGTTTGGCGTACGCGCCACGATCGCAGTGTAAACTAAAGCAGCCAGGCCGGGCGCGATCGTCCGGAAGCGAAATGACACCCAAGCGCCGCGTGGTGGCGCGACCAGATATTCACGCATCGTTTCTTACCTGCCCTCAAGCCCAAGTCAAGTGCACATGACAGACTCGACTTTACGTGGAAACATAAGGCGTCGTGTCGCGAGCGAGAAGGTACCAATTGATTGCCAAACGGACCGTACATATAGCTGATGTTCGAGAGCTACAACTGGTACTCCACAGGACATAAGACATTGCTCCCGAAGCGGAGGGGTATCCACGAGGCAACGAGACACGCCATATCATACACAGGCAGGTCGGAATCAGCCGCTCAGACAGGCGACACCGACGACACCGACGTCGCGTCTTCCCTCGACAGGACGTGCGTGCGCCCCTGCGCTCCGTGATCACGTCCATCCGGGCAGCCGTGCTCTGCAACGCGTCGCGTCAGCCACCCGCACCCACACCAGAGGCTGCAGCGGACCGAGCCGACGCACCGTCCGGGACGACTGCGGATAGTTAGCCTCAACGAAGTCCGTCACCGTCTCGATCTGGACGGAGACGCCGTCGAGCCGAGTGCGCGCCGGGGACTGCCGTTCGAGCAGTCGTGCGAAACGGGGGGGCGTGAGCGTGAGCGTCGAAGGCGCGTTGCGATGGGGCTGGGCAGGGGCGTGCTCACCCGGTGCACGTTTTTGTGGGGCAGATCGGGGTAGGACCCGTGTTGGGCCGAGTGCGGGCTGGCGGCGAAGTCGCTGAGCTGGACCGCGCCGGTGCCGAACTTGTCGCGCAGCCCTTCGCGGCTGTTCAGGCTGGAAACACGCGCCCATGATCAACGTTAGGCTTCGTGGGACGGGCGAAGGAAGACGCACAGCGCCAAGAAGGAGTTAACGTAGCCTGTGCAGCGAACCCGTGGGTCAGCGTGAGAGCGCCGAAAGGAGCGCAGTCGGACTTACATTTGCCCATGATCCAGAAAAAGCTCAACCAGACGAAGTTCGTGGGCATTGCTGCGAACTACACGGCAATCAACGATGAGATCACAAGAGACGGGTGCTTCGCACTCACAGTAACGACGCAAATAGTCGCTATGACGCTGTGCAAGGCAGTTCGTCAGTGGGAGTCGCCATGAGGTAATTGAGCGATTGGATCACCTCGTCGTCAAACCGCTGTTGATACTGTACACCATGAGTGTTGTGACAACGGAGTCCGTCCTGTCCAGCCGTCGATCAGCTTCGAGGATCTCAATGATTTGGTGGGCGCGTACTTTTTCAGGCCCGTGCGCTTGCTGTACAAGTAGTAGCACATCGCGACAGCGATGAGGATGTCGGACGCCGCGGCCGATCCGAGCCCAACACATGTCACCCACTGGCACACACGCGCCGCTTGAGTACTGTGCACAATTTCCACGAGAATATGACATACCGTTAAGTTGGCGAACTTTGAGAAGCGACCCAGGATGAAGCTGTCATCAGATAGTCAGTCAGCTAACATGCAGTCACACCAACCTGGAAGAAAATCGATGAGAGTCACTCACGAGTCGATGGTGAAGACTGTGGGCGAGAGAAGAAAGTCAGACTGCGGAGTAGACTCATGAGTCGAAGAAGACTCTCACCAACACCCAGGCCTGTGAGTATAGATGAACCGGCTCGTTTAGATGCCGTTCGCCATGAGACAAGCGCTCGGCACTCACCGAAATGAACGGAAGCCAAAATGATCTGCGTGACTCCGTCAATCCCTCGAGAACAGCAGGTGGAGCACTCAGGCAGGGAAGAAGACTCACGATTATCCCCGTGATGAACCGGTTCTGGCTCACTGTGGAAAGAAAGGCATAGTCGGTGAGAACACGGGGGACGTTTATCAGAGGATTACCCACTCATCCACACGCGGCGTGCGAAGAACCTGCGCTCGAAGGAAACGCGGTCAGCCGCAATGACCTCAAAGCCGAGTCTGCTGACTTACCATTCAACAATCAAACCGATGAGACCCTAGTGAGATACAGAGAGTGAGCAACGACGAGGCCCCCGAATACATGCGAGAACTCACGTTACAGTCTGTTTGTAGCTACCGTGCGACCGTGAGACCCAGCAACGATAACAGAGTTAGTAAAACCTACAGCCATACTCCTGAATTAGGCACAGAAGACATTAGATCTCATCCAAAGTGCTCCAAAGGGCCCGCATGCTGCCGCTACTGACCATGTGGTCACATCGAGGTTGTCGGTATTGGTAAAATTGGTCACGAGATACCTGTGCGATTATGAGGCTGGGTATTCTCAAGTGAATGGTATGATACTGACCAGTATATTGTCCGAGTACACAGCGTGACATGGAGAGTATCTAACAGCCTGCCTACGCAGTGAGGCCTCCGACCCGGAGCACGGCGTGGTAGGTACTCACGTCAGAATGATAACCTGTGTAACAATGGTGTGAGGTTGAGAAATATTGGGAATACACAGAGAGACAACGTACGAGAGACTTGGTGAACCGGGTGTCGTCGGAGTAGTTCCTGACAAGGACAGGCCATTTGTGCGGGAACAAGACGTCAAGTGTGTATGGAACGCACCTGAAGTAGCTGAAGCTACGTCCATCGAGTCGATATATGAGCACACTGCACGACTGCTAGAATATCTCATACACACGTCTGTAGTAGAGTTATGCCATAGAGGCTGAGCAGTCGTCAGCAATAACATGCATGCCAAAGGCAAAGCAACTCACCAAGCGCCTACCACCAGTCCTATGAGCGCCGCCCCGAACGTGCTATCAATCGACCCCATTCCGTGAGCGTGGCGGGAACGCTGACTAGTAGGAACAAACGAGAGGACGGCGGCGAAGAGATAGAGGCTCGCGCCCCCCTCGTCCGCCAAGCGTCCGCGCTATTATACCCCACGTCCCAACTTCTGGTGCCATTCCCCGGGAATGCGCCATAACCCATCGGCACGCGCCGCGCCTATCGGGAGAAATTTTCGCAGGGACGAGCCCGCCACGGTCGTACTTTCGCCGGCGCAGTTCTGTGGATGAAGGTTGCAGGCCCAGGGTCTCCTGTCTTCAATTATGCCGTCAAGACCAGCGGCGCGGACGTATAGAGCCCACCGAATACACGCCAGGACGGAGGCAGTTGCTGCGCCAGTTCCAGAGAGATCTCCCGCGTGGGCGAAGAAGCTCGGCGGAAGTGTGCTGGAGTTTGTACGTGGGAGCAGGACGTTCCGGAGGCGCCACTTAGTCGGAATGGGTCACCCCTAGGAGTAGGCTGACCGTATCGTGAGAATGAGACGCGACTTTCTGAATCGTGTGCTCACCTGCAATATCCGTTCTCTACATGGGAGTTTGCAGCATGATCCGTGTTTCGAGGGCTTGGGCAGGAAAGCAGCATGTCCGGGATACATAGTAAAGTTGGAGCGATTGTGAGTGCACATTGTCTGAAGACAGCAGACCGTGACCGGCTTCTGAGTGACGGATATTATCAGGGCGGGCTCTGCACTCAATCCAGTACTGACGCGTGACAAAGACGCCTTTAGATGTCAGAATAACTACTCACCTGATCAACTCAATCGTAATCGTAATCGTGCTAAAATGCGGTTGTAAGTTGGTTTTGGAAACCTGCACTGTGCGTTCAAACTCCATGCAGCGAAAGCATCGCGTTTCATCAACTCTGTCCCCTGCCCGTGCACACGGGATCCAGGAATGAGGCCTGAGGGGCGGCGGAAGAGCGGATGAGAGAGGACTGAACTCACGGCCGTCAAATCCTACCTCTCCCTTGTCCGTGGCGGCGGAGACGCTGTGCGACGGAACTTAAAGGGGGTGGCAACCTTCTAACGATCTCCGACGGCCCAACGGTCGCTGTGAACGTTTGCGAACTTACTCGTCTCTCTCACTGTCGGTCGTCGGAGACGGAGGCGAGCAGTGTGCCGGCACATGCCCGCCCGGAGCAAATGCGGGGGGAAGTCTTCCGAAGCACCGATGTCTGTACGTACGAACGTGATCCACCGCCCAATCTCCCTCTGATATTCCTCCTCCGCGATCTGTCATGCCGGCGGATGGCTATTGAGGCGGCTTTGCTCAAGCTTTGCTGACCTCCGAGCTGGAACGCTGATGCAATGATGGCATGTCATGCGCAAGCTTCTTGAGACGATGAAGAAGATGGAGCCAGTAGATGGCGTGCAGCTGCTTGCCTGGCTGGCAGGAAGTAGGCGGAGAAGGCAAGGGCATTGCAGCTAAGCGCCGTTGCCACACTGCGGGCAGACGCACAGAACGCGTGACGTCACCACGGGACTTTAATAAGTACTGGCTTTGAGATTCTTCCACAGCAACTCCCGAAGATATTTCTGGGCTCAAAGGATGCCCCGCCTCTGCCGCCCATCGGATCGTTCCGAGCGCGCATCTTCAAAGCTTCAAGGGCGAACCCACTTACTGAGTTCCATGTGCTGCAGAGCCGCAGCCCCGTTTTGCTCGACTGCGCGAGGTACAAAAGCTGGTAGCGCTGCGGGAACGGAATTGACCTGTTGCAGCGCCTGGAAGCATACCAGGTCCTCAATGCATTCATCACCAAGAACGATAGCGCGTTCACGTTTACGGACGCACCGTCATAGTAGCGGGGCGCGCGAAAACATACGCGTTAGTCGGAGAGAAGGCGAGCGGACAGCACACGAACGACGTGGAAAGACCGCCTGTTGGCTTGTACAGTTGGGCCGCACAGTCGGCGGGTGTCCCAGCATTTCGGACGAGAACACATGTGCGAAGCTGGCATGCCAAGCGATAGCAAGTGAGCATGAGACTCCGAGGATAACATCGTGAGCATGCCCCGAGGTGAGGATGGCAGTACTACACAACACTAATGTACTTAGACGACGAGACGACGCCGAATGGCTCTCACGGCAGGAGGAGCCACTCCGCGAGGAGGATAGGGAAGTTGGGCGTGCCCACGCCGGTGACGGGGTCCCAACCAGGCTTCGCCGAGAAACCGACAGTGCCGCACCCAGGGTTCGTCCCGTTCTTGATATCGTTGAACGCCCACTTGAACGCCTTCGAGTAAATCTGCACACCCCCGCCGTCAGCCGCCTCTATCGGCGTCAGAAGCAAACGTAAAAACACGCACGGTGGGGTTGATGAACCCGATCGGCTTCTTCCCGACCGCCAGCCGCGCGTCGTTCACCGCGGAGAGGATCGCGGCCATGACGGGCGAGGACGCGGAGGTGCCGTACACGAGGAAGAAGTCGCCCTGGACGGCGACGACGTAGTTCGCGCCGTTCGCGGACAGGTCCGGGTACGCGCGCGAGCCCGTCGCGTTCCACAGCTCCGTCGAGTACGGCGGCGGGTACTTGGTCAGGTAGCCGCTCACCGCGTCCTTCTGCCAGCTCGGCATCGCGAAGACGTTCGAGAAGCCACCGCCGGAGTAGATCACCTGTTCGCACGCGCTCTCGGGGTCCGTCACGGACGCACCAGGGTTCACCTGCGTCGCGCCGACCGAGGTCACGTACGGGCACGTCCCGGGGAAGGAGGGCGAGAAGCGTGTGCCGTCGTAGGAGGGCGCGCCGGTGTCGTCGAGGCAGACGTCGCCGTAGCCCCCGACGCCGTAGTCGCCAGAGGAGTAGAGCATGGTGACACCCATGAGCCCGAGCTTGGCGTACTCGGCGCACTGGCGCTCCATGTAAGCGGGAGTGAGATCGACTTCGTCGTAGGAGTAGGAGGTCGAGATCACGTGGGCGGGGGAGACGGTCCCACAGTCCTCGGGGCCTGGGTAGGGTGAGCAGGTAGAAGAGAGGCGGACGGACGAGGACATACCTTTGTAGCCGCCGTCGTAGGGGTCAGGATAAACACCATCCTGGGTCGGGTCGTCACCACCCTCAAAGGTACAGAAAGAGCCGTCGAGGGCGTCAAGGAAGTTGTTGAACGAAGCACCTGTTCATGCATCATGATGTATGTGAGCTGTGAAGTCATTGACGGAAGATGCCCACACATACCTTGGACCTCGTCGCCAACCTGGTACAAAGTGACTTTCTGGGACTTTCCGACAAGCGACATCGCGTATTGCAGATCCAGGTTGGACTCGCCGTTGTAACCGAATCCAGAGCCACCCACGTCGATGGTTCCTATGGATGTCGACCCGTCAGCCAAAGAGCATGAAGAAACCTCTGCTCCTTACCGCCGTCGATGCTATCCATAACAGGGCGCTGGCCGACTTGAGATTTCGAAAAGTTGGTGAAGAACATGTCTAAATCCGACGGAACGTAGGCTTGAGGTGTGTATTCCACTAGGGGAATAGTGTCAGCGATGCTTCGACGCAATGGTCGAGCAGACTGTCTATACCGATTCCGATGGAATTCTTGCTCGCTGCAAGCGGTTCATAAAGGAACCCATAGAGCGCGCGAATGCAGTCCGGCGTGATCTGCGTGTCACACTGCTCGAGCTCATGGAAGATATCCTGTCGCGAATGCCAGAGTCAGCGCGTCCACAAGACCCCACATCTTCCAAAGCACCCACGCTGATCGTCCCAGTGGTCTTGGGCGAGACCGGGCCAAAGCCCGGCTGGCCGACCTGGGACGCCTTGGACGCCTTGTCCCGCCTGTGCACCACTGGCTCGCTCCCGGGGCCTTCGCATCGAAGTGCAGGGTCGGGAGCACGAGGTCCACGTGCGCGGCGACGTCCTCCGGGAGGTGGTAGCGCCCCTCGCACGCGAGCTGCTCGCGCCCGTCCGCGTGCCGGTACACGAAGTACTCCGTCCCGAGCAGCGCCTCGGCCTCCGCGACGCTCACGTCCGCCTCGACCCAGCCACCGCTCCGGCTGAGGCGCGCGCCCGCGACACCGGCGTCCGCGAGCCACGCACGCACGGTGGCGGCGGCCTCGGGCGTGGGGCGGAAGGTCTCGGCGACGCGGGCGGGGCTCCAGTGGGCGCCGTAGTCGGGCGAGGAGGGGTGGGAGACGGTGAGGAGGGCGGCCTCGAGGGTGGCGAGGTTGGGTTGGGCGAGCGCGATGCGCAGGGGGAGGGGGTGGCGGCGTCGGCGCGGGCGACGGGGGCCCAGCCGCGTGGAGGGGCGGCGCGCGACTCGTGTGCGACTCGGGGGGAGGAGGGGGAGGCCGCGAGCGCGGAGGCTGCGAGCGCGAGAGCGACGAGGACGCGGTTGGAGAGCAACATGGTGAACGCCTCAGGTTTGGGGATCCGTCGTCGAGGGCGGCGGCGAGAGCCAGGGATCGCGAGGGCATGACGTTCCAGTACACCAGATTTTATGGTGGTACCAGGGCATCCGGCGGGGCTGCCGCGGGGAAGAACCTGATGCATGGCACGTGGGGACAATCAGAACGGCGCACTACAATCGGAGATACCGACGGCAGATGCATGCGTCCTTGCCGCCACGCCCGTCACGCCGGTAAGCACAGTGGCGGGGCGGCATGGGTCAATGGTCATCATCACGTATGGACGAGGGCGACCGGCGCACGAGGGTCCGATAAGCATGGTCTGTATACGATGTCGGAGCTCTAATGGAAGTCTGTGAACAAATTAAAATCGTCATGTGAGTCAAAGGTGAGCATGCAACATGGCGAGTGAACAGGGGACACACAGGTGCCGGCGAGGAGGGCGTCTGGAGCTGGCCGTGCTTGCTGTCACTAGTCTCGGCTTCCATACTTGCGCGGTGCGGTTGGTGGCCATTTTGGAGAGCCGCATTAACATCGCAAGACTAAGTCGAGGCAGAGGTGAAGCCACACGCAACGGCGAAAAGTGACCATGGTGGAAAATTGGGAGGAGCAAGCCACACGCAGCCCATGGACACAATCAATCAGCTCTGGACGGTGGCCCTCGCGAGCCTCATGGTGGTGTTGTTCGCCGTTCATCCGCCTGATAGCGGCGCGCAAACTATAAATAACCTCTACGATAGCTACACGGGTTCGTCGACTTGTAGCTATATGAGTTTGCAATGAGGCGTAATTTGTGTCGAATCAAGGAACGATACCAAGTTAGTGGTGTGATGCGGAGGAGACCGCGTGTCTTGAAGGATCGTGGTGAATGAAATCTTGTGATATAGTCCCTGAATAATCAAGTCGCGTGAGAGGATCAGGACACCGAAATGCGTTGGACAATGCCAGACTCCATGTTCAGGGTGCGGCATGTTGGAGGCGCCATTAAGTTCCGCGATGCGCGAGTGCTCAGAAGGAGCACTACGAGCCGAACGAAGTGCAAGTCTTGCGGGGCACCTAGAAGACACTGCTACTGGGAGGCGGGACGAGTTGACGGGATGATAATGAGAAGGAGTGAAGCCCCATGTCGACGATCCCCTCCCTGAACTCCACGGTCTCGGGTCTTTCTTCTTCTAAAGAAGGGATGGGGAGGGATGTGAGAGAGAGGAAGAGGCGCTTGGAAACGCGGGGCAGGGCTGGAGTGCGGAGAGAACGTGAAGAATTTACAGAGGTCCGGTGAACCTAGTATGAGAGCGTACTGCAGGGGGAGGCGCGTTGCAAGTTTTCCGGAAGGCGAAAGTCGCCTCAGCAACGGAATGCTAGTGAGCTTGATTGAACACGCCGACACAACGCCGAACGAGTGCGTATACATAGTCACGTACTTTGCCGTTCTCTTTACTCACCCTCGCAATATGCGCATGGATATAAATACAAATTTGTGATGGGTGCGGGGGGCCAAGGTGCTGTAGCAAGCAGAACGTTCGCACTTCATCGGAGTCCGACTCTTTGGATCGCCTGAACGATCTCACCTGACGCCTCTCCCTTTACCTCCAGACCGTGGACGAGACTGAGGGAACGCCCCATTAACTTGTAGAGCGTCCATGTCACGAGTTGGGCAACGCTGAGAAGGTAAAGGTGGTGGAGGCGCAACAACAGGGACTAGGGCGCCTTTTGGAGTTAATTACTTCAAGTGATGCTGAAGCGCTCAACGCCTCGTGTGTCTTCGACTGCGATGTGCGCTTATACATCGCTCGTCTCTCTAGATGACCTTCTCGCCTTCCTGTCTGGCTCTCGCTCATCATGCTCCGATCCTTCGGCTTGCTCTCTTGAAAATAAGGGAAAGATGCGCTCAGTACTCAACATGGGACTTGCGTCCCGCAGCCTCTTGTTTCCGGCCGGGAACCTCTGGAGTTTCGACATCATTCCCACTTGTTGTGACGGCGGACACAACATGCTGGATCGCGGACGGCTCTACAGTATCGATTCCCTCGCTGCGCTGACGCGCGTATATGGACCATCGGCCGGGGAAGAACGCATATCAATCTTATCGCTCGGCAGAACGTACACATGACCGTTGAGAGGGCCGCACGCTCTCGCCCAATAAAGCCCGGCCTCGTCCCCTCCCGCTGTCCCTTGTCTCTCTCCCGACGACCACAAAGCGGACCGCGCCTGAGGACAAGCTCAAGCCAGCTCCGAGGACGAAGCAGTAGTCACGTTCACTATCGCTCTACTTCGGTCCTCCTGCTGACGAGCCGCGCACGAGCCGACACACGACGAACATGCTTTCTACCACCATGCAGCTCGTCGCCTTCGTCTTCGCCCTCGCCGTATCCGTCTTCGCAACGCCGTTGACCATCACCCCCCGTGATGTTGTGGCCCCACCCATAATAGTCCCGACGGCGCAGACGATGTGGACGGTCGGGGAGAAGGAGACTGTAACCTGGTGGGTCTCGGTCCAGTCCCGCTGTCTGAGCGACTCCAACACTGGCCTCGATGCAGGGACACGTCAGTCCTGGAGGGCGTGACCCCATCCAACCCGAACGGGACGCTCCTCCTGGGTACCTTCGTCGATGGCCAGGAACATCTTATGGGTGGTGCGTCCCTGTTCAACCATAGCGTACCTCCGCGTGCCTTACACCTCCCCCGCACTGCGCAGAATCGCCGCTCGCCACGGACTTTTCTCTGTTCGACGGAAATGTTACTCTGACCGTGCCCTCGGTGGCCCCCGGCAAGGATTACATCGTCTGTCGTACGTCCCTTTCTTTTATATTTATATACCCATGCCCCATGCCCATACGTGCTGCCCGTAGTGATAGGAGACTCGGGGAATATCAGCCCCGCGTTCACGATTCTCGGCGCGGGAAGCTCTTCGGGCGCCGCGACAGCCATCGCCACCAGCTCGAACTCGCTCCCGCCCGTCAGCACCACCAACCCCACCACAAGCGCGAGCCTGCCGCCAAGTGTCATCCAGACCACGGACGCGTCCACTACGACCTCAGTCTCGGCCTCCATGACCACGGCCACGAGCCCTGTCTCCGGGAGCACAACGTCAAGCGCAACCGTCTCAAGTTCGGGCTCATCACACTCGACTAGTTCGAGCGCATCTACGACCAACACAGCCGGAGGCTCTGCGCAGACCGCGTCTGCGGCCCTCGGTCTCGCGCCCGCGCGCCTATGGAGTGTGCTCTGTGCAGGACTTTTTGTTATGTGGGTACTATAAGCACCTGCTCCATTCACGACCATTCGGATACCGAGGTCTGAAATCAGCTTCGGTCCATTTGCTCAACGACTTCACGGACTATTCATACGCTCTTGGACGATGTACATTAGTCTTTGGATCAAGCTTTGCATTACTTTCGCTTCTATCCCGCCTTGCTCCGTTGTCGCGAAGTCTCAGTCTGCTGGCATCTAGGTACGGTGTACGGTCAGCTGAAAAGTGTGTTTCGAACGCGTAAAAGTCATCGAGAGCATGGTGGTTGACGGCTTTTGCCGTGTGACTTGATGGATAGCATATGTTTCTGGATGTTAGTAGCGAGCACCCTTAGCACAGGCGATCATATACTCTGTTGAATTGGCGACCAGTTGCCGGTTTTCGCCAAGTCTGCCTTGGACGCTTTTGGCGTGACTTGACGGACGATCCTCTTCTTCGCCTTCTCATGCGCCACAGAATCGCGCGACTAGTAACTACCAACCATGCCACCATGTGAAGCAAACCAGGCAAATCGTCTCTGGTGACTTGGCAGATAGAATATGTGATGCCTGGGGGGACTAACTTGGCGGTCACTCAGCGCACTCCGGCACCTTGTTTTGGTAGCCCGATCCCCAGTCGGTTACACAAGGAGTAGAAGAATAAGTATTTTTGACGGTTTAGCGAGCGTGTACAAGCCGATGGATAATACCATAGCGCGCGACCGCGTACGTCGTCGTGAGTACACTGTCAACTCGCCTCGGCGAGGACTAGTTTGTAAAGGCAAGCAAGTAAACGAGCCGTCAACAAGCCTCGAGCACGCGTACGTGTGAGGCACAGTTGAACAGAGGTAGAACGAGATAGAAGGCGGACGGGTCCGTCGATGAACGAGCCGGAAGAGCAAAGGGTGCCAGTCTTCGCGAGTTTGAGAGCCTCATGTGGCTCGCGCAACATCTGCAACGGCAACGTTAGTGGATAGAATATAGACGACGATACAGCGTAAGCTCACCATGAAGAACATCCATCGTTCAGGTGCCGAAACCGACGCCCGCGAACGCAGCAACGAGGGCAAGAATCGTACGCTTGGACGATTGCATGGTGGCAGAGGCACGAGCAGGGGTGCGAAGCAGCGCGGGAACAATGTGGGTGGTAATGGGGTTTAAGACTTGAGAGCATGGGCCAGGGATGTGAGGGGCGACAGCGCGCCAACCGAGAGTGTTGGACAGGGCGACAAAGTCCCATACGAGCGGAAGTTGAACAGCAGAAGCGACCAGGTACGCCGACCAGCGAGGAGCGTCGTCGATGGAGGTCGGAGGTCACAGGTTAGGTCCGAAGAGATCCACTTAAGCTCCGGCGAGGGGCACCATGGCGCTCTGAGATCTGCCGTAGAGCGCGAGCGGGTCCATGGGCGACGGAAAGTGGCGCAGGTAGTGCGCGCAGGGGTCGAAGTGGTGGGCCTAGACATCCCGGTTAGCGCCGCTCTAGCCGTCGCCAGTATGAAACCTGTTGCTGCCGAGACTGTTATCGACGGTGCTGTCGACATCGGCCACGCCGCACGAGGAGGTCGCTGAATACGGAGGTACTCCAGGAAAATGATGCCTTGGATATGGAGGACCGGCGAGGGCGGCAGAGATATCGTTGCGACTTCAAGATCCTCGGCAACGAGGATGGTCAATGGCCTTGGAATCTTCCATACTGATGGTATGGCGTGTAGTTCTTTGAAGACGATCATGCTCTGCAACTCTTCATCGACGACGGTGGTCCGTGGCTGTTCAGCCGCGACGGCAGCCTCCAGCGGCTCAACACCCATGACGGCCTCAATGACGGCCGGGGAAGGAAGCGTACTAGCTGGCGGCAGGGGTGTTGTTTTCAGCCTCCTGTATAGTCGTGGTCTAAGATAGCGTGTGAGCGATGCAGGAAAGAGATGAGAGCGAGGCAATACGCACCTCAGGCACGGAAGAGACGCAGAAATATCTTCGCGCTGGTCCCCCATTGGTTGAACATCGTCATCTGCGTCCGTGGTCTGGGTGTCGCAAGGATCACGACGTCAGCGGCGACTATGCGATAACGAAACGCTACGCACCTGGCCCGTGTGGCCATCCCACGTCCTCATCGTCGACGACCATGTACTCGTCGTCCACGATCTCCATCTCATGGTCGAGCTCCATGTTTTCCATCACATCGTCTCGAACGATCTTCGTGGGTCCATATTTGCCTTGAGAGAAGCCACAGCCTCATAGAACAGCTGTTGCTCCAGGACCGTGGGCTTGCCAGCCTCGCGCGCTGGGACGCGATAGACGCGAGGCCTCTTGGCTTTGTTGTAGGCGACGGAAGGGGCGTCGCGCGGGAGAGGCTGGCGCTGAGGACGGGGGCCGTAAGCTTTGGCTTGGGGACAGGTAAAGGGGACGGTACCATTCTGGCGAAACGTCTGAGGGCCCAGCGTACGGAGAGTGCATGTGAGGTCTTCAAATCGTGTTATCCTCATCACAACGACTTCACAAACTTGACTATGGAGCATGCTCGCTAGCATTGAAGCCACCTTTGTCTTTTATGTAAAGCTCGTTCAAATTGCATCCTGGTGGGCGTCAATTGGTCGATATTTCACAAGAACATGGGCCTGAGGGTATAACATCGACGTAGTCATTCTCGACTCTCTGGCCCTCGTCACACTATGCATCATGTATCGCGTCTCCAATCCTAGGCATACCCGTAGAGCTTCGACTCCCGATATTACATCAGGTCCCATGCATATATGCTCAGCCACACGCGAGGGGATCGTCTCGTGCTCGTGAGGTTGGTACGAGGGAGAAGAGACTCACAAGTACTGAGTATGGCGCCTGTATAATCGAGAATAGCGGGCCTGCAGCCAAAATTGTCCGTGTTGTCAAAGAGGGAGTGGCGACTTTGCCGAATGACAATATTCTGTAGAAAACTCCTTCGCAGGGACCCGAAGTTGTCCGGAAGCAATTTCAATGCAGGGCGAGTAGACAAGATGGCGGACGCCAGGTTTAGTCCCGCTGAAAGCCGTGTGGTTAGCACTCCGAGCGGGCACACGACCCGTACGAAAGCCTCTGCTAACCTGCATATATGATTTGCGCGAGTTTTAACCCAATCTTGGCGTCACGTTTGTGTAATGTGGCATAGCAGGCTCATTCTGCGCATCTCTCGCATGCTGAATGCACAAGCTTGGTGGTCTTGGGCCAGAAAAATGAATACGACATTGATGGCTGGGTCGCCGATGATGGGGTCTGCAGATCCGCAGAATATGAAGCGATGGCGACAGGCGGGAGCTGGGAATGGCTCTGGGACGGGTGGTGGTCTGCGCGAGGGCGGGCGGCAATGGAGTCTGGACAAAGAGACGGAGGGTGTCACGTCGGACGCGCGGGAGGAGAGCGTGACTCCTTGCGGTGGCCACGAGCCAAACACACAAGCGGTGCTTCCCCATCGACCGCACCTACTCTCCTCCTCCCTCCTATTTTCCCTCCCTCCCGCGCCTTCCGACTCTCCTCACGAAATCCAGTCATGGCGGCCGCTGCAGGCAACAACGCTTATCCCATGCCCGCGTCAAATGCGGATCTCGCCACCACTTGGGCGTATCTCGAGGAGGGTGTCGACCATATCATGACCAAGCTCCAGACAGGCGTTTCGTACTCCAAATACATGAGCCTCTACACCGTCTCCTACAACTATTGCACGTCGTCCAAGATGCATGGAACGGGGAGCGACGCCGGTGGAGGCATGGGCCACCGAAGTGAGTACCCTCTGCTCCCTCAAGTCCATCTTCGTTGAACGCGACCCAGCCGGTGCCAACCTGATGGGCTCTGATCTGTACAATAACCTCATTCGATACTTTGTTCACCATCTCAAGACCCTCCGAACAGTGCGTTTCCCCGCCACCCTGTTGTATGCCGTTAACGCGGGCGCTTCTGCAGACCTCCGACACGCTTCAGGACGAAGCGTTGCTGCGGTACTACGCTCAGGAGTGGGATCGGTACACGACCGGTGCCAACTACATCAACCGCCTCTTCACCTACCTCAACCGTCATTGGGTCAAGCGGGAACGCGATGAGGGAAGGAAGGGTGTTTACCCCGTATACACGGTCGGTCTCTCATCAGCCCCGCCGCCGTCCTGCGCTCATCCCCCATCTCTAGCTCGCACTCGTTCAATGGAAGTCCAACTTCTTCATTCATGTGCAGAGCAAGGGTCAGAAACTTGCCGGTGCCATCCTTAGGCTAATTGAGCGCCAGCGGAATGGTGAGACGATCGACCAGACCCTCGTAAAGAAGGTCGTGGACTCGTTTGTCTCCCTCGGCCTCGAGGAGAACGACATCAACAAGGTCTCGTACGAGGTGTACCGCGAACACCTTGAGACCCCCTTCCTCGAAGCGACCGAGAAATACTACCGCACGGAATCCCAGACGTTCCTCGGCGAGAACAGCGTCGCCGACTATCTCAAGAAGGCCGAGGAGCGGTTACGCGAGGAGGAGGACCGCGTCGAGCGTTACATGAACTCCAACACCCGCAAAGCACTCATCACTAAATGCGAGCACGTCCTCATTCGTGAGCACTCGGAGCTCATGTGGGACAACTTCCAGACCCTGCTCGACTTCGACAAGGACGAGGACCTGCAGCGCATGTACGCCCTCCTTGCCCGTATCCCCGAGGGTCTCGAGCCCCTGCGCAAGCGCTTCGAGGATCACGTCAAGCGTGCCGGTCTCGACGCCGTCGCGAAGCTGGTGACCGAGGCAGGTGCGGAGAAGGGTGCGGGTGGCGAGGTCGACCCCAAGAAGTACGTCGACGCGCTGCTCGAGGTGCACCAAAAGAACTCCGAGACGGTCACCCGTAGTTTCCGTGGTGAAGCTGGTTTCGTCGCGTCGCTCGATAAGGCGTGCCGTGACTTCGTCAACCGTAACTCCGCCACTGGCACGTCGTCGACCCACTCTCCGGAGCTGCTTGCCAAACACGCAGACGCATTGCTCCGCAAGAACAACAAGATGGCCGAGGAGGAGGACCTCGAGAACGCGTTGAACAAGGTGGTACGTAACCTCGTCCTTGCCGGATTGAATTTCAGCTGAAGATATGCGGATGAATAGATGATCCTGTTCAAGTACATCGACGACAAGGATGTGTTCCAGAAGTTCTACACCAACAAGCTTTCGAAACGTCTGATTCATGGTGTGTCGGCATCTGACGAGGCGGAGGCAAGCATGATCTCGAAGCTCAAGGAGGCTTGCGGTTTCGAGTACACCAACAAGCTGCAGCGCATGTTCACTGGTGAGCGCCGAGCGTCTTAACCATTGCCATTTGCTTACTGTGACTTCTTGATAGACATGAGCCTGAGCAAGGATCTCACCGACAACTTCAAGGAGCGCATGCAACAGAACCACGATGACATGGACATCACCTTCTCCATCATGGTCCTTGGCACCAACTTCTGGCCCCTCAATCCGCCCACGCACGACTTCATCATCCCCGCCGACATCCTCCCGACCTACACCCGCTTCTCACAGTACTACCAGCAGAAGCACTCTGGGCGCAAGCTCACCTGGCTCTGGAACTACTCCAAGAACGAGCTCCGCACGAACTACCTCAACCAGAAGTACATCCTCGTCACGAGCTCGTGGCAGATGGCGGTCCTCCTGCAGTACAACAACAATGACACGCTCTCGCTTGAGGAGCTCTTGGCCGCGACGGCGATCAGCAAAGACATCCTCACGCAAGTGCTTGCCGTGCTCGTGAAGGCGAAGATCCTCGTCAACGACGAGACGGACCAGTACGACTTGAACCCCAGTGCGTTCCTTCCCGGGTTGAGCCGATAGCGTAGCTTGCTAACTTTGTAACAGACTTCAAGTCGAAGAAGATCCGTATCAACTTAAACACACCCATCAAGGCTGAGCAAAAGGCCGAGTCGACGGACGTGCTTAAGACGGTCGACGAGGACCGCAAGTACGTCATTCAGGCGACCATCGTCCGGTACGTCAAGTTTCCGTCTATTTGCCTTCCTTTCATTCACCGCGTTCCACAGTATTATGAAGGCGCGCAAGACGATGAAGAACCAGACACTCATCCAGGAGGTCATTCAGCAGATCTCCACGCGGTTCTCGCCCAAGATCCCCGACATCAAGAAGGTACGTCTGGCGTGTCCACTTCTCATTACCTCCGTCCCATCAACATGGTTATGATATTCAGGCAATCGACCACTTGCTCGAGAAGGAGTACATCGAGCGCGTGGAGGGCACGCGCGACACGTTCGCCTACGTCGCCTAGGACTTTTTTGCAGCAGTTGTCTTGGCTTGCCTTCTGATCCTGAGCACCATCACGCAAGGACGTTCCGATCCCGTCGCCGCCGCCTCCCTACCTTCCCCCATCCCCCTCCACGCGCGTCTCATGCATATGCTCTATATCGTGTCTAGAAGTCTGTTGTAGCATAGTACCATACCAACCCTCCTTCATCTGCACGAATCATAAAGTCGATCTGTGCTCATCGGACCCATCGGACGAGAGATATCATGCAACATTCCTTCATTCCGTCCATTGTCGCTGAGTATACATGGGATCAAGAAATTGAAGCTATTGAGTGAGCTCCACGAGAGTAACACCTCGGGGATCGCATCCGATGACCTCCTGCCACACCTCCGCCAGGCCGTCCTCCTCGCAGCCTACTTGCATCCCGTTGTCCCGCAGCACGTAGTACGCCCTGTGCGGGGTCTGCACGACCGCCAGCGCAGGGTGCAACCCTTCGCGGCCGCCCGGCGTGGAGAAGTGCACGCTCTCGACGTGGTGGTGTCTGTGAGGGAGGCGGCGTCCAGCACGCGCGAAGGAGAACCCACCCAAGGGGAGACGACGCACTCGGGAAGGAAGAGCGTCGGCGCCGCGCGTCCGTTTCCTGGTCGACCGCGCCGCGACACCCGTTCGGGCAGCCCCGCGAACTCGTGCGCCATCTCGCTCGCCGTCATCTCCGGGCCGCTGACGCTGCGAATTCAAGTTCAGAGGAGAGGTGCCGCACGGGCGGTCAGCGCGGCGGTTCCGCGTGGCCAAAGGGAGGGGAGGGAGACGCGCCTGTTCGCGGCGACGCACGCGAGCACGTACCGCTCCGCGACGGGGCGGAGCGCGGCGGCCTCGCGGGCGTCCGCGTTTGCGGCGAGCCGGGAGAGCCAGAGCCGGCTGATCCCGCGGTCGTAGTCTTCGACGCAGGGCCACCTCAGGTGCGCGAGGAGCGACCGGTCGCGATCGGACGCCTCCTTCTGGTTCGTCATGTATGCGGACCAGTCGGTGCGGACGGGGAAGGTTGGCCCGGGGGACCGAGGGCGTTTTCGCGTCGTGTGATCCCGAAGGGCAGAGGTGAGGGCTTGAGAGGCCGCCGGATGTCTGATGACCTCGCAGGTCGGTTCGAGCACGTAGAGCGTCTCGTGCTGGTTCGAGTTGACGACTATCTGGGCGTCTGGATAGAATATAGAGATCGCCCAGATCTCCCCGGGGACGACTTCCTGCGCGTCCGTGACCGTTCCGCGGAGCCATGAATGGAGAGCATTGTCCGCGCTGCTGGGCGAGCCGAGGGAAAGTTCGAACCAGGCTCGGGTCAAGACAAACCTGTGGATCGTCAGTCCGTTGGAACACGGGAAAAGAGCCACACTGCAGACACACCTCATTGCCACAGCGGCTTGCTTTGGGTGGTCTGGGCTTGCCCACAGCCTGGGAGAGATCGGGTTGGGGAAGCCGCTGCCGCATAGGAACCGCGCGAGGAAGGAGGCCTCGTATATGCGCTGCCGCATCGCCCCTTCGGCATCGCGCATGCGGAGATAGGGCCACATGTCCGTCGTTGATACTGCGTACTTGCTCAGAACATCGTCTTGCAGTCGACGGCCTAGATGACGGTGCACAAGGACCACTGACGCGGAGACATACACTGTGTGGTTCCATCGTTCAGCATTCGGGGAGGACGTGGGGAAAAGGCGAACACACCTGCATATCGCAAGGCGCGAGAAACAAGGCTGCATGCCGCACGTTCCTGCGGACCTAATCCGCTCAGGATAACTGCCCAGCGCTGAACGCGTCTTCGTTGAGACATGGAGGGGGGAAAGTTGATGTTGGACAGGGGCGGCACGGCCGTAACCGGGTGTTCTAGAGGGGAGAATGTGCTTTCTGTGTTACGCTGAAGCGAGGAATTGGTGTTGGCAAGGGGAACATTCGACTTAGATACCGCGGCGCTCTTGTTGGTCAGGAGTGGTTTAAAACGCTTTGCAGGGCGCGAGACGGGCTTCTCTGTAGTACTCGAAGCAGATATCGGAGCAGTGTGAGCGGAGGATGGAGCAGTACGAAGCAGCGAAAACGATAAGGTAGCGGGGGGATGTTGGCAAGGTTGAGGCGTAATTCTGGTAACAGGAAATTTGCGTACAGTGATCTTCTCAAGCCCTTCCTCCGACGAACCCGAATGGTGTCCACTCGAACGGCGGGGGTCTTGTGCCACTGGGGGTGGGTGTATGCGCGGCCGTTTGGGAGGCGGAGGCGGAGGCATCATCTCGTAGCACGTAGAAGGGGTAACCCTAGACGAAAGCACAGCGGGTTCATTCTGAGAGCATTGATGACTTTTTCAAGTTTATCCGTATCCCGGGGCGAGGCAAAGGTAGGCGTCGAGACGGAGTTGGGTATGGGCGTACTGGCGAGGGCATGGACAGGTGATGGTTGACCAGGCCGAGGCGTGTGCTCCAGAAGCTGGACAAGTGCCTTCTTCCCAAGTTTAGAGTAGCCATTTAGTTTCTTGTCCTTGCATAGAGCCTTCAGCCGTGGGACGGTGAGCTTCATAAGATCTGTTGATGTGTCGCAAACTTTGCTGAGGGAGTCTTCGGATCCCCGATTAGGTGGCATCGTATGCGATGACGAAAGCGCAGCCAAGTTGGTTTCTACAGCTTGATGGAAGGAGATGTTTGGTTGGTGGTGGAGTTGGACATGAGGGATGAGAACAGCGGAGATGCAGGCCTGAGATCCAATTCCGAAGAAGGCGGACACCTGAGGCGCCAGTTGAACCTTATCCCACTCTCTATTCCCTTCGCCACCGCTCAGGCCGCAGGATCACCCATCACCGTAACCGTCATAAAGTTGTGTCCCAACCTTCACGCCCTTGAAGCTGATTCAATCTCACTATACACCCTGTCTCGGCGACCAGCAACTGCGGTCGCGTTGCGCAAACTCGAGTGTCGTGCTCCGACCGTCTGGCAACCCTCGAGGCCGTGGAATACGAGTAGGATGATTGTCGATTTCCGATGAGCTGCCCATGTCGGCAAACACCTTGCATGACCCACTGTCCATGCATTCTCTCAACTGCCGAATGCCATTCGACCGTCGTCTCGCCGTAGGTTCCATGGTGACCCTACATCCGGATACACGCTTCTCTAGACGATAACCCCAGTCTCTGCTCCTCAATTACGACCACTGGAAGTCAACGTAACATTGGTTACCTTCGTGATGACCTAGACTTCATGGTGAGCACTCATGGTGCATCGTTGGTCTATCTTTGTTCACTTTAGATGTCCTTTCGGCGGCGCAAGCAGAGACATTCTTCGCATGCCTACGTGAGCTCCAGCGCAGCGTAGGTCGTGTGCTTGGGCGGGTCGAAAGTACGTACTCTCAGGAAGTCGTGGCCCGTATAGTTGCGGTAAGTGCTGTTCCCCCACTCAGTCTCAGTCTTCAGCTGCGCCGCCAGCAGATGGCGCGCGAACACCACGTGGATTGCCTCGCCGACCACCAAATATTTCAGCGTCGTATGAGACCGCGCGGCCCCTTGTCCCCGCACGCACAGCCTCTTCTCACGAGGAGCCTGTTGTACGCGGGCCTGATCGGCCCTTGGGTTATGCAAGGAGTCTGGAGGGGATGTAGAGACGCTTGGGGGGGGCTGTGTAGATTGTAGGAGCGGACGAGGGAAACTTTGATGCAAAAGTTCAGCCCAGAGAGTTCGGGAGACGGGTCCTGCCCTCATTCGAACGGCTGGAACCGAGACTAATTCCGACTCTCATTTTGAAGCTCGTCTGGCTAAGTTCGCTCTTCTCTGTTGCCCGTGGCTTCACCTCGGCCTCGACTCAGTCTTGCGATGGGAATGCGGCTCTCCAAAACACCGGAAACCCGCCATGGATCACACTGCGCAGCTATACGAGATCATGCAAGGACGCCAAGGCCGGGCAGCCAATGGCAACCATAATCAGGAAGGACGGGCTCGTGATGCCTCCTCGCCTTTCAGATATTCGGTATGGCCCTCCCCGCTTTCACTGGCCACGTTGGATACTCATAGCGACTTTGTGCATTGACTTCCATTACTGCTCTGACATCAGAGCCCTGCCTCTGCAGCGCTGCAAGAGCGCGCATATACACCACGCTTCTCGGATCCTGCTGCGTGAACCACATCGCTCGCCTTCGTCCGTGCGCGATGCCGCATGAGCCCTCGGCTAGTGCAATGATCGTCCGCAGTTCGTGGTTCCTCTCTGCGGCCAGCCCACGCCGGATGCCTGGGGACTTGCCACCATAAAATCTGGTACACTGGAAACCCAAGGAGTAGAGACCCTTCACTCTCGCCGCCGCCCTCGACAACAGATCCTCCAACCCCCTGCATTCACCATGTTGCCCTCCAGCCGCGTCCTCATCGCACTCGCGCTCGCAGCCTCGGCGTTCGCGGCCTCCCCCACCTCCCCCCGAGTCGCACACGAGTCGCGCGCCGCTCCTCCACGCGGCTGGGCCCCCGTCGCCCGCGCCGACGCCGCCACCCGCCTCCCCCTACGCATCGCGCTCGCCCAGCCCAACCTCGCCACCCTCGAGGCCGCCCTCCTCACCGTCTCCCACCCCTCCTCGCCCGACTACGGCGCCCACTGGAGCCCCGCCCACGTCGCCGAGACCTTCCGCCCCACGCCCGAGGCCGCCGCCACCGTGCGTGCGTGGCTCGCGGACGCCGGTGTCGCGGGCGCGCGCCTCAGCCGGAGCGGTGGCTGGGTCGAGACGGACGTGAGCGTCGCGGAGGCCGAGGCGCTGCTCGGGACGGAGTACTTCGTGTACCGGCACGCGGACGGGCGCGAGCAGCTCGCGTGCGAGGGGCGCTACAACCTCCCGGAGGACGTCGCCGCACACGTGGACCTCGTGCTCCCGACCCTGCACTTCGATGCGAAGGCCCCCGGGAGCGAGCCGGTGGTGCACAGGCGGGACAAGGCGTCCAAGGCGTCCCAGGTCGGCCAGCCGGGCTTTGGCCCTGTTCTCCCAAGACCACTGGGACGATCAGCGTGGGTGTTTTGAAAGATATGGGATATTTGTACACGCGCTGACTCTGGCATTCGTTCCAGAATATTTTCCATGAGCTCGAGCAGTGTGACACGCAGATCACGCCGGACTGCATTCGCGCGCTCTATGGATTCCACTATGAGCCGCGTGCGACCAGCAAGAACTCCATCGGAATTGGTATGTCTGCTCCACCGTTGTGTCGAAGCATCACTCACACTGTTCTCTTAGTGGAATACACACCTCAGCAATATGTTCCGTCAGATATGGACATGTTCTTCACCAACTTTTCGACATCCCAGGTCAGCCAGCGCCCTGTTATGGAGAGCATTGACGGCGGTAAGGGCCAGAGGTTTCTTCATGCTCTTTTACCGACGGTTCGATGTTTACAGGAAACATCGACGTGGATGGCGAAGGATACGACATCAACGCCGAGTCCAACCTGGATCTGCAATACGCGATGTCGCTCGTCGGCAAGTCCCAGAAAGTCACTTTGTACCAGGTTGGAGACTTGTTCCGAGGTGCGGCGGATGAGCATCTTCTATAAATTACTTCATAACTCACATACATCCCGATACATAAACAGGCGCTTCTTTCAACACTTTCCTCGACGCCATCGACGGCTCTTATTGCACCTTTGAGGGCGGTGATGACCCAACCCGTGATCCTGACTATCCTGATCCCTACGACGGCGGCTACAAAGGTATGTCCTTGTCCATCTACCTCTCTTTCACCTGCTCACCCTACCCAGGCGAGAATGACTGCGGGACCGTCTCGCCTGCCCATGTGATCTCGACCTCCTACTCCTACGACGAAGCCGAGCTCACACCCGCTTACATGGAGCGCCAGTGCGCCGAGTACGCCAAGCTCGGGCTCATGGGTGTCACCGTGCTCTACTCCTCCGGCGACTACGGCGTCGGGGGCTACGCTGACTACTGCCTCGACGACACCGGCGCACCCTCCTACGACGGCACACGCTTCTCGCCCTCCTTCCTAGCGGGTGCCCGTACGTGACCTCCGTCGGCGCGACGCAGGTGAACCCGACGCGTCCGTGACGGACCCAGAGAGCGCGTGCGAGCAGGTGATCTACTCCGGCGGCGGCTTCTCGAACGTCTTCGCGATGCCGAGCTGGCAGAAAGACGCGGTGAGCGGCTACCTGACCAAGTACCCGCCGCCGCACCCGACGGAGCTGTGGAACGCGACGGGCTCGCGCGCGTACCCGGACCTGTCCGCGAACGGCGCGAACTACGTCGTCGCCATCCAGGGCGAGTACTACTTCGTGTACGGCACCTCCGCGTCCGCGCCCGTCGTCGCCGCGATGCTCTCCGCGGCGAACGACGCGCGGCTGGCGGTCGGGAAGAAGCCGATCGGGTTCATCAACCCCACTGTGCGTGCTTCCGCTCGTGGTTTCGACGCTGACGGGGGAGGCTGACGGCGGGGGTTGCAGATCTACTCGAAGGCGTTCACACACGCGTTCAACGACATCACGAACGGGACGAACCCTGGGTGCGGCACTGTCGGTTTCTCGGCGAAGCCTGGTTGGGACCCCGTCACCGGCATGGGCACGCCCAACTTCCCCGCGCTCCTCAAAGAGTGGCTTCTCCTGCCGTGAGAGCTATTCGGTGTCGTCCTTCTAGTGGTGTACCCCGTATTATTTTGTAATGGCCATCATCACCTGGGTGCAATCCAACAATGATATTCGCCCAACTACGGTACAAATGTTTGTGCTTCAATTCGCCGGCCGTAGTCATAGCACGAGATTATAGAGGCAGGTTACGATCACGGTCGCCGAGGCGCAGACGGTCCTGCGGCCCATGTGGGCGTGCTTCTCCCGCCGCCGCCGCCGACGACGACGAAATCCCCGTTTCTCGAGGCTGCTCTCCCTCGTGTTATAACAGGTACTTCGAGAAGTCGAATGGCGAGGACGCGCTCGACGCCGCCTTCGCCGCCGCCTGCAGCGCCGTCCAGGACGGGTCCCCGGTGACACCGATCTCAAAGTCCGCGCCTTGCTATGCGCGCACGGCACCGTCAGCCCACGATACACATGCGAGAGACGAGGGGGCACGCACGTGCGGGTCCGCGTTCGGGATCGCTTGCCAGTAGAGCCAGGGGAGGCCGGCGGCGACGATCTGGGCGGACCACTGGGCGATGTCCGCGTTCCGCGCGGACGCGCTCTGCGCGCCGTCGCCCGGGTCGCAGTTCGCCGCGCCGTTGTTCGCCGACGTCGCGTAGCACACGCCCCTGCGGCGGCGCGCGGAGTTGAGCGTCTCGGAGCGAGGCGGAAGACGGAAGGACGGGGGACGCACCACTCCTCCATGATGAGCAGCTTGCCGGCGGCGACGGCCTTGGTGACGTAGCCCTCGAGCTTCGCGGTGTCGAAGTCGCCCGGGCCGTACGCGTGGATGGCGAGCATGTCGAGCGCGTCGCAGCCGAACCACGCGGTCTGCATGGACTCGTCGAGGTACGACTCGCCGCCGGTCGTCACGAGGATCTGTTGCGCCGTCTGAGCGCTGCGCCCCGCGTCTCCCAACACCAAACCCCGCGAGCACGTACCCCGCTGTTCGACCCGAGCTGGTTCTTGATCGTCTGCGCGCGGTCGCACTGCCACTGCGTGTGCGCGGCAATGTAGTCCGCGCCCTTGCCGATCATCGCCTCGTTCTCGGCCTCGAACGCGAAGATGTAGTCGCGCAGCTCCTTCCACGGCTTCCCGAGCGTCGTGTGCTCGTGGTTGAGGATGTACTCCAGCCGCTTGTCGAACGCGGCCTGCGGCGTCGCCTGCTCGTAGAAGAAGCCGGTGCCGTAGATCGCGCCGTAGACGTCCCCGGCCGCGAGCGCGTTGAAGCTGTGCATCGAGATGAGGAGCTGTAGGCGCGGAGGTGAGCTTGGGGTTGTACGACGGGAAGAGAAGGGCGGAGCGAACCTTGATCCCGAAGGAGTGAGCGGCGACCATGAAGTCGTCGAGGCGTTCGAGAACGGTTGGGTTGTAGCAGGAGGTGTCGCCATCGCAGATCTTGGTCGGTTCGAGGTCGGGGAAGGCGTTGATCGAGGTTCCCTTTGGTGAGCCGCTTTGGCCATCGAGCCAGACACGGAGTACCTTCATGCCCGCGCTCTGAAGGGTCCTGCGGCACAAACATGACGTCAGATGATCCCACGGAGAATGATAAGTATATTGAAAACTCACTTGAGATACGCCGTTCGTCCATCAGCGGTCAGCCCAGCAGCGTAGTACAAGTTGGACCCGGCGAAAGGTGCCGCCACTGCAACCTGTGCAAGAGGCAGTACGCAGGCGAGGAGAGTCGCAAAACGCATCGGGGTGGATTTGTTGCAGTCTTTGAACACGGTGGTGCTCCCAATCACGGTGAGGTGGGTGGTCTGGCAGCGAAGGTTCTGTAAGTCTGCGATCCAGCATATATAGCACCTCGAAGACCGCAAATAGATGACGCACCTGCTCGAGAAGGACTGCCGTGAGAGGGTTCAGTCCACGATCACGCGGCTCTGTCGGACAGATCGGTGTGTGTGTGCCCGCCGTTAACTGCACAGTGCACTGCATGCGATCAAACCGGACATCCACGCTGAGTCGGCGGCATTCCACTGGTTGGAGAACATCGATCTGACTGTGATGAGCGTGGAGCGCCGTCGAGGATCTGTCGTTCTGTGATCATGCATGATGCGCGTGGTGCGTCCACACGTCCGTGACTTGATATGCCGTCAACGTGGCGGGGCCGTGACGCCGCGACAATCGCAATTGCGCCATACGCTGTGCTTGTCGAGGCTTCCAGGAATCGCCTCTGTACAGCACATCCGCGGTATGAAAGTGTGTTCTTTTGCTTGAGTACGTGCCTAGGCGGAGGCTTTAACGGCGGCGAGTGACACTGCAAACGAGCATGTCAAGCTGAAGGACACGGAGGTTCAGAGAGAAGATACGCACTTGTCGCATTGACCTTCGTCGAATCGACCGCCGTAACGCCCGAGGGCTGCATCGGCGCCGCTGACCGCGGGCTCTGGTGCGATGCCCACAGCCTTGGAGGGCACTCACCTCGGCGTCCAGCTCCCGCGCGCAGGCCGCGAGGGCTCTCGAGCGCGCCCGTCTGGCTCGCGGGATGCCTGCCAGGTTGTAGACCTATACGTACAGTGACAAACGACGAGTGATTTGCGCACTCGTTCAAATGCAAATGCACCAAGCTGCCACCTGTGTTCGACATGGTGGTCCGCAAGGAAAAGGAAAAGGAAAAGGTCATTGTCAAAGAGGCGCCGGTGAATGGATGTGGCGAACACGTGCCCGCGATCAGGACGACCGTCACAGTCGCTTGCACCTTGCCTTCAGACCGCCACTGTCCTCACCCACCAAATTCCAATCCATGTCGCCCTCGCTCACCGCCCGCATGCGCGATCGACATGAACTCCGGAAGCCACCCGCCCTCTGAACCACTACCACGCATCTTGTTCACTCGTCAGACCACCCGAGTCTCCGCTCTCCCTGTGCCTTCGGGCCAGCTGCACACGGTCGACGTCGCGGACTTCGGTCCTCCCACACGGCGTCGGACCATTGAGACCTCGGAACAGCAATCACGAAGCACTTTGACCCGCGCGGCTCCCTTTCTTGGCCCCTCGCACCGCGCGTGGCTCGTTCCGCTGTCGAACATTCTTGGGGTGGTTGGATGGTTGGAGGCTGGTGGGCATTCAGCGAAGGGCGAGTGGTCAGATATTTCCTTACGCTCTGTGTACCCCCACACCAAATTGCTAGCCACCTCGTTCCGTCTGGCATGTCCGTCCTTATGTATGCACGCGCGCACTCAGGTGTGAAGATCATGAACGTGGCTTTCGTTTCCATTCCGTGGGTACTGATACATGAAAGGTCATAGCGATACATAATGTGATAATGATAAGCAGAGCAAGGAGAGACGCGCGAAAGAAGCAGGGCGCTGCCCGATGAGACTGGGGAGAATCTTGAGGATGATGGGGGTTTGGGGGAAGAAGTGAAGTCTTGAGGGAGCGTGCTTGAGGACGCGTAGGCGCGTGCGTTGTTGATAGACATTTTTTGGGCGTTTGCGTTGGAGAGGGAAGAGGAAGGGGGGAGACGGTCGGCGCAACGCGCTCAGGACCGCAGGATGAGGAACGCGCTGAGGCCGACGGCGACTATGAGGACGCCGAAGACGAGGAGCGCATAGAGGCACCGCTTCGCCCACCGGACCTCGGTGCGGCGCATGGACTCGATGATCTCCTGGCGTTCGTGTTCAGGCTTCGAGGGTTCCCAGCCCTCGGGCGCGTTGAGCGGGGAGAGGAGGATGAAGGCACCGGCCACCCAGAAGAGGGGGAACACTGAGGGCAAAGCAGGGTGGTCAGGATCTCGTTCGCGACCACAGCAGAGACATGAAGTACTCACGGAAACCGAACTTGAAGAGATACATCGCGAGCGTGGGCTGGTCCGAGACCTGGGTGTATGCCGGGGGCGCGAGGCTCTCCTCGTACGAGGGCGGGGCGAGCGTCGCGGTCTCGGACTCGACGAGGGTCGAGTGGCGGAGCTCGTCGTGGCGGCTGTCGCGCGTGCCCGCGGAGAGGGCGAGGGATTCGCGCGAGCGCGAGTGCGAGACGCCGAAGAAGGTGTCGATCGGGTCCACCGCGTCTTCGCTGCGCGCGCGGGGAGTGTGGGTGCGCGCAGGGGAAGGAGGGGCGACCGGAGAGGAAGTCTGGGCTTCAATGTCGCGCTCGGGGGTCGCGGGGCGCTCGAAGAGGCCGAAGAGGGTGGGGCGAGCCGGGGAGGAGGTGGTCGTGAAGGAAGACATTGCGTGTATGGGTGCGGTCGGAGAGGGTGGTTGGCGTTGAGTGCGTCGGGATGGCGGATCGGCGGATGGCTGCTGTGAGCAGTGGTGAGGAGGCCATGACGCGGCGGGGGCGGGCTTTATACGCGGCGGGCCAAGAAGCGAACAGCAATCAACGGGCAATCCACAGGCAATCGGGCGACGGAGTGGGCGTGCGCCCACGAGCCACCTTCTTTCGGAAAGTAAGCCTAACAAGAGCAAACAGCACCAAGTATTGTCACGTGCATAATATACCGATCTGGGTAACAACCGCGCACAAAGCCGCATTTGGACCGCCTTGATCCTGTATTGGGATGTTTGTTCACGTGGCATGTTTCATCACCAAGTGCATGTCCAATTTCAATACCACATGTATCTAACACCTCTAGCTCATGAAACACATTAGTCCAAGCGTACAGTACTCCTATACGATCTATCCAGTGAATAGCTGCGAGAATGTACGATAGCGCGACAGCATGCGAGCGGAAAGCACGAGTACTCAAACCCGAACGACGGAGATAGTATAGACGCATACTTTTCACTTTACCAACGCTCCCTCCCAAGTCGCTACGACGACGACGAGTGCTCGACGACCTGCACGCTCGTCATCGCGCTCGCAAAGTCGATCCGCGGCGCCGGCGCCCGCCTCGCCCCGCTGCCGCTGCCAGCGCCCTCCTCCGAATCGCTCGCCTCGCTCGTGCCCTCCCGCGCGCGCTCCCCGAGGAGCCCCCACTGCACCCACCAGTCGTCCGCCTCGTCCTCGCAGTCGTACCCGAACACGATCCTGTACTCCTCCCACTTCGCGGCGGCGGCGGCGGCGGCCTCTGCCGCTCCCCGAACCGCCTCCTCCTCCGCCCCGTGCTTTGCGGCGTCGGCGTCGAGGACGTTGCGGCCCGCGGCGGCCTTGGCGCGCATCGCGGCGTCCCTGATGAGCGCGTCGGGCCCGTCGGCGGTCATGAAGAACGTGGCCTGGAGCTCGCCCGCGCGGACGGCGCGGACGCGCGCCTGGCGGAGCTCCTGGAACGCGTGCAGGAAGGAGCGGATTTGGCGCGGGCAGGAGAGGTGCGAGAAGAGCTTCGCGAGCACCGCGCCGTCCTCGACCGCCATCGCGGTCCCTTGGATCGTCGACGGCTGTGGGAGGGGGGCGGGAGGTGTGTATGGGGCAGGAACGAGGAACGGGCGAACGGCGTCAATGGGGATATGGGAGCAAGAGAGCACGCGAGAGACGCACCGGGAACGGGTGCGCGGCCTCGCCGATCAGCACCAGCGCGCCGTCCTCGGACACCCAGTCCTCGAGGTCGGTGTGGTCCTTGATCGGTATGGGCCCGATCGCCTTGCGCGCGCACGCGATCGCGGGCTTGAAGCTACGTGACCAGCACCGTCCTCAGCACTTGACGGAGAAACCGAAGAGACGAACGCAACGCACATCTCGCCGATGCCGTCCGCGATGCCAGAGAGGTCGACGCAGGGCTCGTCCCCGAAGTGGCCCGCCCGCCCGTCGTCGGGGGCGTACACTTGGATCGCGATCTTTCCCGTCTGGCCCTAATCGGATTAGTCCGACCAGCATGCACGGACGCGCTCGGAACGCACCATAGGGTACGCGATGATGGCGTGGCCGCTCCCAAACGCCGTGAAAAGGTACTCCTGCGCGGACGTCAGCCGTCGGACGGGGGAAGCGGCCGCGAGCACGCGACTCACGTATCCTTGAGGATGTCGTCGTCCTCGCGCAACGCAGACCTGTCGATCACGGCGCTGTCGGCGCACGCAACAGCAAGCACACCGTCAGTGCGCTCTCACGGTGCGGGCGACACACTCACTCGTACAACGCCAGCCGGTCGGCGTGCCGGCCGCCGGCTGCCCGATCACCTCCTTGCGCGCGAGCCCGTGCTCGCCGTCCGCGCCCACGACGACGTCCGCGCGCAGGACCTCGCCGCCCGCGAGCGTGACCGCGCCCCCCTCCGCGCTGATCCCCGCGACCGCGCAGCCGTGGCGGACGCGCGCGCCGCGCGCGACGGCGGCGTCGAAGAGCACGTCGTATAGGTCGGCGTGCTGGCGCGGGGGTGCGGTGCGTCAGTGCGGCAGACGCGGCGGGCGGGGACTCACGCTGAGGATGAGGTAGCTCCCGCGGCTCTCCTTGAGCAGCTGCTCGTCCCACGCGTGCTGCCCCAGGTTCTCCCCGGACTCGTCTGCGCAGGAGGGGGCCATAAGAATCGCGTGACGAGGGAAAGCGGCAGCGGGACGGGCGTGCTCACAGCGTCCGAAGTCGAGCTTCGTGGTCACGATGGCGGTGCGGAGGAGCGCGTCACGGAGGCCCCAGTGGAAGAAGATCTTGGAGAGGTTCGGGGGCACGCGCACGCCTCCGCTTCCGCGCTGCACGGACGCGCGTAAGCTGGCGCGCGCGCTGGGGCGAAACAGAGAGGGGGGGGACGCACCGCACCGTCGTACGACGCGCGCTCGAGCACCTGCACGTTGTGGCCCACGCGCCGCAGCGCCAGCGCGCACGCCAGGCCGGCGATCCCTGTGACCCAGCGTCAGCTGCAGCTTCGCAGCGCCCACGGAGGGACGGACGCCCAGCGACGCACCTCCGCCGACGACGACGAAGTCAATAGAAAGTTGCGCCTGCAGCGGCGCGTTCCCGCTCGAGGACACAGAGGACTGGAATCGGACGCGGCGCGGCGTGAGCCTCACTTGTCCAGCTCCCCCAGGTGCGAAGGAAGGTCACGCACCTCGGCACTCGCGCTCATCTTCGTCTGTGCCTTGAGTGTGGTTTCGAGAACGGTCGTGAATGTGAACGGTTCGAGTTCGCGGGTACGGATCGTGGCGGGGAGGACGCGGGCGAGATTCACAGAGGAACGAGGGAGATGGTGAGACCCAGGAAGACGGCGGCGAGGGGTGTTCGAGTGCTCGAGGGGTGGACGCCCCTTGGTACGTTTAAGTGCGAGCGCTCGGAATGGGCCAGGACACAAAAATTGCTTCCGCGACCTTGCGCGCCGCCGGCTAGGGCCAAGCGTCGGCCCTCGATTCGGCGACGGGAGGCTGGAGCGGGCACGATGCCTGGGGGCAACTGCAGGCGGCTGCGAGCCGTCGCGCGTGATGCACAGCGACGTCCGCGCTGATTGGCAGCCGATATTTGAATATCGCCCGCGCTCAGGGCCGCTCGATCCTCGAACGGGGCGAGTTGTGGTTGGAGAAGGCGGAGGAGCGTTCTGGCCTGCCACGGCGTGCGTGTGGGCTTGCACACAATATGCCGTGAGCGGAGTCATGGGAGGCTTTGTGGACGCCTGTGTGATCCAGCGGCGAGCACGGGCTGAACCTGGTACATTAGACCCGGAGTTGGAAATATATCCGTGCAGATGTACAAAGATTAATGGGTGCATACATGGAAGACCGAATCGCCCGGTTTTGGTTGGGCCCGCGCGGCGGTAGCTGTGCCAACGATGCGGTGGATGAGCGCTTGATCCCTGGAGACGTCGGGTACGACGTTAAGCAGCGTTCTTGAAACGCAGGACTGGTGCGATGAACATCAACCGTCGAGCTACGAGAGTTGAAACCCTCCGAGTTTGGGCCGGGCGTCTCTGGGCCCGTGATTGCGGCGATTGCCGGGGGGATTGAATTCGAAAGTGGTCGTCCATCTCCACGTCAACGTCGAGGTTGATCGACCGACGAATGTGGTGCCTGGACGTCGGCCGCTTTGAAAGTTCCAAAGTAGACCCAAGTAAGCACAAGCCGCAGTGACGTCATGATTTTCCCTTTCAATCATTCCCTCATCTCATATAAGTATACTGGGCGGATCCGCGGAGCTGTACATGGTTGTGTACCTGCATTGTAACTGTAGTAGTTGACACGACCCATCACCCCGAACGAGCGAGTCTCCGTGCACGTACTCACTTACGCTTGAGGCGCGGCAAGCGAAAGCAAGGTTGTCTCATAAGCCTCACGCAAGCCACGACAAAGGGTGATTAATACCATCTATTCGCTCTCCTGCCCCCGCGCTGGCATGGTGGGGCAAAGGTTCAATAGAATGGCTGACAGCCCAACCTAAACGCCTTCCATTCTTGGCCTCGAGCGCCGAGCGGTGACGTCTTTGGGCACGTTCGCGTGCTCCAGCCCCCTCCGGCGCGAGGAGGTGGAGTGGGTACGGTCGATGGTGGGACCGGCGAGGACCGTGGATGCGGACGGGTGGATTGAGTGGACGGCGTGTGAATGATGGCGGAGGCGTAGAATACGATAATCGGCGCAATGGTACCCAGAACGAATGCATGGCTCTAGTGCTACAGAGAAACGATACGGGGTGCGTGGTGGAGGAACGGACGGAAGGCAGGGGGTAGACGGTCCGTGTGGAGATAAGAGGTGGGGTAGACGGTATACACGCATAATGGGGGCGACGACTTCTGCTCGCCGTACTCGTACACAGGCCGTGGGGGCGTATCCGAACATTGGTATTTTGCCGGAGATTGAGGAAGGCGCGCGGCAGAGTCGCCGTTCGAGGATGGCTGCGAACGTCGTCAGCCTCCAGTCGCGGCGTACCAAATTGTCGGGCCACGGGCGTCGCACCGCAGTCGCCCGAAAAGACAACGAAGATCGAAGCGCGGACGCACGACCGTCATCGCAGCCCACGGATGACGCGTCGCATACGCAGCAAAAGGACTCACAGAAGAGAGCGACGAGCGACCCGCTCGCCGTGGGTAACCAGCACGGCCGTCGCGCGGCCGCACCGCGTGCGTGCACCTGGGACAGAGAACACGCATGGTGAGCGTCCGCCTGGGTACGCCCACGGGGACCTGGTGGCGGCGGTGCGTCCCACTGCTGCTACTGGTCCGGCGATGACGAATTTGAAGAGTCGTCCTCACCCTTGGCGACTGAGTTTGTACTCGGGGTGGCCTCCTTCGCCAAGCTGAGCCGCGCGAGGTTCGCCGCGACTTCCTCCGAGTTTGGTGCCGTCAATGTTGAGGGGCCTGAGACGGCCGACGCTGATGGGAAGACCACGGCGGCCGCGGAGGGAGGTATGACGGCGTCGGGACCGAGCTTCTTGTTGAGCTCCATCCAGAGCTCGAGCGTGTACTGGTGCATGTCTCGGGCGTATTCGACGAGAGCGGGGTGGGTTGGGCTCATATCCTCGGCCATGGCTTTGCTCGGGGGTGTATCGATCGAGCGGAAGGACGGTGGCGTCGAGGGCGCGTATGAGTTTACGGAGGATGGGAGTCGACTCGACAAAGGAAGTGAGGGCGGGCTGGTGGAGGAGTGCGAGCGAGCGAGTGTGCGGTGAGCGACAGAGAGAGGGCAAGGGCGCGTGGGGCGGCTGACGGCGGGGCGGGGGAAGGAGAGAAAGCAGTTGGCGTCGGAGAGATCAGCCGTTTCGCCTCCCCAATTGGCCTGCCCAGGCCCGTCCGCCGGGGCCCTACGTCATTGCGCTCCCTTCCCAGCGACTCCCTCGGCGCGTTCCTTGCCCATGCGGGGCGAGATGATCCGGGCACTGGTTGGCGGGCTCCCCATGCCTGATTCCGGCATCCTTGCTCTGCCCGCTGGAGCCTGGCTTCCAACACTGTGATCCGCCAGAGGAACAACCCTGAGGACCTCAAGCCGTCTCCTTGGCCGCATAACTCGAGCACCGCTGAATTTGTATGTGCTGCGCAGTGTGCGGGGCCAATCCGAATCTGTGAAGCACGGGTGAGAGGTCCAGAGCGATCCTAGATCGAAAATAAAACGGAATCGACGCTGCTTGATCGTGCACACAGGGGCTTTCATGTCCTCTCGAGGCTCGAGCTGCTGCGGGATCCACGATCAAGGTCAGCCCAGTCCAGACGCCTGCCGCCGCATGCCGTGACACGCTACATGTACCCCATTCGTCAGCGTCATGCCATATGCCGTGACCGTGACCAATGCGCGCTGTCCACCGTGGCTTGTGTCGAGGAGCACACGGACATAAACCTTGAACGCACTGTGAATACGTAGAGATTACGAGGTAGACGTAGTCCAGGCTAGCAAATCGCACGGACAAGTGCTTTGCGACATGGGCTTCGTCGAACTAACGGGAACAGCTTGAGGATGTCGCATCAAATGCATGGGGCGTGGCAAGCGACTGGTTCTCTTCGACAAAAAGTGACTAGTGAAGGCTAGCAGGTGAGAAATAGCTGCACAGATCGTCTGAGGAGTGGTATTGTACACAGAATATTTGATGTTGCCGTCGAGAGGGGTCTTTGGACTTTTGGACACTTGTTCGTGGTGTTGGCCGTCGAATGCGACGAGCCCAAACCGCGGTGCAATTACCCTCAGCACATACTACAATACTTGTCGAGCAATACCGACGCGCATCCTACCACACACGCAGTCAGACCCTCGCACGAGTGACACGGAAAGTCGAGCACGCACCAGCAAGGGCACCAACGTCCCAAGCACGAGCTCTACCAGAACTCCTTCCGCTTCTGCCGCAGCTCCCGCGCCATCGTTCGCCGCTCCCCCACTTGCCCCGGTGCACCGCGTGCTCCTTCTCGCGCTCCGCGACCGCGACGCGCCGGTCGGCGGCCTTCAGCGACGTGATCTTCCCGACGAACCCGGGTCGCAGTCGAACTCCTTCGCGAGCCGCCCCCGCGTCCACGTCGCCGGGTCCTCCCGCCGCAGCGTCCGGATGCGCGCGACGTCCTCGTCGCTCACGCGCGGCCGCGCCTCGTCCGCCCGCTTCAGCAGCGGCGGCGGGGCGGGCACCGCCGACGGGGGCGCGGCGGTCGGCGGGCGGAGGAGGGCGGAGGAGGGCGCGGTCGTGTACGAGTGCGGGGACGGCGTGGATGGCGGCGGGCGGTGGACGAAGGACGTGGCCGCGTCCGGGAGGTCCGTCCATGTGGCGGAGGGGGACTCGAGCGGGTCGTGGATGCGCATCCGCGGACGCTCGGGGATGCGCGTCGCGTAGAGGCGGGCGAGGGCCCGGGAGGGGGCCGCTGGGGCCTTCTTCAGCGAGAGCATGGCGGCGAGGGTCGTCGACGACGGTGACGGTGAGCTCGAACTGGTGACGAGCCCATCATTTCGCGGCGCGCATTTGAGGCGGGCGTCAAACCACGTGGTCTAAACGCGGAGAGAATTTGGCCTCGATTGTAGGTAGACTGGGCTCACGCCTTTCACTCTCAAGTTCGCTACTCTCCATACCTCACTACTAACTATCGACTCAACACAATATGGTGCGCCGCCGCTCGGGCAAGTCCAAGGCCACCCAGTCCAAGGCGCGCCCGGTCGACCGCCGGGAGAGCAAAATGAAGAAATGGAACAAGGCGGCGGACATTCCGCTCGACGAGGAGGACCAGTGTGCGTCGCTCCTATGTGCACGCGTGCATTTCCGCTCGGCTCACTTCGTGGCACACGCCCGCACACAGTTCACAGCTCGCGGGATAGGATCCTGCTCGAGGGAGACGACGATGGGGGGTCGGACGACGGAGACGACGACGAGGTGTTCGCGCTGAAGGGGATGCCGGAGGACGACTCCGACTCCGACGAGGGCGACGCGGAGATGTCCGAAGACGATGACATCGACGAGGCGCATCACGGCGCGCTCGCTGCCGCGCGGAGAGAAGGAGAAGAAGAAGAAGGCAAAGGCGAAAGCGAAGGGCAAGGATGTTTCGAGCTCGTCTGAGGGAGAGGAGGAAGACTCGTCTGAGGAGGAGGGCTGGGGCATGAAGAAGGCGGCGTACTACGCGTCGAACGCGGAGCAGATTGAGTCGGACGATGAGGAGGCGAACGAGCTCGAGGAGCAGGAGGCGCGACGGCTGCAGGGCCGCGCGCGGGACGCCATGGGCGAGGACGACTTTGGGTGGGCGACGTGGATGAGGTCGCGCCCGAGGCGAATGGGTGCGTTCCTTTTGCTTCTTGTCAGTATGCAGTGGGTGTTGACTAGATGCTCGTGCAGGATTGCGGACGATCTTGTTGAGCCTGTGGCTCCGACACTGCCGCAGGATAAGCAGGCGTTGTTGAGACATCTGGAGAAAACGACACCAGAGACATTAGCGTTGGCTCACGACTGGGAGGATGTCGCGCACGCCATCATGCGTTCGCAGACGAAGATCGACAAGTACGTGTACGCATTTGCATCTCGGTTTCATCCTGCTCATCTCGTGATTGCAGGCTCGAGGCCGAAGACCCCAATACACTGAGCCTCAGCATGCTTCACCTCCACTACCGTGCGTTCATCCCTGCCCTCCCACACTCTGTGTTTCTCTTAGCCCGTCCCGTCCCACCCAACAGAAGCCCTCCTAACGTACGGCACGACGCTCGCCTTCTACCTCCACCTCCGCGCCTCGCCCAAATACGTCGCGCGTCCGGACCTGCTCGCCGCGCACCCGATCCTCCCCCGCCTGCTCACGCTCAAGCAGTCGCTGCACACGCTCGAGGACCTCGACTTCGCCGCCTCGGACGCGTCCTCGCTCGCGTCCGACTTCGACCTCTCCGACGGCGACTTCTCCGACGCGGACTCGGGCGCGGAGGAGTACGGGACGGAGATGGACTGGCGCGCGGACGCGCAGAATCTCTGGGCGGGCGACGGCACGCGCCGGCGGAAGGGCAAGGGGCTCGACCTCGGCGAGCTCGAGGGCCTGCTCGCGGACGCGAACGAGGTCCTGGACGCGCTTGCGGACGAGGACGGGGCGGGCGCAGAGGTCAGGCCGAAACGCAAGGCGGCGATCAAAGCCAGCGCGAACACGAACGCGAGCGCGGCGGAGCCCCCGAAGAAGAAGCGCAAGGCCGTCGCAGGCAAGGCCGCAGCGCCGGTGTTCGACCTCGTCGAGCCCGAGTTCCCTGCCGCGTCGTCATCATCCGCCGGTGCCTCGAGCACGAAGAAGGCGAAGAAAAAGCCGAAACCGCCCGCGGACGGCGAGGGGGACGCGGACGTGTACGGCGAGGCGGGCGCGCTCGACGCGGCGGACGCGGCGGACAAGTCCGCGCGGCGGCGCACGCTCCGCTTCCACGTCTCGCGCATCGAGGGCTCCGCGGCGAAGCGCGCCGGGGCGCGGGCGGCGGCGCGCGGTGGGGACGACGACATCCCGTACCGCGAGCGGCGGAAGGAGCGGGAGGCGCGGCTCGCGAAGGAGGTCGCGAACGCGCGGGAGAAGGCGCGCGGGGACGAGCTCGACGACGCCGATCCGGAGGCGGAAGCGGATGGCGCGAAGGGCGACACGGGGAAAAGTAAGGGGAAGCGGGGACGAGAAGAGGAGGACAGCGGGGCAGCGGAGGCGAGGGGGACGAGTACTACGACCTGGTGCGCCGCACGTTCAAGGCGGCGAAGGAGAAGAAGAAGGCGGAGCACGACGCTGCCGTTGTCGCCGAGGCCAAGTGAGTGTCCCTCTTCTGTCGTACTGCAGCTCTGACCCCGTCTCTTTCCTCTCCAGGGCACTCGGCGGAGACGAGGGTGGCGATGGCCCTCGCTCGCTTACGCGCGCGATCCTCAAGAACCGCGGACTAACGCCATCGCGGACAACCAGGCTGTGCGAAACCCGCGCGTCAAGAAACGGCGCAAGTACGAGCAGGCGCAGCGCAAGGTCGCGTCCCAGCGCGCCGTGTACCGCGGCGGCGTCGACGTGACGCGCTACGCTGGCGAGAAGACCGGCATCTCGACCGCCGCCAAGGGCGTCCGGTTCGACAGGTCGTAGGTGTGGGTGGTCGAAGGGTTGGACACGTACATGGCCAAGCTGCTCGTCGTGCGTGTTCGGATGTTCCAGGGATGTGTCTTGTCACCCGTTGTAGGTCCTCCGGCGGATCGGATGTCTTATGTACGTTGTGAGTCAATGCACCATACATACGGCCTCCCACCCGACGTCGGAGCGCGCTCGTCGATCAAGTTCTGTGCGCTGTTGTCGATCGTGGCGTCGCTGAAATGACTAGGCCATGCAAACATTCATTCGACGCTCTGGCTGCAATATAACGGTGCAGTCACGCCCGTCACGCCCCAACTCCGCCGCGCGCGCACTCGAACCCTTCCGGCTCCGACTCCGGACCTGTGGCACTAGTGACTCCCCGGAGCCGCTGCGCTCTCCCCCGGGCCCCGCATGGCAGCGCATGGCACGCCTCGGGCCTCGGGGCCGCGAACGGCAACTGTGATCCACGGCACAACGTTCCACTTGCACATCAGGGGTCCACGGGACCGAGCTCGAGCCTCGTGCCGCCCGGCGGCGCGCACTAGTCGCAGCTTCCGTCGCCATTGACCGACCCGCGGGGTGCGAGCGGGGCCGACGACAACGTAAGTAGTAGCACGGACGTTCGGTATCGTGATCAGAGCGCGCGGTCCGAGCGTCGAAGGTCTCGGGGCGGGTTCTCTCCGTCTCCGCGCGGGGGACACGAGGGATTCTACGTCGTGAATGCTCGGATGCAGGCGAAAAGTTGGATGAAAGGGCAGAGAAAGTACGGACGAAGGTACATTCCGGGGGAGAGACTACTCTAGTACAGGTGTAGGGTATGTGCGATGCGAGGGGATGCGACGGGCGGTGGGCTACTACAAGACAGACGGGGCAGACGGCATCGGGAGTACTTTGAATCGCGAACGCTTCGGTCGCGAGGCGGAATCCAACGTCGTGATGGCTGAGAAGGCAGGGTGAACGTGGCGACGGTAGTAGTGGTGAGGTGGCGCGCTAGGGGACGTTGTGGAGATGGCAACGGCAGCAACAAAAACGGGGGGACGAGTACGACAGGGAATGAGGCATGATACAACAGAAGGTAGATGGGAACGGCGACGGCGAGGTGGTAGTGTACCGGTAGTAGCTTCTTGGGACATTTTGAACACACCCCTCCTCGAGCGGGCTTCTAGTAGATCAGAGGCGCGCCGTTCCAACCGCACAGCCAACCCTACGCCGACGGGGTCCACCCTGCGCGCCCTCACGAAAACGCAGGGAACATCGGCTGGTCCACGTTCATCGCGTTGCTCCCTCCGCCCGCCCCAGAGCTCGCGCCCGTGCTGGTGATCGGGTCCCCGCTCCCGCCGACGCGGGGGATGACGGACGCCATGTTGTTCCACTCGACTTCGCCCGCGAGGGCCTGGTCGTACACCCTCCGGATCTCGGCCGCCGAGTATGCGCACTCCTCGTATGCGTACGCGTACTGCTCGAGCCCGGTTATGCAGTTCGCAACCTCCGGGCGCCCGAAGCGCGCGAGCAGCATACCCGAGTGGATGCAGCTGACGTGCATGACTGCGCAGTCGAGCCGCTGTTTGTGCGCGCGCAGACGCGTGCGTGGGAGACGAGGTGGGAGTCCGAGCGAGGGGTGGGAGGTGCACGGCGGGCGGGATCGTGGGTGCATGCCGTGCGAGAAAGCACGGACGAGCGGGGTTCCAGAGCGCAGTCGCGGGTCCGTGGCGGGCGGGGAGGCGTGAGCGCGAGCACAGGTGGACGAACGGCAGCGTGTGTGCAAGACACGGCGAGGACATGCGCCGATAACGGGGCACCGGAGCGAGAGGCAAGGGGTGAGAATGAGAAGAAGGCAAGACGATAGTCAGCAGTGCAAACGAAGACACGGCGGATCGCCGGGAGGAAGATGTGCGTACCAAGTAGCCGTTAGTCGCCAAGACACCGGCCTGAGGGAGAAAAGGTATGGCATGGTTCGCGTGAGCATTTGGAGATGAATGCGGAAGGGAGATTCGCGCAGACTGACCAAGCCGGCGATGCGCAGCGCACCGTGGAGAGCCTCGTTCGACACCTTGCGCTTCTTCTCCTCTATGTGGGAGTGCTGAGGCAACAGCGTCTCAGACACGCCTGTCCGTGTCACATCGTTCACCTCCCGCAGCCCGAAGTCATCAAGGGCGTTGAACAGGATGATCCACATGATATGGTACGTGGCGTCGCTCGCACCTGGGCAAATCAAAATCAGCACGACGCAAAAATTCCCGAAACAATCGGAACCAGGCGCCAAGCTTACATGCAGTGACTGCGCTGACAAAATCCCACTCCGCCTCGAAGTTACTTGGCACCCCGACGTGCTGCAGATGCTCGTCCCTCCACTCGTTCAGGCACGTCATGAATCCAGTGAGGACTTCGAGCGGGACACCATCAGACTCGGTCGCTGGCCGCCATAGCTGCCGTGACATTTGTCTTGCGATCCGTGCCAGTGCGTGCGCCGCCCGATAGTAACCCTGGTCGTGAACAGGAGCCCCGGTCAGCGGGTCCGCGACCGCACTTCCATCCGATGGTCCCGAAGCGACTCTTACCAAGAACTGCACAGCCCTTCAGCAACGTTCCGGCGGGGAAGCGCAAGACTCACCTCCAACTGTTCCCTGGGTGACGGCTGCGGTGCGTGCGATTCAATAAGTTCTGGAGGGACGGGGCCCACGGTGTAGAAGTCGATATCGTAGTCGTCGTCATCTCTGCCGAGGCGGATGTCAGGGAGACATACACCCTCCCATCAGGACGAAACGTATCACTCACAACATAGGTTTTCGCCGATAATAAACACTCCGGTATGCATCGGCAAGACATGCCATCCACCACGCAAAGATCATGGTGCCTCGCGCTTCCGGGTCCTCGATGTTGGACATAACCGATTTGTGGTTTATCTAAAGAATCCGAGCCACGTCAGCAAAGTGACATTGGATCACGTCACCGAGCGCACAGACCTGGAGGTCGAGCAACAATCGTATTGCGGAGCCGAGCCAAAAGCCGTGGAATCCTGCGGAGGTAGAGTCAGCGACGTCGAGCTAAGAATAGCACGATAACCGACCTGCGTTGTCTTCCAAACTCTCTGCATGCCCCGCCGAGCGCGTTAGTGTCAAGCGTCAGGAACAGTTCGGCATCGCACTTACGACTCTGCAGCGGCTCGAGCAGCAGCGATATCACCACGTGGTCGGCGCTGGGTATCCTGTGGACCTTCATATCCTCGGCCAGATCTCGTGCACGATTGATGAGAGCCTTCGCAAACGTGCTCTGGCCGTGATTTTGATGTCTGTCGGCGATGCACAGCGGGTGTTCCGAAAACTTTGCACCCCACGCCACGACTGTTGCCACCAGACTGGTTGACCACGGGCGCGATGGCGGCAAGTGAAGCGCGCAGAAGAGCAAGCCAATGTCCAATAGAACAGCCAAGGTCAGTCATGGGTGCACCGGAAGCCGGAAAGAACCGGTCACTGCGCTCACCCTGGGTGTAGAGGCTTCGGAGAATCGATCGACATGCTGCCATTCGGCGGACTGCTGCTGTTCCGCGCGCGCGAGACCGCACTGCCCGGCGGTGAGCTCGGGGACGTGCCACCGCTTGATAGGCTACTGTGCAGTCGTGACCGGAATTGGCTCGGGTTGAGCAGGGGTAGCCGGGTATGTACGATCTGGAAGAAGACCTCCACGAGGTCGAGTGCGAACCTACAGGTCACACAGAAGCACCGTAAGTTGGTGATTGATAAGCGGGGCACAACGTGCGTGACACAGCATGGCCCGGAGAAATGTGAGATAGGAGCGACCACGTACTCGGTCCGGAAGCTGTCTTCCGTTAGACGATGCGCAAGGGCACCCCACTGTGCGTATGCCGCCGGCGTCGCGGCAGCCAATCTGCTGGCCGCGGATCCATTGAGATGCATCCCTGGGGCGCTGGAGGATCGTCGGGTATCAGAAGACGCTCGGCGGGACATAGTCGCGCTCGACACCAACCTTGTTTCTGGGGGCGAGAATATGTACGCGAGCAGGTCACGGGTTTGTGTATCTGTAGTGATGTGTTGCACTCGCGATGTGGGCCCCAGCGGAGAAAATGGCGGGGGTGGTTGCTGATATGGGGACGGGCCTGAAAGCGGGGAGGAGACCAGGTGTTCTGCAGGGGCGCTGAATCACCACCGTTGCATCAGCGGGGCGGATAAAGGGGAGAGGGGAAAGAAACTTGCAGGCGGGAACCAGAGGGCGGGCCGCTGCCGTAAGGTAAGCAGGACGTTGTGCCTAGTCTGTGAAAGTGAGCCCACCTCGAGCTACCAGAAGACAGAGTGCGTGGCCGCTTGGTGGCCGCAGCATGACGTTTCTTCTCAGTGGTAGCTTGCTGAATGAAATGACTACACGCAGACCATGAGGGGGGTTCACACACGGGGGTGGGAGGCAGGGATGGGACAGGCGTGGGACTCACGTGCACGGGTAGTTCTTGGACAGACAGTGCTATCGCGGGAAGGACGATGAGCGAATGCGAACAGACGGGAGAGCGAAAGGGCGCCGGAGCTACCTGGCACTGTAAGGGGGACATGAGCGGGCGGGTGGCGCGACGGCAGAGGAGACGCACCTTCTCCTGGCCGGGGATCTGGTTGCACTTGACTTTACGCGCTCTGTCCAGATCGCGGTCGGACGGAGAGAGAGCGGAGAGGGCGCATATACGAACCTGCAGGCATCGCAGGCGGTGTTCTGCTTTCGCGGCGGTGGCAGCGTCTTTGCGAGCTCGTGGATCTGGTTCTGCATGGTGGGCGAGGAGAAGTTGAATGCTGGGGTGCGGTCAGATCTAGCCGGTGGCTGGACGGGGTGGAGATGGGGCGGGGGACGGACGCACGAGAGGCTGGGGAGGACGCGTCCTGCTGGTCCGTGTGATCCATCGTGGTACAGAGAGCGGAGGCGGGGGAGGGGGACAGGCCGGGGCGGCCGGAGAGGGCGAGAGCAGAGCGTTGGTGCGCGAAATGCCTCCGCCTTACATACGCGCCCGCCAGGCGCCCGCCCTCCCCGCAGCCAACCTTCTCGGCACCGAGCCGCGGGCCCCTCCGGCCTCCCGCCGTGTCACAGTCACGCTCACTTTTCCGCGCCCGCCAGCAGCCTCCGCCCAGCGCTGTCTTGCACGCCCACCACCACCGCACACCCGCACGCCACCATGGTCAAGGTCGAGATCGTCGAGGAGAAGGAGCAGGACTCCCGCTCCCCCTACTCCTCCCACGCGTCCTCCCGCACGTCCTCCTCTGTCTCCCTCTCCTCCGTCGGCTCCGACCTCGACGGCGAGGAGTCCTTCTACGAGCGCATCGTGGCCCTCGCCGACATCATCCCGCCCACCACCCGCCACAGCATCTCCTCCAAGATTGGCAAGACCGCGGGCGCGATCACGACCACGGGCAAGCTCGTCGGCAACCTCGTGTGGATCATCACCACCTCCGCCTCCTTGTCGGCCTCCCACTGGCCCTTGTGCTCGAGGACGAGGCGAAAATCGTCCAGCAGGAGAAGGAGATGCTCGCCCAGCAGCAGGGCGCACAGGTCAGTCTCGCGCACCCGTCTGCTGTCCCTCCCTCTCCCTCTCCGCCGCCGACGTCCGCGCTCGCACCAGCCGGCTACGTCATCCGCGTCCCCTCCTGTCCGCGGTGTACGCTCACCCCCATTTCCGCCGCCACAGGTGCTCGCCCCGCCGCCGATGTACCCGCCGGGCCAGGCGCAACAAAAGGGCGTCACGCCCCCGGGCTTCTGATGTTAATCTCCCTGCCACTCTTCCCTCGCCCTCCCACACCCCTCGCCCGCCCGCACTCTCCCCTCACGTTCATCTGTACGGACCTGTATAATACATTAGAGCCTCTCTATTACACCACCGCCCCCATTCCGGCTCCGCAGGGACTCGACAAGAGCTGCGCGACACACGACGCTGTGGGCCACGAGACGCTGTCCGGCTTGCGATTCCGCGGTCAGAAGCCCTGCGCGCGGGTCCTGTCATTTCGCTCGTGTTCGCCGTGGCATGACACCCCTCGCGCGGCTCCGCGTCCGCCCGGTTCGACGGGTCTCTGCATTAGGCCCGTAGAGTGCCAACACGGCAGCATGACAGCGTTAAGAACACGGACGGGGTCGGACTGCCAGCAGCGCGGTGGTGGCGAGGACGGCGTGCAGTGTCCGCTATTACAGTGCGTCCATGGTAGAACCACGTCGATGACGGGGTTGCCATGTCGAGGGGCACGCACGCCCCCTGCAGGCTCGCCTGGTTCCGCGCGAAGCCGCCACTGCCGTCACCGTCAACTGTTCTGCGTTCACATCTCCAGCTGGGACGTGTTCGCGCGTGCCAGACTTTCCTCGAGCCGTCAATCAGAAGTCCGACACACGACGCAAGCAGCTGCACAGACGCGTCCCGCCGGCCAGTGCTGATTGCGGACTGAATGGAGATACGATCCGTGACACGCTCATGTGGGTGATAATGAAAAGGAAGGAAACGGCAGGGTGGGCCGATGACCAGACAGCGGTGCGTGTACAGGCGTGGGCGAGACGTGGCGTACGGTCAAAGCCTAGCATCGATTCTATGCGCCATGGCGCAGACGAAACACGCAACGGCGCGATGCGAACGCCTTCCGCTCGCCTTCGCGAAGGCGTCGAGACACGCCCATGCGCCCCAGCCGTACCTCCGCCGTCCGCCGGCCTTGGCTCCCTTCCTTCCGAGTTCGCAAGCCGGTAGTACCACCCCACCCGACCTCCCGCCGCCAACTCCACCGCGCACGGCGTCTCATGGCAAGTCATACTGCACGGGGCGCTCCAGGTCAGGCGTGCTGAGTCAACAGGGCGGACATGCGGGCGGACTCACCGAAGACGTCTCCCGGCTGGCGGGGAACACGACTGGGCGCGAGAAGTTGTCCCTGTCAACGGCACGACAACGCGTCAGCGACGTCCCGCACCCCGAAACACGCAGCGGCGCGCTGGCAAGTAGAGCCTGAAGTACGGCAGCACAGAAGGGGAGTACGCACGCAGATCGGTATCGCCTCAAGTATGTGATCGCGTGCTCCTCGATCTCGTCGGGCACGACGCCGAACGTCGCCCAGTCGCCGGGCACTGTCGCGTCGTCGATGTACCGCCGCTCGACCTCGTCCGGACTGATGAGTGGCCACCACACGTTCTGCGCCAGGGACGAAAGCGCGAGCGCGACGCGCTTGGGCATCGTCGGTGCACCGCTCACCGGGTTGTAGGTGATCGTCGAGACGAGCGCGAGCAGGTAGTCGTACGTGAGCGTCGACGGACCCGGCAAATTGAATGTCCCCGGGATCGGGGCCATGGTGAAGGTGTTCGCGAGCGCCTGCGCGACGTCGAGCACCTGCCGGCGGTATGAGGGATTAGCTTCGGTGCGCATTGTGGAGCGGAGAAGGGCCGGGTACGTACGTGGGCGGGGCGGACCTTCGTCTGCATGTGGTTCAGCTTCCACCAGATCGGCCAGACTGTAGTGGCGAGGCCGTAAGCACGCCGCTTAAACACCGTGACACGTCCCGTGGGCGAGTCGGATAGAGGCCGGGGTACGTACTAGCCATATTGTTCAAGAACTTGTCCTCGGCGCCGAACATGGTAGCGGGGCGGACAATCATCGCGGTCGGGAAGGCATCCTTGACGCGTTCCTCGCCCATTGCCTTGGAGCGGTAGAATGCGGAGGGAGAGTCATGCGATGCGTTGAGGTGCGAGACGTGGACGAATTTGTCGACGCCGTTTTGTGCCGCGATAGACGCGATGTCAGAGGCTCCGCGCACGTGAACGTCGTCGTACGAGTAGTTGCTGCATACGTTGGTTTGAGCGGCCAGATTTGGAGACGGTGAATGCACTTAATGGAGAACCTACCTGGTCTCGTAGTCCCGCCCGACAAGGTTGTACACCGTGTCAGAGTGTCTCAGACACTCCTCGATCTGGTCTGGCCGACGAAGGTCCCATTCCTACAACACCAATCCCTTCAGCACCCGCTCGTCTTCCGCAACACTCGCCACGTGGGAAACACTGCGCAAGAGGCAGGACTGAAGTACTTACGAGCGGTACAATCTGACCCAGGTCTCCGAGGACCTTCAGATGGCGCTTCTCATCCTCGTCGCGGTAGGGAATGATAACTTGCGAGCCCGCCTTGGCTGTGAACCGCCCCAAAGGCATCATCAGCACATACCCACCGCCAGCCCGCTGCTACCAAGGGCAAACTCAAGGCAAACTGGAGGAATACGCACCAAGCTTCGCAACTACATACCGCCCCAGGAAACTCGTGCACCCAAAAACCGTCACCGTACGACCCGTCACCGCGCTACGCCCGGGGGCCCTTGTTGGACGGCAGCCTTCCCAGAGGGCAGGATAGTCAAATCATGCAAAGCTCGCTGTACGTCCCACCGTGTGGTCAGCACACGAAAGCGACCATGAGCAGACGATAGAGGGGGACACGAACCTTGGAGTGAGTGAGCGCGCGCGGCAAACGCACGGCTTTGGAGGAGATGGCCAACATAGCTGGCCAACGTTGCAGACGGTGTGCAAGACGTCGCTCGATGCTGGCCGGACGCCGGGTTCTTCCGCACGGGCGCTTTGACGGCGGCCCAATGGGAGTGCGTGATAATCATATTGCGCGCTGCTTCATACGCGCGGTTCGAATCCCGCTGGGAACACCAGAAAAGGGAGTGACGTTGGCAGAAATACAAAAGAACGACAAAAATATAATACAGATAGTGTCCAAGGTTGAAAACACGGGAACCCAGAGAAAGGTATAGCGAAAATGAGTAGCGAATTGCTCGTCAGGATTCAGACATCTGGATGATCCTCGACATGTTCGTAGTAATTACACGCTTTCTGAGACCTCTGTGCAGCACGCTCCACCAGAGTGTCTGCAATGTGGTCCGTCACATCCGGCCCAGAGTATACAGATGCCGAGCAGTCGGATATCGTCGAGATGTCCTCCTCTGGCATCACCGGCGACTGTCGTTGAGTGAAGGTTTCCCCGCTAGCCACCGGACTGGTGAGAGGTGAAACTAGGGGAATGGAAGGGAGCCGTGGCTGTGAAGATACAACCGAAGGAGACTTCTCGGATCCCGCGAGTGGTGCGCTATCATAGGTATCGTAGGAGGTGACCATCATGAAGGGGACGAGGTCCGGGTTGTGTACGGCGGAGGTCGCTTTATGCCGTTTCATAATGCGCCAAACAACAAATGACGTCAATATCGCTGTGAAAATGACGGCGCCGGATACCAAGCCAGCTAATGCGGCCGTTGAAAAGGGGGTAGAGTTGAAGGATGAACTATTCGGAGACGTAAGCGATGGTGTGGGGATAGATGAGGTGGCGGAAGTAGAGTTGAATGTCGTTGAAGAGGAGGGTTCATCCGGGAATGGCGATGTACTGGGAAACGGTGGAAAGAATTAGTGTTACAAACATGCATCTTCGGTCGGAATGGCAATGCCTACAGTGTTCCCTCCGGAGTGAACAACGTCACCGAGCTAAGATGACCGAGCCCTCCCGTAGCGTTGACAGAGACGTTGTGCACCGCACCTGGGTCGAGACCATTTTGGTAATAGTACACAGTGTCACCGACAAGCCATGTAGTGCTAGAGTTATAATGAGTAGTCTCGCCGTCAAGTGTCTGGTAGAAGATTCAGTCCGTAAGAGGGCGCAGATCAAAAAGTTCACTCACCACTGTGTATAGACCCCCGCCGAAGTCACGAGCCGCATTGATGCTTAGTCCCGATCCTTGGAAAGAAAAGGAGTATATCCCATTGTTTGCGTCTTGTAAAACGTCTGTGGGTGTTGTTTCCAGGTACTTGAGGATTGCTATCTGGCATCCAGTTCTGGTCGTAGTGAAAGAAGGAAGTGTTGGTAGCAGGCACAAAAGTTTGAGTTGGAGGGCTAATGACCCTATGAGACATTTCTAAACAACAAGCAAGTGAAAAGCTCACCCTCCCGGTCTGCCCACCTCGGCACGATCGAAAGAGAACGTTTGGTTTTTACTCGCGTGCGGGGCGAGTGTTACGATGTGTCTCGAGTAAGAAAGGCTCTCGTTTCGATATAAGAGCCGGTTGGTAGAGGGTCAAATGGTGCCCCGCGCATGCCATCCACGATCACTTCGTACTGGCAAGTCGCCTCCCCATACAAGAATACCTGGTCCCTGATAAAAGCCACGGCTTAAGCTCGTGTCTGATGCGACAAGACCTGAGTACGCACCATTGAATTGGAAAGTCAGGGACGCCCTGGGGAGGATGTCTTATGAAGGGAGTACCCAGTTCCAGGCTCCCACCGAAGTCGTTGAACCCCGCGTCGAGTACCAGGGCTGCCATCCTGTGCTTTTCTCATCTCCAATGCCTCCATCGCCTGTTCCAAAGCATCGTATCGATTCCAGCATGCACAAGCAAAGTCACGCACCATGGGGAAAGTACGAGATGAATGGACTGGAGTCGTCGATAGAGAACGTCCACGTCGCGGTCGTCATGAGGGGTGTCGGAGGGCTGCATGGACGTGGGGAGCGGGCTATATGCGTTCCGCAGGGAGCGACTTCCAAGCGGGTGAACATCTGCATCCTGATACACTGTCACTATCAAAGATGTATGCAACGGGACCCGAGTGCTTACAGGTTTGAAGCCACCGTCTGCGATCATTGACATGATGCAGCCACTTCTCCTGCACGCCACGTTTCGAGTGTGCGAAACCAAGACGTGTGTATTTGGATGACTGAGTGCAAATAAGAGATCATAGGATGGCCTTCGATACAACAACATGATGTACCTGTCGCGCTGGTCAAACTACCCTGCAGAAGACCATACCCATTGCGGAAACCTGTGCGTCCGCTGATGCTACGGTGACATGGACATGGGCGGAAGCACTTTGGTGGCAACGGAGTTCTCACAGAGAGGCCGAGATCTCCGCTAGAGCTTCCGTCCAAAACGTGTTCAGCGGAAGATCAGACGCGGGCATCATTCCTTCGACGGGAAGCCAGAGGTCGACCCTTGGGCGATGCCGGAGGCGTAGGAGGTGCGCGCGCTCTTGTAATATTCCCGACATTCCTGCGACAGATACGCCGAGAACCCAGAGCAGGAACGGTAACGCGGAGAGGTGGGAGACGACCGGGCGATGCCAGCGAGCATGGCGGGGGTATTTCGGAGAAGGGCAAAATGAGCCTGCACAGCTCTCGGCCTCGGCTAACCCGCCGCTTCCTGGTCCCCCGGCCCGGTCCCCACGGCCCGCCGGCGGCCAACAGCCACACGTCCAACACCAGCGCAGTTTTTCGCCCGCCAGGGCGCCTGTCTCCCTGTCTTCACCCTCGCCTTCCTGGACCCCTCCATAGCTTGTCTCATATTGAATCATGGTACAAGGGCAGACGAAAGGCCTTTCCAAGCAGAAGGGAAACACTTCGCGTCACGCCCAGAGGGCGGCAGCAGCGACGAAGAAGGGCAAGCGTCACGTTGCGCCAAGAAGGCTGCGCTTGTAAAGCAGGCTCAGATGCACAAGGTACGTCTCCGATCACGCAATCATATGTTACTGCATGCACTTGTATTGTGCCGTGTACGCTTTTAGCGGCTTCATACTCGTATGCTGATTTATCTGGGGTAGGATCTGAGTGCGAAGATCAACAAGAGTATCGAGCAGCAAGTGGCTACTGCAGCGTCTTCAGGGAAGCTCACCATCATGAAGAACGTGGCGATGGAGGGGTGAGTCTGCTTGCCATGCCGTACCATTCCTCAATCCCCTTCTCACACCTTGTTGCTCTGCTCTTCGATGCTGCCGCGTTCCGTGGGCCGTCCTTGTTCTCTCATGCAGCATCGCGTCCGACAAAACTAAGAGCTCAAAGTCCGCACCCAGGCCGCGAATCCCACTCCCGCAAAGAAAGCGTAGCTCGCTTGAGATCCCCTCGGGTCGTTTTGCGTGTGGTACCCCCACCATGTTATCTTCGTCAATACGGCATTTTCCCTCATCGTGCGCCAAATTAGCACATGATACACCCATCCACGCGCATCTATGCTCTTCTACATCCCCCGAGAGCATCCAGCCACACTTTCCGGCCGCTGCAGCCTCGCGTCTCGCTCCCACCGACGGCTCCGGCCGCCTCGTCCTCATCGCGGAGTCTTCCAGCAAGTCGCGTTCTATGACAGCGGCCCCTCCGTGAATGCCCACTCACGCCTTCGCAACACAACGGACTCAATACGACCCACCCCTTCCCTGCCTGTTCGTCTCCAGCCCAGTTCGCCCTCATTGCTAGATATGGCGTGCAACGTCTGAGAACTCCGGACATTACCGCTGCGGCAATTGCCCGCACAGGCGCCTATTCCCACCCCTCTTCCACCAGTACCCAGTCGGCGACTGTATCCGCAAGCCTCCCCATCCTCCTTCACGGCTCCACCGTCCACCGCGTCCTGCAACTTCTTTACGCTCGTCGCCACCTTCGGAGGCCTCGAAATGATGGTACCACGCAATGACGACAGCAACCGCTCAACTGAGTGGGACTCTCGATCCTCGGACTCAATCGCGGCTTCCGACGCCCAAAAGGTCCCGCGGAGCCTCGCGCACTCGATCCAAGCCAGGCGACGTCGCGCCTGCAGCAGCAGCCCAGCCTCCAGCTTCTGCAGCGTTCCAAAATTGCTTGGCGGCGCGGAGTCGGGCTGCGCCCACCATCCAGGAGCGCCGGATCCCACCCCTATCGCGGGTACGTCGCCCCCTGGTAGCGCCACACGCCCGCGAGCGCACCCCCTCCGCCCCGTCCTCGCTCCGCGGCGCACCGAACGTCTGCGCCCCAACGCTAGCGACGGAACGGAGGGGGGTTCGACGCCGTCCGCACTTGATGCTTTCATGTACGGCCACCTCATGCGCCGGACGCCAGAAGAGAAGTCACGATCTAGCGGTACCACGCTCTGCGATGAAGCCCAAGAACCTCGGAGCTCTGGGATCCGACGTCGCGGGCCACGGAGCGGGCGGCGGTCGCGGTGGCCCTATCGCGCACCGCGGCGGGCCACGGGCCTCATGGTGATGCTCGAACCGGGGGCGGGGTGAAGGAGGCCAGGGCGCCGCGGGAGGCTGTACGGAACGCGACGGCGTGTGGTGGATTGCGGTTTCGAGTGTCCGAGGGGAACGGGCTTGATCGGAGCGTTCGTTCGAGTCGGCCAGGTGCTGCGGTGTCATGTGTCGGGTTTGACGTGGGCGATGGGCGTTTGGATGCATACTTAGCGGGCTGGGACGGAAGTCAGACGGGCGGCGGGCGGGCGTAGGGCGCTGCGAATGCACTATGTATATTTCGGGCAGGATGCCATAATCAAAGCGATGAGGACAACGGGACAGCGATGATTCAGAGACTGAGTGAGGGTGCTGGTGACGGTATGTTCAGAAAGGCAGGGGGGGTGGTGGAGCGGGGAGCTGAGAAGGAGGTTGCGGGGAAGAGGAAGGCGGAGAAGAGAGGAAGGGCGGGGAGAAGGGGATGAGGGGATAACGGGGAGGTTGCGTTCTACCGTATGTACAGGCGCGACTAAAGAGATAGGGGAAGGGTAAACATGGATGAGAAGCCGAGGAAAACATGTGTGGATGATGTGGTGGAACATTGAGATGCAGGATGAGGCATGCTGATGCGAGAGAAACGGGAACGACGTAAGGGGTCGTGACATGAACATGAATGAACGTGGCCAAATCGGACAATGGTGGGAGCGAGGTGGAGGAGGGGAGTGAGAGCGGGTGGGTGGGGGAGAAAGTACTAAGAAAACAGACTAGTGTGCGTTCATGATCAAGTGCGTGAAATGGAGGCGGGGGGTCATGAAGTTCTTGGAGATGCGTGGTATGAGAACGATGATGCATGCATGAGTGAACAGAGACGGATGATGGTTGACGACAATGACACAAGTCCATGTGCAGGAACGACGACGGAGGACCCAACATGAGAGGCAGACAGATAGTCCAGAATACACTGCGGTGACGGTGCGTCATACAAACGTTTTTGGGCGTGTCCGGACCAGGCCGAGCAACGGTGACTGCGCCGTCCGAGTCGCCAACGCACGCACGCCACGGCCAGCGTCGCAGCGGGACCGGGGACAGAGGACGGGAGATAGGCCGCAGCCATGACGGCCGTGTGCGGTGCATCGAGCACCGTGAGCGGGCCACCGACGGGATCTTGTCAGTGGTGGGAGGTGAACAGCTTCAGCCGAACTTCCTGTAGTACGCCGAGACTAGAACTGGGGATGTTGAGCCTGTCGGCTTGCGCCCAGCAGTAATTGATGACCATCTGCATCGCGCGTTCAGCCTCCTTCGCCGTGGGCATGCGTTCTTCGGAGGGGTCGTACCGTTCTGGCACCTCGGGGTGGATAAGGACCTGCTCCCCGCCCTCCATCTCGACGACGAAGGGGGCCGGTGGAGCGTCCTGAATGGGCGACGCGTGCTGACGATCTTCAGACGCGTCCTGCTGCTGAGCCTGGTCGTTGACGGTGGAATAGTACGACTCGGGCTGTGACGTGTCCACCGGGTACCTCGACCAGTCCGGCTGAGAGGTCGAGTCTGGATGCCCATGCGCGTTCCTCGACGCCAAATCGTCGTCGTCTTCGGACTCAATTCCGATATCGTGCTCAGCGTAAGCGTTCCCGGATGGAGGATCTGGCATCCGGTAGGGCGCGTCGGGGGGAGCCATCGACGGAAGCGGAGGCAACTTCAGAGCTCGCGATACCGCTACATGGAGCGCGGCCTTCTCAGCAAGTTTCTTCTTGTTCGCAGCAATCATCGCAGGCGTCATGTATCCTGACGCGTCGGCTCGAAGCTGTCGTTCAAGCGTGCCGTTCCCAACGTAAGTCCCGCGCCGGATGCCCACCCGATTCTTGAAGTTCTCGAGCCACCCAGAGCTTGCCTTGAACTTGTCGGGCGTGAAGCCATCAGCATTACCCAACTCCCGGGCTTTCTGCCGCAGGACGGCATCGGTGAGCGTCTTCCCTTCTCCGGAAGCTTGGATGACCCATTCCTTGAGCTTGCTTTCAAGATAAGGAAACTTCGATGGCCTGAGAGGGCATGTGAACAAGAGGCATGGGAGTGAGAGGGGAGGTTGACGAACCTGAACTTGGCCAGCTCGTAAAGATTGGCATCGTCCACGGGGACCGACAGCCAGCGTTCCTTATGCTTTAGGATCTTGCTGACCGTGCTCCGCTCGACCCCGAAGCGCGCGGCAATGTCCTCTTGTTTGACCCCAGGGTTCGCGTCGGCGTAGGCACAGATGTTGTAGCGATCCCGGCTGACCAGACGCTTCTTTTTGTTCGTCCTTGGTGGAAGGGGCGACTCGGAAGGCTTGTAGCTGCCAGGGAACTGAGAGCTAGAGGATACTGACGTGATCGAGCCAGCAGAGCTCACAGCCGGGGACTGAGACCGAGGGTTGGACGAAGCGGAGGCGGCGGAGCCCGAAGCGGAGCGCGCCTGCGGAGGGCCTGGGTAGCGCCACTCGGGCACACGAGCGGAGGGGGAGGAGTAGAGATTGACCGTGTTCATCACCAGCGGCTGCGACAGATCAGGCAGCGAGTAGAGCGACTGTGCGGGAGTCTGGGGGCGCGAGCCGTGGGGGTGGGAGTACTGGGGAGAAGGGTTGTGCTAACACGCATATAGCGAGGTTTAGTAGTGCAGCGGACAAAAAGAAGATTGGAGACGAACGCCATATGACTGGGACGACGACGACGCGTAGGCCGAGTTCTCTCCTCCGCTTGGGAGCCTATCCGAGGTGCGTGCGCGGCGACGAGAAAGGCTTCTGTCCGGACCGATGCTGCCCTCGACCTGGGGCGAGTCAAAGGCAATGTGCTGCGCCGATGAGGCGGAGTCGGGGACGGGGGATGGCATGCCAGTGAGATATGAATCTGAGACTTGCCGAGGGACGTGGGGCGGGAGATGGTCGCGGGAGGACGAATGGGCGTACTTGAGCGGGCCATGCGGGTGCGGGGGCTGGGGCATGAGGGCGGCCATTTGGGAGTGGGCGGACGAGCTGGGATCGGAGGGCGAGTGGTGGGCAGACCAGGAGGGGTCTGGGGGATAAGAGAGGTGGGCGGGCTGGTCAGAGAGGTGGGGATGGGGCGGGAGGAGGGACTGCGGCGGCGGGTAGACGAGGCCGGAGGGCGAGTAGTGCTGAGGGTTGTCCATGTCGGCGGACGGGTGTGCTCGCTGGGGGCATGGGCACGAGCCGGGAGCGGGGGAGGTGGGACAGACGACGGCGCGGCCGCGATGATGACCGTCCGAGAGAAAGGCTGAGGGCCAGGCGTCTGGGAGGCCTTATGAGCTCGCAATTCTCCAATCAGCCGCCGCGGACTCCGCGCCGGGGCCAGGACTTGAGATCTCTCCGATCACGCCTTCTGCGATTACGGATGCGCCCCGTTGCTGCTCTCGTCCGCTGCAGCAGGCAGAGGCTCGAGCACACGTTCACCTCCTCCCCGCCGCCGTCCGAGCCCTCGTCCTCGTCCTCGCCGTCCGCCAGCGTCCGAGCCGGGCACGCGCCGCTCGCCGCACGTCATCCACGCACCCGCGTGCAATCAAGGCAATCGAATAAGGTTTCCCGTTTTCTCACCCGATCCCACGCCTTCTCACGCCCGCCCGCCCCTCCGCCGTCCCCGGCGATGACCCGACGAGATCTCGCCGCCGGCCGCCCGGATGCCGCCGGCCCGCCCCCCGCCATGTGCGCGCACCAGGGACACCGCCGCGACCCTTGCCCCATACGCCTACCCCTGCCTCCGCACTAGTCCCGGCTGGCGTGCGCGGGGCTGCCGATGGTTGGCGCAGACCGGGCGGGAGAAATAGGCGTGGCTGCGATACGGGCATGAGGCTCCTGGGTGGTTCTCGGCGGATGCGCGCGGTTCTAGGACGTGGCCGCGCAGGAGCGGAGAGGAAGCAGCTTCGGGCGAACGCTGGCCCAGGACCACGAACGGCGTCGGGGCTGGGAAGCGTGCACGACGTGTGTTTGCCCCATCGCCGGCAAGCCCAGCTGTCGCCTCTGCAGGCGAGAGAGCAGCCTAGCAGCCTCGCCTTGCCCGCGCCATCGGCCACAGCCTGGGTGGATGGCCTGCCGTCATCGCACACGCCGCGCCCAGCGCGCATCCCTGACTCCAGTCCATCTGCCAGTCATTCGTGCCCTAGCTCGCGCGTAGAACTGCTCTGCCACCCCTTGGTTGTATTCTAGCTCGGAAGACCCTCTCGGGCCCCGGGGCACCTGCACCTCACACTCTTCTCGACTGTCTTCGCCCGCTTCGGGGACTGACGGTCGCCGCTCCCTCCCGCGTTCATATGTCGGACGGCGTATTCTTGGCCACTCCCCACGGATCGCCCCTCCATCCTGCCTGCTTGAACTCTCCTCTCCCTCGGCGGCGATGTCTGGGATCTCGGTTTCCAATTCCCAACCTTGCGCCGCGACCCCGTGACCCGGGTCGCCCCGCGTTCCCCCCGCCCCGCCGCTCAAGCGTTAAGGTGCGCATCCTCGCCCAAGTCCCCGCTGTCCTGTATTCTCACTCTCCCACCAAGGTGGGAGCCCCCGCTCACTCACTCGCCCGTGGGTGCTTGTGTGCCCAATCCCCCCAGACGGCTCCGCGCAGCTCGAGCCTGCGTGCCTGGTCCGCAGCGGCGCCCACCGCGCACAAGACGAGCTCGAGGATATCCCACGACAGCCTTGACGAGCGCGTGGACCCATGGGACTCCGTGTGCCGGCACTCGCCAAGCGGCCCGCCCTCGGTCCTTCGCACCCAGTAAGTACTGCGTTTCAAACGGGCAGCGCGCGGCCCATGCCGTCCCATTCACCGACTCCGCCGCCAACTCTCGACCAGCCTTCCGATGTCGCTTCCGCCTTGGTCCCCCTTTGGCACGTTCGCACCCTGCGTCGTCATGCACCCGCAGCACTCTCACCAGAGTGCGAATCCGCGGCAGCCTGCGCGGTCATGTGTACCCTGGCCACCGCCCCCTAGGGATCGGATCGCTGCGAGGGCTTTCTGACCGCGTCCCGGCGTCCTCCTGTTACGGGCGGAAAAAGCGCGGTGCGAGTCTGTTCTACGTTTTCTGTCCCGGATAATTGACGGATCCTCCCCTTCCTCCTTCTGTTCGAACGGCGCAGTTTCGCTCGACGACGCGTCTAGGCTCGCCCGCCCCCATGTGCGTGGGCTGCAGGGGGTCAATGTGGGCGTGTGCGGCCTAGCGTCTTGTCCGTTCCCCGTTCGCGTCCTAACTCGACCCTCCTCTGGCCCGCCCGCTCGGCGATGGGCCGCAAGTTGGCCATGATCCATGCGGCTCGCGCCACTCTGCCGCCCTCTTCGATCTCGCCTTCTTCCGCCTTCGCTCGCCTCCTCGTCCCGTTCCATCGATCCTGGCCCACGCGTCCTCTCCGGCCACCGCCCCCCTCAACGCCCTTGCCGTCGCTTGCACAGTTGTCTCCCGGCGCGCGCGGGCCGCAGTCCCCAGCCGGTGCAAAGCGCTGATGGCCCTCGGCGGAGGGCGTTCAGCAGCGCTCAGCGCTCAGCCCGGTTTCAAGTTTCGAGTTCCACCTTCATTATCAACCACAGCCACCCGCGCGCGGCCAGGCCCCAGCTGCAGGGTCCACCCTCGAACCCCCGACGTCGACGGTCGACGATCGAGCGCGCTGCGTCGAATCATCTCCGCCCGCCCGCAAATTGATCCATCAGCCCTCGAAATTAACCCTGAACGGAGCCTGCCCTCGAGCCAGCGCGGGCGTCCCTGCCGCCCTCCGCCCGCTCCCCTTACTCCCGCTCCCCATCGGCTCGCCCGCCCCCGCCCTGTCTGCACTTCGCTCCCCCACTACAACACACCGCGCCGCAACCGCCGCAGAACCGCGCCCGGCCCTATGCGCGACGCGACTGCACCGCGTGACTGCACGACCACGACGCCGGGCCCGGACCTGGATCATCTGCGCCTAGCCGCGACTCTGGCAGAGCAAGATCCTCGCCAAGCGAGGGCGCCGCGAGCGCGTGCCCGACGTCCCCTGCGAAGGTCGGGCGGCCCGCCGCCGTCGTGGCCATGTCGTCCCCGGATGCGCGCCGGGCCCTGATCCGTCCGGAGAGCCTCTCCGACCCTGGCCAGGCTCGAGCGTCGATGTCGGGAGCGGCGCGCCGACGCCCTGGGCCCGGGCTATATGCACAAGCGCGCGCTCCCGCACGAGCACCCCCGCCGCCGACGCCGCCAGGGCGGGGGCCGCGCCCATTGCCGACGAGGCGAGCCCACAGCGTGGACTGTTCGACACCCGACGCCCGACGCTCGACGGCCGCCGTCCAACACCCGAGCCCTCGCCGTACACGGGCGGCTGGCGGGGCGCCGGGGACAGGTCGTGCATTCATGACTGGCGCGAGGGGCCGCGGCGGCGAATACGCTGGTCTCACCCAGGTCTCACCGGCACCACCGGTCGGCCCGGGCCACCCCACCGCAGCAGGAGAGGGCAGAAGGGAGGGCGAGGAGGCGGCTCGCGTTCAGCCTTCCCGTTCGGAGCCGGGGAAGGCCCTTGCGGACAGGGCTGCGGTGGAGTATACTACGCGGGCAGGGTGGGCCTTTGATTCGACGGGAGCCGGGCTCGGACCCTCCCGATAAAATTCAAGGCGCCCGCCTCCGGGCGGTCGCTAGTGTACATGGGATCCAGCAGGGGAACGCCTGAAGACGAAACGCTTCTCGGCGGGAAGTCTGAACTTTATCCCGTGCGCCCGACTCTGGGGCGCAGGCCTGCGGGCCTGCGCGCGGATCATCTGCTCAGGTACGTGTCGTCCGTGTATGCGCATGCCCGCACGATCGCGCACGAACGAGCGGCGGGGGAGGGGAGGGCGTGGAGACGCACGGACCGACGTTCGGGAAGGGGGCAGAGAGGAGGGTACCTGCGCAGCGAGGCTACTGGCTGAGGGGAGGAGGAGCTCTCAGCGCAGGGTGTTGTGCATTGTCCTGGCGTCGGGCACATCGCGGCCGGTTACGTTTCCCGGTGCTTGGCGAGCGGCGACTTGGAGCGGCGAGATCGCCAGACAGACTCGCGATAGCCTCGCCACAATCCCTGCGGGCGAAATCAGCGCAGGACCCGGGAGATGAACGACCCCCGTGCGTCCACTCCCACAGCCGAGCGAGCGAGCGAAGATAACAAAACGAAGTTGACGGCGAACGACAGAGCGCGAGTCGGTACAGAGAACCAATCGTACAGCCAAGTCCGTGCATCCGTGCCGTATCCTACAACGCCCCCTGCACGCGCACATCCACCGAATCCAGGGCAGATCAGACCCGAACCCACCCCGCTCCCCCAGCTCCACGTCCACGACGGATCCCCTGGGCCCACCCCTGTATCTTTCATCCCCGCTTCCCGCTCTATCGCCCGCCTCCGACGTTAATGGCCGTGCGCATATACGGCCCGTTCCCCATGGGCCCGTACGGCGTCGTCGGCATCTGCGCGGGCATCGCGCCGGCCATGACCGGCGTCGTGAGCATCACCCCGCCGTGACCCTGCTGGGGCTGGGATTCGGCCGCCCGGGGCCCCGCGCGGTCCTCACGCTCGGCGATCGTCGCAGCGGTGCCAACCCGGGCGTTCTCGGCGACGCCGTTCTGGATGGAGAAGGTCTGGCCGAGGCCGTACAGCTTGCCGTTGAAGTCGGGGTCGTCGAGCGTGCCGTTGAAGTACAGCTCTCGCATCTTGAAGAACGTGGTCGCGGTCAGCAGGGAGTCGGACCCTGCCTGATGGGAGGCACCGATGCGCATCACCTGCAGATGGGAGTGTTAGCCACGAGGTCTCGCGGCTCGAGTGAGGCCTAGGCCAGTGTGCGGTCTCGAGCTGGGGTGCAGGGCCGTGGCTGTACTTGCGCAGACGTCATTTCCGCGCCGCGAGAATATTCTTGCAAGCCCCGAACGCACCGAACCTGGACCAAGAGCTCGCACGGGTGGGGAGACGAACAACGTACCCCTAAATCATCCGCGACATCCTGAAGGCCGCCCTTGAGCTTGCACGAGCGCATGACGAACTTGATGTCGTAGATCGTGGGGAACCACGTGTGGAGGACGTCAAAGAAGGCCTCCTCGTTGGTGGGGAGCGACTGTCCCGTGAGCAGCTTGACGAAGTAGCCAAAGTCGTAGCCACTGCCGAGAAACACGAGCAGTCAGCATCTCGCACGTCGCGTCCATACTAGGCAAGCCGTCGCCGAGGCGCGGGCCCCCGGGCGCGCCCCCGGGGGACAACAGTGCGCCAACAGCCCACAACGAGACGCGATGCAGCTTCCCCGCCATCGTTTTCTTCATATACCCCGCCTCGTTCCCGCGATGCGAGGCCGAGCGTCAGGGTCGAGTGCGGGAGGATCGCTCACCTGTGGAACGAGATCCATTTGGTGTCTGGTGACAGGACGAGGCCAGACGTAATCATGAGCTCAGCGAAGTCATTCGGCTCGATGCCCATTTCATGATGTCTTTGCAGGTCGATGCCCGAGTTCTGGAGGAGATCCAGCGATTGCGGGGCGAACATATCTGTCCTACCAGGGGGTGACTTACATAAGCAAAAGTGCCTGGCATTTGCACCCCGCCGCGAGGCAGTAGGGTGGGAGGGAACACATCGGAAGAGGACGGTCGAAGGAGGGCACATACTCGGCACTGAAGTTGAAGTTGAACTGCCATGTGGATACGTCCTGGGGGTAGGTGCCGTCCTCGTCTGCCAAAGTAAGGCCGACCTGGATGATCTTCAGCAGGTCGACGTTACATCGCATGGTCTGGTAGTGGTAGTCGGACGACGTCTTGAATGCGCCTATTGGTCGTGCAACAACGCCAGGAAATTCCGTGTCCTAGGTAGATGTGAAAGCGGATGTTCATCTTGTGAGACCACGAGTGGCGTGAACGGATCGGTGAGACGTACGAGAGCAACATATGGGTACTTTTCGATAAGATCCCGGATGTTAGCCATCTCCATCTCGAGGTTGGGTGCCCAGACTTCACGTATTCGCGTCATGGTGCCAAGATTGGTGGTGGTTAGGTAGCAGAAGTGGATGTACGCAGGAGAGCGAAGCGGTTGGACTGGCGGATGGTCGGGACTCGACGGTCAGCGGGGTCGGCGCACGTGATGATGCCACGTTTGGCAGGAGTGTTGGGCGCTCCGTGGGCGTTTGCTTTTCTCATTTCTTCACCCGCCTGGATTCACACTCAATCACGCAGCTGCCACGATAGACAACATAGAATCTCAGGGTATCAACTTGGGTTGCAACGGAAATTTCTCTTTGGCGTCGATCTACTGCTACGCCGGTGCAACGCCAAACAAATCCTTCCCAAGGTTCAACACGTAACCACACCCGCCGCTTCCTGCACTGCAGCCCCTCCAGTCTCAGCTGAACTGCTGGCCAACACCTATCCCGCCTCTATTCTTGCTGCATGTTACGGAACGACACTCTTGAGTACCGCCACGAAGAGCAAGGTAAGTGACAAGCAGTGAGCTCCACACGGCATCAATGATGACCAGAGTAGGACGGACGGCTGTGAGGATGCTCCTGCGCGGCGGTCCTTTCATCGGGATCGTCGTCGCAGTCATCCATCGCAATAGCGAGGCATTGCGCTGACGCGAACTCGCGAAAACCTAGACCCCCCGCTATTGCGTGGGTGAACGCGGGCAGCGATGCCTTTGTCCGTTTGCTCCCAAGAGCAGCCTCACAGTTGCGGCCGGGAAATCATCCAAAAGTAGATCACTACACCTGTGCTTCCAGAAAATCGCCACTTCTCGTAAATCCCCGCCTCTGTCCCAGTCTCGGCCGTCGGAGCTTTCGAATGAGGTGGGGCTTAGGGGCTGGTGTCTCTGTTGGACATGGTTTGAGGCGGGCACGGTAGAGGGCGCAGATAGTGGGGCGTCGTATGGCAGGGTAGTAGAGACAATAATGAGCCAAGGAGGAGGTGAAGCCGTTGTGAGGTGGGCGGCGGTTGGCCCAGATGGCGATGTTCATCCGAGCTTTTAAAACTCTCCTCCTGCGCTTACGCTCCCCGCGTCTTTCTCGTTACGATCCGGCAATTTCCATCCTTGCGCCACACGATCGTGAATTTCGTAAGCATCGGCATTCAAGACATGCCTCGTGTAGCGTTTTCCAACGGGACCGAGGAAGGGAAGCCTGGCTTGCGTTCTTGCTGAGTGCCACGCGGCGGAACCACCCCATGAGGCGCGCAGAGCTGCCGCGGGGCGCGGGGCAGTAACGTCAGAGATCAAGCAAGCTCAGGGCGAATCCGCCGTAGAAGGGGGTTCGACAAAGGCGTGTTCTGCAATGTGGGGCGGCGACTTGCCTCCCTTCGGGGATAGCAGTACGAGAGTCGCGGACTCGGTGTCGGCGCAGGCCTGCCTGGACTGTGAGCGCGCACGACTCACGAGGCTCTTCGCCGCTGTAACAAGACCGGATGTTCCTTACACCCTCCAGGTCCCGAGTTTCTCCGGCCTTCCTCAACGCTTCGCGGTCATACTCTCTGTGTCAAAGGGACCACCAGGGCGGTCGTACGTCTTGACAATAGCTGCGGGCGCCACGGCCGTCTTGTTCAAAGATCTACCATCGCACGCGTCGCTTCCAGCCTGTCCGACACAAACAGCCGGCGGTCCCGACGCCGTAATCTGCGCCGTATATACCCCGCCAACCTGCGACGCTCTCCGAGGGTACATAGATGCGTGTCAAGAATCAAGATAGCTATTTAGTGGACCGACCATCGCCCTCATGTCGCCGTGTCCGGTCGGGACACCGCGCAGTGCGACCCTGCGTCCGACGACCACTCTATAGAGCATGAGCTAATAGCAGAAGCCCTAGAGGCCGGCAGACGGGACGCGTCATGCTTTCTGGGGTTGCCGCGCGGTCAAGCGTCGAACGATCCTGTGGAACGTCTACCTCCGCGCGCACTGGCTAGCGTCCGCGATGACCGGCCCGGACGGCGGGATCGATTGGAGGAGGCGTGTTTTATGTCACGCCCGCCCAGCCCCCCTCACAGGCATCAGTTAGGCTTTCCTGGGGCCGAGGTGTGGGAGACCTGCGTCAGACGACGGTGATCGCGACAGAAGGAAACCGGACTGGATAAGAAAGCGAATGGCATAGATCGTCCACCCCCACCACATAGACAGCGTGCGGTCGACCTTGTATCGTCGCAGAACGCAATGCCCTCCTCCACATACTCCAACCCTGGCTTGAACGGTGCATTCATGGTGCCTACGGCCAGACCGGTTTGGCCGACGCCACCAGCCCCATGCGAATCCCGCGCCCGCATGGGAGAACGGGCCTGCGCACAAGACCTGTACGTACGAGAAGAGCGCGGTGTGTGTGTGTGTGTAGCGCCGCCCAGGTCCCCGCGAGCATGGACGCACCGGCAGAACGCGGCCTCGTGCACGCGCTCATGCGTCCTCTACCTGTATCGCGGGAGCCACCAGGAATGGCAGGTCGAGCGTTAAGGCGGAGGGCGCCGGCGGAGGGGGACAAGGAGTCAACACAACGTGCGGGCGAGAATCCGGCATATTACGTACGTAGTTGCTCGGGAAGATGCCCTTGCGTCCGTCCGCACCGATGCCTACGAGGAGAGGCAGGGAGGGAGAAGGGGGGAGATGTCAGATTGCGGAGCGTCCTTGGGCATCGAAACCTCGCGGCAATGGGAGGGTAAGCCGCACCTTCCCACCAGCCCTCTGCATAGTGGCGCCCACCAGCTGGACCGTCCGTGAGTTGGATGAGCTGGCCTTCGTCGACGGAGAGCTCGTCCGGGCCTTGCGACTTGTACGCGTAGATGCCGCGCACTAGGGAATAGAACCACAAGGTGATTGGCAGTTTGAGTAGACGACGTCAATTCCGTGTAAGACCACAGGAACAGGGTTGAGAGCGGACGACTGACCATACTCTCCAGAACTGGCCTGTGGGACTGGGGTACCGCTCCTCGGGGTCGCGCCCCGATCGGCAGAGGACGCCGCGCCGGGTTCGAGCAGTTCCACGTACGACGCAGGGACGAGCCCCTTCCCTCCGGAGTCGTCCGCCACTTTGACCCATCCTGAGCCATCGTCTTCTTCCAGCACGCGCACGATGCTCTCCGCTGATCGTGCGTGAGACCGCAGGGTCGATGTGAGAAGTGGGGATCCTTCCATTGAAAAATGCTCACTCACCGGTGACTGTAAGCTCGAACGGCGAAGTGGGCGTAAAATCGAATACGACCCTTGCCCTAGGACCGCTTTCCTCGTCGGGCTCGTGGCCGTGCGAAGGAGGTGCGAAGGAAGAGGGAGTAGGCGTCGAAAGTACTGCGTGGTGTTACGCGTGTCAATTTTGTTATTTTTTACTAAACCCCAAGTCCGACGCACTGCGGGACTCGGATGGGGACACTGTTGACGGTGTTCTCGAGAGCGATGAAACTGAATCCGATGAACGGTGCCCATGCCGCGAGCCCGAGCAGTCAGCGGGGAGCTGCATTGTAAAGATATCAGGACCGTTGTGGACAAGAAGCCGTTGGAATATAATGGCAGACCTTCAGTTCGCACTTCGCATGGACAGAGATTCCGCACGCCTTGCATGTTTTCCCTTGCTTGCTGAGACCCCAGATTGACGACTAGGGCACGTCATGTTGAGGGAGAAGCACGATTCACAAGGGACCGGGGATACCAGCATACCTTGCAGTAGGAACACGAGGCCGGGATAGAGAACGAGGCACTCTTGAATGAGTGCGGGCTTTGTCCCCCTTCGTCGCCTGTTGCAAGAGGTACGTAAGTACAAGCGCTCGAAGTATTGCCGCTGCCGTAATGCAGTCACACAAAGCGCGAGAAGACGGCGAACCCACGGGCACTCGATCTCCACGGGCAGGGTAGGGAACGAAGGAGACCCAAACGTACCGCAGAGTGCACCAGAGACTGTGTCCACCTCCGTGCGGAGGATCGCATCGGACGTGGAGAAAAACGTTAGCGCATGGTGGGCTTCCAGGTATTGCTTCATGGCGTCCGGCGTATCGCGGCAGAAACAATATGCGTGGAGTTAGCGATCTTCTCATGCGCCCACAATGCCTCAATGGGAGAGAAGCCACTCACATCAAGCAGCTCGTCGGCGTTGCCTAATGTGGCATCCTCCGTGTATGCTGTCACCAGGTTGCCCAGTTTTTCCGTATCCTGGCCTGAGAAAAATATCAATTAGGAGCGAGACTCGTAGTACATGCTCAGTGCGTACGTTTGTTGGTGAGAACAGGGTCGAGATCCTGTAGCTTTGTTCGACACTTGTTCAGCCTGTTCTGAAGATACACCTTCGGTGCGGGATCCACACTCATATCGCCCTATTCAAGGGTTGGATCAGACAGTGTGAGTCTTTCAGGGAGATTGAAACATACAGTATCGTAGTAAGTGGCACAGGGTTCGAAGACAAAGTCTTCGGGGGTGGAAAAGGGGACGATATTATGATCGATGAATATGTCTTGGTCGACTGCAGGGTTCACCGATGAGAGCACCTGCTCCGCCCGTGTGATGTGGGATCGCACAATGTCAAGGTGCTCGAGTTGAAGAACTTGCGCATTCTTGAGGCTGCTCGCAAAGCTATCGATCAGACGCGCCTGCAAGTCCTCTTCCGCAATATCAGCCGTCAGGGCAAGGATGGATACTAGCAAGGTTGCTATCGGCACTCACGGAATTGCTGCAAAAATGTTGTGAGCACACCAAGCTCAACAAGCCACGACGCCACTTACGTCCTCTAGAGCAGGGATGTCTTCGTCGTAAAACTTGGCCTTGGCCTTGTTGGATACAGCTATCGAGATGAGATACGCGCTGAAGTAAAATTTGTAGGTGAGTAGCTGGAAACAAAATTGAACGTTGACCGTACTTCTTGCTGTTGAGCATGTCAATTTGCTGCTGCTCGTATTGCCTCGCAGCTCGCTCTGCGTGCCGATCGTCTGACGCACGCTCCTGAACATAGCGGAATTAGTTGATACCGTAAAATACGAAACTCATCACCAACCTGCTTCTGTCGATACGCGTGTACTTCTGTACACTCCTCGTCATACTGAATGGTAGTCAGGATCACGACTTTGAGTATTATCTACGAGACATGCCTTCTGTTTGCTCTGCGAGAACGGGTAAATCGGGTCTGACACTGATATGTCTGACGAGAGCGGCGTACCTTGACACGGTCTGCATAGGTACGCTCCTTATCGGACAACAGCTTCTGGTAGTATTGTAGTTGCCTCTTCCGATTATCGTCGTGCCTCTGTCTCGTCAACCTGAGAGGTTCTATGACTTGACCGCTCAAGGCGTCGGCGAGATTTACGTGGTCCTGGGCGGTATCGCTCATGGAGGAGAGCACTTGCGAGTAAGCAGCGTCGAGTGTACTGGGAGATGTAGGTCAGTCTAGTTTGTACGATTTCGCTCGAGCCTGTTCGTGGGAGGGCAATGGAACATTGTCATACCTTGTCTTCAGAATACTCTCCTCCCACGACTTGGTGGGTTCAGATCCGACGACGAGGGTTGCCATCTTCTTCGCCTTCTTGTCTGCCGCCCTCTTGACCAGAGTTTGGAGTTTGACGGCGTAGTCCCGTTCGAGCGCGGCTCTTTCCTTGAGCAGCTCCCGAACCTTCAATAGCTGTCAGCGCAGCGTCCGCACTTTCTGCCCAATCTCACGTACATCGTCGAGGAAGTCAATTTGAGCATCAGTCAAGCCGGCTATTCGCTCGACCTGATCCTGGAGAAAGGGGCGTGAGTCACGGGGTGTGGGATCACAGAAAGTGTGCGAGTTTTGAGCCGCATACGGGAATGTGTCGGCCGTACGTCTGGCCGTTAGCTGTGGCAACCATAGATGTGTTTAGTAGTGTGTGAGATGGCTAAGGTGTCCGGTCTAGGGTGAGCAGAAAGGAGATAGGAGATGACAGACGAGCTCTGCGCAGTGCGTTGTGCAACACCCGGAGTCGATCGCCGAGGGTGGCATCCGATCAAGCGCCGGTCAGGCTATCCAAATTAGGTTTCCGGCTCTTCCAGAATCCCCCTCGGCCCGGGCATAGGGCTTGGGTGCAAGGCTGCACCGCTGCTGCCTCCTATCTTGCCCTCGTACGCTCGTGCTCACTGACTCTACTTCTTCCACTGTCTGCGACATTGCCTTCGCTCTTTGACTCGCACTGCGTATGTTCATCACCTAATGTCTCGCCTGGATGCAAGCGTTTGCAGCGGCCGCTCCTCTCAGTCTTATCAATATCAGCGACCATCCTCAACAGCTTCAACGCTAGCGAGAACGTTGATACTTCCATATTCAGGCACGTACTAGCTTTGTTTTTTCACTGTGTATGCCCGGAGCCGGGTACCCGGGCGCAGAGAAACCTAGTTGCGCATATAGACAATGCCTCCGCCGAATGAACGCATTAGAATGCTTCTCCGCTTCATATGCCCCACAACAAGTTCATCTGTGCTCTTTATGACGCTTTGCTTTTTATGCGCACCACAAGTACAAATGCAACGCTAGTGAGTAGCCTTGTTTCCATTTCATCCCATTACCCTACTGTCAGTGCCTGCCACGACCACTTCTTCTCATCCCCGAGGCTTTAGCGATGCAAACTGACATGATGTGCTCGATGACAGTCACGGTTTATAACGCTCTCTTTTAAGCCCCACGTGATTTGTGGGCACGCATTTGCCGTTTATTCAGTCAGGTGCGCGTAGTAAGCCTAGACCCCAGACCATCTGGAGCTGGGCTATTTTGGACAAGATTCACCGTCTTCTGTCATTTGCAATGCAAGTGTTGGTGAGCACCCCCAATCAATAAGCAACCCATAGACTTCATTCCCATTCCCAGCCCCTCGATTCCCATACGCTTCTGCAGTTTTCCTGCGAACCCGAAGTTTCCGCGTTGCCCACGCATGGACGTTGGGCAAATAATATGTCGTGAGTACCAGTACTTCTCTTGACGATCTACGATCGATTGCGGCCGCTGAGCATTTAGTTGGTCAGGAAGCTGAACCAGCTCACCTTGCGAGAGCGAGACATCCTTCCGACATCCTGGTTGCTTCCCCAGGCACTTTGATATCACAACCGCTCGACGCGTTTGTGGCGCTGCATAATGGCGTCACGGCTTCATCACGCCCCAGTTGCAGGTCCGAAGTGAGTCGTCCCTCTGTTGTTGACCGGCGCACATGGACAGGCGGAGCGGTCTAGACAACGCCTTTTGCAGCCTAAATCTTATAGGTATTCAACTTTTCATTCGCACGGGACCGACGCACCCTTGTTCCTGGGCGCCCATGGTCGCCGACGAGCATCCTCCCATTTTGGGCCGGGCCGGCCAGTGGCCACCAGCGACGGCCTCGCGCGCGCCACGCGTTGTGTCGCCCGCGCGACTGTGCACGTTGCCTGCACAACGCCGCAACCGCGACGTCTACACGCCGTGAGGACCGCGACGGCTCGTAATATGTGGCTCCCCATCAGCCGTCACGCGCAACGCCTCCGCGCGCAGCCCACGAACAACGGTGTCCGCTGCCCAGCCTGGCGCCGTTCCGCCGCTCGCCCGGTAACACCGCTGGGCGAGCGCTCCGGCGAGGCGCGCGACGCCTCCCACCCCCGACGTCAAAAGGCAAACAACAGAACGACTGCCTCCGGCCGTAATTTTTTCCAGGGTGGGCGTCCGCGTTGCTGTCCACGTCCTTGGACCGGCGTCGGCCCTGCGGGCGCTGCTGCCAATTGGTTGCCGTCTCCGGCTTGGCCAACTCTCGCTTCCATCGACGCCGGAGCTCGAAAGATGAAGTAATCCACGCACCTCCAGTGCGCGGATGGGTATAAAAGAGGCCTTTCGACACCCTGCCCATGCTCCTCACGGGTTCTACTCGCCAGTGCTCCCCCCGCCCCTCCGCCCCGTCCCCACCTTTACGACCCCTACGCCCCTCCCTTTGTGCAACGCGCTACCTACTCCACCACCTCACGCCACCGCGATGTCCCCCTTCACCTTCCTACTCTTCCTCTTCGCCCTCGTGTGCACCGTGCTCGCTGCGCCCGCGAGCCTCGAGAAGCGCATCACGCACACCGGCCGTGTACGTCGCCCCACCCTTTGCATCTCCGCTTCCCCGCACTTATCTCCGCCTCCCCGTCCTTTGTCCTCGTCACACAGGGCACCTGGTTCGACGTCGGCCTCGGCGCGTGCGGCAAGACGAACGTGAACAGCGACAAGATCGTGGCCATCTCGTCCGAGATTTATGGCTCCGGCGGGAACTGCGAACAGGTTCGCGCCGTCGTCATCTCTGACCCAATCTGCGCGCCCGGCTGACGCGCCCCGCAGTACATCCAGATCACGAACACCAAGAACGGGAAGGTCGCATACGGCAAGGTCCGCGACGAGTGCCCGGGCTGCGGCAAGTACGACCTCGGTGAGCATCCAACTTCCCTGCCCAGCGGCATCTACCTCCGCGTCCGCGTCCGCGCCCGCTCCTGCTCCGCGGATGCTCCGTCGCTTCCTTTCGGCACGGCGCACGCTGGACGCGGACACAGACGCACGCGCTCGGTCTCTTCGGCTTTCTAACCTTCGTTCCCCGCGCAGACATGAGCCCATCGCTCTTCAAGGCCCTCGGCGCATCCCTCGACGTCGGCGTCCTCTCGCTCTCGTGGCACTTTGAGAACAAGGCCTTCAAGCCCTGAGCGCCCACTCGCACGCGTCCGCCTCCCCGGTCCCCCGGCCTTCTGAGCAAAGATCCACGCCCAGACCACCGCCTGCCCTCTTCTGCGCCACCGCCCAAGTACTCACACGCGGCGCGACATGACCGCGGTCACGTCCACATCCACGCACACTTACACTCATAGAAGCCCCAAGCGCGCTACCTGCCTCCCACTCCATCTCGGTCTCCTCCTATGGTGTTTATTTGGGCTATTTATGCGCCCCGCACGCGGCCAGCAGCCCCGCAGGGCGGCTGCTTCGAGTCGCGCGGCGGTCGCACCTCTGGTCCTAGGATCCGCAATCGTAAACCTATCCGCCGTCTGGTGCACGGCGTGCTCCCCCCCGCTTTCCTCCCCCAGTCTATGTAGGTTCCCAACGCCGCGTTCACGATATAGAAGCGCACCCTCCCCCAGGGTGCGCACGCATAGAATGTATCCCACGAATACCCCATGTATGTAACACACCAAGTGTAGTACAACGCCGGCTTGACGCCGCGCAGTATTGCTTTTACCGCACACGCTCTCACGAAATGAAAGTTGACTTCCTCTGTCCGCACGAACGCACGAGCACTGCTATGTACCACCGTCCCCAAGATTCCTAATACGTGCGCGCCCGTCCGTTCCGGTGCGCTCAGCACCGCGGGTCAAGGTGCACACGGGAGAACAAGGGTTCTGAACGAGGTCGCGCGCTTCGCACATTCAGCGGCCTCCCGGGGCGTTCGGCTTCGCGCCTCGCGGCCAGACAGACTTCAAGCTGCAGGCCTGCCTGGGTCGTCAGTCACTCGCCAGTCGCGACTACTCGCAATGCGACGCCAAGAGAGGCGGTGCCATATGTGTCGTCTCTCAACGTGAGCGCACACTACCTGCCAGCCACGACCGATCGTTGTTCGACCGCTCCGGCGCCCTGAAGGCCGGACGGGTGCGATGGAACATGTCGCCCGCGCAGACGCGGATAAACGGAGACGGAGATGGAGATGGAGATGAGCGGGCGCGCGCGGTCGGCCACAGGCACCCACGACGCGCGCGCGCGCGGAAAGTCAAGCTGCTCCGAACACGCCCCCGCAGCGCGGTACTTAGCACTTAGCACGGGCGGTGCACTGGCTGCGGCGCTGCGCCTCAACGCCTCAACGTCGAGTCTTCTCTCGCTCATTCGGGACCGCACGAGCCCGCACGGCCGCAGGGACGGCGTCACGGAGCGTCGGGGGCTGCGATCCCCGGGGAGCGGGACGCGCGATATTAGATTTCAGGACACGTGCGTACGGGCATGCCCGCGCGCGGGCATAGCAAAGAAAGCGCGCTGCTCGTAAAGCCACTACGTATTGATACATGGGCAAATGATACATGAGGGAAGTACTCGTACAGGTACAGGGCGACGGGCATCGGGCAGCCCCCAGCCTCATCTGAGCGTGCGAGAGGTGGGGGTGGAGGGAGAGAGGATGTATACGGATACAGCGTGGGGTGCGGCTGGAGGCGACGGGGTGCATGTAAACAGCGTCGAGGCCGCGGCGTGGATCATTCGACCCCCCGTGGACAGCCAAGTAGCCGTTGAGCGACCTCGCCATGCCGAGATCGACGGTCGCGCCGCGGCGCGGAGGGTGCGCTCGGCATAGCCTATGGGCGCCCTGCAGGCGGGCGTGGCTTGCACGCGGATGAAGCGTGGTGGACACTAGTACTCTCTCGAGGCGGTCGTGGTCCGAGGCGCGCGGGCTACGCGGCGAGACAGACGAGCAGCCAGGCGACGGCGGAGACGAGGCTCACGGCCTCCCAAAGCTGAGCGTGCGCCGGAGCTCAGCAACGACCGCGCGCCCTCCGCGCCGGCCAGTTCGCGCTGATGTCGGCGATGTCGTCATCGTCGACGACGGCCGCAGGCGTCGCCGGGCGCGCGCGTTCCGAGGAGCGGGGGCTGAGGTGCGGAGCGCGGGGCAGCTTGGGCCTGAAGGCCATGCACGTGTGTGCGTCGACCGCGGAGGAGGAGGGGAGGAGGAGGGGCGCTTCGCCCGCGGACCGAGGGAGCGCGGCTCGTGGGGGCTGTCCTGAACGGTCGATGTTGAGGATGGAGGCATGGGGGCATGTCGAGTGGCGCGATTCTGGGCCAACGTCGACGTCGACGGGAACGGGACCGTCTGTCTGTGCCTTGCAGGCTGGTCAAGGGTCAGCAACCGCAGTGCCATCCTTGAGAACGGGATGTCAATTGATGACACCAAGACGACCAACTCACTGAGATAGATGGACTCCGGTTTGCAGACCCCGGGTCTGCGAGTGTCCCCGGGCGAAGACGTGATGGTACACTTTTCGAAACAGACCCCAGCAGCGGTGGTGGGCCTGTTTCGTAACAGACGGTCAGATGTCTGCGGTCATGCGATGAAGGACCAACACCGTGCTCACCATAGACACGAATCGGGCTGGAAGATGACATTACGAACACCCTGGACCTGAGCGGCACCACTTGGCGGGTGCACGGCAACGAGGGCGAGGGCGGCTGAGAGGGCGACAGCGGAGATAGGCGCAGCGATGACGGCCGTCTTCATCAGGCCCCCGAGGCAAGAACGCGCGCAAAGACAGCAGGTGTGGATGGAGGCTGGTTGTTGCCAATTGAGTCAGGCTGCGAACAGCCAGGAGGGAGCAGGGTGGAGCAGATGAGACAGAGTTCTCACCCACGCAAGCCCCCACTATATCTGCGCCTTGGCCACACCGCTGGCCCGTCAGCGGCCCCAGGACTGTGCGTTGTGCTGTGACGGGGGGCTTCGCGTCTGTGGTCCGGGTGTCGCAGATACTGTTATCGGATACTGATCATGGTCTCGACCGCGCGCGCGTCGAATGGGCGGAGGGCGTTGTCGCCCACACATTACGAAGTCTACCCGGTGCGGTCGGAGTGTCGCACGCGCCAGTGCGCATCTCCGTGTGTGGTGGGCGTGCCAACCAAGCAGCTGACTCCTCGGTGGCTGAGGACATGTTGTGCATCGCCAGGATACGACGAGGAGCAACGGGAAGGGGATGTGGGTGCTGGTATCTGAGAGCGCGGTCGAGAATTATGTGCTGTGTACTCTGGCGTGGTGCAGGTCGGAGGAAGAGAAGTGGTTGAGCGCTAACGAACTGTTGCTTGATCATTGCAAGAGACCTCAACTGAGCGAGCCGCACGTCTGCGATCGCAGACGTATCTAACGCCATATGCTTGAAACACTCACACTTCAAGCTTCAAGCATCGTGACTCGCAAGCGATGTGTATCCATATTACGAAGTTACAGCAAATCGTACATAACTTACAAACTGTAGTAGTTCTAATTCATGCTCACCGACAGATATTCTAAGGCAGTCACTGGCGATACTTGCGCTGCAGCTCCTCGTACGCACCCACGATCTCCCGGTGCTCGTCCGACCCTACCTCGTACTCCGTCACCTCCGCAACGACCTTCGAAGCCCCACCGTCCTTCAGGCGCCGCTGCAGCTCCTTGCTCTGCGCGTCCTCCGGCACGTCGTACAGGAACGCGGCCGCGATCCCCGTCGCGAGGTTCTCCGTCGGGAGCCCGTACCCGCGCGCCATCGCGTACGGGCCCAAGAGGCGGTCCCCGCGCGCGAGCTTCCGGAGCGGCTCGCGCCCGACGCGCCCGACGTCGTCCCGCACGCGCGCGTTCGCGAAGCGGGCGACGACGCGCTCGACGTACGTGCGGTGCTCGCGCGGGTCGAACCCGTGCTTGCGGACGAGCGCGGCGCCCGCCTCGCGCTCGAGCGCGCCCCGCAGCGTCCCGCGCACGTCCGCGTCCGCGACGGCGGCGTCGATCGTCGCGAGGCGCTTGAGCGCGCCGAGGTACGCGGCGAGCGCGTGCCCGCAGTTGAGCGTGAAGAGCTTGCGCTCGACGTACGCGTCGAGCTTGTCCGTGAGCCGGACGCCCTTGAGGTGCACCGCGGGCCGCGTCGCGTGCAGCGCGTGCCCGTCCACGACCCACTCGTAGAAGCCCTCGACGCCGACGTCGAGCGGGCTGTCGCCCGCGCTCGCGTTCGGGTGGTACGGGGGCACGATGCGGTCGACGGAGCAGTTCGCGAAGCCGACGTGCGCGCGCACCCACGCCGCCGTCTCCGGGTCGTCCTCGAGCGCCTTGAGGACGTGTCGCGGAGCATCGTCGTCTGGTGCACCGCGTTCTCGCACGCGATGACGTTCATGTCGCCGGCGTCCGCGGCGCGGCGCGCGCGCATCCCGTCGGCGAGCACGCTGGCGATCCTCGGGAGCACGGAGACGCCCACGGCGGTGGTCGCGAGGTCGAGGTAGGGGTCCACGAAGGCGCGGGCAATGTCGGGGGCGGAGGTGGCGAGCAGGCCGGAGACGTCGTGGACGGCGTTGAGGTGCTCCTCGTCGGAGTCGAGGATGTGGACCGCGTACGAGTCTTGTTCGTTGAGCGCGCGGATGACGTCCTTGTCGACGTCAGCGAAGATGACGTGGTAGCCCGAGTCGACGAGCAGAGGCCCGATGAAGCCCCTGCCTATGTTGCCCGCGCCGAAGTGGATGGCCTTGCGGTCGTGGACGCCATCGTGGGCGTGTGCGTGTGCGGAATGGTCTGCGCAATGCGTGAGTGGTCGGGAAGAAAGAGGGAGGAGGCGAGTGCGCACGGAGAGTTGCTGGATCGTTCGGTGGCAGACGCATGGCAGGCAGGTTAGGGGACGGCGTCCGTTCGGGCCCCTATAAACGACGGCGCTCGTCTACAGCTCGCACGCTGAGGGCAATATGACGTCGGAGCTTTTGCGGAGCTTGGTGCGGGCCGCACCCCCCACACCACAGCCGCGCACCCAGATTACACTGGATTGATAGAACCCATCCCGACAGAAACATGTATGGCCTTCGGACCGTCGTGCCAGGCCACGGACATTGGCGTCGGCGTCGGTCTCGCACCGACGGAACGCTCAATACCTTGGCCGTGAGTACGATAGCAGAAGGCGAGGCGGACAGCCATGGACAGCCTGACAAGCAAGCTTCAGAGCACGTTCGTCCGCCGTCGTTATCACTTGCTGTGCAAGGCCTGTGCAAGATTATCCCAAGTATATTCGCGGAGATCCAAAAGATAATGTGTGAGAGAGACGTGGTAGGGGAAATGCGAGGAAGAAGCTGAAGCAGAGAGTAACAGATCCAAGTCTGCCGGACATCTGAGGTCCAACGAGTCTGCTGCGCGAGAAACCGATAAGGGCACTATGTGCATACCAAGAAGCCAAAGAAGCGCCGTCGAGAATCAAGAACCAGCCTAGATGAGATGAAGCCGGGCCGGGTGTCGCTCAAGGAAGAGCCCTGCATCTAGTTCTCGTCGTCCGAGAAGGCACCAGGGACCACGCCGTAGTCGAGGATCCGCGGGAGCGCAAGGTGGTGAAGGTCGGGCCGGAGAAGAACTTCTCGCACCCCGGGTCCTCCGCCCTATCCGCCCACGGAACCCCAGCCCGCTCTGCTCGGGGTGTGCACCTGCGAGCACGGCGGCGAGGGCCCGAACATGTCGTGGACGAGCCGCGGCGTGGCAGAGGCGATGCGGAAGCCGTACCCGGGGCCGGTCTGAAGGGCGTAGAGTGGATCGCGGGCTTGAACGAGAAGTCATACGGGAGCCCGGCGTGGGAGTTCCTGGCGGAAGACGAAGATCCACCTGCCCGTATCGGGGCCGGTTGCCCAGGCAGAAAGCGGGGTCATCGAGATGTCGGGGCCCAGCGGTACGGCGTCCATGTCATAGTCCGCGTCGAGCCAAGCCGTGCTGCCTTGCTGAGCGTCCACGTCCATGGCAGCAAGAGATTCGGTAGACGCCAGAGTCAAGCCGCCTAGCCGAGCGAGAAGACCATTCGAGTCGGGAGAGCCCAGCCCTGTTCGCGGAATGGTGCACCGACATGCCGGAGAGTAGGTGCTGAAGAGGCGAATTAGGTTCTGGTCATGGTTCAGCGAACGACACCGGTTCTGGGTATAAGCGCCATACCGCGTCCATGCCGAGCTCGATCGCCCGTTCGCGCCAGGGTGCAACCATGGTGGGAGGCTCACGACATGCGCCGAACCCGCCGTGCGCCGGAAGCTTCGACTGCGCAGGAGGATGGATGGGTAACGGGATCCCGCTGTTCGACGTGACGCGTCCCCGATGACCCCTCTTCTCCTTAGGTGGCCGACCATTCCTGAGGTTGCGCTCACGCTTTCGGTAGTTCTTGCGGCCGCTTGTAGAGTGGAAAGAAGGGATGGGGCGAGGGATCTGGAGAAGGGGAGGGGCGCTTGGAAACAAGGGGCAGAGCTGACTGGTTGGGCGAAGAGAACGTGAAGGAGCTGTGGGGGTCCGATGGATTGGATAAGAGAGGGTATTGCGGGTTAAGAACATGCTGTTGCTGGGAGGCGAGTGTCGCCTCAGCGACAGAAAGCTGTGGAGGTTGGTTGAGCTCGCTGGAAGAGCGCATATAGTCACATACTCTGGCGTTCTTCTGGCTTGCCCTCGCGATACGCGCGTGGATCTAGCAACTCGCAATCAGTGTGTGAGACCAGGGCGCTAGAGTAGGGGGCACGCACCTCGTCGGAATCTTCGATGGATCGCCTGCACACTTTAACCTGACGCCTCTGCTCTTCGCCCTCGTCCTGCTCTTGATCCCCTGAGAGCCCTTGAAATCGGAAGGGCACTGCATCATCCATCACAGCGTCCGCAGGGCCACGCCGCCGAGGGTTCCGGTCATTAGGAGGCATGACGTTCGGACGAGAAAACACAGAGGGAAGTCTTGATACGTGAGGTTGACGAAGCGAAGGGGTAGCGCGCGGTATGAGAGGCTCAGGTAACAAAACTGTCGCCACCCCAGTGGACGTCGAGGAGGAGAACGCAGGAAGAGAGCAAAGAGAGGGGGCGGCTTTTGAACATGTCCACCAGGAGGCTGGCGGGAAAGTCGGCTGCGGAACGCCATCGGCGGCCCGGGTTGTTCGCTACCAGGCCACGCTGGCCAGACGACGAACTGTAGACTGAGGCAGACTTCGAGCAGAGACATTCGCAATGTAAAAATGAATGAATCGACTAGCGATGTGGACAGGCGAGCGTCCGCTAGGGTGTGATGCGGAAAATACAGGTAAAACAAGCTACGCCTCCAAGGCGACATCAAGAACGAGATCATGTCCGACGGCAGTGATGTTCACCTCCCCTTTTTCGAACGGTATCCAAGCCTCTTGATCCCCTTCCCCTTCCGAAACAAAAACGTCGTATATGTAAGACAACGAGATGGCCACAAGCTTTCCCGGTGGTATTCGTCGTAGTGCCCGAGGGAGATTTTGAGGTAGACGGACGATAGATGGTGGCGACACAGCAGCTTGAGGTTCGAACTTCGACAAGACGCTCCTTGCGCCAGAGTGTGGTATCAAGGGGAGCCTGTCGTCGAGAGTCCAGCCTTCTACTAGATCGGCTAGCACAGAGAGATTGTCGTCGGAGCACAGAGGGGAAACACCAGTATCCAAGACGTCATCTGAAGCATGGGCGAAAAGGTCTTCTGCGGTTGTCAATGAACTACGCCGAGCCCACTTTTCGTCGTGGCGCTGCTGAACGTCGCGGGCAAGCCAGAGGGCCTCAGTATTGACCAGAGACGTATCCTTCGGGTTACGCTATGGTTGTTTCAGCCCCAACATAGGAAACATACGACAACCAGGCACACCTTTTGCGCGTGCGAAGGGAAGGAACGCGGGGTAGGATTATGATCAAAGTATCCGCGGATGACGCCAGAGACGCATTCGACGGTTCATCGGTGTACTTGCAGGTGATGTGGAATGAGGGAGAATGCAGATTCGCCAGAGACAAGCAACGGACCTCTTCAACCGCTTTGCGATGGACCTCCTCCGCCTCCTTCGCTGATGGTCCTTTATTCACGACGCTGCTGGTGTGTTGTCTTCGTAGAAGAAGAGAAAAGCTTCATGATGATTTCAATGTCGCTGGGGGCCCTGCCTGGGGGTTGGCGGAACGGGACCTGGGGAGTGAAGCTCGGTCGGGCGTGTCTACAGTAGGGGAATGCCGGGGTGCAGCACGAAGCAGGTTGGTGAAAGGTTGGAGAGTTTTGAGACGGTCGCTGGTGTGCGCCGCATGCGACTCTTCGGGCCGCACCGCGCGGCGTCATGAGCTGGGATGTGCTATGTGACCGATGCACATGAATGGACGGAGAAATCAAAGGGCAAAGAAGCACATACCTCAGTGGAGGGGATAGAGTGGACGGCCGACATCGTGGACAAGAGACAAACCAAGGATATCGGCGAGCACGACGACCAGCAAGCGAGCACGGAAGCGAAGAGCACCTGGGTTCCAAACCCAACGCCACTCTCATAACTCTTCGTATCCCTGCAGAGACGCCGTCCTTATCCAGCCCCATGTTGAGTAGGCACTTGGTACACTGTGAACGGAACGGTGATATTAATTCGGCAGATTTGAATTGTACACACGACCTGGCGTTCAGAGCTTCGTGCGTTTGATGCCAGATTTTCGGCGGGACGATGCAGATGCTTCAGGCGAAAGCAATGTTCGGAGTAATGAATTAATGAGAGGCTGAAGTTATGGTGGTCGTGGGGCAAATGAAGGCAGCGTCTACGCCGAGTGGCATGAGCGCCTTCGGGACTTCGACCGCAGAAGTACTCTTCCTCTGACTGCTCTCATCTCGCCTTGTCCTGCGACGTCAATCCTCTGTCCGTGCATGTATCATCTCATTCTCCTCTCCATGAACTGGAGAAATACTCTGCTTCGATAATGAACATGCATTCATACCTCACGTCCTGCAACCTGCCACCTGGTTTTGGCCGGCAACTTTCCCACTTGTTGCGGCAGCGGACGGAACATGCTGAAACGCGGACGGGTCTGCGGCATTGATTCCCGCTTCCACGCGTATATGGACCATCAGCAGGGGAAGAGCGCATATCAATCTTATCGCTTGATTTACACATGACCATTGACAGGGCCACCGCACGCCTGAGCCCAAATAAAGCCGACCTCGCTGCCCCCGCTGTCCTCGTCTCTCCCGACCACCACCACAGCGGACTCAGCCGAAGACAAGCCTCAGCCAGCTCCGAGGACGGAGAAGAAGCCACGCTCACGACTCACGCTCACGAGGTTCCATCGCTCCATTTCAGTCCTCCTTCCTACGAGCTGCGCACGAGCCGACACACGACGAACATGCTTTCCACCACTATGCAGCTCGTCGCCTTCGTCCTCGCCCTCGCCGCGTCCACCATCGCAACACCGTTGGCGATCACGCCCCGCGACTCGGTGGCCCACCCATCACGGACCCGACGTCGCAGACGGTGTGGACGGTCGGGGAGAAGGAGACTGTGACCTGGTGAGTCTCAGTCCATTCCCTCTGTCTGAGCGACTCCAACACCGACCTCGATGCAGGGATACGTCAGTCCTGGAGGGCGTGACCCCATCTAACCCGAATGGGACGCTCCTCCTGGGCACCTTCGTCGATGACCAAGAACATCTGATGACTGGTGCGTCCCTGTTCGACTACAGCGTACCCGCGTGCACCTCACACATGCCCCGCACTGCGCAGAGTCGCCGCTCGCCAAGGACTTCTCCCTGTTCGACGGGAATGTCACGTTGACCGTGCCCTCGGTGGACCCTGGAAAGGATTACATCGTCTGCCGTACGTCCCTTGCTTTTATATATGCGCATATCTCATACTTATACATACTGGCCGCAGTGGTCGGAAACTCAGGGAACATCAGCCCCGTGTTTACGATTCTCGGCGAGGGAGGCTCCTCGCTCCCTTCGATCAGCACCACCGACTCCACCACGAGCGTGAGCTTGCCGGGAAGTGTCACTCGGACCACGGATGCATCCACGACTACTCCGATCTCGGCCTCCATCACCACTATCACAAGTCCTATCTCCAGTACCACAAGCATCTCAAGTTCGGGCCCATCGAACTCGACAAGTTCCAGCGCGTCCAACACCGCCGGAAGCGCCGCACAAACTACGTCTGGAGCCTTAAGTCTCGCGCCCGCACACCTAGGGAGCATGCTCTGCTTAGTGATTCCCCTTATGTGGATGCTTTAAGCATGTGCTCCCTTCACGACTATCTGGATGCCGAACAGCTACCTTACGACCTCACGGACTATTCACGCAGTTTTGGATTTGTACATTAGGGGACTGAACTCTGCATTGATTTCGCTTCTCGTCTGACTCCAAGAGTGTACCATCCTAACTTGGCTCTTGCCACCATGTTCTCTACGAGATTTTCGCCCTCCTTGAAGGCGACTATCACTCTTCAACGCCTTGAACGTCCTTTGGCGCGATCGACTTGCCGAACGATCGTCCCGTTCTTCGCCTTCTCCTTCATCTTCGCATCGCACGACTACTCCACTCGCATTCGCTCGTTCTGGGCTAGACACTCAACAAGAAGTGCGGAGACCTCCATCTACCGTGCTGGACAACCCTTCGCCCCAGGCACGCCAAATCACACTGCGAAGCCGCACAAACCGTCGATCGCCAAGCTAAGGCTGATCTATGCGCTATCTAATCTCGTAGATTGGCCCTCACACCTCACGCCTCACGTCCGGGCGTCTCACTGGCAAGTCGGGACCCGCTGGGTCGCCAGCAGCTAACTATCTCTTTCCCCTCTATATACCACCACTACGGCAATGCTGACATCACCTTCCCATCTTGTCTTTCCATTCCCGAATCCCTGCGTTCTAGCACCCCTTGCACCGAAGCGCGCAACATCGATATCAACCACAACCAATCACTACAGCATCATGTAGGCGAGCCGACCGTGAACGGAGTCATCACCGGAGGCTTCGAAGTCGGCGTCACTGTCGCTCTGGCCTGCTCTAGCGTACTTGAATTTCCAAATCATTGGCAATGCAATCCGGGCCCGAGGCACTCTCGTGATCAAGTGGTGCGCATCGTGCGGCCATCCCGTCTTCTGCGGTTTGGTCCTGACGTACTCGCCGCCAGATGAACCGCACGCAGCAGCTTCTCGCATACACTTGCAATGGGCCTCCAGGCGTACGGGAATAACCGGCATCGAGGATTGGTCGGCGAAAGCAGTGCAGTTCAAACCGACTGACGTGGATGTCGCGCCGAGGCGCACGGAGTTGCGATGGGCGAGCAACCCAGAACCGGTGCGTGGCGCCGCGAGGTCTGATGGGCTTCAGCTGGGACCCGTTATATGGCTCCCCGCGCGAACACAGGCGATTTTCATAACGACGTCCCCAATCGACCCACACCCCGACACATCGCACAGCGCGGCATGTACGCCAGTAGAACACGCGTACCGCTCGGGTATCGTGAGTAGACTGAGCTTTTGTCGCAGCACATCGTTCTATGTATCTAACGCTTCCGGAACTCTAGAGGAGGGAAACCAGGCGCCCACAGGGGCCCCTGGTTTCGCCGCCTCGGACGCTCAAGGGGTGCTGGTCAGTGCACTGAACGCCCAGCGCAGCCGGTTCCACGAAACCTGCACCACGGCGATCGAAACGATGGACGGCCTCGCCGAGGTCCATCACTTCATGAAAGGTGAGACCGTGACGTGAACCAACCCGTCCCTGCGACTGATGTCGGTGCGATCTCCGCAGACGTCGTGGCGGTCTTCAAGACCTGTCTGCAGCTCGAACTCGACCGGGTTGAGAACGACGGCAGGGCGGTCGTGCTCCATCTCGCGATGATCGACATGATGCGTCCGTTTGCGGTGTACGTGTTCTTCTTCGGGCTGTGCGCCCCCGCTGACAACGCTTGACACAGACTCGAGCATGTCCCGGGCGACATCACCCATGAGATGACGGAGGCGCTCGAGGACCGGCTCCCCTCCGTAACGGAAACCATCATAGCCGGGGCCAAGCTCTGCGACAGCTGGAGCAAGCGCAGCCTCGCTGGTGTGTCTCTGTCTTTGGCGTGGTCCGATGCGAAGAGGGGCTGACTTTGGTCGCAGTGAAGGTCACCTGCAAGGGCACCTGGTGCACGAAGTTCGTCGATATGATCAGGATCTTCGCGGAGCTCAAGGCGGACATCGTGGCCGACTTCCAGCGCGCAGACGTCGACGTGGACTCCCCTCCAGACTACGACGTGATGGTTCGCATCAACGCCGACAGGGACTGGGCGATGGGGGTCGTGTTCGAGCGCATGCGCTCGTCTGACGAGACCGACGTGGCGAAGTGGGCCGAGCGGGGACGCGGGGCCGGAGCGAACGCTCCGCGCAACAACGCTGCCTTCCACAAGCAGCTCGTCGAGAAGGTGAACGAGGTGCAGAAGCGGAAGACAACAGTGCCGGGCAAGACAGACGCGAAGGCGCTTACGGTCAAGGATTTCGAAGACGAGCTGAGCAAAAGTGTCGAGGAGACGATCGAGAGCAACAAGGCATTCGACCGCAAGTTCCACGCGAAGAAGGACAAACTCCAGAGCTTGAAGGACACCATCACGCACTCCACCGATCGGACGATCAGCCAGATACAGGGTGGTCCACATGAGCGGATTATCGACCTGGTGAGTGTGCCATCTTCACCTACGGAGACATTTCGTCTGAAACGGGATGACGAATATCAGGACATGCATTACATCTGGTTCGAAGAGGTACGTTTCTTTCACTTCGAGAGGTACTCAATAACGACCAGAGACTGATCGGACCACGTTTTCCAGGGCTGGAAGGGCAGCGCCAAGGCGAGGCACTTCGTCATGGCCGTTCGCGACTACTTCGCCCTGAAGCAGTCCGACAAGGCAAAATTCAAGGCGTTCATCACGGCCATAGACATGCGGATGAACGCGGCTCGCGGATCAGACTTCGACCCTCACTCCGGCGACGACGTGAGCGCCGCCACTGCAGACTCCCCGGAGGACGACACATGGGCGCTGGAGTCGATCAGCGTTCTGCGCGTCCAGCCCATCATCGAAGCGATGGACGAAGACGTCTCTTCGTTCATCACCATTCAGGAGCTCAACGACTTCACTTCGGCCCGCCCGGAAGATTGGAGGTGTGTTTTGCGCTCCGTTCGCGCGCGCTCGACTGCATGCTCATGTCGTCGCCAGCTTGCCTCGATGGATTGCCTACTGGGCATCCGGTGCGTGGCGAAGCGCAATCCGGCGGCGATAAGAAGTGCTGACGCGTCGGAACCCTGCAGGCTTCGAGATGACAGCTCAATGGTACTTCCGTCGCATCCGGAGGCTGTTCGCTGAGATCGCCACGGCGTCGCTTCAGCTTCATCCGGGAAACCGCGCCGTCGTCAGTTCGTTCGTCTCTGCGCCCGCGGTCACGATCGTCGAGTGCATGTTGTACGGCCTGCGCGACGTCGAAGACTGGGACAACAAGAACTGGGGGGCGGATATGGAGTTCCAGCGGTTCAGCAAGTACGTGTCCCAACGAGAAGAGCAACTGGAACGCGAACTACGCTACTTCTCGTACGACCTGGACGAGGACAACTGCGTTTCGATCGTTACCGGTGGAGGAAGGATTGAGAAGGTGCGCGCCACGGTATTGCTAGCTCTCGATATGATATTGACTGGTGACGCGCGTGTCCACCAGGATATCCTCTGTCTTCTCTTCCTCCTGTTCCGCCGAGCGCTTTTTGTGATTCAGCGCGGAGCGACGGAGCTGCTTCATGAAGAAGAACTCAATATCCTCGATACGTCCATGAAAGTCCTGCTTAGGTTGGTTGGCAGTCGCGCGCAGGACCTCCAGGGTGCGTCCAACAACGCGGCTGGGCGCACTGTTCATGCTCAATAATTACCTGCCACGTAGCGATCTACAAGCTGCAAAACCTGGAGCCGAAATCCCAGATGCTCAAATTCTCGTATGGCCTGGTACGTGGGCGTGCCATGAATAAAAGTCTTGGCTAACTATATCGTAACATAGTTCTACGCTCTTGGGTTGGAAGACTTGAGCGAGATTCCACCCACAAACTGGGAGAGGACTGTCGCAACCGACATGTCGGAAATCGTCGATGTTTCCCTCCCTCCCGGGATAGCCTCAGCGGGCGAACACCCTCTGTTCTACAACCGTGAGGATGACGAAGAAGGCTTCCAAGATCAGGAGGGCCGTCGCGATCTTGTATCAGCGTAAGTCGCACGCGGATACCTCTTTACATGGATCAGAGCCGACGCCCTGACCGTGTTTCTACCATCAACAACAGATCGATCTCGTGCGATGGGTGCGACTCGACACTCGTCGGCACGGGGTACGTCTGTATCACCTGCAGCAAGGACAAGATCGACGGCATGGTAGATTTCTGTTCAAGCTGCTTCACCGCCAACCCGACACCCGGGGACACCGGCCATCGCGCGGACCACACCTGCGTGCAGCTCCGCGTCCCGTGCATGCAAACGCACCGGTTCTCATTGTTCGACTCCGCCAAGGATCTCTCCGCGTGGGTCCCGAACCTTGGCCCCGGCGACGGGGAGACAGACGAGGAGGAGGAGGAGATCCACCTCGCGCGCGGCACCAGCATCTGGCACGGCGGCGGCGGCGCGCTGCCTCCCTGCGCCGAGTGTCAGTCGCTCGAGATCGCCGGACCTTACTGGGCCTGCATGGACTGTTCCGGTGAGCCTGCTCCCTGATTCCCCCCCGCTTGGATCCCGAAGGCTGATTGGTATGTCGGCGCAGACCTCACGGTAGTGTGCTTTGACTGCAACGCCCGCGTCGAGGAGCGCAAGCCGTGGCTGCACGAAGACTCCGTCAACGCGGACGGCCACGCCTGGACGCACACGATGGTTTCCGTCCACGGCGGAGCCCGGGGCGCGCAGGGGGGCGCGCAGGCGGCGTCCGGAAACGCGGCACAGGGCGCCGACGCGCTGCAGTTCGCGCGGATGGAGGCGAAGGTGGACGCGCAAGCGTCGCAGCTCAGGTCGCTGGAGGCGAAGGCGGACGCGCAGGCCGCGCAGCTCAAGTCGCTGGAGTCGCTGCTCAGGGAGATGGCGGCAGCGATGCAGGGCGGTGCGTCCGGCGCGCCTGATCGCTCCCGGGGGCCGGTCGCGCAGCCGGAGTCGGGCGAAGGCTACACAGAGGATGGCCACAGCCGCGAGATGCCGTCGGCCCACGCTGGCCACTCGCAGCCCAGTGATGAGGAGAACGTCCAGTCCGATGATGGCGACGCGCAGCCCGCCTACGACCATGACGGTCCCGCCAGTTACCAGTCTGGCTACGAAGGCAACACTCGGTCCAACTACGACAATTACGGGCAGCCTAGCTACGATCAACCCAGCCATGGTAATTACAACCAAGCTGACGACGAGGGAAACGGCTTCGACGACTGAAGAGGAGATTGTTGGCGCTCCGATCGAAAGCGCAGACGAAACGTAGTTCGAGGCCAATTCGAAGTGCAATCAGATGGTTAGTGATGATCCATGTACGCATTTGAAGACGTAAAAGAGCTGTACAACCAAATTCCCTCCATTATGCGGAGTCGCCTCGCAGTCGGGGGATGACAGAGAGAAGTTGAAGCCAAGGGAGCCAGCCTCCAACCAGAATTGTGTGGGAATGTAGCGCCCGATTCGGATGGGTGTTCGCCAGCGGTGTGCAGGGCGCTATTATCCCCGCCTTTTGCCAACTGTCATGGGCTCAGTGCGAGTACAGACACTTTCATATGTTTCCAAGTCCATTGAGAAGTTTGAATTCTGGATTCCTGTCTTCAAGCATCGGTACAAACAAACGAAGCCGGAGTTGTCGACACACGAATCACGATGAACCGAGCCACTGGACGTTGCATACACCCTCCGAGCGTGTGCTGGGCACAAGGACATCTCGCAGTCCGTACTGCCCTCTTCTTTGCTGTTATGTGCTCAGTCTTGTTTCAGTGGGCTGCGCTTCCCTGCAGTGGCGCTCTGGTTGTGCTGGGCTGTCAACTCGGCATGAAGCGAGCAAGAGGCTGGCCGGAGGCCGACGATCGTCCTGTCAGCCCCACCAGAGCCTATGTAAACCCATCGGCAGCGGTCACAAGCCCCCATCGTCCCTCTCCCTCGAACCTCCACCATCTGCGCTACCCCGCGTCCACCGCGTCATCCCACGCCCTCATCACCAACCTCCAGCATTTTCGGTTGTTATGTTTGCTAGTAGCTTCAGTAACGTCCGCCGATTCCGCAAGGCCTTCAACCTCGCTCCATTCCAGACGCCCATGGGCGACGACCTGGAGGCCCACGGTATGGATGTCGACATCCCTTCCACGCCGAGCACAGCAAAGGCATCTGTCCGCACATCCGACGTCGCGAATGAGAGCATGCCTGGCCCCTCCGTCGGTGATCGCGAGAAGCTCATGGCACAGAGGCGAGGGCAGGGAGTGGGCGAGCCTCGTACAGTATGTCTTCGCTCAGCTCGTCGTCTGAAATATCCACTGATCAGTTTCCAGCCCGAGCGCAAGCGGGGTGCTCTCCAGCCTCCTTCCGCCCCGAGGAAGAGGCGCTTGCCGAAGGGCACTCTGTGGGACCTTCCTGATTTCAAGGTGTGTTCTTTCACCGCTACGCATCTTACCGCTCTCATGCCGTGCATCAACGCCTTCTTCGCGTCGGTCACGCCAAAGCCGACTGTCCGCAAGTTCGACCTTGTGGACGCCGCCGCCGCCAGCCCCAACGTCGACGACTCTGAAGAGCCCATGGCCAAGAGGCGACGATGGGGAGCGGGAGAACCTTGCACGGTATGTGATCCATGAGATCACCATGCACCGCTTTTGCTTACCTGCTTTCAGCCCAAGCTCAAGTCGCTCAACGTCCAGACTCCTCCAGCCCCGAAGAAAGGGTTCGGCATCAAGGTCCTGCGGTCAAGGTTTGTCGCTTTACCGTCGCACACCGTACCGTTCTCATGCTTCCCACTAGCAACGCAAGCAGTTCATTGCCGCCAACAAGGATAGGATCATCACTGATAGTCCCTACGCGGCGGCCGCGTTCCCTTTTTCCTTCGCTTTCCGACTACGCTTGTTGGCGTCGCCGGTCGGGGCCCGGCCTTGGTTCGCTGCCTTCGTCCATGGAGGTTGACGCGCCCCAGGCCCCCGCCGTCGTTGAAGCCCTCGAGTCCTCACCGTCTGTTGTCATGCAAGACGTTCTGCCCAGCATCGACCAGCTCATCCCGCGCTTCATCCGGAATAGTGTCACGAAACATCAACGTCGTCTCCAAGTCAAAGCTTACGGTCCCCGTCCTCAGCGCCAGGCTCTCCCGCGTGACGCCCCTTCCGTCGCCTACGACAAGGCCAAGAGGCCTCGGGTCTATCACGTCCAAGAGCGCGAGGCTAGCAAGCACACAGCTCTGGAGCAACAGCAGTTCTATGAGGCTATGGCTTCTCTCAAGGCGAATCTGGACCTCACGGAGATCGTTCGAGACGATGCGATGGACAACATGGAGCTCGATCATGAGGTAGAGATCGTGGACGACGAGTGCATGGTCGTCGACGATGAGGACGTGGAGATGACTGATACGGGCCAGGTGCGTACCTGTTTCGTTATCGCACACTCGCCACTGACGTTGTGCTCTTTGCCGACACCCAGACCATGAACGCAGATGACGATGTTCAACCAATGGAGGATCAGCGCCAAGAGCTTTCTGCGTCTCTTCCGTACACCGAGGTGTGTATTATCTCGCTATCCCCGCTTTCGTGTCCCGCTCATACACTATCTTAGACCGCGACTGTACAGAAGGCCGGCCCGAAGCAGTGCCCCTGCCGCCGACCCCAACGCTTCCTTCCCCGACCGTCATCGAGACCGTCATGGACGTTGAACCGCCGCAGGCTGCCGTCGCGGCTGAACAGCCGCGGGCCGCCATCGTCGATGAAGAGCTGCAGATCGTAATCGTCAGAGAGGATTCGAAAGCCGCAATCCGTCGTCGCTGCCAAGGAGCAACAGACCACTTTCGACGCCATGGACCACGTCGACGACGACATTCGGCAACTGTCGCCCGGTTCTTCTAGTCCGAGGGTTATATTCCACGGAGTATCCAGCGACCTCACCGTGGCTGATGCTCAGGGCTACGCCTCAGCAGCGACGACCAGGTTGACACGGTGCCCTGTACGGGAGCCTAGGTGAATCTCTTCGCGACCCGCAACCTCCATCGACGACGCTGCTCTCTGGCCGGCCCCTCCCTGGATCTCAAACGGGACGACTCGCTTCTCGCGCCTCCCTGTTGCTGGACCCCCTCTTCCGAGACGTCGCTCTATCCAACGCCGGGTTCAAGGTTGGCGCGCTTGTCCTTCTCAGCGCCCTGGCCGCAAGAAGAGTTGGGATCTTCGAAGTATCGGAAGTCTGGCAGGACGCCTCCAAGGCCGTCGAGAGCACTCTCTTCGCTCCAAGACTGGCCCCCACTGTCGCCTGGGTCCCATCGTTACGCTGAACATCAAGCCGTTTCGTCGCCATCTCCTCCACCAGCCTCGCCTTCAAGCAACGTCGTACGCTCGCGCTCATTCCGGACCTCAAAGTCGCCTGCGGCCTCCAAACACCGCATGTGTCTCGGCATCACGATCCTCCCCGAGCTCCTCTCCTCTCACGCGGCTTGATCCAGCTTTCTCTTCGGGCGTCTCATCAAGATTCCGTCTACCTTCTTTTCCTTGCACAATCTTTCAAGACACGCGGTTACTTCCGTACCACACCACTATCTTGGTATCCTTCCCTGGTTCGACGCACACTACGCCTCATTGCAAGACGACTCTGCTACGACGACTAGACTCGATCTCAACTGCATCTTTTCTTGGGTTCTCGACTGCTTGCATCATCTCCTCTGGATCTCTCATCATATACTGGATTTTACGACATAGCATACCACTCCCTCAGCTGCAAGTTCGCATTCTCGCACGACATCACTACCTGGCATTTCAAACACATCTTCTCCGCCGCCGATACCACATTCCCGGCTACATGCTCAAGTCTCATGCCTCACCTCCATCTATACTGCTCCCGTGCTGCCTCTCATCAAGCCTACGGTTCTCGCCCTCTTCCGCTCCCTCGTCCAGCAACATTCCATGCTCAAGACCTTCGACGTCCGCCCCTGAGGAACGGATCTTCTTCGTGGTACGTCTGCCTCATCTCGCCATCCACGTTTGACTAACGTCGTCCTTGCAGATATCGCACGAGCCATATGAGGTTCTGCAACTCACGAAGCATACGTTCCTGGCCGCGCGCATTCGGCTCCTTCGCCCCGGGGTCCACCCTGCCAGTGCTGGGCCGCGCGTGCTCTGGAGATGTTGACTGCTCGATGCTTCCAGACTGCTGATACTTAACGACGTGACTTGATCCTGTACGCCGATGATGTACGGAATCGTTCGCAGAGTTATGTTTGCAGTCCGTTAGAATTCTGTACGCTTATATGAAAATACCCAGACATCTTCTTTTCCCTTTTACCCCTCGTTTGAAGCGAGACGCATGGGCACACGGCAGGTGGAAAAAGGAAACCCATAATTTTCATACACATCGACGTCCACAACATAACAACGCGACGGAACACATACGCATACGCAAGCCGGCGCGGACATCTCCGCCAATCTCGCCTGGCGGCAGGCGCGCAGACGCCGCCGGTCCCCATGCGAACCCCTCGACACTCTGCGCCGGGCTACTGACTACTAGGCTGTACGAACGACCGACTGCCGCCTCACCGCACACGGATCCTCTGCCCCTAAACTCGGCCGGCAGCCCGTCTCGTCGCGGACCACCGGTGGCGTCTAGCGCTCTTTACGACACGGCCAGCTCCTCCAGGGGCGAGCCCGCGTGTTGGAGGTTTCTCGGATGGCGGGGACGATCTCGATTGCTGCTTTGGCTTGCGAGACCGGGCGTCGACGGCTTGCTAGTGGGCGACTATCGGAGACCTAGACGCGTCAGAGCCTCTTGCACTCGGGCGTCGAAGGGGTGCGTGGGGTGGCTGAGTCTGGCTACATCAAGCGCTTTCCGGAAGACTTCGACGCCATATCGCTGGCCATAGGGTATCGCGGCGCACAGAAACTGCGCGGTATCCTCATCTGCGGGAATGCGGAAAGGAGTGCAGATGACGAAACAATTGAAGCGTGAGCAACTTGGAACGGATGGGGACGGTACGTACCATCGGGCTCCAGCGTTTGAACCTTGGATAGGTGCAAGTTCTCGCAATCCTTGATTCTACACTCTCCGCTGAAATCATACTGGCAGACTTGGCGCGTGTTATCTGATATAAACTTCAGCACCGCGGCTTGCTTGAGCGGTCTCAGATCAATATCGTGCGCCCTGGTCGTGCTTGATGACGACCCGGACGCCAAAGCTGGCGATGAGCTCGCCAGATCTACTCGCGACGGACGCAACAACGGATGGTGATCTAGAACGGAACGGTAAGTCTGGAAAACAGGCGTTTGTTCTTCATCGCTTGAGTGGAAATCGGTGATTGCACCCAACGTAGTCTGGACGAGTGAATGAGTACGAGCATACACCACGAGTCACCTGCAGGTGGATCCATGAACCGGACCGAAGGTTTGACACGCACCTGGGTCGACGTCTGGGATTGAGCGCCAATGACGTCGACTGTCATGTCTTCATTCTCTTCGTCATCAGAAGCCATAACCTGTAGCGAAGCCAAGGGGAAGAAAGAAGAGACAGAAATAAACGTCCCCAGAGGAACAAGTTGAGCATGTATCCACGAAGCCGCGCTAAGGGCGGTCAAGAAGAAAGACTCTTGCCAGCTCTTGTCGCGCTTCTTCTGTGAGCACTGCAGAGCCAACAATCCAAACGGAAAATGGTGTCAAGCGACGAATTGCGTACGCGAAAATGCCGAAGTGTGATGGATGAGGCGCAATGCAGATGCAAGAAAGGGCAAGCGGGATGAGGAAGGGGGCATCGACTGAACGCGTGAACCTGTAGACTTGCCTGTCTCGCCAGTCGCGAAGTGCTCTGACATTGGAACGAGATCTGAGATGGCCGTAAGACGAAACCCGTCTCACAGACACCGCGACTCACCTGATGGACTAGTAGCACCACTAGTGAACTCAGAATCAGGCAGCGACACAGTTGGTTGGTCGGAACCATCTGCATAAATAGTGAGATGACGAGGTTCGACGCAACGTAGTCGATACACTCACCATCCAGCAACAACGTGGCAATGACTGAACGCTCCTCCGTACTGGAAGGGCCAGGAGTGGACGATTCACTACTCCGAGACTGGCGCAATGACGGAGCAGTCGAGGAAGAGTCATCATCTTCCTCCTTGACATGGGCCGAGCCTGACTGCGACTCAAATGATGGATTCGCTGAGCGCGACATCTGCGGCCGAAGAATGTGACCTTGAATGTAGACTCGTGGCCCAAGATAAACGCGACGCACCATGGCAAGCTTCCGTAGCTTGATCTGTTCACGTCTAGCGATCATCTCCTTCATCTGACGTATCTGCTCTTCCTTGGCTTCAAGAGCGAAGCTCGACATAGCTGCGGGGGTGGACGAAGCGGTGACGGTCGGTGTAGCAATAAGCGAGGCTTGGGGCGTGACTGCTGCAGGGCCTTGAGAATCCCTCCCCGATGGAATTTCGCTCGATGTAGGAGTGCTGCCTTCCCCGTCATCCTCGTTGTCACTCAAGTCAATAACACATCGTCGTTGAGTAAGACCCGCGAAGCTGTTGTGCTTCCGACGCCGGGTAGGGCGGCGAAAGTCGGTGTCGGGATCCCACACTTGACCATGGGAAGGACCGGCAGCCTCCATGTCGACGAAGTCGGACGCCACGGGGCGCTTTGTTCCCCTTCTGGTTAGCTCCTCCGATGGCGCACGATCTTGAAAGAGACCGGGGATGGCGTCAGAGTCGTCGATACTGTCGTACGACAATGCGCCATCGACCGTGTAGGAATCTCCACCGGGCTGATAGGAGTACCCGGAAGTGGCGGACACAGAAGACAGAGGCTCCGTCGGCGAGCGTGGGGCTTGGGTTCGGGTATGGACGACGTACGACCTCGGATGGGGCGAGCGATTGGAGTGTACTCAGTGATCCCGCCTGATAAGCCGGGGACTTCGTCGACATCCATGAAGTCCGTGGAGAAAGTACGCGAGGGGGAAGCGTGCGGCGGCGTGACGGATCTTGTCCCGTTACTGTGCGGTGCGGAAGGTTCAATAGTGCTGAGGAAATCTTCAACCGCTTTGGTGGGAACAACAACGGGCGCTTCTTGATCGTTCGCTGGAGGGGTTGGCGTAGAGGTGGGCGGGAAACTGGCAGCGGAGTTGTAGAGCACCGAGTTCTGTTGCTTGAGTTTCCGAGATGCGAGCACGGCTTTGCGAGCCAGGAGCTCAGCCCTCCGCTGTTGCTCCATGTCGTTCAAACTTGTCGAAGATGTCGCTGTTTCATTCTGACCAGTGGACGGGACAAATGGCGTGGCGGAAGCCGATAGAGATCTTGAAGGTTCAGTGACAGGGGGAGACTTCGGAGGTGCAGATACGATTGAAGGTCGATGGGAGGGGGACGTAGGCACACGAGGAGAAGGGATGTAGGGTGACAAACCCGTGGCGTTGAGGTTGTTTGGCAGCCGAAGGTTGAGTTCAACGAAGACGTAGTAGATGATTTCTCGACTGAGGCCGCAATTGACGAGGTATTCTGGAGGGACGCCCCAGCCAAGAAGATCGAGAACAATATCCTTAGCGGTATCATACTGAGGTTGAGTGACTGTAGAAGACGTCTTAGGTGCATAAACCTGATGGAGGTTGATTACTCACGAGCGAGTCCTGGCCTCACATGCGCCTCGTCAACAACAGACGGAGTTGACGCCGCCAAAGCAGACGGCAGCTGGGCAGGAAGGGCGAACGAAAGGGCTGGGGATAGAGGCTCAAGTTTCGGCTGAGGGAGCGGCGGCGGTAGCATTTGGGTCATGGCGGGAACTTGATGGTCAAGATTCGGTGAATGCGGTTCTGGCTTGGGGGAGGAGCTTCAGGAGGGGCTTCTGAGTCGCTAATCTCTCCTTCCTCTCTCGCCTGACCGTCTTCGTCGACCCCATCGTCTCTCTGCTCTGCGGGACTGGCGGGGGAACGGTTGGCTGCATGGCGGGTGAAGAGGCTATGGACGAAGGGGGAGGAACGGGTTCGTCGGTGCCGTAGTCGAGTTCGATGGATGGCGGGGTGAGAGGTGCCCGGGGCGGCGGAGGAGCCGGCGTGTCGTTGGTGAGCTTCCGTTTCTTCTTGGACCTCAGAGTAAGTAAAGCAGCGGCCCTGAGCGACGCGGCGGGATCCTCCACGGAGGTGTCCGGAGGAGGATGTGAGGGCGCAGTATGAGTGCGCGCGGCAAGAACTGAGCCAGACATGGTGGAAGAGAGCGACCTGCGCCGGGCGAGAAACCAAGAAGTCGGCGAGGTGGGATGGGGAGGGGGATGGGAACGATTAGGACACGATAATAAGCTGCGTCTGGGCGAAGTCACATTCCCACAGACGCCCATGCACGGACCATCCCGCCCGGCGCTTCTCGGTCCGTGACTTCCCGTCCAGGCCGAAATTCTGTTCTTCCTTTCTTTCCATGAGTCCATCTACATCAAACCTCCCGAGCACCACGCCAAAGACCACGCAAACAGGTTTTGTCGGCAATATATATCAGCAAGGTCTGCCGTCGAGTTGTGCAAGCTCTTTATGTAGTCGTTAGTGGGCGGGTGGGTGGCGCCAGGGTCTCAAACATCGGTCGCAGACCTAAAGTTCTAGTTTTGTGTGCATATTCCGTCAGCACTCTCAATACATCAGATATTTCCGTATTGCTGCGACTCGCAAATTCCAACTCATCTAACGATAGCCGTCGCCCGGATAACCAACGGCAGCACCCCTGCGCTAATGGTTAGCAATTCTCTCGGACATGTTACCCAACTTACAACTCACCTCCCGTATGGAGGGCGTACCTAGGACGACCAAGGGTACGCACGAAGCCGTTAATAATCCCGCTGTGTGCTGTGATCCCGATGTCTGCAGCTCCCGACCGTGTTAAAGTGGTATGTTACTGGACGACTCGGCGGTACTCACATCTCTCCTCGTTTTCGGTGAAGATCTTGTCCAGGACCTGCCGTGCACGCCACGCTATGTGATCATAGGTTTCCCGCTCGTCCGTCCAAATGATGTCTTCATCTCGAAGCCTTCTTCGAATCGATATATCGGCTGCGGGAAATCCACTTCCACCACCGAACGCGGAGACCGCTTGTCGCACATATGTGCGCCAATATGCTCGCGAAGAAGCTGAAGGGTTCTCGCTTCAGTACGCCATTCTGGCTAGTGGAAAGCTCACTCGCCTCTATAATCTGTACATGGGAAGGTGGCCATCGACGATTCCGCTTTCGACAAAGTCTTCTGAAAGGTATGTAGAGCACGTCTGAAGGGGCTCGCGTAATGCTTTTCTGGCAAGGGGATGTCGTGCTGCATCTCGCTTCGCCATACCTGTCCCGCAGCGACAGCTTGATCCACTCCCACCTGAGTTAGATCCGGGTCTGGACCCCAGACGATCTCGCCGTCTCCGGCTTGTCTAGCCCAAACGCTGATAACAGAGTTGAAGAAAAGCTGCGAATAACAGAAGTCATACGCACGCATCCCACACCTGTGAATTTCGAGTTCACCAAAATTCGTTCACCGCAGTTAAATGTCGCTAAACCAACATACCTCTCTACCATATTTATGCATCGCAACATTATCTGATGATGATGTTTGTGGCGGTCTGTCAAAACATAGGTCCGATGAGAAGAAAGGCCATGAAACGTACGGACACCCTCCCCGTGTCTGCCAAAGAAGAACACTTTGTGCTGTGTTCCCGGTTCGGCCTCGGCGTCAGTTGTGCGATGCGCTGTTTGAACGTCTCCCAACGGTTGGGTGAATCGTCAAGCAATCCAAACCGAGGAGGAATCTGCAACCGAGTTTTAGTACAGTACTAGATAATGCACACACGTATTACCGCCCCGATTGCTGCTGTATCCGCGGTGGGCTCGTCCTGAGCAAAGAAACCGGTAACGATCTACGTCAAATCGCTGGTAAATGCCATTTCTCGCTTGGGTGTCCGGAAAGCAGTAAGTCCGTACTGAGTATTCTCGATGAATGACGGTCATGATTGACCAGAGCGTTCCACCCTCGTCGATACAACCTTCGAGTTATGGGGGTACCAAAGCGAGAGGCGAGCCCGACAGCACGCAAGGCACGCGGCAAGTCCACATCAATCCAGCGTTTAAGGATTTGATCACCCGGGCCGAATCCCGATTGGCCGCCTTGGCGACAAGGTTGAATTGAACATGGTGAGAACCTCCATCGCCGCATCTCCAACGAGAAGGGAAAGTGCAGACAGAGTAGGCTAATGGCAGATTTACTCCTGTGCTCCTACTCAAGCCTTGACGTTCTCCGCCTTGATCACAAGAGGAAGAACCCCTTCAGGCCAATATCAGGCACAGACAGCTAGAAAGGATGGCTCATACCTCCAGTGGGAAGTGAGTAGCCTGTCCGGTTGAAGTTCCTTACGAACCCGTTGATGATTCCGCTGTGTGCAGTAATGCTGATGACTGTCCATGCATGCTGAGTTAGTAGGTACAACATCACCACGACTGGAGCAGGTACTCACACGTCTCGAACTTATCCTCCGTGAAGATCTTGTCAAGTACTTGTTTCGCGCGCCACGCAGTGTGCTCCGAGCTCTCGCGCTCATCCGCCGTCCAGAGCGTGTCGTTCTCCGCGAAACCCCGCTCAAAGTGGTACACCGGCGCGTGAAAGTTCTCCGCGATCTCCGTCTTCGTGAAGCGCATGTCGCACGTGTGCACCCCATACTGCTCGCGCAGGTCCTGCGTAGACCCCGTTCGGGGTGCGTTAGCCCCGCTCCGTCTGTGCGCGTTCATCTGAAGAGACGGCGAAGCGTACCTCCAAGATGAGCGTGCGGAGGAAGAGGTCGTTTATGACGCCGCTGTCCTCGAGCTCGAGCTTGAACGTGTACAGCGCGCGCCGCATTGGGCTCGCGTAGAGCTTCTGTGGGAGCGGGATGTTGAACTTGTGCTCCGCCTTCCAAAGCTCGCCGACGGTGATCGCCTGCTGCACCCCGTTGTCCGTCAAGTTGGCGTCGGGGCCCCAGACGATCTCTCCATCGCCGTCGAGCTTGGACCAGTAGCTGCACGCAACCCATGTTGTGAGCTGAAGAGCACAGACGCATATATGGCGAAACCACGCACTCATCCCAAGCCTGCAATATGCAACGGCATCAGTCCATTCACCCAGGGCAAAAATGGAGAACGTGCGTACCGGCGTGCCGTACTTGGCCTCAGCGACGTTATCTGCAAACCTCATACCTGAGCACGTTGCTCGCTAACAGTGGTTGATGCGAACTCACGGAAACCCTCGCCGTGCCTGGCGAAGAAGATGGCCTTGTACTGCGTCCCCCACTCCGCCTGTGCGTTCAACTTCGCGAGCTTGAACCTGAACGTCTCCCAGCGCGCCGGCGATGTATCGAGCAGACCGAACCGGGCTGGAGCCTGTACACCGGATGTCGGATATAGTCAGTTGAACCCGTGGGCGCCACGACTGTAGTCCGGAGCCAATAAGCGTACCGAGCCGATCGCGCTCGAGTTCGCATTGGGATCGTCCTGCGCAAAGAAGCCCGTCACAATCTACCAGGAGGAACCTATCAGTGCGACCACACACGCGCCATTGTCGACTTGATCTCACTCACCGAATACTCCTTCGTGGTCGCGGATCCGACTCCGAGTGCGGCGCGCGCCGCAAGGGGCAGCGAGGTCTGCAACGTGAGCATCACGAACGCGAGGATAGCAGTGCTCCACATCCTGGCGTATACGCGGGTTGTTCTCTGCGCCCCGGACGAGGGACTTACTGCGTCAAAGGGCGAGTCGAGTCCGAGCGGGCCGCACGTCACCCTGCCGGGGTCGCGCGGCTTATAAGTAGCGACGCGCGCAAGGCGCGAACGTGCGTCGCCATCAACAACGTCGGCCGCGGAGGGCGCGCGCCGAGATGACAGCTCTTCGCTGTCGCCGCGCGAGTCGCGGCCTTCGCAAGCATTCCGGGCGAGTCATGTGCTTGTGCGCGGCGAAGCATACCATACTCTTTGGTGGAGATGGCAATGGCAATGGCTTGCATTGAGGAGGAGGAAGACATATACGTAGCAAGGTACGAGTCAGGCCTCAGGTATACTATGCCGCGTGTGCACTAGGCGGGCGCTTGTGAAGGGGACGGCCAGTCTATAGTACAGGACTGCCAGAGCGCTAAGCGATGCGCACTCGGTCTTCCACTGTACTTAGCTTCCTGTACTAGTGTAGTTGTCGACCGAAAAACTATGCTGGTTAGGAGGCAGCAACAAGTGACATAATCACCCGCCTCCTCCTCCTCCAATTGGAAGCGAAGGTACTTGTTCCGTATGTTAAGCGACGAGCCATCTTCTACAGCGATCGCGGTCGTCGCCTCGTAGCAAGCCCTCTCAATCGAGCCTAGTGACTTGTGCCATTGGCACCCCCGGCAGCTAAGGAAGCGAAGCTATGGGGGTGATCCCGCTGCAGAACGCTAGAACTCCGTGCCTTGTCGGAAACGTTGGCACAAAGCACGTACTCGACTGCCTGCATTCTCGGTCAAAGCCCATGAGCGAACGGCAGAGCGGCTTGAGACCCAGGCGCGAGTGGGCCTCGCGCTGTTCTCCATTGTTTCAGACGTTCGGGCTATGTTCTCGGTGCGCACGACACATCTCATCGCGCATCATCCGTCGACGTCAATGCACTTCTCCGGCAAGGGCATATGCAAGCAGCTGAGCGCCCCACCAGCGCTGGAGAGAACTTTGGCCTACCCACGTCCATGGCCGCGCTCTCAGTGCTCTCCCGTCTCCCGTCCGAGGGCTCACACGCTCACGCGGCGCCCGCCTCCTCCGCCGCGACACTCGGCGTGCTCCCCGCTGTCCCGCCAAGGCCGTAGACGAGCGCGAGCGCGAGGCCTGCCGCCGGCGCCCATCCTCGTCGCCCGTGCCCGCGGTCTCGTCCTTCATGCCCTACCGCACGTCGAGCACGGTCGAGCCTGCGCCGAAGAGTCGGCGCGAGGTCTCGAGGATCTCCGCGCGGCCGGGAGGGGCGGGGTCCCCGCCCTCGTTCAGCCCGTCGTCGTCGTCCAGCGCTCCGTACGCCCCGCTCATGACGCTCATGCTGTCGTTCCCCTCCCCGACGTCGAAGACGGACCCAAGCGAGCGGTACGACGCCCCGGGATGCATCGGCGTCAGCCGGCCGACGTCGTACATGACCTCGGGCAGGCGGACCGCGCCGTGCGCGGGCAGGTGCATATGTATGGGCATGTGCGGACCCGCAGCGACGAAGTCGGCAAAGTCGTCGTCGAAGCCGCGCTCGGTCTCTGCGTCTGGGCCGTCGTCCGAGCCCGCATGCGGGAAGGGCGAGGGGTGGTGGAACGCCGCGGACGAGGGGGCGAGCGTGTCCTCATAGCTGTCCGTGGCGGACACGGGCACGCTCGCGACCCCCGTCCGCGCCTCCGCGCCCACCGCGGCCTCGTTCTCCTACCCCTCGTGCTCCTCGTCCTCGTGCTATCCTCTTGCGCCCTGGCCTTATCGTCTCGCCCGAACTTGCGCCCCGCGCCCGCCTCCTCGTCCTCCAGCCGGCGCTCGAGCTGCTCCATCTCGCGCTGCATCCGGCTCCTGCACTTCGCCGCACGTGGAGGCCGTCGTCGACCTCCTCTGGAACGCCCAGCCGATGAGGTCGCGCCGCGCGGCTTGCGCTGGCGTGTCGCCGCGGCTGTACGAGCGAGGGCCACATGATCGTGCTATGGGCGTCGATGACGCGCGGGAGGCGGGGATGCCTATCGCGCGACTCGCGTGATGAGTCGAGGGTCGCCTTGGGCTTGAGACAGGAATGCAGCGGAGGAGGAAAGGAAATAGGGAGGGAAGAGACAACAGAGCAACAGAGAGAGAGAGAGAGAGAGAGAGAGGAGAGAGAGAGAGAGAGAGAGACGCACCTAAGTCTAACGAAGTCCTTGTTGTTTGAGTCCGCTCCTCGTCCACACGTCCGTACGCGAAATTGAAGCCGTCGAGCCCGTCCTCGTCCTCGTCCGCGCCCAGTGGCGGGGTCGCATCGGCGCCGCCAAAGCGGACGGCGAGCGCGACTTCGGGGTCGTAGGCCCGGGTTTTGTGGAGCGTCGAGCGGCGGCGAACCACCCCGGGCGCACGGAGCGCAAGTTGGTGCGCGCGCAGTGGAGGGCGACCTGCGGAGTCGGACATCCCGGTCAGATCTGGTGTGGCGGTGTGTGGTAGTTGTCCCCTCCTGCTCGGGGTGCGGGCTGATGTCAAATCGGACCTGATAGACGGGAAATATGGTGCGCAGAGTGAGCAGGGAGGGTCTGGAGATGGAGGCCGAGCTGGCGTCGTGCCAGATTCGGGTAAGCACGCCGAGCGCATGCACGGCCCGCGAGCCGTCGGGTAAGCACCTGCGATTTGTTCTCGTCCACGACACATCCGCAATTCGTCTCTTCGCGAGTGTCTTGTGGGTATTTCCGTCAGCAGAGCGTATGGCTTCTGCGTCTGGCGATGTGAAGCTGATTGTCAAGATAGCTGCGGGCCAAAGTCTACGCCCTTGGTGAGTGGCAGCTCCAGGCAGTGAGCTCACAGCCCATCCTTATCTACGGGTTCAGAACAACAGCTCACGTTGCAGGTGCACCAACGGCCTTCCATTCCAGGTGGCTGCTCCGACCTCCGACGCTAGGTCGCCGGCCCCCGGGACGTGGAGAAGCGGCGAACGATCGTCGACCGCATCTTCTCGAGCTCGCTGCCCTCAAACTTCTAGCCAGGGTGGGGGCGAGACCAGGGGAACGTGTGGGTTGATCAAAGGCACTCACACAATTGCACCTTCCCTTCATCGAGCTGCACATGGACGGACTGCTTAGCCTCCCAGATGGACGCGGAGACACCGCCGCGCGCGCTAGTGCCCGTCACCTGGGCCTCTCTGAGTCATCCCATCACTCGCGCCATCCGGTGCCCAAGTGTCTCCGCCGTCCGGGGCGCCCGTGCGTCGTATCCCTCTTATTGCGGCCCTCAGGCCTCAGGAAGCACCGGTCTGCTGAGGAGAAGCCAAAGAGCGCTTCGCTGCACATCGCGCGGGAACGCCAGAACTCTCTCACCCGCCCGGCTCCTCCCCCAGGACAATTTTCGCGCATTGCGCAGACGGCGCGCCAACAAGGACGCTTTCTTCGCCAAACCTCCGGCCGCACCGCGACAGGGGCGCTGCGCCAAGAAAGAACGTACAGCCCGTGCAGCTGACCCCCCGCGCGCCGCGCGCGTTGCGTGGCGGCGGGCACTGTTGAACGTTGACACCCGGGTCCAGAGTCCAGACTTGCTGGCCGCCGCGCCTCCACGTTCGCCTGGTCCTGTCGATACGGTCGATCGGCGGGATCGAGAAAGACAGGAGCCACCCTCGTTTGGGCGGAGGTCCGCCCGCTATCCGTGTATCCCACTACCTCCGCCCACCCCACCTCGCCACTGGCCATCCACTCCACTCACTCGCCGACTCAGGACGACTCAAAGTCGGGACACTCTCGAGATCCCCCCCCCTCCCCTCTCGCGCGCTTTCCCAGGCAGAGGAAGAGGGACGGCACGGCGCAGGAACGCGAGGACGGGGCACGCGTGGGCGAGGCCGCCTCCGTTCCTACTTACCGAGAACGGACGGGCCCCTCGCGCGCGCACCTGGTCGGGAAGATCTGGCCCGCACCCGAGCAGCCATCGCGATCCTCGATCGAGGCTCCCTCGCTGGATTCGGCCAGGCGCGCGCGGGTGGCCGTTTAGGGTGTCCCTCCGCGGACGCGTGTTGCAAGGCGTCTACGTGCGGTCCACTCGAGGGTGGTGCTGGAGGCGGGCGGTGGACGAACGGGTGAACGGCGCGCGCAATGAAGTAGCTGGATGAACGTCGGAGTAGTAAGCTTCGTGGCTTCGTGGGTGGCACGAGCTGTCCACACGGCGCGCACGCGGCGAACGCGACATCTCCGCATGTCCGCCCATCTGCACACCCAATCTATCTGGAGTGCTCGATGCACTGCGACTGTGTGCGAGCGCGAGAAGCCGTACGTACGCTCGTCCACCTTCGGCAATCCATCACGGCGCCGCGGGAAGTTCGTGCCCACCGCGTCCGCCCGTGCCCCCTCAGATCCGCATCACTCGTGATCTACCGAACCTTGTGGCTTGCGGGAGTGGATGACTTCCAGCTTTCCGAAATTACGAACATGAACATGAATCCGAACGTTTGAACCTTGCACCGTACGCCGTCAGACTTGCGTCAGACGGTCTCGACAGAAGGTACCCCAGCTGCAGCCTTCGAGCACACAGGCCTGTGCGCCGCGCCGACTTCTCGATCTTGTCCCCCCGCCAACCCGAGTCCATGTGGAACGGCGTGGAAGCTGGGACACCCCGCAGGGCCCGAGACCATGTACAGACACCCAGTGTCCACGTCCATCGTCCACGTCCGTGCACCTCGAACGAGAGCCTCCGTCCCACGCGCCCCGCGACGTGCTCATCCGTCGCAGCCCCACCCCGCCCCGCCCGTCGATCTCCACGCGCGCCGATCGACGTCCGCCCCACGGGGTGCGGCTTCAACCCAGCACACTCGGACCGTGTTTGTCGGCCGTCGGCGCGCCCCGATCCCGCCGCAATCGGTTTCAGCCTCGGCCCGGCCATCTCACGCGTGCGCGCCGACCCGAGGGCGTCGGCGGCCAAATCGAGCGACGAGGGGCGAACGCGTTACGCGGGGTCGGCTCCGAGCCGTCGGGACGATCGCGGGCGACTGTCGAGGCAAGCTCGCAAGTACGGACGTGCGATCCATTCTTCGTTCTTATTCGCGCGCGGCCGAGTCGAGGGGTCAAAGCAAGGGGCGATGTACGCGGAGGGAGACGGGAGGGGAGGACGACGGCCGGCGAGGGAGAGACGGACTACTACTTCGGCCGCGCGCGGCGGCGGGCAAGACAACGTACATTGTATCATACGACTAGGAGGGAAGACATGGGGTGTAGACAGAAGGAAAGACTGAAGGGCTTAAGGATATCGGAACGGCGGAGTGGAGGGAGAGGTTCGGAGCACTGATGCGCACGGAGCGAGAGACGGCGGGCGGGGGAAGAGGATGGGGGCCGACAATCGTACAAGAATTGGGGAGGAGACATCAAGCAGATTCGCCGTGTAGGCAGCAACCGGGAACGTGCAAGGAACAGCGGGGGAAGACAAACTAGCGAGGAATACAACACACGCGCACGAGCCTTGTCCGTCCAGGCAGGGGTCCGTGTGTCATCCTGCCCAACAAACGACCGACGGAGAACGCAGACTGGCGCCGTCACCCTACCGCCGCGCGTACTGGTTGTTCTGCACGGCGGCAGGCGGCTGCCCCCACGGACTCGGCCCAACCCCTTGCGACGGCGCCTGGCCTTCGTGCCCTCCATAGTATCCCTGTTGTGGCTGGCCCTGGTAGGACTGATGGTAGTGCATGTTCGGGTCCCCACCCGCGGGAGGAGGATAGGCTCCGGCAGGCGCTGCGTAGCTGGGACTTGTCGGCTGGGCGGCCTGCGAGCGCGGAGAGTCGATAGGCATCTGCGGCACGTTCCCAGGAATAGAGATCGGAGGTGCGTTGGGGAGCGCGGCGCGCGGCTGCTGGTGCGGCGACGCGTTGGGCGCGCCCGGCGGGGCACCCGCGGTGACTTGGGGAGAGGTGTTGTTGCGCGGGGGCGCGGTGGTGGACGACGCGCGACGGCGCTTGCGCGAGGCGGCACCGCGCGGATCAGACTCGTCGTTGTCGTTCGCGTCATCGTCCTTGGGCGGGGGCGGGGGTGCGTTGTGGCCGGGAAGAGCGATGCTGCCGACGTTGTTGGCCTGTTGCATGCCGCCGGTGGTGCGGTTGATGGGGGTGCCGACGGGCATGGAGGACGGAAGCTGGCCGTGGGGCGCGTTGAGACAAGCCTGAATGAGGTTCTTACCCTCGGGCTGGGTGACGAGGGGCTGGAGCTTTGCAGTGGTGAAGGTGTAGACAAGGCCGGTCTCGGACACGACAAGGAGGAGCACCTGGGTCCCGGTGAGGGTGGAGAGCTCGTACGCCTGGGGGACGCTGAGGACTGGAGCGCAAAGAGGAGGAAGAGGAACATACCTTTTTCATAATGCCCGCCTTTCGTTTCGAGAAGGTGATGTGACGTCTGGACTTGTCCTGGATGAATTCAATCTTGATCTTTCTCCTTCCGGCCTTCTTGTCGGACTTGGGCTTGTCGTCGTCGTCATCGTCGTCCTGGCCGCTCTCGTTGGCGTCGGGGTCGTTGACGAACGAGTCTTCGTGAGTGGGGTCGTGCTCGTGACGGGAACGCTTGTTGGACATGTTGGGCGAGGGGAGGTCTGCGGGCATGGGCTGGGGGCGCGGGCGCGGAGAGAGGTGCTGTGGACGAAAGCGAGCTCGGTCGGGGTGTTGTGGGAGGATTGGGCCTGTGTAGGGCGTGAGCAGGTTAAGAGGACGGGAAGGGGAGGGACGAGGCGGGAGGACGAGCACCCCGAATCCGGACGCGTACCAGAAATGGAGAGGAGGTCGAGGAGGGAAATAAGATTCCCATTTTCGCTCACCCTCCCATATATACCCATCAAACAAACAACGCCATCGTCCGCGCGGCACCCGCCGGCATTCCCACGGCCCGTCGCGCTATCTTATCACCCCTTCCCAGACAGACAGGCGCAGTGCTGCTCTGGGACGCCCGCTTCCCTGCCACCCCCTCTCTCCCACGCACGGCCCTCCCCATCCGCTCGTGACTCTCCCAGCGAGGCACGCCTGCCCTATCCGGCTCTCACATGCCCATATCGGGCCCACTTCCATCCCGAGCCAGCCGAAGATCGACCTCGTTGCATCATCAGACCTTGACCCTATACCACCACCATCTGCTTAGACGCCCGCTGCGAGGACCGTGACCTACGAGCAGCTTCTCTTCCCATCCCAACCCTCTTCCCCTCCCAAGGGTCAAGATGCCCCCGGACCGCACCCAAGAAGTCCCAGGAAGCAGCAGGCCAAGTCCGCTGGACCGCGACCGCCCACGGTCGCGCGCCGGCTCCGCCACGTCACAGAGCCCGAGCCCCCAGCGGCGTGCTCTGTCTCTCCCTCCCGGTCGTGACGCTCGAACCGTTGACAGGCGACGACACAACGACTCCCCCGACGACAACATGGAACAGGATGGTATGTTGCTCGACATGGGCGACGACGATGACACCATCAGGGTCCCCATACCCAACCCCGACCGCAGCCTCGCCGACAGCCAAGGCCCGCCACCAAGCCCCGTACCCGGCCCCGACTACGTCGTGCGCTCACGAGCGCTCTGCATCGACGCAAGAGATGATTGGTCAACGCTAGTCCCCACCATGGGCGACTCAATCGCCGACATAACGAACCTCTTCCAGACCGCAGCTGAAGAGCTCTACCAACACCGAGACGCGCCAAACTTTCTGGCGTCCATATACAACCCGGTCGCCAATGCAGTGTCGCAACTCAACAGGGCCCTGTACGACCTATTCACGGTGGAACTCGGGCTCGACATGAGACACATCCCGATGGCCCTCAAGCCGGGACCGCGCGCGAAGCAACGCCCGCCCACGCCTGCCCAGCCGATGGAGGACTGGGAGAATGACTCGATGGGGTTCGACCCCGAGTCGGACTACGACATGGACCGAGGTGACGAATCGCGCGGCGGTACGTCTGCCTCCCTCACACCCCTCTCGTCCCGCGCGTCGTCCCGCGCGGGCATGCATGCTGAGCCGCACACCTACGACTCCGAGGAGCTTGAAGACGGGTGGGTCAAGACGGACAACACCAAGAACAAGAAAAAGGACAAGGGCAAGGGCAAGGTGAAGGCCACACCCATGCCAGGACCCGAAGCAAACCGTGGGGCGTCGCGCAAGCGCGGCCGCTCTGACACCACCACAACGAATACTACGACCGACTACGCGCACAGCCGCAGTGCGCACCAGTTGGGCCCCGATCCCGACACGGTAATGCGACTCCTGCAGCGCTACCCCAACATGCCATTCGACCAACTCTGCGATCTCTCCGACGCCATGGCCGGCCCGTCTGGCCAGGGCATACACACGAACGGCGCTTCCGACGCACCACCGGAACTCCGGCGGCACACGACACGCCCACCCACACCCGCTCGACCTGCGCAGCGTGCGCAGACACCCACCGAGCGTGCCCAAACGAAGCGGAGGCGCGTGAAAGCGCCCCAAGGTGCGTCGCGCCGCCTGTATGCGAGGTTCACAAACCCTCCACCAGCCGAACGGCGAGTAGGGTCGCTCGCCGCGATTGAGGTCATCAACAACGCTCTCCGCGCCGCGCCCAACGCTGCGCTGCAAGACACCCGGGCCACCGGTATGGAGTGGACCGGGAACGGACAAATGTACGTCCAGTTCTACCGCCCTCCGCCCGAGGGTGTGGACACCATCCTTCGCGACCTCATTGTCGCCAACCAGTGGGGCGGGGACCCTGCGGACCGAGCTTCGGTGACGGTGGAGCGATTCCGCTACACCTCCCAGCTGTGCTTCCGTGGCGTCCCCTGTATCAACCCGGACGGCTCCGCTGCCGACGCCGCCACGACCGCCGCAACCGCGCTGCAAAACTCTCCCGAGTGGCAGCCCCACCTCCCTCTGCGCAGGGCGAACTTCATGCCCCCTCGCCAAGGGGCCTCGACCTCGACGCTCATCGTCGAAATCACCGACACATCCTCGCGCTCACACCAGCGTGATCTAGAAGGCACACAAGTCCCCTTCGCCAACGGCATGCGCGCAGCGCAAGTACTCGACGACCGCCGGCAGGTACCACACTGCGGGCTGTGCCAGCGCTGGGGGCACCCACGCGTTCGTTGCACGGCTCCGTCATCAGTGTGCGAACACTGCGGAGGAGACCACGACATCCGCCACCACTGCGCAATCGCGGTGTGCTGTCGCGGATCCGGCAATGTGGTATGCCCGCACCCACCAAAGTGCGTCAACTGTGGCCAACCGCACCGCGCCAATGCGCGCGAGTGCCCGTACTACGTGCACCGGAACGACTTCGGATGGCACGAGAACAACCGACCGGCACGCGTCCGCCGCGGAGCCACCCAACAGAATGCCAATGCGGCAGCCAGTAATGGTGCGCACGCGAACGGCCCATCGGTGCGTTTTGCGCCACGTGTTGAGGTCATCCCCATTGACCGTCATGTCCCCCCCATGCAGCAGCAGCAGCGCGTGCGGAACGCGAAGAACGGCAGCAGCAGGATGCAGGGCGGGAAGGATGAGAGGCAGGACCGCGATCGTCGCGACGACGCGGGGGCCCCCGGAGGCATGGGACTGAGTGGGTGGTAATGATGCGCTCACTACGGATTGTATCGCACAACGTGAATCACACACCTGCGCAAACGCACTTCGTGCTGGAGAGCTTGGTGGGAGAGTGTGACATATTGCTGGTACAGGAGCCCTACTACGGGCCGATAAAGACAATTGCGTCAAGCACGGACCCAGCAGGAGATGTGCTGACTGGTACGCAGGTGCACGCAGCGTGGCAGCTCATTGAGACGGGCGAGTCCGCGCGCGTGTGCGTGTATGTGAACAGAGAGCTGGGAGATCTCCGCCCACAAATATGCTCACACGTTGTGGACCATCGGGACATCATCCTGGTGTCTATCCGCATCGACGGGCAGGTGCACCATGTGATGAACGTCTATAACGACGAACACTGCACCGCACTGTCATGGCTACTGGATCACGCGGAACAGATCCCGCCGCTGGATTTGGTGGCAGGAGACTTCAACCTGCACTCAACACAGTGGGAGCCGGACGCACCGCGCGAGAGCGCGCGTGCGACTGAGCTGGTGAACCTAATGGCCGGGTGGGGCCTATGCCTCGCAAACGCGGACGGCGTGCCAACGCACCGCCCACACAACACCGCGCTGCGCAGCACAACACCGGACCTGCTGTGGGCTCCGGCGGACCGCGTGGCGCGGGGGGAGGTCCAGGTCAAAATAAACTTGGAGGGGCGCGGCCTGTCCGACCATGCGCTCCTATGTGCGAGCTTCCCTGTGGGGTGGTGGGAGAAAATCCTGCCAAAAAACATCAAACGTGGCTCGAAGGAGGAGAAGTCCTTCATCAGGGACCTGTGTGACGAAGTCGTAACAGTGCCCGCGCAAGTAGGCACAGTCGAGGAGCTTCAGCGCACATGTGACACGGTCCTGGCAGCCGTTCAGAGGGTGTGGGAGGAGCACGCAGTGCATCCCAAGGTATCGTCACGCTCTAAGCAATGGTGGAACGCAGAGTGCACGGAGGCTCGGGACGCTTTCCGAGCCGCGCGCACGGACGAGAATCGGGCAGCGTTCAAGCGTGCCACCAAGGCCGCGAAGAACAAATACTTCGATGACCGCATTGCGGCCACGTGTGAGAAGGGTAAACGCGTCTGGGACGTGGTCGCATGGACCAAGCCGAGATCGCTACCCATGTACAGGTCTCTCGTGCACAACGGGAGGCCATTGGTGGAGCCGGGGGAGTTCTGGGAGGCGGTGGACGCCACCTACAACTCCGCGGAGAGTAGACAGGTCGACATGACCTTCCTGGACGACATGCCGCAGCAGGCGGCACGAGATTGGCCGCCGTTCGCTCTGCAGGAGCTGCGCGACGCGATAGCGAAGGTGTCGGGGCGCTCTGCACCCGGAGAAGACCACCTTCGATGGCCGTACATCGCGGCACTGGTGAAGCACGAGCAATGCGCACAATTGCTGCTCAGTGTCTTCAACGCGTGCATCGACCTCGCATACTGGCCAACCCAGTTTAAGGAGGCGGTATCAGTGATAATTCCGAAGCCAAAGAAGGACGACTACTCACGCCTGAAGTCATACAGGCCGATCGTCCTACTCAGCTGCCTCGGGAAGCTATGTGAAAAGATGATCGCAGCGCGATTGCACTACGAGGGACAGCGCTGGGGAGCCTTCCACCCCGCGCAGTTCGGGGGAACCAAACAGCACTCTACAGTAGATGCGGGGCTGTTGCTCGTGCACCGCATCAGACAGGGGTGGGGACGCGGGCTCGACACGTCCGTGATAGCGTTCGATGTCGCGCAGTTCTATCCATCCGTGAACCACGGAATGCTACTCGGCATCCTGCAAAAACAGGGGTTCAGCACACGGCTGACGAACTTCCTCGCTCATTATCTGAGCGGGCGGCAGAACAGATACAGATGGGACACCATGACGTCACCACTGTTCAATGCGCGCGAGGTCGGCGTGGTACAGGGGTCAGCAATGTCGCCACCCCTCGCAAACCTATACATCGCCCCGGTGATTCACCGGCTGTGTCCGGTCAACAGCAACCTCGGGGGCGGATACCCAACCCTCCAATTCTTCGTGGACGATGGCCTGTGGGCTGTCACCTCAAGCTCGCTGCAGGCAAACGCGGCAATGCTGGTGAACCTCTACAAGGCGACTGTGAGGGAATTCCAACGGGTCGGGCTGGTGGTAGAGCACGAGAAGACGGAAGCATGCCACTTCTCGCGCAAACCAGCCCGAACCGACCCAACGCTGGACCTGGGAGAAGCGCCCTTCACGGGCGAGACACCTCTCAAACCGGTAGAGGTGCTGCGGCACCTCGGCTTCTACTTGGACCGACGGCTCACGTTCCGTCAGCACGTGCGGTACTACGGATCCCGCGCGGCAAGCACAGCACAGTCCATGCTCATGCTCGGGAACTCAGTGAAGGGCCTGCAGCCGAAACAACGGCGCACGCTATATGTGATGTGCATACTCCCCCTGATGACATACGGCTGCCAGCTATGGTACCGGAAATCGGGGGTGAAGACGCACCTGAACTTCCTCCGGAAGGCTCAGAACGCGGCCATCCGGTGGATCACCGGAGCTTTTAGAACGTCGCCGATCGGCGGTATGGAGGTGCTGGCTGGCCTGCCACCCATTCGGCTACATATTGAGAAACTCGTCCGCCGCAGCGGGATACGGGTAAATGCGCTCGCGCAGTCGCATCCTCTAGTGGCAGCGATGCCCGAGCCGTGGACGACCAATGATCTGGCGGCGGCAGTAGCGTTCCCACTGGGGGAACGAGCTCCACAAGCGGAGACGTCACCACTACGCGTCATAGAAGAAGTTGGACGAACGTGCACAGAGCGGGCCAACCCGCTGCATCAGGAGGCGCGGCCAGGAGCACGCCTAGTGGACACCCACGGTGAACGCATTTCGTGGAACCTGGAACACCCAAAAAAGGACTCCGATGAGCTTGAGGAGTGGGTGAAAATGGACCTGACCCCCCGGTTGCGGGAGGCCATGAGCGACAGCCGTGCAGTGGTGGTGTTCTGCGACGGCGCGGTGTACCCCAAGCCCAAGTGTCGATCGGGCGCTGCTTTCCGCGCGTACCGGTCGAACAGGCTCCTCGTGAGTAAAGGCCGCGCGTGCGGGCGCGCGGTCTCATACGACGCGGAGATGATAGCAGGGGGTATGGGCATCGCGTTCGCAACCAAGCAGGTATGCGAGACGATACATGTGGTGGCGGACAATGAGTCCGCGCTCAAAACTCTACTGGACCCCCGTCCGCACGGGCAACAACTAGTGTCAGTGATCGCATGCGCCAATGCGCGTGAATGGCTGGACAAGGATGCGTGCCGGCGCATCGTGTTCCACTGGTGCCCATCGCACACCGGGATCGAATGGAATGAGGCGGTCGACGCAGATGCGAAAGCGGCGGCCGAACTGCCTCAGGAGCGCGAGCAGTGCTCAGCGGCGTTCGCGCGCCACATGCTGGCGGTGCGGCTGAAGTCTGAGTGGCGGGAACAATACCGCAACTCGCGCCCATACGCGGGCCACGACTTCCTGAGGTTGCGGGTGTTCGACCCGCCAAAACACACAACCAGCGCTGCACTGGGAGCGCACGGACACTCGCCTGCAGCGATGTCTCGATTCTGCCGCGCGGTGCTCAATCATGCGCCCATCGGATCGTTCCGAGCACGTTTCTTCAAGGGCGAACCCACGGAATGCCCCAAGTGTCATGTGCTGCAAAGCCGCAGCCACATACTGCTCGAATGCACGAGGTATGAACGCTGGTGGCGCTGCGGAGGCGAGATCGATTTCCTGCAGCGCCTCGAGGCGTACCAAGACCTCAATGCTTTCATCACCAAGAACGATGGCGCATTCACGTTCGCGGACGCGCCGTCATAAAGAAGCGGGTGTGTTGAAAAATACGCACCAAACATAGAAGGCAGGCGGCAAAACACAGCGCGTGCACAACGTGAAAAGACCGCCCTGCGGCACAGATGACAAGCACTCCGGAGTCCGAACGGACGGGGGTGCGAACAGCCCTTAGATGTAGGCCCACAGGCTGAGAACACTCGCCCACCAAGTGTTACCCATGTAGAAAAGCCGCACCTGTACTCCGTACGCGGGATATAAATGATTGACCCAAAAAAAAAAAAAAAAAAAAAAAAAGATCGACCTCGTTGGCTCCCGATTGGGCCCGCGCCCAGATCCTTCCGTCCGCCCTCGCCTCCCGTCCCCTTCCCCTCTCCGCCCGCCTCCGCCCCGTCCCCGTCCCTTCGCGCCCGCCCATCCTGCCCCGCGCGCACACGCGGACGGGCGCGCACGACTTTGAACGCACACCGCCGCGCGAAGCGGGCGCGCATCACGCCGCCGCGCGCTATACTTGGCCGCGCGCCGGCGGCTGCGTCCCGCCATCCGCATCCGGCAAGTTTCTTTCCTCATTCGCTGTCAGTTTTGCCTCCGCGCCGGGTTGCGCGCGCGGGCGAGCGACTTCCAGGCTGCCACTCCGACGTCCCGAACCTCTCTGCCACCTCCAGGCTCCGTCGACCGTCGACCTCGACTGATCCCCAACTACCGCGAATGATGGCGACCAGCCTGCACGTCCGTCGCTCTCGGAGGGTTTGTGCTGCGGACGGGTCGCAGGTCGATGTTTGGGTCGATTATGATCCCGCGCGCTCCCGTTGATTGCTCCGAGCCAAGACGAGCCGCTGAAAGCGCTGCGCACGAAAAGCCTTTGCGAGCTGGCTCCTGGGCCGTGCTGATCTCAACTTCATGTCTCACAGATGGCAAACCTTCGGCGGTGTAAAAGTACAAGGCGGCTTCGCCCTGCTTCGCCTGTCGTCATCATCTACGATCCACGGACACCAGCACAGATCTGGGGTGTGCACGGATGATGGACCAGATAAGTCAAGGCTGAAGGTCTTTCCTGGGACCTGCTGACGGCGCAACGGCAGGCCGTGGGCTTGGTAACCCCCGTCCAACGCTTATTCCAAACGGGACGTCGCCTTGTCATCGATACATAAAGCAGCTGCCCACCCCGGCGCACAAAGCTACTCAACGCCGTCTCACCCGCTCTTGTACTCGTCCCTCGAAATCAGGCCGCCTCCGACCCTCCCTCTCTTGCTTTATGCGCCGCAACCACGAGTAGGACCCGGGCAACCTCGAATCGCCATTCTCTGCGACCTCTGCTGCCCTCGCGCGCGCAGCGTAAAACGTCATCGTCCGATCCACAGCCGCCGGGCCCCGCAAGGCCGGAGAACCTGTCGCACCGGCGCCCTGCCCGCCCTGGCGCCCGGTCCGACCCCGGCCTGTTCTCGCCGCAGTATCCCCATCGGCCCGGATCTCGTCCTCCCCCTCGCTTCTCGCGATCGCGCTCGCTCGAAACGGACGACAATGTCGCGCCGTCCTCTGCCGTTCCGCCGCAGGACGAACGCGCGCGAGGAGGCCGCGGGGGGCTGGGACGGGAGACTCGGACGACCCGCGTACGGAGGCGCGCCGGTGCGTGCGGCCGTCGTGCCCAGGGCCCGCGGTGCGGATCGTCTGGAGAACCCCGGGGGGTCGGACGAACTACCGGTGTGCGGGAGGGGGCTCGGTCCACCCGTCGACGCGATAGGATCGCGCGACGGGATGCGCGCGATGCGAGCCCGCATTGGGCCGCGGGCCCCTCTTCTCCTCCGCTGTTGTATGTTGACAGCTGCTGCCAGGCAGAACTTACGGTTCAAATTTCAAAGCTTTAGGGCACAGTCACCTTGTGGCGCGCGGGCGGGTGCCGCCTCTCGTTCGTACTCTTGTCGTCTCAAGCTTCGGCACTCAAGGTTTTATTGTCAAGACTAGAACTTATGCGGATTGGCTGGCAGGTGAATGCGCCAGGCTTCCCTCCGTCCTCCCAAGTTCCCAGAGATCCCTCAAGACACTTATCGCCAGCCGTCGACGCGACGCACGCACTCACTGTTCTCCCCCTACCTGTCGTTTGGCGCCAGCGAACATTAACACACATTGAATGACACCCCAAATCTGTCGCCGGCGTACATTGCACCACACTCACTCGCGACCGTATGATGTTCTGTACGTATGTGCAAGTCCCATTTTTTTCCAACCCCACCCAAGCTCCGCAGACGGCAGATCCGACCGCCAAAAATGCATCCGCGCCCACACATGCGATCATCATCATCATCATCACCTCCCGCCGCGACCCCAAACCCGTCCGTCGACGGGCCGCGTTCAAGGGCCCGGTCGCCACGGCGACGCACGCCTGCCCCGCCCGCTTTCATCTATCACGACGCCAATTGTCTCTTCCCCCCTCTCCCCACGGCACCTTCCCGGCGTTCGAGAACGTCGCGCCGCGCGGATGGTCGCCGGCGTCCGCGTCGGGCAGGGGAGAATTCGCCGGTCCGTCCAGACCCCAACTCCGTCGCCCTGATTCGCCGTTCGGGTTTGTTCGAACTTTGGTCTCGGAGCGCGGGCCCGGGCGCGTCGTGATGGGGAGCGCGTCACTTACACAAACACAGCCGTCCGAGCAAGCCGCCGAACGCGTCCCCGAGCGCGCCCGCACCCCAGGGTCCGCGCAATGCTGACGCTGAGCGCTGAGCGTCGCGTGTCACCCGCGAAGGAAACCAGATGGGCGCACCCTCGTCGGTCGGGGGTCGGAGACCAGTGGGCGCGTCCGCCGTAGCAGGCGGCGTGCTTGGCGGAGGTGCCCACCCGCGAGGTCTCTGTCTCCCCGTCGCCGCGTACCTTGAGGCTTGCCCTTACATGGTGCGTCCTAGTGCGTCGTGATGCCGCCGCTGCCGGCGTGGGGGACCGAGGCGGTGCACGCGTCGCGGAAGCAAATCCGCAGGGGCGTCTCGACGTCTGGCGCTTCCCGATATCCATGCACCTCGGGCATAGACATATGTTCTGGCCAGGTAAATCCGTGGAAATTTGAAGTAAAATGTGTCATTCTGCTAGCATGTCCAATCGCCGTTATATCCGTGTGACAGTTATACTATCTCGGGCATGCCGCATGCATTTCCCGTGCAGAGAAAGGCAACCTTCCCCTTTGCTGCCCGTCCAGGGGACATGCCAGGGAAATGATACCTTTCCCTTGCATGTCAAATTCAGGTGTGGTGGTTGCAAAGGTTAACACGGGGCACACAGCAACGGTGCACACCAAAAACGGCAATATGCACGTTCTGTTGCCCCACGGTGCTCGACATACGCCCGTGAGCTGCGCAATTCTGAGAAGAAATGCCATTGACATGCAAGGGAAAGGTATCATTTCCCTGGCATGTCCCCTGGACGGGCAGCAAAGGGGAAGGTTGCCTTTCTCTGCACGGGAAATGCATGCGGCATGCCCGAGATAGTATAACTGTCACACGGATATAACGGCGATTGGACATGCTAGCAGAATGACACATTTTACTTCAAATTTCCACGGATTTACCTGGCCAGAACATATGTCTATGCCCGAGGTGATGGGCTCCGACTCCCGAGTCCTGCAGTTGATGACGGCGGACGTCCGACACCGAGCCCGCGAGGTGGGTGCCAGGCAGGGTCGCACCGTAATTAATCATCACCGCGTCACCACCCACACCGTGACTTCCGACGAACGTTCATGTCGCAAATTTGTGTTACGCGAACGCAATGAATATTGCGGGCAATGCCCGGGGGCGCCATGGGCGCTTATAGCCGTCGCTATTTCGCGAATCCGCGCCGCTTCGGAGCGCTTGCGGCGCGAGAGGTGCGAAGAGAAGAGAGGACGAGTTTCATAAGCCACCTACACTGTCTAATACAGCTCCCATACATAATCTCAGGTACGTACGTATACGCACATATGCGGCCCGGTCGACGACCCTGCGCGGCCCGTGCCTCGATCGGATGGGGAAGCTCGGCCACGCCGCGCAAGCGAAAGGCGCCCTGCCGCCCCCAGGGTCGTGTCAGATAACCTCGCGGTCGAGTCGATGCGCGCGTTGACTGGCGAGAGTACGAGGGCTCGGGCCTGAGATTCGAAGTCGACGGACTAACATGACCCGACCTTCCGGGCGTGGTCACAGAGAGGATTTCAGTCTACAGACACGAACGGCCGAACGGCCAGACGACAAGTGCAGCGAGACAACGCCGCGTGGGCAGGACTCGACCCCGAGTGACGCAGAAAGCCTGTTCGAGCGACCACGAGTCGGGGGGATGACGCGGATGCCCCGATCGAGCACTTGCAAGGACGGGACGTAAAGACCGAACACACCTTCAGCGCGACGCGCCGTACGTGGCCCCCCCGAAAGCGAGCGCAGCCGCGTACGGACTTGGGCATTCCAACTCCGAACGATACGGACCGCCGCACGGGGCGAGAAGCAGCTCAGCAGGCCACCCTCACGCCCGCAGAAGCCTCGATCGGAGGCGGACGATGTGTGCTCGCGGACAGCTATCAGATAAACTGCGGGCTGACACGCGCGGGCGACCTGCGCAGATCCCTGCACGGAAGAGGTGGACATCGGCGAGTGCGGCGCGACGGACAGAGGGTGTGGTGTGGCGGAGACGGCGGTGAGATACGAGGGTACAACATCCCCAGGGGGGTAACAGCTACACGACAACAATCCCAAGTGTGGTGCGCTGGGGGCGCATCGGCCGGTCATAGATAGTGCTTAGATAGAGCGACTATAAGTTACGTTAAAGTAACGGCAGAGGAAGAGAGTTCGGGAAGGACGCGATGCGGGGTCATGAGGGCGTGAGTGTGGTGTGAGCCAGGAGAGAGCAGTCGGAGTCCAGAGTGTGAAAGTCCGGGATAGAGAACGTAGAGCGGAGCATGTTGCTGAGGCTAAAGGCTCACGAGCGTGACGAAAACGCGGGCGTGCCGAGACCACTGCGTGCGCCCGAGCCCGCGGTGCCCTTCCTCCAGTCGCACCGCGAGGGCCACTTTTGGACGCGAGACACGCGCGGGAGCACCGAGGACTTTGCACGTCCGGATACGCCGAAACTCCTCGCCTCGCGCGTCGCACCCTGTCCGCCCCTCGGGCGGTCTACGCCCGCGCCGTGTCCAACCCGCCCGAGTCAGCCCGTGCGCGCGGTATTCTTGGGCCCCCGCCTGAGACCCCTCCCGTGGATTGGGTGGCTCGCGGGGCACATGACGGCGTACGCCATATGCCGTGCGCCCGCTGCCCGCTTCCTTCCTTGGCGACCGCGCGCGGGGCTCCGGGGCGGCTGCAAGAAGGCCTTGATCTGCCTCGCTCCGCGCGGAGGGGCAAGGCGAGGACGGGGCCGAGACCGCTAGCGACGAGGGTTTTGGGTCGGGCGTGGGCACGCTGACAGAGGCGGTGGAGGGTGTGCGGCCGGGCTGGAGCGCGAAGGCCCAGAGAGAACCACCGCCCATATCTGGGCGCAGAGGGCGGGGGCTTTGCTGCAGCGGGTCCGCAGCACTGATCAGCGATGGCTCCTTATCGAGCATGCGCCACTCCCGGCGGGAGCGGTGCGCAGTGCGCTCTCCGGATTCGGGGTCATGGCGCGGGGCCCAGGTGCGGGCCTCGAGCTTGAAGAGGGAAGAAGCGGCCGGAGTCGGGACGATCGATGCGAGGGCTTGGTGGACGGGGCGACGGGGGAGGAAGGAGCTCGACATCGGCCCTGGACTTCGTGCTTGCGCGGTCGGAGTCGTCTCTGCAGAGGATCGCGCGGGACTGACGACCGGGCCACCCGGTGGCTCACGCCTTCCACGCGACAAACATCCGCCCCATCCTGCTGCACGGCGGCGACACGGCCTCCTCTCCCTTCGCCCTTGCTGCAAGCGACGCCGCCAGCAAGCCTTGGCCTGGCGCCGGCAGCGGTAGTGTAGCGCCCGGGCGGCGCAGCAGTATTGGTGGCGACGTCGGCGCGGGCGAAGCTCCCGCGGTAGAGGGTCGCTTGAGCTTGTTCCTGCCGGGCGTGCGCGAGCGTGGCGGTCTGTCCTTATCCTTGAATTCGGTCATCGGGGACAGCTGCGTGTGCGAGTGCGCATGATGAATTCCCGAGTTGCGCCGCGCACGAAGTGAGAGATCGTCGGGGGTCGCGATACTCCGGCGGGCGAGCTGAGGAGAGCGAGGTGGGGAGAGCAAGGAAGGGGTCGACATAGGAGTGAGTAGAGATGGACGCGGTCCAGAAGGCGAAGAGGTGGCGGAGGTATGCGAGGTAGAGAGAACGCGGCCGCGTTCGCGCACCGCGGATGGGGGCAGGCCGCGTTGGTACGCGTCCCAGACGGCGCACATGGCCTCATATGTATCGCGGTCCTCGGAAGAGTGCGACGAGATGGGGTACAGTGGCCAGCCGAGACGGTCCTCCAGCGCGGCACCAAGGTGCATCTGTGTCTTCATATCGCTGCAGCATCGTTAGCACTGCGCAGGTGGTTGTAGTCAAGGAATATGTACGTACAGGTCAAAGCGCGTCAGCAGTGCGTCGAACTCCATCCTCGTCAACGCCATCAGCTCCGCCTGCATCGGGTGCCGCCGTCGTAGACCGCGACTCGAGACGGACGCGTCCCGTATCTGCTGCGTGTGTTTCCCGGGCCGCACTTCGCACTCCTGGAAGTCCACCACCCAGTCCCACATCGGCTCGGCGCACGCGAGCACCTCGCTGACCCTGAGGGCCAGATGCAGATTGAGCGTGCGCGGGTCGAAGTTGACTGTCTGGTTTGGTAGAGGGTTCCGACTCGCGTCTAACGCGGATAACCGCCGCGACGCCGTTGACGGGCTTCCCAGTCCGGCACCCAGGCCGTTTGGAGGTGAAGCGGGACCATTGGGGGGAGACATGCTGATTGGATCAGAGCCATTCGGATGCACAGAAACCGGTAGCGTTGAATGGCGGACAACAGTGGGAGAGAAGCCGCTATATCGGTTGATGTCGAGTGTGATGAGACTGCCCAAAGCGATGTCGGAGGCATGCAAGAGCGGTGCATGAGGGGAGTTGCTGAGACGCTTCGCACTCTGAAAGTAATCGTCGTCTTCGGACTCAGTGAAGCTAGCCCTGGACCGGCGTTGCGGGACCGCATCTGGTGAAGATCGAGGGAGCCCATCTATGGAGCGAGGTCGGGACTCGGGAGTAGACGGGAACGGGATGAGGATAGGGGGAGGTGATCTGACATCTGTCTGGACATCAGCATCGATTTGCGAGAGCAAAGTAAAGACACCAACTTCTGAAGTGCAACGGAAGCAGATTAGCAAGTAGAGAAACAGGCTCGGTGTTGACGAAGCGCGCAGAGTGCATCTCGTTATATATCATCTCTATAAGCGAGTGGTCGTGAGGGTTCGTTGGGGGTCGTTCCAGTGTCGTAGTACGAGAGCGCGGAGGCATCTGTGTCTTTGACACGTCGGGGGAAGAAGAGATAGAATGCAGCGAAGGACGATACTCTTCCTGCTGCGAGCGTCGCATTTTCGTGATGTCTTCGTAAGAGTAGCTCAACGCCATAGAGCTCGAGGGCTGAGCGTACGGGCTTGATGGGTGTGGATGAGGGTAATGAAGGTGATGTCGCTCTTGCTCGGAGGAATGCGATGAGTCTGTCCGTGGCGGCGTTGGAGGCTGTGGGGGGTCAGAGGTGTCGATGATAGAGGCGCTCTCAATGCGACTGCCGGGGAAGTGAAGGTTCTCTTCCAACATCTGAATCAATGATAGGTGTGGTGAGACCACCGAGCCGAACGATAATGATGCGAACCCACCTCAAATGCGCCACCAGGTTTCATCACACGTGTTATTTCCTATCGCGGATTGCGGTCAGTACTCATCGCAAGGGGAAAAGGCCGGTGGCGCGCACCTCCAGCAACGTGTCCCACTGAAACATAACGTGAACGACGTTAGTGTCAGACCGGTGAACAAAACAAAGCCGGTGAAAACTAGACGCACTTTATCTTCAGGAACGCCTCGACCAACGCGGACAACTCGCCTGCAGGACCGTCAGATCAGATCTCATTCAAAAGAACAGAGCTTCTTGTCTCCTTACACGTAGTCAAATTCCTCGTTCGGAAAGGGCAGTCGTTCTAGGCTGGATGAAAGGCAAATTGTGTCAGTTACGCGTAAATCGGAAAGGCAGGTGATCGGGCAGGCACAGAACGTGTACATATAACCGAAATATCTACGGTGTGGGAGATCGCAAACGAAAAAGGGGCACTCACAAGTTCGCCTGAACCCACGTTATGCGGGCCGCAAGGTCAAAAGAGCCGATCTGCAGGAGGTCCGGGTGTAATGGTACGACGTCCAAGCCTGCGCAGCGCACGTTAAAGAGAGCGTGCGAGGCAGCTAACAACAGATATATGACTCACCAACAAAGTGGGAATCCTGTCGTCCGACAGCCACCAAGGAGGACGTTCTCAGGATCCCAAAACAGCTACGAGCAACGCTGCTTGACGTACCTTCCATTCCCTAGCAGCGTGCAGAATCCATGTCCCAGTTCCTTCCCCGCGTGTGCCGATCAGCCTTGCACTCGTCCGGCTACGATCGAGAGGACCTACCACAGCCTATGTCGAGGCTAGATCGAACGACGTTAGCGGCACGCACATGGGATCAGCAGGACCGGCGATACTCACACCCTGGCCGGCGATGTTTCAAACGTATGCATCGTGACACTCCCCCCGAGCTGCCGCTGCCACAGGTTGTCCCACACGTCCCTAGGGATCGACAATCAGCTCCGCCCGAACAGCACGAACGACCGAGGTCCACGAGGCGTCCGCGCGGCCGTTACCCCCAAGGTCGAACAAGATCACTCACATGTCCACCACTTGTCGGTCATAGCTACGAGGGTAGGGAACCTCGTCCGGACGACAGGCGTGGTACTTCTTCCCTCCGCGCACGACGAATTGGGCTTCGCGCGCGCGGATCTTCTGGCGCAGCTCGGCGAGGATCGTCCGGTCGACGGTGGAAAACGGCGCGTCGTTCCGCGCGGACTCGTCCACCATGAGCCTGCTGGGCTCGCACCGGCTCGTCTTGCTCTTCTTGCGCTGCAACGGGAACTCGGAGCCCTTCTGCTCAGCGACAACCGTTTCGTGTGCGCGCATTCCCAGGTTCGGGTCGAGTGATGTCAGTGGTCGTTGTAAAAATGAGGGGGGGAGAAGGGGAGAACGCAAATAGCACTGGCGCTGCGCTGCCCGGCCTCTTCTCCCGTGTCAGCGCGCACCTGGCGGTGCGAACGCCGAGCGCGAGTCCGTGGGGCCACCCACGCGGGCGTCGCGCGCAGACGAAACGACAGGCAGCGCGGAATGCAAACGCAAACGCAAACGCAAACGCAAATGTAACTCAAACGGGGCGCTCACCGGCAGGGGGAAGACCCAGTCCTCCGCGTCTGCAATGTCGCCAGGAGGCGTGGGCTCGTGCTGCGCGATGCGTGAGGGCCGCGGCGCAGGAGGGCTCCGATCCTGTGTTTGAGGTCTGGAGGGTGACGACGGACGGGCTGGGTGCGCACGCGCAGGGTTTCGCGGCGGTCGGGGCGGGGGCGGGGGCGGGGGCGCGTGCGAGAACCCGGGCGACATGGGCGGCGGGTGCGATGGCAATGGCGCGCTGGTGTGCGGCACGCCAGTCATGACCGGAGGCTCGGCCGAACGAGAGTGGGGGTGCACTGAGCGAGAGGGGAAGTTGAGGAATCCGCTGAGCCCTCCCGAGCCTTCGAGGCGCGATTCGGCTTGCGAGGACGAAGGCCGCTTGAGTCGGAAGAGCTTCCGCTTGGTTGACGTGGAGCGCAAGGGGGGTTCAACGGGCTTCTTGGACGGCGTCACGGGGGTCGGGACGGCGAGGGGAGTGGATGTATGCGCGGGAGGGGGCCGGGAGCTGAGGAGAGAGCTTACGGTCGAAGACACAGGCGCGGGGATAGGATTCAGAGAGCGCTCCTTCGCGGCATGAGTCGCCCCGACGCTAAGTGCGCGAGGACGGGATGGGGTGGACTGAGAGCGGGTGCGCATGCGAGAGGCTTGGCTCTGCGGGGGCGGCGGGGGAACATGGGAAGGGGAGAAGGTGGTGCGAGCGATCGCCATGAGGGCACGAGCGGCTCCGAAGGTAGCAGCGGGGGTGCGAGGTTGCTCGATGTGCAGCAGAGGGTCATGGGCGGGCGGGAGGAGGAGGGAGAGGGGGCATACAGCGTGGGCGCTGTGTGGACGAGAGAAGGCGGAAGAAAGCCGAGGAGCGGAAGGGCGTGGCTTTTGGGGTCGTATGACGCGGGGCGGGGCAGACGTCAGGCTTAGAGATGTGATCGTGCGGGCAGTCGGGGTGATGGACTAGTGTGGAATCGATGTGATGGCTCCCTCGCTCCCTGCAGGATGATCACCGCGCGAGGTGCGGGTGAGGATGCGGGCGACGAGGGGCGGAATCAGAGGGACGAGAAGGAGGCAACTGACCGTCGACCGCCTTGTTTTCCCCCGCGCCTGTTGCGCGCCGGCGGTGGTAGTGCGAGGGTGAGACCATGGTCACGCTTTCCTTCAGAATCCTCGCATCTTCTCCGGAAAGCCTGGAGCGAGTCGGTAGCCGTACGTATCGAGCTTCCCCCAAGAATTTTCCCGCAGGTCGCGACAGCGGCCAAAATCAGAGACACCGACGGCGCGCACATTGTCCGCACACACAGTGACCATGAGGGCTTGCCAAGTTCATATGGCAGCTTGGAGCGCATTGGACGCCCTCCACGTCCCTCGCGAGCCTAGACCGGAAACGGTTCCCGGTCCATTATTTGCGCGCCCCCGGGCCGTTTTGGCAGTTGCGCCTCCGACGGCCTGGCGGCACAGAGGAGAGGACGACCACGGTCCACCCAACGCTGCAGGTCGTGCGGCGAGCCCAGATCCAGAATCTGCATAAACGAAGGTGCCGTGGAAACGGAGAACTGAAGAGAAGCATTCGCGCCTGGTGCCGACTGCCGCCGCTGCGCAGTGCGTGTGCGCGCTGTGTCCTCGCGGGCGGCGACGAACGCTGGAGAGATCCCCTCAGTCTGTCAACGTCAGACCGTGTCCTCCCAGCACAATGCGGCCAGACGCGGTGCATGATATCTGGGGTGTGGAAAGGCACCTGCGAGCCGCCCGGTACCTGATATGCAGCCCCGCACTGCAGCCCTGCAAGGCTGATGCAGGACGTGCCTGAGATGCATCTCCGAGCCGCTCGATCTCCATCACTCACCTCCCTCGGAGTCCCGGTCTTCCCAGCTTTCTAATCCAAATAACGTTAGCAAATATTCCGCACGTCGAGGGCGACAGGTTACCGAACGCACGTGCAGCATGTGCCCAAAGATCGACACCTGTACATATTTCGAAGTCGAGCTCGCGGAGGTCGTAACCTGCGCGGCGGCCCCATGGGCCGCATAGGGACCGCAGAAGGACGGCGCTGAACGTTGAACCTTCCACGCCCACTCAGTCTTGCGACCTGGCCCAAGGTCCTTCCTTGCCTTGTGAGAGCCCGGACATGGCCGACCCGGAGTGTTCGAGTTGAGATGCCGTCGCGCAAACAGCGGGGATGAATCACTTTCAGGCTCTCCAACGGCTCAATAGTCGAGACCGCGCGCAGCAAGAATACGGCGCGACTGTTCGAAGCTGGAAAGCTTAGTATGTGGTGGCCTGGCACGCGCCGAGCGCGTGAGAGCAGCCGTCGAGACCCGGCCATGTGTGCGCAATCGAGACAAGAGTGAGTGTATCGTACACCGTCCGGTGACTTCCTCGCCAACACAACCCTAGACCGCGGACGCCGCTCAATCCGCCTTGGCCGCGCTTCCGCCCTCCCCCTCCTCCTCCTCATCCTCGTACTCGGCGTCGTATTCGGCGTCTTCCGTCGCCACACTCGAGCGCCCCGTCTCGTCCCGCACTGGGCCCGCGAAGCTGAGGATGCCCGCCATGTCCAGCAGCTTCACCGTCTCCTCCGCCTGATCCACTGGCATCGCCGCGAGAGCGACGTTTATCTTCTCGAGGCTCTCGGCCTTGATTGCCTCCTGCAAATTCTCGTCGAAGCCGGTGAAGACGTCCCAGCGCATTTGCAGCGCTTGCCGAACCTCCTCCACCGACACGTTCTCGAACCCGGGACCCTCGAGCTCGAGTTGTTCGGGGGGCGGGCCCTGCGGGACGTTGAACGAGATCTGCGTTTCTGGGTTCTCCGCGACGAGCTGGATCTGTTCCGCGCCGCCCGCAGGCTCTTCCTCCTTGGATAACCGGACGCGCTCGATAAGATGTGCGTAGGTGTCCTCCACGTCTTTCTCGAACAGGCCCGTCGCGCGAGCGTCTCGGTTAACCATCCTGTGCGACGCCACGGGCTCAGTCGAGGCGCATATAGTGGGTGTAGGAGAACTTACTTCCGGAAGAACACCGACGGGCCGTCCTTCCCAAGTTTGTCGCAATACTGCAGCAGTAGACTGTGGTGCACGCACTGTTTCGCGTACTTATTCTTGCCATCGCTCTGCGCCCGGAACGCAGCAACGAGCAGTGCGTCAGACGCTCCGGGGACGTAGACGTCGCGGTGGGCTTTGATGAACTCCCATGCCTGATCATACTGGAAGATGGGGATGAGGGAGAATTGTGCTAGTGATGGGGTGAGTTCCGGAAGGTCTGTCTCATCCTCTTCTGCCGACGCCTCGGACGCTGCGCTTTTCGGATTGAGATTCTCGAACTCGGTGACGGTCTTCTTCGGCTTGTCCGAGGGAATCGCGTTCTTGATGGGTGCAGGTGTGGAGAGAGGCGCGACGATCTGGAACGACCGGCTCGTGTCCAGAGCCCCCCGCATCCGAACGAACGAGCGCACTCACCGTCGAGTCAAAGCCCTCATGCATGTCGTCCGACGTGATCTTCGAGTTCTGCTCGTCCTCCTCCTTCTTCAGCTGCACCCGCAGCTTCGCGTTCGCCTCCTCGATCTTGACGAGGTGCTCGCGCAGGCCCGCGACCAACGCCTCGCCCAGCTTCGGGTCCCCCTTCTCCACCCCGCGCGCCTTCGCCGCCTCCCACACCTGCAACATCAGGTTCAGCAGCATCGCGTCGTACGTCGGCTGGTTCGGCGCGTTCGTCGGCGGGGCGGCAGGGTCCGGCCGCGTCTGGAACTTCTCCACGAGCGCGGAGAAGTGCGGGGGCCCGCGCGCGGCGACCTCGTCGGCGATCGTCTGCATGCGCGGCTTGAGCACGTCGTTGCACGCGATGTCGGCCTTGTACTGCGCGATCTTGTGCTTGCGCTCCTCGCGCTGCTCGTGGATCGCGCGCTGCTTCCATCTGGGGGATCGGGTTGGATGCGGGCATGGGTATGGGAAGAGATGGGGACGTACCGGACGAGGGACTTCTTGTCGACGTTCGGGTGGCCTTCGATGTCGGAATCGTCCGAGAGCTTGGACAGGCGTTGGGTTGAGGTGTACCGACAAGACGAGTGTACGCACCTCGAGCTTGTCCCATTTCGAGTAGTTTAGAGGCATCGTAGCTGCCGTGGAGGGAGGAAGGGGCCGGGGGGGGGCAAGAAGGTAATAGAGCAAGCAGGAGATGGTGGCTGCCGTTGTAGACCCGCGGTCGTTAACAAAGAAGGCCTGTCAAGGACTGCTGCAGCTCCCTATGGGGCATTCTCGAAGGTCCGAGAACGTTGGCCGCAAAGGGCGTACAACTGCCTACCGCGGGAAACGGCCTCTCAGGACAACAAGAAAACAAGCACATCGAAGTTTTATCGGCATAAGTTTGTCCAGGAGGTCAGGGAGACACAGGCATAGAATGCTCAAAAGGCCGACAACTTAGCCGCTCCGCCCGAGAACGGGTCGAGTAGATAGACGCCGATGGCTGTGCTGATTTTCCCGCGCGCGGCTCGCTGCCAGTTGCGTCGTGCCAGCTTGGCTTTCTCCGCCCAAGCCGGAGTATGTACGTACTGTGCGTCGGACCAGTTTGGTTACTCACGATCCTAGTCTGCTAGATTCTGTTTATGATCTACTGCAATCGGAATATCCTGGTCGACTCCTGCGCAGTGCGGTCGACCGACCTTCGTCGCCGCAACGAACGATGGCATCTTCTACAACAATCGCAGTCGTCGTTGAGCTTGCTAAGTCGAATTAAAGCCGGACAGTTCATTCCACTGCGTCCAGCAGCGTTCCAAGACTGCGCCCACAGACGAACTGGGCGTCACTTGCTGTCAATCAAGGCACACGCCTTTGCTAGAAATTGCGCACCTGTGCAGGGTACGATGTCGTCCCTGCTACACAGAAAACACGATGCAACAGCCACGCCCATCGATATGCGCTTTCCGTCCTGCTTCCTCGCCCACAACATAACTGATCCGCATAACTCACACTCTCCAGATTCTTGCAGCTCGCGGGAGTGGATGACATGCAGCTTTTTGAGACAACGAACATTGGCACCGTGCCTGTCCCGACAGAACCGCAGCCGCCTTCCAGCGATGTCGACGCACCGCTGGTTGAGCTCAATTCACCATCCTCCTCCTCCTCCTCCTCCTCCTCCTCCTCCTCCTCCTCCCCTATGCGCCGCCGCGTCTTCTCAAACCCCCTCGTCTCTCTGTCTGGATCCGTGGCCACGCCACCCACCTAGCCGTTCCCTCGCCAACCGAGGCGGAATCGCGTGCAAGCTGGGACACCTAGAGCCCACGCGACCAGCATGGCAGACACCCGGTGCGCAGGTACCGGGCACGACTTCCGTCCATGCGCCTCAAACGAGAGCTTCCGTCCCACGACCCGCACCAGGGTGCCATTCCCCATCCGTCGCAGCCCGCCCCGCCCCGCCCCACTCGTCGATCGCCAAGCGCTCCGACCGACGCTCGCCTGGGGGTGTCGCGAAAATGGCGGCTTCAATCCGGGTCATGTTTGTCGGCCCCGTCGCGTCGGGAAAGGACTGGCCATTGCCAGAGATCAAGCCTGGAGTCATCCGAACACCGCACGCTCCGCTCCCGCTGGCCAACCCGCGCGCTCCGACCCGAGGGCGTTGGCGGCCAAATCGAGCGACGAGGGGCGAACACGCGCCCCGGTTCCGACGGGCTGCGGTCGCGCAGGTACGGAAGGAGAAATGACGAAGGCGGCTGGATGATCGAGCCTAGCCGTACGTGTGGGCGATTGGCCGCTTCTCCATATGATGCACTGCTGGTCTGATACGCTCTGCTCAGACTCAAACCAGGGCCGTTCCGCTCACGTCGCGAGGTTTGCTAAGTTGCCCACTCAAGCTATGAGGGGCTACCCCGACAAGCCTTCCCAAAACAATGTGTTCCCCTGTGGTATATTTACACACCCATCTTCAGGAGAGTGCGCGGAGCCTCCGCCGCCATCATGCCTTCCGCCGCCTCCCACACGTCCGTATTCTATGTTTCCCTCCTGCACATGCTGCGACCTTGTTTCTCACCTCTGCTTCCTCCCTTTTCAGCTATGGCCCTATCCTTATTGGCGTGTCCTTCAACATTCTCCTATACGGCATAATGATCACCCAGACATACATTTACTTCACCACCTTTAAACGGTACGTTTTTATTCGCTCCCTCTACTACCGCTCTTTTCATTCGAGCCCAGAGACCGCACATGGATGAAGGCGCTGGTGAGTGTTCTCGTTCTTTCATCTTCAGCCGCTCTCCGACTAGGCCGATTGTGACAGGTCGGCCTTCTTTTTCTCTGTGATACCGTGAACAGCGCATTCGACCTCACCTTTCTTTACATCACGCTCATCAACAACTTCGGTGAGTTCTGCCCTCCCAGAGCGTTCCATCCCGTTCCTCACGCCGGATATCCCAGGCAATGTTGCGGCGCTCACGACAGCAACTTGGGGTGCGTACTACAGTCCAAGTTCTGTACCGGCTCTGTGCTCACGAATATTCTCGTAGTTTTTGCCACAAGTCGGTATTTGGAAACCCCAATCACGGTGTGCCACCTCTGACCGTGCTGCTCCTGCGATGCACAGACGCTGCGCTCATCAGGAAAAACCCAAATCCATAATGAGACATTACTGAGGCTTGTGAGGGCTAATGAGCCCGATTATTGTGTTATTCATAAGTATTATTTTTCGCTTACCCCTCTGCTAATGAGAGACCATTACATGGAGAAGGAAGAGTTAGTTGCGAGAGCAGGCCCTCACCAGGCATATTTAGTCTCACTCATGTCCGTAGATCACTGATTCAAGCACCAGATATTGAGTGGTAGCACTCATCACCCATACAATGTAGCGCAACCATGAACATTGATTCTGTATCGGATGCAGACAAGACTATGATCTAGCTACAGCGACATAGATGGACATATCAACAAGCGATGGTGACGCAATGTAAATGGTACTGTAGGTGCGCGGATAGAGAGGGAGAAATGTGGGGCCGAGAATGCGTGCACGGGGAGAATGTATATGAAGACGAAGAAGCTTCGTACTAACAGGCCTCTGCGTGAGGTGGCCGGTTGCGCGCGCACAGATACAGTGTGCACGCTGCTCGCATCACAGACGAGCACTCGTGCCCGTCGCCGCCGCGACCAACGTGCACGCTCAAGGGCGGCCCTCTCAAGCCTTTCGCGCACTGTCCATCCGCCGGTCCTCTCGGGGACCACATCAAGCGCACCACACCCGCGTGCCAGGGGCAGCAGCTGGCGAGCCGTCGACCTTGAAGACGACAAACGTGCACTCGAGCGGGACCGTGTGTGCACTCACGCTCACATGCCACAAGGCGCCGACCGCTCGCTGACGACGTACTCGGGGAAGACGATGGGGAGGACGTTGGTGCCGCTGTCAACGCCACCCGCTGTCGGGACGTAGACGTGTATGGGGATGACAAGGACGTTCCGGGGGCGGACATGGCCACGGGGCGCGTACTTGCGCCAGGCCAGCGTGTATCACGCGGGGCTCTGTGCGTACGTCAGGGCATGCACGGGGGGAGAAAAAGGGTCGGCAAAACAGAGGGGACGGAGGGAAGTACGCTGCCTCACCGGTGATGAAGATGCTTGTAATCCCAGACCACATCCACTCGATGACCATGACCAGGTTCGTCGGGCTCGCCGTGTGCGTCGTCGTCCAGGTCGTGCATTTCGTCATCCTTGTTCAAGACGGAAATTGGCGGGGACGCACCGCAACCATCGCGCCTCGATCCATCCGTTGCACTCTTCGATACAGAGCGAGCCCTGCCCTTCTGGGCATTTTCCGGGCACGAAACAACCGCGAGACGAATGCGGACACACACCGCTGGTGTGCTGTCCAAATGTAACGGGGGTACATCGCGGTGAACGGGGGCACGGGCGGGAGATTGCGACAGGGGCACTCACGAGTCACAGATTCCCAAGATCGACGGATGGACCGCCGCCGTCGAAGACTCGTTGACCTCAGGCGGAGGGGGTGGACGTCGACGGTAGCGCGAACGAGACGCAGATTAGTGGCCTAAGTAGTAAGGAAGCCCACGGAAGCGCGGGACGTACCTGCGGGGGGCGCGCGACGGCGAAGAAAGAGCTCCGGGACTCATTTTCGTCCTTAAGGCCGTGGAGGAAAAGAAAGAGGGTGTGAACTAGGGTGTGGCTGGTGAGGTGGGCAAGATGGAGGTCGAAGGTGGTGGTGGACAAGGGTGGACAGCTGCCAGCACGGAGCGGGGGACACGCGTCGCGCGTCGGGAATGGGCGCTAGTGTGGCCGACCTTGTCCCGTGATCGCGTCCTGCCATTCACCGCGCGCGACTCTCGAGATAGGTCGAGATGCTGTCCGAACTTCCGTCCAGTCTCCCTTGCGCAGCACCCTCCTTTTCTGGATATGAGAATTGCTCAAGTCCACGTCGTCTTCTCGTCCCCGGCATACCACTATTCCTCTCCATCAAGCCTCCACGCGCCATTGCGCACTTCGACTGGCACAAGCACCAGCACGCTTCGTCTCGGGCCCCTTCCGCCTCCCCATGACTGCCGTCTCTGGTCCCTCCACTGCTCGCCACCCCTCATCATTCGAGAAGCTGCCGAAGCTGCGGCTTTCCGGCCCTCGGGCTCGAGCTCGCACGAAGCGGTCGTGAGTTATTGTGCCTCTTCCTTGTGCTTTCTCCATATCCTCAACCTCCCACCTTCCCGCCATTGACTGGGAGTCCGGGATCCGTACTATGGCCATGAAGAGACCGCGAAGGTCCGGCGCGACTTCTGTGGCGAGCGCGATGGCTGCTTCCACCTCGATCTGGTCGTCGTCGGGCGTGGCGCAATGGTCTTAACTCGCTCGAGCGCGGTCATCCCCGACGGCACGATGTACGGCCCGCACGCGTCCTCGCACAACGACCCGTCGGGCCGCCCCCCGACCGCGACGCACAGTACAACCATACGGCGCTCTTGCAGCCAAAGCTGCACCTCATAGCAGCATTCGTCGCGGGCGCGCCCATATTCTTCCTGGTAAGTTGGCAGCGCATTCGCCCTGGTTCGTCGCCCTCTTCGTCCTCCTCTCCCAGCCCGCGCGCGGGCGCGTCATCGTCTCCTGTGTTCACGTCGTTTTCAGATAGGGCCACGCACACACGCCGCACACACTCCACGAGCAACGTCGCGATGACCGCGCCCGACTCGCCGAGCTATGTAGTACGCGCCCGACTCGCACTGGTACGTCTACTTGTCGAGCTGCAACTTCCCCGCCTCAGTGATATCCACCGCGCCCAGCCCGAAATCGTGTTCGTCGCACAACGCAAGCAGCATTTAAGAGATATGTGACAGGGATGTCGAGATTGGGTGCACAATCAGGTCAGTTTTCGTTGACAAACCAGTATCATGAGATGTGGGGATCTGTACATTGTTGTAGTGCTTACATCACGAAGCAATGACTGCTCTCTGTGTGTTCAATCTATGTGCGCCGACGCGTGAGCAGCTGCAAGTCATACACTATCGCCACTACTCGTCGGGATCCAGCCGAAAATATCATTATTGTCTAACTACATGTACAGATATCCACTACACTCACTCAATAATGTCAAATTATACCTCATCCACCCCATAAGCGACCAGAAGAAAGGCGATAATATCGGTAAACTGCGGTGAGTTGGAACAGCGGCAGTATTGTGGCGTATATCGGCTTACCAATACTTTACCTCTCAATAGGGATTTGGGTTTTTCCTGATGCTGACAGTACGTGATTCGTGATTGTCCCTTTTGTCTCGCGATGTTCATCCGAGCGCTGCTTCCGCGCAGGCCATCATCGGGAGTCTTGTGCAACTGTTCTTCGCGTGGCGCGTCAAGGTCCTCACGAACAACACCCTTGCCGTAGTCGTCATTGTCGCGTGCTCCATCACTCAGCTTCGTAAGTGCCGGAGTTCGTGTGCCACTGGTCGGACGCTGATGGTCGGATTACCAGTCGGCGGGATAGGAACCTCGATCGCCACCCGTATGATGCCCGAGTTCGTTGAGTTCCGGAGGTTCAAAATCATCGTATTCTTCTGGCTGATTGCCTCCGCCGTGGCCGATTGCTTGATCACGTTCGTTCTGGTTGGGTACCTGGTGAGCGTCGAACCTGTCTCGCCCACAAGCATATGTCTTCATCGCGGCACGTCCTAGCGCCGCCACAAGACTGGATTTGGCCCAACAGACGACTTCGTGAACAAGACCATTCGATGTAAGCTCACCGCACTGGCCCGACGCCCCCATCACGACTCGCAGGACTTACGTGAATACGATCTGCATAGTAACCGCTCAAACAGGCCTCATCACAGCCGTCTGGGCCATCGTCGACCTGGTCGTATTCTTGGCGAGTGTAAGTGTCACCAGAACTGCTGCATGTTTGCTGTGGAATGCTCGCCGCCGCTTACACCGCGTCCCACGCCCGGCAGCCTACAGGTGTCCACCTGATCTTCAACCTCTCGCTCTCGAAGCTCTACACCAACTCGCTCATGTCGAGCCTCAACTCCCGCTCCGGATGGAAGTACGGCTCGAACAGCAGCGGGCCCATCACGGGCTCGAACTTCAGCAACCGCCGGAACGGCGAGGGAAGCCAAATAGTGAGCCGCCGTCCCCGTTTGGAACCTGTCGAACGTAGACTGACGGGGCCCGCCGGCGGTGCAGACCCCGAGCCAGGTGTACATCGACGTGGAGTCGCACGAGATGGTGGACGGCGCCGACGCCAAGGGCGTGTACCCACCGGAGCCCGCGCTGTGCCCGCACGATTACACGAAGAGGTCGGTGGTGCTGAGCGCCGGGACCGCGCACTCGTAGTGTCTGCGCATGCCCGGGTGATCGTCGTTTATAGAGTTGTAATGTAGACTCTGCACGCCCCGGTGACGCACTCCCAGCAGCACACATACTGTACGTCCCGGGCTAGCTCGCAGTCATATTACGCGTCCTGTTTCGTCCTCTTCCTCATCGTCGCACTCGTCCGCCTCCTCCAGCGGGAGTACGACCGCAGCCGCCTAAGGTTGCCCGTGCAAGCTTTGACCTGAGTGTTGAGTGCGTGCATCTCGGTCTGCACCCCATCGAGCGTGATAGAGTCACCAGTAGCAGCAGGTGAGACTCTGCAGGGAGGGGGCTACAGCATGGCCGAGCCACAAGCGACGTGCCTCTTCAAGTTGTTGCCTCAGCTGCGCGCACTCGGCTTGCACTTGCACGCTCTCCTTCTTGAACAGGCTGAGTCCTCGTCGTCGATGACCGGGAAAGCCCAGATGAGGGGCATTACTGTGCGCGGCGGTGTCTTCGCGTCCATCTGGGAGCCTAAGCAGTCCGTCCATGTGCTGCTCCAGGAAGGGATGCCTTTGATCAACGTTCAAACGTTCAACCTTGGTCTTGCTCCCTTGGCTAGAAGTTTGAGTGCAGCGAGCTCGAGAAGATGCCGAAGATCGTTCGCCCCTTCTCCACGTCCTCGGAGACCTGGCGTCGGAGATTGTAGCAACCACAAAAAATCATTCGTGTACCTGCAACGTTGGCTGTTCTGAACCCGAAACTAAGGATGAGCCCTCAGCTTACCTGGACCTGCCACTCGCCAAGGGGCAGACTCTCGACCGGCAACCACCTTGATGATAAGCAGAATCGCCAGACGCAGAAGCAATATGCCCTGCTGGTGGAGATACCCGCAGAACGGTCTCCGAGAGCGATGGGATAACACGGGAGATGGACAAGTCGACGTCGAACGAATCGCGGGCGCTTATGAGACGGCTCCAGACTCCAGTGCGCCGAGCCGTGCGCTCGCTCGGCGTGCTTACCGAATCCACGACGCTGCCAGCTCGGCCTCCATCCCCAGACCCTCCCCACTCACTCTACGCACCAGATTTCCCGTAGATCAACCCCAATCGACATCAGCTAGCATCCTGCTCCGCGAGCAGGAGGAGACAACTACCACCCACCACTAGTACTACACCGATCAGACCGCGACCCATGTCCGACTCTGCAGGCTGCCGCATCCTCGTCGTCTCGCCCTCCGCCGCGCGCGCGCACCAGTTCGTGCAACGTAGGCCCCACCCTCCCGCCTGTCCCGCGCGCACGCCCCGAATGACGCACAGGTGTCCAGGCGCTCTCCGCCGCGCTCGCCCGCACCGGCTCCTTCGGTGACGGCAAAGGCAAGGAGACCGAAGCCGACTCGGAGACACACGCAGGGCAGGCAGGGCAGGAGCAGACGTCGGTGTCCACCTCGCGCGACCCGCTCGCGGCGGGCAGCAGCACGAGCATCCCATGGACGATCGCGAACCGGTACTACACCGCCGAGGTCCACTTCGAGACGCACGACGTGGACCGGTTCCGTGCGCTGCACGCGGTCGGCGTCCCCGCCGTCATCTACGTATGGGGCGCCAGCGAGGTGAGTCCTGCGCCGTTGCGCCCTGCGGAGATGGTGTTGGCCGACGGTCGACGCTCACGCGCCTTGGGGGCCAGCCGTACAGAGAGCACATCCCGGCCATTGCGAACAAGATCCGGGCCTACGACCCCGAGGTCGCGCTCGCCGTCCGCTTTGGCGTCGGCGATGCGGCGGACCCGCCACCGGGCACGAACGAGGACGAGGACGGGCTGGACGAGTTCCTGTCGGAGCACGGCTTCGAGTTCGTCGAGGGCGAGCGGGCGTGGCGGCGGCCGACGCAGGATGAGGACCGGCACTCGGACGACGAGGACTCGGGTGCGTCTCTCTCTCTCTCTCCCTCTGTGGTTCTCCCCGTCCCATTCCCGTCTCGAGCCCAAGGCAACCCTCGGCTCATCACACGACTCGCGCCATAGGCATCCCCGGCCTCCCGCGCGTGATCGACGCGCTGAGCACGATCATGTGGCCCTCGCTCGTGCAGTCCGCGGCGACGCGCCAGCGCAAGTCGCGGGCGCGCGACCTCATCGGCTGGGCGCTCGAAGAGGAGGCTGATGACGGCCTCCGCGCACTCATCCCCGACGTGCCGCGCGACCCCCTTGGCGCTGTTCCGGACGCAGACAAGGCGGCCGAGGCGGACGCGGCGAAGCGCAAGAGCCGGATGCAGCGCGAGATGGAGGAGCTTGAGCGCTGGCTGGAGGACGAGGAGGCGGGGGCGGGGCGCAAGTTCGGGCGAGACGAGAAGGCCAAGGCGCAAGAGGATGAGCACGAGGAGCAGCAGCAAAAGTACGAGGCCGCGGCCGACGCAGACGCGCGGACGTGGGTCGTGAGCGCGCCCATGTCCGCTGCGGACGGCTGGGAGGACATGCTCGCGCCCCCGTCAGCGGCGCACACCCCGCGCGACGCGGCGTTCCCCGACATCCATCTCCCCTCGCCCTCCCCGCGCACGGGCTCGGACGACGACTCAGACGCGGATACCGAGCACGGCTTCGACGACGACTTTGCCGACTTCGTCTCCGCGGGCCCGCACATGCCCCCACCCGCGCATGGCGGGGACCGCCTGCTCGAGGTCAGGTACGACGTCGGCCGGCTGACACCGATGCACACCGGGGCGTCGTACCGCTCGCTCGGGTCCGTGTCCGACTTGGGGGAGGGGAACGACAGCATGAGCGCCACGAGCGGAGCGTACGGCGCGCTGGGCGACGACGAAGACGACGAAGACGATGATGCACTGAATGAGGGCGGGGACCCCGACCTCCCCAGCCGCGCGGAGATCCTCGAGACCTCGCACCGGCTCTTCGGCGCGGCGGCGTTCGCGCCCGCCCTCCTCGCCTCGACGTCTGCGCCCGCCGCCCGCCCAGCGGAGCCGCGGCCATCTACGACGACAGACGCAGACGCAGACGCAGACGCGGCGGCGGACCTCTCGCTCGACACGGACGACGGCGAGGAGTCGTCCGCGGTGTTCGACCTTTCGCGCGTGTTCAGTGCGCTGCAGGGCATGAAGGACGAGATCGCGGGCATGGACAACGAGGACGAGCGGCGACGGGCGGCGGCGCGCGTCGCGCTCGGGCTCGTCTACGGCCTCGGCGGAACCGGGACCGGGGGCAGGGCGGGGAGCACGCCAGGTGTTGCGGCGGAGGAGGCGGGCGCGACGTGAGAGCTCAGACGGGAGACCACGGGGACCGCGGCCACGGACGTCGGCCAAGGCACGCTCTGTCCGTATAGTTCTGCCGTAGAAGCGCATTGACGTCGACGGATGGTATGCGCTGAGATGCGCCGTGCGCACGGGGCTCCGGCAAGAACGTCTGGAACAATGGAATATAGCATCAGGCTGTCAAACGCTCACTCGCTGCTCTCAAGGCACGGCTCTCAGGCCGCTCTGCCGTTCGCTCATGGGCTTCGACCGAGGATGCAGACACCCGAGTATGTGCTTTGTGCCAACTCCGACAAGGCAAGGAGTTCCAGTATCCAATCCCTACTACCGGTGAACTCCCTCACCGCCGATCCTCCTGGGGCAGCCCTTCCGCAGCCATCGGGGGTGAGAAGATGCAATAGGAACAACTGGGACGTGTACATCATAGTACAAGTATACAAGTGTGCCCCGGACATACAGTGTGTGCGCTGCTGGGTGCGCGTCAACCACGACCACCCGGGTATGCACAGACACTACGATCGCCGTCACTCCACCGTTCCGGCGCTCAGAACCACCGACTTCTTGGTGTAATCGTGCAGGTTCAGCGCGGGCACCGGGGGGTAGATGCCCTTCGCGTCGGTGACGTCCACCATCTGGTGGGACTCCACGTCGACGTACACCTGGCCGGGGGCCTGGGGGCCGGCGGGAGACCTCGTCAGTCTCCGTCCGCGCGCGTTCAGGGTCGAACAGGACGGCGACGCTCACCATCTTCACCTCGCCGGTGCGGACGCTAAAGTTGCGGCGGTTGCCGGACTCGCCCGTGCCGTGCCCGCTGTTCAAGTGCGAGCCGTAGCTCCATCCGGCGCGGGAGTTGAGGGTGGACATGAGCGAGTTCGTGTAGAGCTTCGAGAGCGCGAGGTTGAAGGTCAGGTGGATGCCTGTCGACTGCCGGGGGTGAGACGCGGTGTGAGCGGCACCGAGCATTCAGGAACAAAAAACATGCAGCAGGACTGTTAGCACTCACGCTGAGCAAGAACGTGACCAGGTCGATGATCGCGCAGAGGGCTGTGATGAGGCCCGTTTGAACGGTGACTGTGCGGATCGCATCTTCGTCAGTCCTGCGACCCGTCATGGGGGCGTCGGACCAGTGCGGTGCGCTCACTTCGAATGATCTTGTTCAAGAAGTCATTTGTCTGGCCGAAACCGGTCTTGTGGCCACGCTACAACGTGCAGCGATGAAAACGCATGATTGCGGGCCGGCAGGTCCGACGCTCACCAGATACCGAACCAGAACGAACGTGATCAGGCAATCGGCCATGGCGGAGGAAACCAGCCAGATGATGACGATCACTTTGAACCTCCGGAGCTGAGCGAACTCGGGCATCATGTGGGTGGCGATCGCGGTTCCCATTCCTCCGACTGGCAATCAAACAAACCACTGTTAGCGCTAGACGGGTCGCAGAGGAACGGCACTTACGGAGCGAGACTATCGCACACGCGGTGATGAAGACCACGGCGAGCGTGCTGTTCGTGAGGACCTTGACACGCCACGCGAAGAACAGTTGCACAAGACTCCCGATGATGGCCTGCGCGGAAGAAGCGCTCGGATGAACATCACGAGATAAAAAGGACAATCGCGGACCACTCACTGTCATTGCAGCGTAGCGCTGTGTTAGATTGTCATATAGGTTTGTCATGTTATTTTCGAAGGAGGGGCCCCGATGTCATGTAACAACCAAGTGTTATTAACATGTATATAACATATGTCACATGACGTGCTATAAACATGTTATCAATGCAAAAGAGCGTGTTAGGAAGGTGCGGGTGTGTTATCTGTGCAACTAGAGGTCGTCAACACCACAAGGTTTGTCCTCAACGTCCGACATGTTATCCAGCAGTGGTCCGCAGAACCCAAAGATGACTTACCTATCTATGGGGAGCTTGGAAAGGGTAGTGCTGTCGAGCTTGACATAGTCGACGACGGCCCAACAGATTGAAGTGCGGGTGGCGAACGGGACCTCAGTGCTACGGATCGTTCGCAATGGTCGTGTCAACCTGGGACGTCCCGTCGAAATTGTACAGGTCTGGGTTGCTGTATCGACTCACAACGCAGCTTTGGGGGATGATATCGAGGGAGATGGGGGTTGCAGATGAAGAGAGGGCAGTTTTGCGCAGCTATACCCCCTCCGACAGCACGCACACGGTGGGAACGGCACGAGAACTGGCATGAGGCTCAGCCTACCTGAATCCTGATACCAGCGGCCATAGCATCATTTACTTTGACCTACACGGTGCAGATCATGGGTGTCTATGTGTACCCAATTACATCTTCTACACGCCTATGAAGTTTCTGGAGCTTAGGAACTAAGCCTACGATCTCTAAGTGCCAATCAAGAGCGAAGAGGACTCGGCGCCTCTGATAAGCGCGTGTCCCTAGGTGCGCGGACCTGCGGACTGCGTTATCCCAGTTTCGTTGCCTTTCTGACTGGGGAAACACGCCAAGGAGCATAAGCCATACAAAGGGACATGAATGAAGGTATTTTCCCGAAAATAACACTATCTGACATGGGGTCCTGGACCCTCTCATGTTATGTTAGTTACTTACAGTCATATAACGTGTTATATAGAGGATGTATGTAACACTTCTGTATGTGACACAGCACTATTGCAGCGTCTGTGAAACGCAGCGGCAGTGCAATCAGATGTGGCACGCCGTGACCGGTATTTTCGAATACTGACGTGTGGCGAAAACTACAACGAACACCATGAGCACAGAGCCGGTACAGAACTTGGACAGTAGTACGCACCCCAAGATGCTGTCGTGAGCGCCGCAATATTACCTGGCAGGATATCCGACGTGAGCAACGGGATGGAACGCGCCGGGAGTTCGGAGCTCACCGAAGTTGTTGATGAGCGCGATGTAAAGAAAGGCGATGTCGAAGGCGGAGTTCACAGTGTCGCAGAGAAAAAGAAGGCCGACCTGTCACAACCGGTCGATTTAGCGAGCGGTTGAACATGAAACAGCGAGAACACTCACGTACGCCTTCATCCAGGTGCGGTCCCTGGGCTCGGATGAGAAGAGTAGTAAAAGGAGTGAGTATGGACGTACTGTTTGAAGGTGGTGAAGTAAATGTATGTCTGGGTGATCATTATGCCGTATAGGAGAGTGTTGAAGATGACGCCAATAAAGATAGGGCCATAGCTGGAAAGGGAGGGAGTAGGAGTGAGAAACAAGGACGTGTGTGCAGGGGGGCAAAAGAGAGCACGGACGTGGCGACGGCGACGGAAGGCATGATGGGGGCGGAGGTTCGGCGTACTCTCCTGAAGATCGGTGTATAGATATACCGCAGGGGAACACATAATTTTCGGAAGTCTTGTCAGGGTAGCCCCTCTTGAAGGAGGAGTCGCTTTAGTCGGACCGACAGCTGGGCGCTCTTCCTCGGTGGCGCTGCTTATGAGGGGACACTGGCAAGACGAGCGGCAGTGTGATGAGCGGCCGTTAAGTGCACTCGAAAGGGCGTAATCGTGGCAAGTGTTGTCCATAGACAGTTTCACAGGCACGGAGGAGGGAAGGAGGCCGGCTGAAGAGCTCAAGCAAACTTTGCTATGTGAGCGGAACGACCTTGGTTCGAGTTTGCGCATAGTATGATATCATGGGCGAGCGGTCAATCTCTGGCTAGACTCGATTGCTCCTCCTTCCGTACCCGGGGACCCGCCGGAACCAGACCCGCATTCTCCCCTCGTCCGCGAGGGGCGGCCAGCCAGTTAGCCGAAACACGGACGGACTCGGGGGCGGAGCGTGTGGTGCTCGGACGACTTGGCCTCCGGCGACGGCCAGGATCAATATTCCGACGCGACGGCGGGGCCGAAAAATATGGCCCGGCCGCCATTTCCGCGACGCCAGATGGCACCATGCGAACGTCGATCGGCGCGCGGGGCTGATGATGATGATGATGGATTCGTGCCAGAGCTCGTTAACTACACGCGTAGTGCTAAGTACGTTCAGTAATCGGAACGGGACGGCGGCTATCCCGCGTTCGGTTGACGCCGTAGTGGCACGGGACCACGGCCGATCGGCGCGCGGGGCGATTGACGAGCGGCGCGGGGCGGGCTGCGACGGATGGGGAATATCACCCGGCGGTCGCGCGCGCAAGACAGAGGCTCTTATGTGCGGTGTATGGACGTAAAAAACGCGTGCACCGTGCGGTTTGGGTTGGTCATGCGGGGCCTACGTGTTCCAGCTTCCACGCGATTCCACACTGACTTGGAGAGGTGAGGGAACGTTTGCGTGGGTTTCTTGGCGGCGGATCCGGACAGAAAGACGAGGGAGAAGACGCGGCGGCGCACAGGTGGATGCGGAGGCTGCTGCTGCGGTTCTGTCGAAACCGCGTCTGACGGCGTACGGTGCGAGGTTCGAATGTTCGTTGTCTCCGAAGCTGGAAGTCATCCACTCATGCGAGCCGCAAGGGTCGGGAGATCGCGAGCAATGCGGATCGGATGGGGCCCGCGCGACCGCGGTGGACACGGACCCGCGGCGTACGGAGGGCAAGACCAGCACGGGAGACGAGGGCACAGGACTCACCTTGCCGGCGTGCAGAGCGCGGAAGCAGTCGACGTCGTGCATCTCGAAGTGGGCCTCGACGGTGTATGCGCGTAGTACCGGTTCGCAAACGTCCACGGAATGCTCGTACTGCTCCTGCCCCGCCGCGGCCGCGTCTGCCTCGGCCTCCTTAGCTATCTTGCCCTTGCCCGTCACCGAAGGAACCGGTGCGAGCGCGGCGGAGAGCGCCTGGACACCTGTGCGTCATTTGGGCCTGTGCGCACGGGACAGGTGGGAGGGCGGGGCCTGCGTTGCACGAACTGGTGCGCGCGCGCAGCGGAGGGCGAGACGACGAGGATGCGGCAGCCTGAGGGGTCGGACATGGGCTGCGGTTAGATCTGGTGTAGCGGAGGGCGGAAGTCGTCCTCCTGCTCGGGGTGCGGGGTGCGGGTGTTGGCTGACGTTCAATCGGGCCTGATGAGCGGGAAATCTGGTGCACAGAGCGAGCGGGGAGAGAGCTGGCGACTGCGTCGTGGACCCAGGTCAACACGCCGAGTACACACCCGGCTCACAGGAGCCGTGTATTAAGCGCCCGTAATTCGTTCTTGTCCAGTTCCCATGTCGTCCCATCGCTCTCCGCGAGCGTTGTGTGGGGCAGTGGGGAGTGGAAAATCCAAGTAAGCAGGCCCATCACACACATCTATGGGTCTAGAGAAACAGCTAACGTTGTAGGTACACCGATGGTTTTCCATTCCATGCGGCTGCGGCACTGACCTCCGGCGACGAGGCTGGGTCGCCGCCGAGGACGTGGAGAAGCGGCGAACGATCGCCGGCATCCTCTCGAGCTCGCTGCCCTCAAACGAGTCAGGAGGGGCGAGACCAGGGGAACGTTGGTTGATCAAAGCCACTCGCACAACTTCCCTCCCTGGAGCGGCACATGGATCGACTGTACTTGGCCTAATGGACAAGAAGACACCGCCGCGCATATACTAGTACCTTCACCTGGACCTATCCGCGTTATGGACAAAAAGGACTTGTATCATCCCAGCCGCTCTATACTACACCCCACCACCACGTTTCACTGGGACGTTCAATCCCCGCTACTGATGAACTCCCTCTCTGCCGATCCTCCTGGGCGGCCCTTCCGCAAGCCAAATCGTCCAGCCATCGATACAATAGGAAAAAAAAGACGTGTGCATCATAGTACAGTATACGAGTGTGCCCCAGACGTGCACTCTGTGCGCTGCTGGCAGCAACGATCACCCGGGTACAGACACTGCGATCGCCGTCAGTGCGCGGCGTCGGCGCTTAGCACCACCTTGGTGTAATCGTGCGTATTCAGCGCGGGCTCCGGGGGGTACATGCCCTTCGCGTCCGCGACGTCCACCATTTCGTGCGACTCCACGTCGACGTACACCTGACTGGGGGTCTGGCCGGCGGTGGTGGCGGCGGGCCCCGTCAGCCTCCATCCGCGCGCATTGGGGATCAAACGGGGCGGCGACGCTCACCATTTCGCTCACCTCGCCGGTGCGGACGCCAAAGTTCCGGCGGTTGACGGACTCGCCCGTGGTGGGGCCGCTGCTGTTCGAGCCGTACTTCCATCCGGCGCGGGAGTTGAGGGTGGACATGAGCGTGTTGGTGTAGAGCTTCGCGAGCGGGAGGTTGAACATCAGGTGGAGGCCTGTAGGCTGCCAGGGGTGGGACGCGGTGTCAGCGGTACCGAGCGTTCAACGAAACACGCGGCGGCTCTGTCAACACTCACGTTGACCAAGTACACGACTAGGTCGACGATGGCCCAGACGGCCGTGATGAGGCCCGTTTGGACAGTGACTGTGCGGATCGCATCCCCGTCAGTCCTGCGGCCCGTTATGGGGGCGTCGGGCCAGTGCGGTGCGCTTACTTCGAATGATCTTGTCCACGAAGTCGTCCGTCTGGCCGAAACCGGTCTTGTGGCCACGCTACAACGTGCGGCGATGAAAAAGCATGTTTATGGACGAGTCAGGGTCGACGCTCACCAGATACCGAACCAGAACGAACGTGATCAGGCAATCGGCCATGGCGGAGGAGACCAGCCAGATGATGACGATCACTTTGAACCTCTGGAACTGGACGAACTCGGGTATCATGCGGGTGGCGATCGTGGTTCCTGTTCCTCCGACTGGTAAACAAACAAACCATCAGCGCAAGACGGGTCGCAGCTGAGGAGCGGCACTTGCGTAGCGAAATTATGGCACACCCGGTGATGACAACCACGGCGAGGGTGTTGTTCGTGAGAACCTTGACACGCCACGCGAAGAACAGTTGTACGAGGCTCCCGATGATGGCCTGGTGGCCCAGTGACATTAAGCGGAGCCGAGGGAACAACCGCGGATCACGTACTGTCATTACGGCGTCTGTGCAACGCAGAAGCAGCGCAATCAGATGTGGCACACTGTGACCGGTATTTCCACAGACTGACCTGTGGCGAAAACTACGACGATATTCATGAGCACAGGGCGGTACAGAACTTGGACGGTAGTAGTACGTACCCCAAGATGCTGTCGTGAGCGCCGAAACATTACCTGGGAAATCCGGCGTAAGCGACGGGATGGAACGCGTTGGGAGTTTGGAGCCCACCGAAGTTGTTGATGAGCGCGATGTAAAGAAATGCGATGTCGAAGGCGGAGTTCACGGTGTCACAGAGAAAAAGAAGGCCGACCTGTCACAACCGGTCGATTTAGCGAGTGGTTGAACATGAAAGAACGAGAACACTCACGAACGCCTTTATCCAGGTGCGGTCTCTGGGCGTGGATGAGAAGAGTAGTAGAAGGAATGAGTATGGGCGTACTGTTTGAAGGTGGTGAAGTAAATGTATGTCTGGGTGACCATTATTCCATACAAGAGAATGTTGAAGACGACGCCAGTAAAGATAGGGCCATAGCTGGAAAGGGAGGGAGTAGGAGTGAGAAACAAGGACGTGTGTGCAGGGGGGCAAAAGAGAGAGCACGGACGTGGCGACGGCGACGGAAGGCATAAGGGCGGAGGAGGCTCTGCGTACTCTCCTAAAGATGGGTGTTTAGATGTACCGCAGAGGAACACATTGTTTTTTTAGGAAGGCCGAGTCTATCAGAGAGACCCAGGGTGGCCCCGTCGAGTGGCGTCCTCGGTAGTGGCGCTGCGGTTGCCTGTCACGAGGGAACAATCGTAAACACTCTGAGAGGAGCAGGAGTACGGTTAGCATTGTCACATTGCGCGCGGAGGGGTAAGGCCGGCTGAGTACCACAAGCAAACTTCGCCGCGTGCGCGGAACAGCCTTGATCTGAGTTCAAGCAATTTGAAGGAGCAGACGTATCAGAGAAGCACCATGTGCAGAAGTGGTCAATCTCACAATGCACATACATACGGCGCCCATAGGCTCGATCATCCATCCCCTTGGTACCTGCTCATACCAAGGGGATGGTTGATCGAGCCTAGCGGTTCCGCAAACGCGGTGGGCGAGACGAATCGTGCGCGTGTTTCGCTCTCTCTCCACCATGCATCATGCATCTTATCTCCCTAGGCGCCCTCAACTCTCAGGCCTCTAGGCCTTGTTATCCTAACTAATTTTCTTAGTCAAAATGTCATCTGCGACGCGCCTTCACAGTTGTTTGTCGCTCGACTCACGATCTAGATCTAAACCGGTGGACCCAGGACTCCGCCTCTGGCCCACTCACGGCTCGACTCCCCAGTCACGGATTCACGTGTAATGAACGGCGGCAAGCACGGAGACGGAGGCTGTGGTGATACCTGCAGGTGTGCGGACACGACACCAGTTGGGACACGGGCGCCGCCAGCGGCTGCGCACACGGACGGGCGCGTCGGGACGATGACGGCATGGTCGGGACCGGGCCGGGAAGGCCGTATGCGTGCTATGTCCGAACACTACATATCGACGAATGACCGACAGGATATGAGCGAGGGTGGCGGCGGCCGGGACGAGGACTACGTGCGGACCGGTACGAAGGCAGAGTGGCAATACCGAGCCCAGACGCGTGCATAGACGGGTCCAGGCGGTGGCGAAGGCGAAAAACGGTGTGGCGGCCAGCCGTGCGGAGAGCCTGCGGAAAGAATATGGGCAGGAGTAACGCGGGAAAGAACCCAAAACCGTCCAGATCAGATGATGGAGTACTGGCGACGTACGAGGGTGCACGAGGACTGAGTGACATACCTCCATTGGAAAATGCTTGCAAAAACAGTGTATGTCGAAGCTGCAACGTCGACGCAAAGATCCCAGATCATCCATATACATCGCCTTGCAGCACTGCCCCGAATATAAAGAACTAACTAGGTGGTGCCTGCTAAGCCCATTATCAAGACTCATGAGTATCGCGTTATGTTCCTCACCGGATAAGCGGCCGCGCCACTATGACTGAAAAGGACGTTACCACCGACGAGTTCTTGGCGCACCACGTTCGGTTCGTCGTATTCCATCGCGTCACCCCTATCCTACGTGCGAGCATGGCCTGCCTTCCCTCGCCTTGTCGGTCGAACCATCCGCCCCCCGGGCAGAACCCCGCTCGCGGATCGCCGGGAGATGCCCGAGGACGTTCTGCAGTACCTGCGATAGACGGCGCCCGAGAGCCCGGACCTCCAGAGAAATTCTGGAGGCGTCAGATGCGCAGCTCATCCCGCGCGTCCCCGTTGCCGCACCGCAGCCACGAGACCTCCGATGATGTGAGGGGAGAGGGTAACGCGACGGGCGTGTGATGGGGCGTCGTCCTGGAACTTCAACGGTGCTCTGCTCGGTGGCTCGGCGGTTCGCGAGGTGGCCATAGATATTAAACATGCGCGTATTGAGGGAACTGGAGTGGGACTACTCACCGAGGACTGTTCACTGTCAAGCTCTTCATTCGGTCGCGTGGGGGACATGGCGGCATTACGGCTCGACGAGCAACTTGTCGGCCTCACATTGCTCAGCGGGACAATGGGGACCGCTTTGCTGGCCACTTACGGGGGCAGTGGACGTGACTGTCATGAGCGACGTCGGTGGATGGTGGTGGCGAGCCTAGAGACGGTGATATCGACCAGTCCGGTGCGAGGCTGTGCTTCTGCCCATTTTTGTCGTCCTCTTTTGACGTCCACGAGGGAGCCCTGTGTAGTACAGTAGGTATTGTGAACGCGATATGTACGGTTGAGAGAGGAGTCCGAGAGCGAGAGCATGAAACAGGAGAAAAAGATAGCGTGTATGGAAACGGGGCGGGAGAGCTGGGGAGTCGGACGCGGAAGCGACGAATGGGGGAGAGGGGAGCAGGGGAGCTCAGGCCCAAGGTAACTTACCATACGAGCCCGGCGGGATCAGCCCCGTGACTTCGTTGCCTTCACTGCCTCGAGAGCGACGGGAAGAGGGTCCAGGGGTGCCAAATAGCGGGATAAGTAGAGCCCTCCGGCGTCTCCAGGAGCTTCTTGAGGGTATGCCTGTTGCGGCCGAGAGATATCTGCAAAGTGGGCTGCGCGGCATGGCTCAAAAGCACGGGACTCGAGGAGGAAGTGCCGGACAGAGTTCTCCGCCTCTGTGCAGACAGGGCGGCACGGCACCGTGCCGCCCTTGCGTGGGCGGTCGTGAGATGCGTGTGGAATGGGATATGGCCGGTACCGTGTACGGAGTTGGAAGAGCGCGACGGCGTGTCGACGCGGAGGTGTTTGATAAGCGGGGGTGTCCGCCCGTCCGTGCTGCTGCGCGTCCGTAAGTACCTGCAAACTTGCCTCGACCGCCACCCGGTTCAACGTGGACGTGGGTCCCGGACGCGTCCGCAGAGAGACACCCCAAACGGCCGCCTGGTCAAATCCAGCGAGGGGGGCGTCCATCTGGGAGGATAAGCAGCCCGTCAATGTGCTGCTTCGAACGAGGAAGTTTTGCGGGGGCCTTGGATCAACGTTCAAACGTTCAACCTCGGTCTTGCTCCCCTGGCTAGAAGTTTGAGGACAGCGAGCTCGAGAACATGCCGACAATCGTTCGCCGCTTCTCCACGTCTTCGGCAACTTAGTGTCGGAGGTTGGAGCAGCCACCTGGAATGGAAGGCCGTTGGTGTACCTGCAACGTTAGTCGTTCTTCTGAACCCGTAGATAAGGATGGATCCTACTTACCTGGACCTGCCACTCGCCAAGGGGGCACAAGTACTCTCGGCCCACAGCCATCTTGACAGTTCGCAGCATCTCCAGACGCAGAAGCCATATGCTCCACTGACAAAGATACCCGCAAACCGCTGGCGAAGGGCTATGGGACGACACGGGAACTCCACTAGTGTCGTGGACAAGAGCAAGTCGCAGGCGCTTACGAGACGGCTCCTGAGCGCGAGCAGACGAGCCGTGCGCAGCGCGCTCGGCGTGCTGACCCGCATCCACGACGCTGCCAGCTCGGCCTCCATCCCCAGACCCTCCCCGCTCGCTCTGTGCACCAGATCTCCCGTCGATCAAGCCTGAGTCGACATCAGCCAGCACCCCGCACTTAGAGCAGGAGGAGACAACTACCACCCACCACTAGCACTACACCAGATCTGACCGCGACCCATGTCCATGTCCGACTCCGCAGGCTGCCGCATCCTCGCCGTCTCGCCGTCCGCCGCGCGCGCGCACCAGTTCGTGCAACGTAGGCCCCACCCTCCCGCCTGTCCCGCGCGCACGCCCCGAATGATGCACAGGTGTCCAGGCGCTCTCCGCCGCGCTCGCCCGCACCGGCTCCTTCGGTGACGGCAAAGGCAAGGAGACTGAGGCCGAGGCAGACGCGGCACCGACGGGACGGGAGCAGACGTCGGTCTCCACCTCGCCCGACCCGCTCGCGGCGGGCAGCAGCACGAGCATCCCGTGGACGATCGCGAACCGGTACTACACCGCGGAGGTGCACTTCGAGACGCACGACGTCGACCGGTTCCGGGCGCTGCACGCGGTCGGCGTCCCCGCCGTCATCTACGTATGGGGCGCCAGCGAGGTGAGTCCTGCGCCGTTGCGCCCTGCGGAGATGGTGTTGGCCGACGGTCGACGCTCACGCGCCTTGGGGGCCAGCCGTACAGAGAGCACATCCCGGCCATTGCGAACAAGATCCGGGCCTACGACCCCGAGGTCGCGCTCGCCGTCCGCTTTGGCGTCGGCGATGCGGCGGACCCGCCACCGGGCACGAACGAGGACGAGGACGGGCTGGACGAGTTCATGTCGGAGCACGGCTTCGAGTTCGTCGAGGGCGAGCGGGCGTGGCGGCGACCGACGCAGGACGAGGACCGGCACTCGGATGACGAGGACTCAGGTGCGTCTCTCTCTCTGTCGCTCTCTCTGGTTCTCCCCTCCACATTCCCATCTTGAGCCCAAGGCGACCCTCGACTCATCACACGACTCTCCCGACAGGCATCCCCGGCCTCCCGCGCGTGATCGACGCGCTGAGCACGATCATGTGGCCCTCGCTAGTGCAGTCCGCGGCGACGCGCCAGCGCAAGTCGCGGGCGCGCGACCTCATCGGCTGGGCTCTCGAGGAGGAGGCCGACGACGGCCTACGCGCGCTCATCCCCGACGTGCCTCGCGCTCCCCCTGGCGTCGGTCCGGACCTGGACGAGGCGGTCGCGGCGGGCGCGGCGGGCGCGGCGAAGCGCAAGAGCCGGATGCAGCGCGAGATGGAGGAGCTCGAGCGGTGGCTGGAGGACGAGGAGGCGGGCGCGGGGCGCAAGTTCGGGCGAGACGAGAAGGCCAAGGCGCAAGAGAATGAGCACGAGGAGCAGCAGCAGAGAAAGGAGGCCGCGGCGGACGAGGAGGCGCGGACGTGGGTCGCGACCGCGCCCGTGTCCGCTGCGGACGGCTGGGAAGACATGCTCGCGCCCCCGTCCGCGGCGCACACCCCACGCGACGCGACGTTCCCCGACATCCACCTCCCCGCGCCCTCCCCCCGCGTGGGCTCGGACGACGGCTCGGACGCGGAGACGGAGCACGGCTTCGACGACGACTTTGCCGACTTCGTCGCCGCGGGCCCCTACATCCTACCCACGCACGACGCGGACCGCTTGCTCGAAGTCCGGTACGACGTCGGTCGGCTGACGCCGATGCACACCGGGGCGTCGTACCGCTCGCTCGGGTCCGTGTCCGACTTCGGGGGGAACGACAGCATGAGCGCCACGAGCGGGGCGTACGGCGTGCTGGGCGACGACGACGACAGCGACGACGACGCGCTGAACGAGGGCGGGGACCCCGACCTCCCCAGCCGCGCGGAGATCTTCGAGACCTCGCGCCGGCTCTTTGGCGCAGGGGCGTTCGCGCCCGCCCCGGACGACCCCACCCCCCTCGCCTCGACGTCTGCGCCTGCCGCTCGCGCGCCGGAGCCGCGCTCACCGACGGCGGCGGACGCAGACGCGGCGGCGGACCTCTCCCTCGACACGGACGACGGCGAGGAGTCGTTCGCGGCGCTCGACCTCTCGCGCGTGTTCAGCGTGCTGCAGGGCATGAAGGACGAGATCGCGGGCATGGACGACGAGGACGAGCGGCGGCGGGCGGCCGCGCGCGTCGCGCTCGGGCTCGTCTACGGTCTTGGCGGACCCGGGACTGGGGGCAGGGCGGGGAGCACGACAGGCGTTGCGGGGGAGGAGGCGGGCGCGGCGTGAGGCCTCGGACGGGAGAGCAGTGGGGCCGCGCGCAGGCCAGGGTTCTCTCCAGCTCTGGTGGGGCGCTCATCTGCCTGTACGCTTTTGCCGGGGAAGCGCATCAACATCGACGGATGGTGCTCGATGGGATGCGTCCTGCGCACCGAGAACGTAGCTCCAGCGTCCGAAGCGATGCAGAACAACGTTCGGGTGTCGAGCGCCCGCTCGCGGCTGCCGCCATTCGTTATTGGGCTTCGACCGAGGATGCAGGCACCCGAGTAGGTCAAGTCTATGCCAACTCCGACGAGGCACTCGCGCTCAACTGTTGGCTAATCCCTGAGACCAGGGCGGTGAACGTTTGAACTCCCTCCTCGCCGATCCGCGCCTCCCACCCGCCAATTCGTCCATCCACCGAGGTCGAGACGATGCGATCAGAGCGTACATACTTCAAATTACAATTATACGAGCGTGCGAACTAGCCCCGGACGTACGGTATGTTAACGTTTTAACAATCGCCCGGGCCCCGACATTACGACCGCGGTGACGGCGCGCTGCCGGCCGTGAGCACCACCGACCGCTTGCTGTACCCGTGCGTGTTCAGCGCGGGCTCCGGCGGGTACACGCCCTTCGCGTCCACGACGTCCACCATCTGGTGCGATTCCACCTCGACGTACACCTCGCTCGGGGTCTGCGCCGTCGGTTTCCGTCAGTCTCCGTCCTCGCGCGTCGTCCAGAAGCAGCCGGGACGGCGACGCTCACCATTTGGCTCGCCTCGACGGTGCGGACGCCAAAGTTGCGGCGGTTGCCGCCGTCGCCGCCGCTGCCGGGCGAACCGAAGTTCCATCCAGCGCGCGAGTTGAGGCTCGACATGAGCGAGTTCGTGTAGAGCTTCGAGAGCGGGAGGTTGAAGATCAGGTGGAGACCTGTCGGCTGCCGGGGGGGACGCGGTGTGAGCGGCGTTGGGCGTTCGAAAAAACACGCACTCACGCTGGCCAAGAACAGGACCAGGTTGACGATCGCGCAGAGGGCCGTGATGAGGCCCGTTTGAACGGTGACTGTGCGGATCGCATCCCCGTCAGTCCTGCGGCTCGTCGTGGGGGCGTCGGGCCAGTGCGGTGCGCTCACTTCGAATGATCTTGTCCACGAAGTCGTCTATCGGACCGAACCCGGTCTTGTGGCGGCGCTAGGACGTGCCACGGCGATGAAAACGCATGTTCGCGGACGAGCCAGGCTCGACGCTCACCAGGTACCCGACCAGGACGATCGTGATCAGGCAGTCGGCCATGGCGGAGAACGACAGCCAGATGATGACGATCACTTTGAACCGCCGGAACTCAACGAACTCGGGTATCATCCCCGTGGCGATCGAGCTTCCTATTCCTCCGACTGGTAATCCGGCAAACCATCAGCACCAGACGGCTCGTCACAGAGGAACGGCACTTACGGAGCTGGATAATGGCGCATGCGGCGATGACGACCACGGCAAGGGTGTTGTTCGTGAGGACCTGGACACGCCACGCGAAGAACAGTTGCACAAGGCTCCCGATGATGGCCTGGTGGCCCATTGGCATCAAGCAGAGGCGAGGGGACAACCACGGATCACGTACTGTCATTGCAGCGTCTGTGCGACGCAGGTGCGGCGCAGTCAGAGGTGGTAAACCATGCTCGCCGGAATCTCCGAAGACCGACCTGTGGCGAAAACTACGACGAGCACCATGAGCGCGACAGAGCCGGTGCAGAACGTGGACTGTAGTGCGCACCCCAAGTGGCTGTCGTGAGCGCCGACACGTTGCCTAGAACATCCGACGTGAGCGACAGGATGGAACGCGCTGGGAGGTTGGGGCTCACCGAAGTTGGTGACGAGCGCCGTGTAAAGAAAGGTGATGTCGAATGCGCAGTTCACGGTGTCACAGAGCAAAAGAAGGCCGACCTGTCACAACCGGCCGAGTGAGACGATCGGTTGAAGACAGAACGAGGACACTGACGAACGCCTTCATCCGTATGCGGTCCCTGGGCTTGGGTGAGAGGGGTGATAGGAAGAGTGAGTAGGGACGTACTTTTTGAAGGTGGTGAAGTAAATGTATGTCTGGGTGATCGTTACTCCGTACAGGAGCACGTTGAAGACAACGCCAATAAAGATGGGGCCATAGCTGGAAGGGGAGGAAGTTGAGGTGAGGAACAAGGACGTGTGTGCAGGACAACAGAGAGCACGGACGTGGCGGAGGCGACGGACTGAGGCATGATGGCGGCGGAAGCTCATTACACTGTCCTGAAGATTGGTGTATAGATATACCGCAGGGGACCACGTTATTTTCGGAAGGCTTCTGTCAGGGTGGCCCCTGGTAGCCCTTCATAGCTAGCTCGAGTGGGGACGACAGATGGGCGCTCAGCGTCCTCACTGGTTGCGCTGCGAGAAATCATGAGGGAACAGTCGAAAACAATCTGCGGGAGCGGGAGTGCGGTTAGCGCACTCCCATCGAGTGTTGTCGATAGACATTGCCGCACTGGACACGGAGGAGGGAAGGAGGGAGGAGAGGCAGACTGAAAAGCTCAAGCAAACCTCGCCACGTGAGCGGAGGGGCCTCGGTTTGAGTTTGAACTTTGAATAGTGCGTATCAGACCATGAGGTGAACCAGGGTGAATCGTCCATTTAAGCTTTAGCTAAGTTGCCACGGCGCCCGACTGGCCTCTCTGGCCAGTCGGGCGCCGCGGAGAATGGGCGATCGCCGGCCGCGAACTTTCCTCGTTGCCGACCGCTTGATCTCCCAACGCTCGGCTTCTCGCGGGAGAGGGTGGAGAGCGGATCCCAGCGTACTCGTGCAGTTGCGTGGCGGTGAGAGAGAGAGAGAGACTGCGGTTTGGCGTCTCCCTACTTAGACAAGCGCGACCGCACGTCAGCGCCCGCGCTCATGCTGTGGGTGTCTTGCCGTCCGACGGGGCCGCACGAGCACCTGTATAGTGAAAGATATGTATCGTATTGCTATGCTACTGATACAGACGGGTCATCACACGCCACAAATGTGTGCCTAGTCAGCAATGTTACAGCATCTGCGTCTTTGATCCAGCTTGCCAAGAAACGCATGCCTCCCTCCCAGGTCGTCGCCAACGTCCACGGGTGGTGCGGGGGCTGGACGTAGGGGAGTGAGCCCATTTCGCGGACTGATGGTGAGCGCACCAGCTATTACAGCTACAGTAACAAAGCCTGCATGATGAGAAGGCTGGATCAGCCGGTACGCATGCCTCGTTATTCGCACACTGAGACAGGGGACTGGCGCGCATCGTGTCTGGTTCTCCCAGGTTCTCCCCCGCCACATCTTGGATTCTTGGTTGACCTCCCTCAGCTGTGTGAACTCATTTGTGCCCCAGCCCCAGTTCTCGTCACCGCCGCCTCGCCCTTGGATCTGCAACAGCCCGACGGCGTGTCCAAGATCTGGATCCGCGCTTCAGGAAGCAAGATTGGGCCTCGCTGCTGGCACGCTACCATGCCCTTCCCGTCTGTTACGCTTCCTCAACGTTGCGCATAAGAACATCCTTTCGAACACTTGGTGAGTCCGCTTGCTCCCCGAAAGGGAGTGCTCAGTGCTCGCGCTCGCGGGAGGGAGCATGATGATGACGCGTGTCGCGATGCACGCGTAGGACACAGGGTACGGGATTGCGAGACAGCACAGTAGGAGCATGCCTGGTCAGTACTAGTCCTACCTCCTCCTGCTACTGCTGTCGTTGTCTCTGGAACCAATTCGTCCAGGTTGGGTTACAGGACAAGAGGAACAACTCCTCCAGGCCCCCCTCCCTCAGGTCCCTGCTCGCAACCTCTGGTACGCACTCTGCGTATCCCACACAATAAAGTGTGACTAACCCAAGTCAGAGACATCACCACCCCGGGCCTCGACAGTCACGACACACTACGCCGCTTCCTCGATGGACTCTACCCGCTGCTTCCTCCTCCTCTCCCTTGCTCCCTTGCGCGACCTGGGCGCACCCAACGCGCCTACCACGATGCTGCCACCGGTAGTTACACCAGCTGAAGACCGATCCCATCCCCTCCCTGCGCTGCATACACGGCCCCGGTGCCGGCTCGCTTGCCCGCGCCCGCCTCCGACTCCGAATCCCCGCTCGCATGCGTCGGTGGCACCTACCTCCCCGGCGCCACTCCCTGGTACCGTACCGTATCAGCTCGCCGCCCGTCGGTCGCCACGTGTGCATTGGTGTGCAGGCACGACGTGTCTGGTACTACGTACATGCGCGCCCGTTCTCGCGCCCGATATACAGACGGCGTTCGAATATATCTTGTCATATGTAGCAGCTACATGCGAGGGACCAGAAGCGTCGATTCCGGAGCCAGGACATTCGGGAAGCGGCCTGCCATGCGCGCGGCACAGAGCGGAATACTTACATAGCTCAGACACTACATCAAAAGATTCGTGACAATTCTCTTTGATTGCCACAAACGTGGAGAACCATGAGTACTTCGCACATGACAAAAATCTTACTCACAACTTACGCACAAGTAAGTAGTTTCGTTCCTGTCGTCCCCGAGGGTGTGGTCTTCAGGGACACAGCATCCGGATGGCATGACTCAACGCAGGATAGGTTCTCTGCAGCGCTGGTGGCGCGCTCTGCAGCCGGTACGCCTTTGCCAGAGAAGTGCGTTGACGTTGACGGATGGCGGGTGCTGAGTGCGCACGAGCGAGAATATAGTCTGAGCGTCTGACACAATGCCGAGCGTCCCACTCGCGGCTCTCAAGATCTCAAGGAGCACCCGTGCCGTCCTGCCATTCGTTATTGGGCTTTGACTGAGAATGTAGGCGCTTGAGTAGGTGAAGCTTGAGCTTGAAGTCTATGCCAACTCCGACGAGGTACTCGAGAGTTCCAGGGTTCGACTGTTGACTGATCCCTGCCGCCAGCCGGTCAGGTGAACGTTTGAACTCCCTCTGCGCCGATCCACCCGAGGCAGACCTTCCACCGGCCAAATCGTCCACCCGCCGAGGTCGAGAAGATGCGATAAGAGCGTATATGCTCCAAATTACAATTATACGAGCGTGCGAACTAGCCCCAGACGTACGGTACGCGTCCTGCCGGGTATGCGTCCTCGGGGCGCCGAGTCTCTCCCCCTCACAACTAAATAACAATCACCCGGGTCCCGGGCCCCGACATCACGACCGCGGCGGCGGCGCGCCGCCGGCCGTGTGCGTGAGCACCACCGACCGCTTGCTGTACCCGTGCGTGTTCAGCGCGGGCTCCGGCGGGTACACGCCCTTCGCGTCCACGACGTCCACCATCTCGTGCGACTCCACGTCGACGTACACCTGGCTCGGGGTCTGCGCCGGACCGAGTCAGTCTCCGTCCGCGTGCGTTCGGAATCGAACGAGACGGCGACGCTCACCATTTGGCTGGCCTCGCCGCCGGTGCGGACGCCGAAGTTGCGGCCGCGGTTGCCGGACTCGGCCGTCGCGGGCCCGCTGCTGTTCGAGCCGTAGCTCCAGCCGGCGCGGGAGTTGAGGCTGGACATGAGCGAGTTCGTGTAGAGCTTCGCGAGCGGGATGTTGAAGATCAGGTGGAGGCCCGTCGGCTGCGGAGGGGGGGGGGAGACCGCGCGCGTGCGTGAGTGGCGGGCGTTCGGAGGCGCGAGGGACGGGACGCGCGACACTCACGCTCGCCAAGTACACGATCAGGTCGACGGTGGCCCAGAGGGCGGTGATGAGCCCCGTTTGGACGGTCACTGTGCGGATCGCGGCCGTCAGTACTTCAGTCCTGCCGGCGCGTCGTGGGGCTGCGGTGCGCTCACTTCGAATGATCTTGTTCACGAAGTCGTCTGTCGGGCCGAAGCCGGTCTTGTGGACGCGCTGGGACGTGGGACGATGAGAACGCAAGGTTGCGGGCCAGGCAGGGTCGACGCTCACCAGATACCCGACCAGGACGAAGGTAATCAGGCAGTCGGCCACGGAGGAGGCGATCAGCCAGATGATGACGATCACTTTGAACTTCTGGAACTCGAAGAACTGGGGGATCATGCCCACTGCGATCGAGGTTCCTATCCCTCCAACTGGTAGTCCGACCGTCAGCGCCAGACGGGCCGCGGAGGGACGGCACTTACGGAGCGAGACTATCGCACACGCGGTGATGACGAGCACGGCGGGCGTGCTGTTCGTGAGAACCTTTACGCGCCACGCGAAGAACAGTTGCACAAGACTCCCGATGATGGCCTGTGTGGAAGCAGCGCTTGGGTGAACATCGAGAGATAAAACAGACAATCACAGACCACTTACTGTCATTGCCGGGTCTGTGAAACGCAGCAGCAGCGCAGTCAGCGGTCGCTCACGGTGACCGGAATATCCAAAGACTGACCTGTGGCGAAAACTACGAAGAACATCATGAGCACAGAGCCGGTACAGAACTTGGACTGTAGTACGCACCCCAAGATGCCGTCGTGAGCGCCAATTCATCACCTGTGACATCCGGCGTGAGCGACGGGATTGGACGCGCTGGGAGGAAACTCACCGAAATCGTTGATGAGCGGGACGTAAAGAAAGATGATGTCGAAGACGCAGTTCACGGTATCACAGAGAAATAGAAGGCCGACCTGCGACAACCAGCCAAGTCAGCGAGCGGCTGAAAATGAAACAAGGAGGACACTCACGAACGCCTTCATCCATGTGCGGTCCCTGGTCTCGGGTGAGAAGAGTGGTGGGGGGAGTGAGGAGGGACGTACTGTTTGAAGGTGTTGAAGTAGATGTATGTCTGGGTGATCATGATTCCGTACAGGAGAATGTTCAAGACCACGCCAATGAATATGGGGCCATAGCTGGAGAGGGAGGAAGCAGAGGTGAGAAACGAGGACGTGTGTGCAGGGAGGCAAAAGAGAGCACGGACATGGCGACGGCGATGGAGGACATGATGGCGGCTCGGCGCACTCACCTGAAGATCGGTGTATAGATATACCGCAGGGGAACCGGTATTTTCGGGAGGCTAGATTCGGGAGGGTAGATCTGTCAGGGTTGTCCCTCGTTGGACTCGATCACGAAGGGAATCCATGGTTGCGACATGTGCGCGTAACTCGAATGGAGACGACAGATGGGCGCCTGTCCCCGGTGGCACTGCGAGAAGTGAGGTCACAGTGAGGTACTCGAAAGCGGTCTGAGGCGAGCGGGAGTGCGGTCGGCGGTCGGGTGTCCTCGCAGTGAGTGGGCGTTCTCACAACGAGTGTTGTCGACAGACATTTGCCACACAGGGCACGGAGGGAGGGGAAAGGCCGGCTGAAGAGCTCAAGCAAGCTCTGCCACGTGAGCGAGACGGCTGGAGGGTTTGAGTTTTGGGAGAGCGTATCAGACAAGTATCATGAAGAAGCGGTCAATCTCACACACATACGGCGCCCGTGGCGGGCCCGATCATCCCTCTCCTTTCGTCCTCCTCCGACTCCCAGCAAGGTTTCCCGACCGCCGCCGATGACTGCAGTGGCGCGTCTTGCCTCCCGCGGTATCCCCTACGCCAAGAGCGACCAAGAGCAGGATGTCTCGTGGAGGGCGACGACGACGACGCGGTGCTGTGCAGTCACTAGCGCCGTCTCCTGGTCAAACGCTCGCGACTGCACCTGTGAGAACAACCGGGCACAGAACGATCTGACTCCGCACACGCGGCGGGCACGACGGAAGCCGTGCACCGACGGACGATCGAGCCTCGTGTCCCGCTCTCTCTCCACCATGCATCTTGTCGCGCTGGGCGCCCCGCCAAACCTCCCGGCGCCATCTCGACACAATCTTCCTTGGGCGCCATCCGCGACGCGCGTCAATTCCTCGTCGCCATTGCTTGCCGCTCGATCCACCGTCGACGACGCGGATCCAAACCGGTGGAGATCGGGCTCCGCATGTCTGATCGCGCCGCTCCGCCTCCGGTCCAGCCGCGGCTCGACCGTTCCCCACGGTCGAATGGACGTGTGGCTGCGAGAAACGCGTTTGACTGGCTTCCTGTAGACTGCGTCGTGCTCACCGCGCGAGGGCACAAGCACGGGGACGGAGACGCAGGAGCAAACCCGGTGGTACCCGCAGGTGCGCGGACACTGCGACACCAGTGCGTGCTTGGGGATGCAGGCGCCGACGTCGAAGCGACCGCGCACGCGGACGGGGGCGGAGATGCCGGCATTGCTGCTGGCGCGAATGGTAACAAACGGAGGCGGACGAGGCGCGGGCGCGGGTGAGGACGACAACGGCGTGCGGACGGGGCCGGCAAGGCCGTTTGCGTGTGTGTGACGGCTGTTAACGTGGCGCTGGAACGCCCGACATATGAGCGGTGGGCACCGGCACCAAGGCAGTCGAGAGGCTAGTCGCGGGCGAAGGCGCGTGCATATACGAGTAAAGACGGTGGCGATGGCGAAAAACGGGGTGGCCGGCCGTGCGGTGAGCTTGCGGAAAGAATATAGGCAGGAGTAACGCGGGAAAGAACCCAAAACCGTCCAGAGAGGCTGCACGAGGACTGCATACATTCCATGGGAGATGCTTGCCAAAACAGCTTCTGTCGAAGCGGCAACGTCGACGCATGGATCGCAGGTCATCCACCGTCTTGCAGCACTGCCCCGAATACAGAGAAGTGCTCGCTAAAAAAACCCCATCAACGCTTCGTACCCGGAGCAGGCAGATAGGTAGACGAGGGCCCCACTTGAATGACACAGACCCCTTTTCGCAACTTCGTTTGGAGGGTTCAAACGTTCAGACCATGACGATCAGATTCGCTGATGCAGCGCATTCATCTTCGTCCTAAATACAAGAGCACAGTGGTAGGTTCCTCACCGAACAAACGTCCGCGCCACCCGGACTGATCAGTAGGTGTACGTCACCACCGACGAGTCCCCCCATCCTACGCGCGCGAGTACGATCTGCCTTCCCTCGTCAAATGTCGGTCGAACCCTCGGCCTCAGGCACGTGTCCCACAGTCGCTCGGGCAGAACGCAGAACCCCGCTTGCCGAAGAACCGCCCGTCGTTCCGAGCCCTCGGGAGACGCCCGGGCCCCGAGGACCTTCGACAGCCGGCGAGAACCTCGAGAACCCAGCTACCGAGGCCTCGGGAAGGACTCTAGAAAGGCGTCAGATGCGCCGCCCACTCTGCGCCCAGTCTCCGTCGTCGCCCCGCAGCCGCGAGAGCTCCGGGCGAGGGTAACTCGGCGAGCGGCGTCGTCCTGGAGGGATTCGAGGGATTCTGCTCGGTGGCTGGGCGGTGCGCGGGGTCGCCATAGATATCGGGCGCGCGCGTATCGAGGGGGCAGCTGGGACTCGAGCGGGGCTGCTCACCGAGAACTGTTCACACGCCTAGCTCTTCATTCGGTCGCGTGGGGGACCCTAGGACGGCAACGTTTATGGCTCCGAGACGAGCGACTTGCTGGCCTTGCAGTGCTTGGCGGTAAGTACAGAGAGGACCGCGTTTCTGGCCACCTACTCGGCGGCGGATCTTCGCCAGCGGCGTCGACGGATGGTGGTGGTGGTGGTGAGAGAAACTATAGACGCTGTAACTATGACATAAGTTAATATTAACTGTCCTACGCTGTTGAGCATTAATGGGGTAGTGGTAACCTGGGTCGTTGCCATCGACCCGCCGGGGGTTCGATTCCCCCTTAATGCATGATGTCGCCATTGACCAATCTTTTTGCTAAATCCCTTACTGCGGCACCGTTATTGCCCTTTGGTGACCGCGCAATAAATAGCCTTTTGGTGGCACCGTTCTGTGAACCACTCCCGATTTGCTTCAAACTTGGTATCTAGGTACATATACTCATTGTCGTTCTATTTATGTCATTTCTGTCATTTCCCTGTGCGATGAACAGTCTGATTTCGGCGACGGAATGCGGAACGGCTGGACGCTTGTTACCGCGCGCCGGGCGTCTCCCCTTTGAAAGGTCATAATTTGGGCCACGGGAAGGTTGGCATTATGTGGCCACCAAAAGACTCATTTCAGGTGACTAAAAGGCCATCACTACCGTGATGACGGACATACGTCTGTGTGCACCATAAGGTCTAAATAGTCCCCACCGAAATGGCAATTCGCGGTTACCATAAGGGTGTTGGTGTTGACCTTAATGTCATAGTGGAGCGCCACGGCAAGGTCACCCGCGTCACCACTGAAAGGCAAATGCCTGCCACATTAAGGGTACTTGCATTAGTTTTTGCGTAGGTGCGCACATTAAACGAAAGCTCGCTCGCAGATTCAATCTGTCCGACTGTACGGTCGTCGAAGTTGACACTCATCTTCATAATACAACAAATGATGTAACACAGACTTCCAGGGGAGTAGTACGCCATACAGATATCCGAAACCCGAGCCCTCACATCACGCTGTTCACAGTATTCGCTGCGCTCAGCTTCCCCGACTTTTCGCTGTATGTGTGCGTGCGCAACGCGGGCTCCGGGGGGTAACATCCCTTCGTGTCGATGACGTCCACCATCTCGTGCGACTCGACGTCGATGTACACCTGGTTTGGCGTCTGTCCGCGAATCCGTCGTGAGCACCCCGTGGAACTCGGGCGCGAACCGACGCTCACCATTTGGCTGACGCGCCGACCGGACTCGCCCCGGACGGCGAGGTGCCGGACGCCGCGCTCGACACGGTTCATGTCGTCGGAGCTGGAGTCGCCGCTGCCGTTGTTTCCGTACTTCCATCCGGACCGGGAGTTGAGACTGGACATCAGCGAGTTCGTGTACAGCTTCGAGAGGGGAAGGTTGAACGTCAGGTGGAGACCTGTAGGCTGTGGAAACGCGGGCGCCACGTGAGCGAAGAGCCCTCGAATGCACAAAAGCGTGTGCTTACGCTGGCCAAGAACAGGATCAAGTCAATGAGAGCGCAGAGAGCGGTGATCAAGCCCGTCTGGACGGTGACTGTCTCGATGGCGCACGTCAGTCCTGTAGGCACTCGTCCTGAGCTGTGAGGCACTCACGTCGGATTATCCTGTTCACGAGGTCATCTGTTGTGGCAAAGCCAGTCTTGTGGCTGCGCTGTGGTACACGTCAGTGAGAAAGCCAGTCGACGCACGAGTCAATGCCGGTGCTCACCAGATGCCAAACCAGAGCGACCGTAATCAGGCAATCGGCTACAGCGGAGAAGGCCAGCCAGATAATGACGATTACTTCGAATTTCTGGAACTGAACAAACTCCGGAATCATGCCCACGGCGATCGAGGTTCCTAGGCCACCAACTAGTAATGCAGAATCGTCAGCGCCGGATGGGTCGCGCAAGAAGGTCACTTACGGAATTGGCAAACGGCACACGCGGCGATGACGACGACGGCGAGGGTGCTGTGCGTGAGGACCTTGACACGCCACGCGAAGAATAGTTGTACAAGACTCCCGATGATGGCCTGCGCAAAAGTGGAGCGTGGATTAACATCAAGCAGATGCGATGGCACAACGGCGGAGCACGTACCGTCATGACAGGATCTGCAGTGCGACGCAATAGCGCGGTCAGAGGTGCCACATCGTGACCGGCGGGGTCAAAGACCAACCTGTGGCGAACACTAGGACGAGAGGTAATGAGCACAAGGGCAGAAAAAGAACATGGAGTGCACTCACCCCACGATGCTGTTGCGAGCGCGTTAGGATCGCCTGAAACATGTGGCGTGAGCGAGAGTATGGAACCATCTACAAGCGGGCTCACCGAAGTTGTTGACTAGAGGAATGTAAAGAAAGCTGATGTCGAATGCGCAGTTGAGGGTATCACAGAGAAAAAGAAGGCCGACCTATGACAATCGGTCGCGTCAAGACAGCGGGAGAAAACGGAGAAAGAGAGAGTATTCACGAATGCCTTCATCCAGATGCGGTCCCTAGGGTCGGATGAGATAGAGAAGCGGACGGAGAAGGAAGGACGTACTTTTTGTAGGTGTTGAAGTATAGGTATGTCTGGGTGATCATTATCCCGTAGAGAAGGATGTTGAAGACGACCCCAACGAAGATGGGGCCATAGCTGGTGGGTCGGACGGTCGGGGTGAGCACCAAGGCGAAGGAGAGAGAGGGAATACGGACGTGGCGGCGGCGACGGAGGGCATGGGGACGGCTCGCGCTGAGCTGCAGAAGAGGGTATCAGAGGGTGTCGCGCGTCGCGGGGGGTTGACGCGGGGGCGGGGAAACGGGAGCGTGTTGATAAGAGCTGGAATCTGGACGGCGGGTGAAGTGACGGGCGGGTGGCGGGTCGGAACAGTGGTCGAGGCAGGCGGGGCAGAGACTTGGACACGATGCTGCGCGGCTTCGAATTCGGTGGCGAACCGTCCCCGCTCGGGACCCTGCCCTGCGCGGCTCATCCCGGGGGCTGAGCTGTGACAGGGAAGCCTGCACAGAGGGCATGACGGTACCCAACGGGGAGCTCTCTCGCCAGCGCCAGGCGGGCTCGCTGCCGTTTAGCCTCCTGGAGCGAGCGAGGTCGCTGTTGGCTCACGGCCTGTCGCCGTCCCACATCTTCGAAGCCGGGGCGGAGACACACCGAGGAAGTGAACGGCGTGGAGCGAGAACTGAAGGTGGTCTTGCCTGCACACGAGAGGGAAGGACGTCTGCAGATCCACCGGCGAGGACAGCGAACTGGGAGCGCGGGCCATGCGGGCCCGCGAAAAAGCCCCGTTCGAGCGTGTGTGCCGTGCGGACAAGCGAGCGGACGTGGGGACCGCTAAGATCGCGCCCTGTGCGAGCAGCCTGCCATCGGGGAAGGGTGCAGTCGAGAGCCGCGGAAGCGAAGAGTGGGACGTGGCCAACTTTCAAAGAGAAGGCGCCCATCATGGAAATTCCCATGGCCGCTCGGACCGACTGATCTTCCGAGAGCGCTCCTCCCGTTCCTTGCTCCACAGCTCGTAAACATGCCGGCAGTCGAGTCCGCCAATCAGTGCCCTACCAATTGATCTCCGCGACTACTCCTCGTCGAACACAACGCCCTCAGCTCAATCGACAGCTGCCTCGTCGGCGCGTCCTTCGGGCTCCCGCCGTCGACGAACGCCGAGTGCGGGCTGAGCCGCGCGACGCCGCCCTCCTCCGAGTCGTAGCACTTGATCAACACCACCTCCTCCCGCCGCATCCCGCCCAGGTACCAGAACTGGGGCCGCGCGCTGTACTTGACCGAGAACGTCGCGCCCTCCTGGCCCGGGTACACGTACTTGACCGGCACCAGCTGCCCCGCGCTCTCGTCCAGCGTGCGCCAGTCCCCCACCGCGAGCGGCCGGTGCGCGACCGCGTGCGCGATCGGCCGCCAGACGTTGATCAGCCGCGTCCACCCCCAGAGGAGCCGCGGCGCGTCCGCGCCCAGCAGCTGGTGCACGCGCTCCAAAGGCCGGGGGAGAAGAGAGGACGTACGACTGGTCTGCGCGAGGAGCCCTCCCGCGTTCGTTTGACAGTGCCGTCTTTCTCGGCGTGGCGTCTGCAATGCAGCTGGCGTCAGCGCCCGTTCTCATGCTTCCTCGGGTGTGCTTATTCCCGCAGGCGCGCGTTGCCGCGCCGTTCGATGATTCTGTCCGGGGCGCTCGCGCAGAAGCCCTTCGAAGTTCGGAGGCCTACATAGCCGACGCGCGAGCGCGCCTCCTCCAAGAGCATACGAGCAAACGGGCGGAACTCGATGAAGGAAGAAAAAAAACAAGAAGGTTCGGCGACAACGCAGGGCGCGGCGGATCCACGCAGTGAACGCCGCGCCCTACGCCGCCGCACGCCGGACCCTCCGCGCGTCCGAGCCGCAAACCACCACGCATCGCAGTACGGTGTGGTCGAACACGACGACCCTCTTCGCTCCCGTCGCCTTCCGGAGGAGCTCCGCAGTCTCGGGGTAGTACACCTAGGCTCGATCATCCAGCCGTTCTCGTCGTGACCTCCTCTAACTCGCGGGCCCGTTGTGAACTTGTATCTGCCGCTCCTGCACATGCGAATCGCGATGCTCAACTTGCTCTCCGGGTGACGGGTCCAGGAGATGTGGCATTCAAATAATGAAACAGCTTAAAGTACAGTAGCTTTTCTGTTAAATTCAATGTACAATGATCTAGGTACTGTGCGGACAGCCGTGGAATGCGCCGACAGCGGCATGGGCATCCGAAGTGGTGTGTGAGGTCGACCCTTGTAAACCAGAAACGTTGGGCAGACTCATGGGTGAGGAGCAGTGTTCCCTGGCAGCTCCCGAGATTTCAGAGAGCAGAGAGCTTCCAGATCTGGCTGGAGAGTGGGGTATTGTAAACGCGACACGGGAGAGAGAGTCGAGCATCGCGGGCGACAGACCCGAGACGCCTGTGCGCGACCGGCCGCACGCGCGCGCACCGCGGGGGCTCGCGCGCGAGCTCGCGCACAGGGCTTGGGGAGGGCGGCGTACCCAACAAGCCCGTTTGGGCGGGGGAGTGGAGCGAAGGGAGGGCATCCATCACGTGATTGCCTTTATGGGTCTCCTGCGAGGCTCCCTACGAGTTTGACCAGCCGTTAGAGGAGGTCACGACGAGAACGGCTGGATGATCGAGCCTATAGTACACCGTCCGGACGCGCGCGTCGTCGTCGAACGCGGTCTCGGCGCTCGGCGCCCGCGCGAACGCGAACCCGTGCACGTCGAGCGCGAACGCGAACTCGCCCTCGCGCCCCCGCGTCCTTCCCGAGGTTGTGCTCGGGCATGCCCTGCGGCGGCGTCGCGTAGATGTACCGGTACGCGGGCACGTCGCGCGGGGTGGGGGGTGGTGCGGTTTCCATTTCTTCTTCAAGGGTCTCTTCGGCTTTCTGTCGGCAGCGGGGGGGAAAGGCAAGGCGGACCGACGGCGTTCGCTCACGACGATGGTCGGGCTGAGGAGGGGCGCAGAGTGAGCTACTTATGGCTGTTTGCGGGTGCTCCCAGTGACGCCGTTTCGCGAGAGGGTTGCGTGATTGCGTGAGATGAGGTCACGTTATACGAACTTCAATGGCGAGGGGTCGAGCTTTCTGGGATCCTCGTGCGGCGCACGGCGATGTGGGGGTTTTGTATTTTGAGATGGGACAGGCTTCGTCAGATGGGCAATCCGTGTTGTACATCCCCAACTGCCAGCGTTGCATGAGTTCACGGAATCGGAGAGCTTCGATCTCAACAGGTCGGGGACACCCGTCATGACCAAGGCACTGGCGCGGGAAGTCGTACTCAAGGCAGATGGGTCATCCCACCCTCACGTGTACAACTTGTGCTGACTTATTTCAGAGGTTCCTGTTGCCCAGATTCTGAATGACAGCAGTCTGGCGACATGCTCGCAACCTCTGAGTTGTACATATGTGCCACTCACCGAAGCGACGTACGAGCAGAAGTTCTCCAAGAAAAGTGTGGGATGCTTGCGATCGAGCACTGACGCGCCTGTCAAGATGCATGGAGACGGAGCAGAAGCAATACACATCGCAAGACGGCAAAAAAGAAACAATCGTACGCGTACGATCACTCGCTCATCTCCTCGTCCCCGTCCCCGTCCCCGTCCCCGTCCTCGCCCTCCACCGCCTCCGCGTCCGCCTCCTCGGGCTCCTGCGCCTCCTCCGTCACCTCGCCCGTCTCCGCCGCCCACCACATCCTCAGCCCGACGCGGAACGTGACGAGGCGCTCCCCGACGAGCTTCAGCAGCTGCGTCTGCTCCGCCGCGAGCGTCTTCCCCGCCTCGCACACCGTGTGCGGCACGTCGAGCGTCGGCACGCCGCGCTCCATGCGCGTGCGCAGCCCGAGCCGCCGCAGCTGCGGCTCCTCGCTGTGCGGGAACGGCTCCGGCGGGTCCGCGTGCCGCTGCAGGACGGGCCCGGCGGGGAGAACGACGGTGCGGGCGGCGACGTTCCCCGCGCGCGCGAAGTCCGCCTGCCGGAAGTCCGCGAACCACGCGCGCACCTCGGCGGGGGGCGAGTCCGTGAAGAGGAGCCCGACCTGGCCTTTGATGTGCGCGGCGAGCTTGGAGAGCCGGGGCGGTGCTCGGACGCGGGGGTGGTGCCCAGGGCGATGGCCATGACGGCTCCGCGACCGAAGAATATCCGCGCGGAGCTGGGCAAGAGGTTGTGCGGGGGGAAACGGGGCAGGAGAGGAGGGCGTGGACGGTGTGAGGAGATGGGGTGGGGGTGGGACGGGCGAAGGGACGTACTCTTTCCAGAGTTTGCGCACCGTCTTCAGATGCGAATTCCGCATGTTGCCGACCTCGAAGAGCCAGCAATACTGCCATTTATCGGCATTTTCTTGCACCTGACGCTGTTAAAGATGGGAGGAACTAACGTGATTATCTGTGCGTACCTCTTGCAGAAGCGCGTTTTTGTGTTCCCTCCCCTTCTTCGCGACCTTCGTCAAAGATACTGTGTACTCTGTGAGCCATCTTGACTCTTGCCCACACTTTGAGTCCGCTCACCGATCTTAGAGCGTTTTGACCTTGGCATAATGGGCCAATATGGGATGTGAGGGGGGCGTAAAGGAAGGTGAGGAAGAGATCAAGTCAGGCCCAAACAGGCGACTGTTTTGCGGAGGACGAGCGCGAAGAAGCGCCCGCCCCGATCGAGGCCGCTCTGGATCTAATCTTTCAAAATTTCCCTCATAAGCACCGCGTCTCTCTTGATCTAATCTATAATCTCTCCTCCCTCCCCTTCCTTCACCTCCGTCCCCATGGTGGCTGAAGCCGACCCGTCCACGCTCTCTGCGCTCGAGGCCGCACTCCTTAACGCCTCTGGAGACGTGCCCCTCCACAACCGCTTCCGTGCGCTCTTCACCCTCAAAGCGCTCAAGAACGAGGACGCAGTACGTATCATCTCCAAAGGTGTGTTCACTCATGCTTCTCGAACGGACATATCTGAAGCGTCTCATCTGGCAGGTTTCGCGGACGAGAGTGCACTCCTCAAACATGAGCTCGCGTACTGCCTGGGACAAATGAAGAACACTACCGCGCTCCCCGTGCTCGAGTCCGTGCTTTCAAACGAGCGCGAGGATCCCATGGTCCGCCACGAGGTTCGTAAGTCACGTCTCCCTCTTCTCCTCGCATTGCATGCGACGTTCCGAACCCGCACCTCCACAGGCCGCTGAAGCCCTAGGCGCGATCTCCGCGGCGTCGTCCACGGGCGTGCTCGAGCGGTACCTGCACGACCCCGAACGCTGCGTGCGCGAGACCTGCGAGATCGCGCTCGCCAAGATCGCCTGGGACCACTCCCCCGAGGGCGAGCAGCACCAGCAGACCACCGCGGCCGCCGCGCAGCAGTGCGTCGTTCCTCCCCCCATCTCTCCCTCCACGCACCTCCCTCACCCCCGCCGGCGCACGGCAGGGCGTACACCTCGATCGACCCGGCCCCGCCGACGTCGCGCCTGCTCGCGGGCAAGGCCGCGCCCGCGGACGCGGCGGCGGAGCACATCGCGGCCCTGCGCGCCGCGCTGAACGACGCCGCGGCGCCGCTGTTCGAGCGCTACCGCGCCATGTTCGCGCTGCGCAACATCGGCACGCCCGCCGCGGTCGACGCGCTCGCGTCCGGGTTCGCGGACGACAGCGCGCTGTTCAAGTGCGTCTTTTTCTTCTTCTTTCCTCCCTCCCCTGGGTCCGGTGGTCTCCAGCGCGTTGACGTGCCCCCCACCCCCGTTCCCTTTGCGCGTCCGTGGGTGCGTCGCAGGCACGAGATCGCGTTCGTGTTCGGGCAGCTGCTGTCGACCCACTCGGTCCCCGCGCTCCTCGCCGTCCTCCAGGACGCGCGCGAGTCGGACATGGTCCGGCACGAGGCCGCGGAGGCTCTCGGGGGGATCGCGACCCCCGACGTGCTCCCGCACCTGAAGGAGTGGATGCAGCGGCCGGACGCGCCGCGCGTCGTGCGCGAGAGCTGCCAGGTTGCGATCGACATGTGGGAGGTGCGTGCCTCCGTGCGTGTCCTTGTGTGTAGCGCTTCGTGCTGATGCGTGGGCGGGTGGGACGCAGTACGAGAACTCGGGCGAGTTCCAGTACGCCAATGGGCTCGACGGCGCGGCTCAAGCCGTCGGTGCGTGAGTGGGGCCATAGAAATGAAAGGACTGTTGGTGCTTGTATTTTTATAACTAATGCAGACATTTGTATCGATCATGCGGCACCTCGATGGATGACAGATTCTTTCTTCCAAATGCACACAACCACTGCGATACGCGAAGTCCAGAAGTACTTGGGGCGGACAATCAAGCCTGAGGTTGGGCCGGAGGAGCACAAGGAGATCTTGGGTGCGTATGCAGACCTGCGCATAGCGCAAGTACCGCCACGGAAGTCGAAACTTTGCCGTATACGTGTCTATCTGTTGCACTTAAGTAGGAGATTGGAACAGCAGGGTCCACTGGTTTTACGCCACTCGTATCTAAGTGACGAGCACAGCACGAACTGAAGAAGTCGAAGACAACCCACATGCACCCTCCGTGCGCTGAGCCTTCGGACTTTCCGCCGTCATCTTCCGTAGATATCTTCGGCATTGATGCAGCGTCAGCTTGCGGCCGCACTATTCTCAACGGCCTTTAGAGAAAACATCCAATTGAGGCATGTACATAACCGACCAGGGTCTCTCAGGGCACATTCGTCGCTGAGCTATTGTTTTCAATGGGAGCGTCATTGATTTGACGAGTCTTGCGATGACTCCTGGATATTTGTTGTATACTGCCGCGAGAAAACTCCACGATGATGCGAAACGAATGCCATGCCATAGAAAACAGTGCAGTGCGTAGACAACCCAACGATACATAACGTGTTTACATGAGCTTGCCGTTCGTGTAGGCGCTGGTGGGGGATGAGTGTCCACCAGTCTTCTTCAACGCCTTGCGCGTCGCGAAGAGGAGGCTGTCCACGAGAGACGCCACAGTGAGCACTCCACCGACGATTGCGCATGTCCTAACGATGAATGGTCAGCGGGAAGGATGAACGAAGGATGCTGCGACTCACGATGTGAGGAAATGTGCGAAAGACTGGCGAGTCTCGGTGTGGCGGATGAGGATGGGGGAGATTTCGTAGTTGAAGAACGTGCCGGGGATACCTCCGTTGCCGTGCGCGAGATGGAGGCCCTCCGATGTGCTATCTGACGGACCCTTGTCGAGGTCGCGTTCGAAGTGGGTGGCACTGTATTGGTGCGTGTTTACCTGCAATGCCGAGTATAGTCAGGATCTAGTGTTTGGCCCTCTGAGAAGAGGTAAACACGGAGCCACGTACCGACTTGCCGTCGAGAGTCTCGAACTGTGTTGAGACGACCTTGAGGAAGTACTGGAACATGTACTGTTGCTTGATCGTCTGTGTGCCGATGTCAATACTCCCGTGCGCATTTCACGAATGAGACACGACGCACCCTGCCCTGTGTGTTATCCAATGGGTTCGCTGAAATACCTAGACGCTCCTTGAGGTTTTTGCCGAGCTTCGCCTTGTTCAGGTCGTACTCGTCGTCGCCCTCGAACGCCAGGTGGTGGATCGTGTGCGTGAAGTCATGTCGGTTTCCGTCTGTACGGAGGTACGGCACGAGTTCGTAAAGGTTGATCGCGCTGGTGCGGAACGAGCGACCAGGGGAGAGGTGGATGTTGCCGACGACCTTGTTCACGCGAACACGGCCAGCGATGTTGCATCCCTCGTGTGCCTGATCCTTCAGCTTTTCTGCCCAACCCTCCTTGACGCACTACATCAAAGTCCTGAAATTAGACCCCGCCCAACACGAAGCATGTACACAGAGAGAGGTACGCACCTGCTCAATAGAATCCGGCCTATTGAAGCTCCATCCCCGGTTCACGTACGCCTGCCGCACATCCTCACAACTGTTGCAGCATCCGTTCGCAGGTTCAACACCACCGTAGCAAGACCCACAGTAGCCGCCCTGGCGCTGCTCGTTGATCTTGTCAAGGTCGTTCTGGAGCTCCGTTATGACCGAGTTCGGCACCGCGACACCCCTCTCGTCCAGCCGGGTCTTGAGGATGTTGTGCGTCACGTCCGACTGCGTCTCCCCGCTGATGTCCATGACATCCAGACTGAGGACTGCGAACAAGACCAGAATTAGCGATCCGGCCTCGCGGGTCGGGTCGCGGACTTTCTTCGCCGCCGGCAATATGGGTGTAGAAAGCCAAAGTTGGGACGATCGGTGGCTTTCGTGCAGCATGCCCACATCCGTCCGCCCGCACCCACACCCGTGCGCAGGGAAAGAAAGAGAGTGAGAGACGAAGGTGACGGGACTCACGGTAGCACGGCACGCGCGGGTAGGTGATGTTCATGTTGACCGTAAGCTTCTCGCCGCGACTCCGGTCGACGATGATGGAGGTGTCGACCGCGACGCGGCGGTAATCGATGAATTCAACGGTTGTGAACGAGAAGATGATGGCCGCGGCAATGAGGGTCACTGTCGGATGCAGGGACAGCAGGAGATGAGGAAAGGGCGAGGAATTCGGATGGGGTGGGAAGCTCACATAGCGCGCCAGTACGGTCTTGACCTTGACGTCCTCCATCGTCTGTGCGACGCGTCAACGCTCTGCATGCCGACCTTGGTGCGCATATAGTCGCCCTAAGGAAGCACGATACTGACCTTTCCGAAGGCGTCGACGCCCTTAAGGCCGCTGAGGAACCCTTCGCCATGGTGCGGCGGTGTCCTAGGACGGTAAACCAGAGGCGGGGCCGGGAATGAAAGAAGGAGAGTGAGAGGCCTGTGCCCGCGTGCGGCGGCGGCGGAGGGTGGTGGGCGGAGTGTGGGTGGTCGTAACGGGAACGGCAGAGTACTTGATGAGCAGGCCCAGGGCGCGAAAGTGAGACGCGGTGACCGGACGGGTGACGTGTCACCACATGACCAGAGTCGTCGAACGGAAGTCGGCGCGCGTGCGCGATCATGCGCTGCGTTCACGGTCTCGCCTCGGTCTGTCCGACCATCTTCCAGATATTAGCCGTATGTCCTACCGTACACGACTGCTACCATACGCCCAGTGTCCCTATACCGCGCGCCGACATCCCGCCGAGCACGCGCACTATGGCTGAGCCGCGATGCGATCCACTCCCTGCTTCACCTTCCCGAGCAGACTCCTCACGCCCTCTTTGATGCCCTCGGTCTGCAAGCTAACACCCTCCCCGCTTGTCCGGTACACACCAGGAGCAGCCCCACCAAGACTGACATTTACTCCGCCGAGGTTCAGGTTCAGTGATGGCATGTTGCTGGACGACCCAGGAGGTGGCTCATGCACCGAGGCGGGGAAGTTGACCGCAGCCGTGCGGACCATTTCCAAGAAGCTTCGGACGTGCGATGTAAGTCCACGCGGGAGGACTAGAAATGCTGGAAGAAGACGAAGCTTACCTCGAAGAGTTGTGTACGCATGTTCCACCGAGTAGGAGACGTGTCCCCGCGGCAGCTGACGGGCCACCCGAGGATGCCTCTTGGTTCAGCATGGCGACCACGCGTGCCTCTTCGTACGTGGCACCGCCGATCATGAAGATGATGACGTCTCCGGGGCTGTTGATGCATGGATTTAGAATCGTCGGATGAGCTGCACATGTCAGAGGCCATACCGCTGCAATCCGGCATTCGGACCTGCTCCATCCAAGAAAGGATGAGTGGTGTCACGGAGCCGGCCTTTGAAGAGGTTCTCTAGAGTTTGCGAGAGGTGTGGTGTGTGCTGCATATACACGTTCTCGACCCCTTTGAGCCCCTTCAGTGCTGACCGTCCTTTAGCGAAGAGTGCTTCGGCCGAAAATAGGTCCTCCTGTCGCTGATCCGAGCCTGCGATGTTCAGCAGGACATACACCAACTGCGATGATCGCGAGTAAGTATCAAAGACGTTAGAGTTTAGATGCATTAAATCTCACCTTCGCATCTTCCCTTGAGACACCATTCTCGAGCATCAGATTAACGAGCGATGCGACGTTCTGCGCTTGCGTCTTCTGATATCGCAGCGCATAGAGAATTACGAGTCTGAGCTTATTCCATGGTTGGATTGCTGGATTCGTGATCAATGCTTGTACGTTCTGTCCAGTCACGCATCAGTGGTTGCATGGATGCTGCCGTCGCAATACTCACCCGGAGATCAGCTCCGCTCCCAGTCGCTAATCCTTGCTCGATCTCCCCAAGCTCCAGAAGCTTGTCACGCTCCACCAGCCGACTAAGCTCGCCCACAATAGCGACGTGTTTGCTGACATTTCCACCGAGCTTGCGGAACTCCGGATACTCCTCAACGAAACGCTTCATGTCCGAGATGGACTGGATAGAAGACGGGTTGTTCGCCAATGAATGTGACTGGTACGACTGTACGTATGACTTTAGCCCCGTGCCGAGGTCACCAAAAGTCGCCAGATGATGCGCCTGGAAGAACGGGTCCGTGATGTCGTGAGTGTGACTTCCTACGCATATAGTGAGGACAACGGTCGCATCGAGTACGAGGGGATATTCAATACCTTGAGTTCTGGGCGAATATCTGGCACAATGCTGAGGTCCACACGACCATTCTGAATGTTGAGCAGTTCGTGAACCATTGCCTGGTACGTCCATTGCGACAGCATCGGTGTGACTGGGTCGTTTCTCCGGTCCAAGATGAGTAGCAGAGGAGGCACCTGGGTCAAGCGGAAGTCGAACAACTGCGACTCAGTTTGTACTCGATGCTGTACTCGTAGAGGATGTCAGCCATTTTCCGCACTGGTTTGTCTAGACACTGCCTGGATCTCGACACCCAGCTTCTTCGCCATAGGACTGGACTTCTCATACCGAATGACCGGTTTCTTCTTCAGACTCAATAGCACTGCGGAAAGACCTGTAGAGCCAGCTCGAGTGCTTTGGGATCCCAAGTGTTGGCATTGTTGCCGTACAGAGGTCTTGATGCAGAGGGTGAGTGGTTGAGGGAAAAGAGAGAAGGAGACCGGGGCGTAATCTGCGAAGTATTCCTTGAGAATACGCATAAGGGACGTTTCTGTACACCGGAGGAACATGTGTGGGAGAATGTTTGGGAAGAGACTGTCACGAACACACCACCGTATGGAGGGGGGAGAGGACAGCGAAGAGGATGGGAAGGACACTAACCTGTATTTCGCGTACAACCTCGTACTCATCGACGTCCGCTAATCGCTCGATTGCTGTTTTGCTCAAAATGTTGCTGAAGTCTTCATTACGGGCAATCCGAATGTGTTCAGCGATGGACGCGGGAGGGAAACAAGCTGGCTTACTGACAGAGATAGTAATCCCCATACTTGGGCTCGCGGAGTTCGGCGGCCAGTGCGTCGAAGCTGTCTTCGCTAGGTTGTAGGAAGCAGACGCATTTCATGTGTGCCATGCGATCGCGTTTCTTGTTGTCTATTTTGTCTGTGAGGTAGACCTGGTGCGACAAGAGAATGGACTGGGTGGCTGAGAGGGAGACAATAGGTGTCTGTGGAGGAGGGTGACCCATGCATGTTAGGAACATCGATGACACAAGAGCGCTGCGCACGCACTGTATGGTTATCTAGCAATAACACCTTCATTGTCGACGGTGTGGACACCATCTTGGTTATGTACGTCTCGACCGCCTTCACGACGTCCATCTTGAAGGATGCGTCGAACTGGCCAGAATACTATCGTGCCTAGACTGCTTGTAATGATCCAGGATGCGTATGGCCACGAGAGGAACAGAGGACGCGAGAGGAGAGGGTGAGTGGGAAGATGAAGGGACTGCGGCGAAGACGCGTTCTGCTGTCCCTGGCCAAGCCGAAGCGGTGGCCGCGCCGCGCGCTCCGGCCAGCACTCATGTGCATGACGTCGCGTTTCCCGCCCGTCTTCTTGCTTTTATCCACCATCGTCGAGTTCCATGGCGTAGCTCCCCTCTCAAAATCTGCTACACTCTCCGCATCCTATGATGACCGCTCCCGAAGGGTCCAAACCGCATCTCTTCATGCAGGAGGAGCTTCAGCGGGCGCTGTCCGAACAGTCTTTCGGCATCACTTCCTACGAAATCCTCCAATCTTCACAGCTGAAGGCGACCTCAAGTGTTCTACTACTAGAGAGTGATACAGTCCTCGTAACACTCACAGGAAAGGTTTCCAAGTACGTCCCCGGATTGTTGCAAGTATTGAAAGCCGAGTGCTCATTCATTTTAGATTGAGAGTCCCGCCGAAAAGTCCTCGGAGTCGGACCTCGAGTCTGGTATTGCCTTTGAAACCCTCGAGCAACTTTTGCAATCCTTGAGCCCGATGTATGAGCGGCGAGAAGGAGCGTGCTTATAGCCAAACTGAGCACGCTCACGGACGATGTATAATGGGATGGCATAAGGTGGGTGCCACCATACTACTATGTGGTAAGGTCGGAGCCAAGTCCTCGTTTTGCTTTGGCTGATTGCGCGGAGTAGGCGGTCGTGAATTGTTGCTCTATAATACATGCCTCTCTCCCGCGTATTCTCTGGTATGTATACTGTCACGTCATCTAGACTCCGTAAAGTCTGCAAATTCAATCACCCTCTAATTCGGGAAGCTTTCCCGTCTCCTTCCGCTTCTGCAACAGTCGAAGGTACACTTCTCCCGAGAACACATATCCCTGGCGCTCCCTGACTTTTTTGATCGCCATGTTGATCGACTTGCGCTCGTGTTCATCTCGAACACAGTTCGCCCACCACCTATCCATACTGTCGATCAACACACGGGTTGAGAGGTGCCCGTGCTCGCTCTGTTCCGAAAGTACAAACAACAGGAAGCCCGCGTTCCAGCGTTCGAGGCTAAACTCCGACAAGCATTTCAGGATGCGAGAAATGCGCAAGTTGTTGTGCGGGGCACCTGCAAGGATTACAAACGTTGAGAGCAAGTTGACTACTACGGTAGACTGAACCACTCACCGATTAGGTTTTGAAACCTCTCCTGCCAATTCTTTGCCGCACGGCGGACTTCGCCCGTTTCTTCCGACACCAGCTCCATGCCGTAGAAGCCGAGCATGATCTTGTATGAACGCTTGACGCGCTCTACTACAGCCGGATCGGCTTTCATGGTCTGCAGCTCATGCTCTTGGAGAGGCTGAGATGCGAAGTTCATGCCATATTCCTTGATAGGGAATCTGAAGCAAATCGTTGAAAGCTTGCGAGAAACATGAGGCCAGGAAACCTACAGCCATTGTATATATCCATGCGAGTACTCCAGCTTCTGGTAGTCCTCCTTCCACCTGAGCCCACAATTGACATACGCATCACGGACCGCAAAGGAGTTCGGACTCACTGCTCGTGCAGCTCGTCGATAAGAAGACGATCTGGCCTGCATCTGCGCATGTTAAGGTAGAACTCAAGGTTGGCGTTGAGGGATGAGTCGTCGGTGGAGTCAGGGTAGCCATTGAGGAACTCGCGCACGTCCCGAGGAACAACGGCGGCGGCCATTCTTGCAGTGTGCACGCGGACAGAGAGGGGTGGGTGCGAGGATTTGCGATTGTGAACTGGAGACACGCGGTATTTGGGGAAGGCGCGAAGCATAAAGCAAAACGCCCGAGCACGGGGAGAGACGCGTCGCAAATGAGTAAACTGAGTTTGAACTATAGTAATCGGAGATTTATATGAATCTAGTCGTGGCAAGTTCCCAGTATGTAAGCGCGCCGTCACGAACGCCACAACCGCGCCAAACGCGTCGCCGACTGTGTTCGCTCCCGGACCTCCGATCCATGCCACCATCCACCATCCCCTCCGCATCAGATGCGCTCGCGAGCCTCACGAAGGCCGCTACAGTAGCGGTGAGTCTGCAATCATTTCCTTGTGGTCAGAATGCTGGGTGGTTGAACGTCACTTTCGCAGCTCACCGCCGTACAAGGCGTTCAGGAGCAGTCAAATGCAGAACTTCTTCACCTAAGATCGGAGCGAGATGATGCGGTGAAGGCGATGCATAAAGCACAACTAGATGCAAAGGACTTAGAAGTCAGGGAGAAGGGATTGAGGACTGCAGTACGTGGGACCTTCTCAGCCTAATGCGATATTCACTGAGCACCATCCTTGTAGTTGGACAAATCAGAGTTTACAGTGAGTGCCTCATGTGAAATTGAATACCCGTGCGTGTGCTGAGAGCAGCTCAGGCGAAGCATCAGGCGGAGACCATCACGCAACTTCGAGCTGAAGTGCAACAATGGAAGACACAAGTCGCACGTCTCGAAGACTCTTCACAGCAGGAGATCGACAATTGGAAAGAACAGTATAGGCGGGCGGATCACGAGCGAGCCAGAGTCGCTCTTCGTTTGGAGGAGATTGTTGCCGGACAGCTTGCAGTGCGTCTTTCTCTGAACTATCAACGCCGTCCACCTGAACGTCTCCTAGTGGAACGCCGCTGCCGCGCACGCATACACCACCCCCTACACCCCACGCTTGCCTTACCCCGACTTGCCTGACATAGGCGAGCCCTCCACATCCTCCGGGACAAAGCGCGCCTCGACCTCCCACTCACATCGCGTCGGCACTCCCCATACCCACACCCGTCTCCCCGTCGATGATGGCTACGACTCCGCCCCCGCCCCTGTTCGCAAGTCGCGCGCACCGCCCAGCTCTAGGAGCAACGCCCACCCTGTTGAGCGCGCGCACTCCCCGCCGCCCCCGTTGCCCCCGCTTCCGCGCGGGGTCGGCACGAAGCGCAAAGACCCGTCCTCGGCCGGCACACGTGGGGCGTCGCGCAAGACGACTGCGCCCGCACGAGCGGCCGCGGCTGCCGTCGCAGTGCAACCACTGCAGATAATCAGGCGCGTCACGGCGGTCGTGGACGTGAAGCGCGAGGAGTCGGAGTCGGACCAGGGCATCGACGACGGCGAGCCCGCGTCAGGGTCGGAGTACTCGTCGGACTTTGACGAGCGGCGGTCGGCGAGCAAGCGGCGGAGGGTGTCGAGCGTGGGGGTGAAGCAGCGGCGGGCCGTGCGGGACTGGGACGCGGGGGTGCAGGCAGCGTACGTAGAGGAGGGGCCTCTTGTGGAGGACGATGAGGATGAGCTGCTCGAGAATTTGATGGTACGTCTCGTCCTCTCGAAACCCACACGGGGGTTGTGGGCTTACGCTTCCGGCAGCCCCGACGGACGCCAGGAGGCGGCGGGAAATCGCGGGCGAGCAGCGGAGCAAAGCAAGCAGGGCCCGCGAAGAAGCGTAAGCTCGATGCGGATGGTCAACCGTCCGGGCGAGCCGGCGGTTCGAAAGCCGCAAAGACGAGATAGCGCAAGGACATCGCTCACACACTATGCCCAGTGTATCATCAGAATTGGCTCGGACACGTTTTTATGATTATTCTACTGTCTCCTCGCCATGTCGTGGAAAACTGCACCAGACTGGACTCAGGCAACGGTTTCGAAGGACCTCAAACTGTCTTGAGCACCCATTCAACATAACCCTGCAGGCTCCTAGGGCGCGCAGAGTTGGTCTACAGGATGTTTTCTCGGGCGCCTCTCATTCGTTTTTCATTCCCCTTCGCTGGATGGCGGGCCAAACAGTGGGATTAAAGCGATCGGGATTGGTTGCATATGTAAGTTAGCGAACAGAACAAGGCGTTCATCCTTGCGCGTTGGATATATCACCATGTGTGCAGTGACAGCGCATTAATGGGGTAGTGGTAACCTGGGTCGTTGCCATCGACCCGCCGGGGGTTCGATTCCCCCTTAATGCATTCATTGGAAAGTCGAAACATTTTTCCACTGTCACGGGACCAAGAGTGGCTAGGACAGGTCATCCAAGATACAATATACGTATAAGACTCGATTACTTCAATGTCGAAACTGCCCCCGTGCCGCGAACCTCAGTGTGCACTTCGCATTGGGGGCCAGGGCCACGTGGTTCCTCCACCAGGTATGTGCGCTACGGCCCATACATACATGAGGTCCCATGAGCGGCCCAGCCCGTTTCAACAGTTGCTCGGCTGTAAGCACTGTTGCTCATGTGAGAGGGACTAGGTTCGACGAGAATGAACTAACGGGGCCGCTGTGAACCACCAAAATCCATGATTATGATATGCAGAGAGCGCGGTACAGTACGACAACACGAACACAACTCTCATCTTCACGACTGGTTCAGAGACAGACTCGCATAACTATTGAACGGCATCCTGCTTTCATCGATACGTTGCGTGCAGCAGATCCTCACTCCGCGACGCTGATGGAGCCTGCGAGTCGTCCCCCACCCCGAGCTCGCTGGGAGCATACCCAGAGAACTCCGGGGCGGGAGCAGTCGCCTTCAACGTCGGGTTGCCTACAAAGCCATGCGTCAGCTCGCACTTCCCAGCTCGATCACGGCGGCGCACTGACCGTTGCCGTTGTACACCCCGGGCCCGTCCGTCCTCTCGTTGATGACTTCGACCCCGTTGCGCGGCGTGGCGAACTGCCACTCCGGTGCGCTCCCGTTCGTGATCGCGAGCGGCGCCCGCTTCTGGCGGAGCCGCCGCCCACCGTCGCCCTCGCGCGAGCTGGCGCCGTGCCGACGGAGCTCAAAAAGCAGGTCCCCGTCCGCGTTGAAGATCGGGCTGCCGAGCGCGTACGCGCCCGCGCCCGCGAGGGGGAAGCAGTACTGCCACGCGCCCTCGAACGCACGCATCTCGCGGACGAGCCCATCGAGGTCGACCTTGGGCGGGAACGCCTCGACGAGGAGCATGACCGGGTCGGCGAGCGTCGCGGACAGCGCGAGCTCGGCGAATGGGACGACGTCGGGCCCGATCGCGTAGGTGGCCGGGGTGAAGACGGGGTCGTGCGAGCCGACGGTGTCAACCCTGATGGTGTTCCCGAGCGTGTGGACGGTGACGTGCGTCGACCAGCTGACGGAAGCGCGGGCGCTGTGAGGGGACGGGAGTGAGCACAGTGGGGAGATAGGGCGAGAGACGGGGCCGTACGTGTAGGTCCTCGTGTTCTGCAGCGAGACACTGAGCTCGACCTCGCCGCCGATCCTGATGCTCAGAGCGCCTTGCCTGACGGCGGTCGGAAGCTCCACATAGTTGCGGGTGACGCCTGGGGAATCCTATTAGCATCCTGGGTCAACAGAGCCGGAGCGCGAGCTCACAAGATACGCCGCGCGAGGTGTTCGTCGGGTTCGCGTTGCCGCGCGAATCGTACTGCCAGCGCTCGTCGTGCCGCCAGAGGTACTGGAGCGTGCCGTCGTCGCCAGAGGCTGGATGACCCACTCGGCCGGCCACTTCTTGCGCTGCTCGTGGCGAGCCCAGGGCACAAGCTGGAGCCCGCGGAAATCATGCTGCTCGAGCGCGTCCGCGCGCTGGGGGACGAGCGTGGTGAGCACGTTGACGCGCGCAAGGAGCGTGAGCACGCGCTCGTCCATGAACACGCGCCGCGCGATACTCAGCGTGCCGTGCGAGAAGCCGCGCGCGGCCTCGGCTTGCACCACCCAGGATGCCGACCAGTCGAGGTGGTGCGCGGGCGGGGGCGGTGTGCGGTCATGCCGAAGACGACGAGTACAGGCTGGTGTCCGACCGAGACGTGCGCCCAGTTCTTGCGCGTGACGCGCGCGGACGAGTAGACTTGGAAGTCGACGCTGGTGAGCGCGTAGGAGGAGGGGAGAGTCGCGTTCGGCTTCCAGACGGGGACGCTGGTGAGGACGTGGTAGGCCTCCCGGCAGAGGGCCGGGAAGTAGTGTTGAGTGACGTAGTGGATGGCCGCCTGGAGCTTGAGGACGGAGTGGCGGATCCCCTGCCTGTCCTGGGTGAGGTCGGCGAAAAGCGAGTACTCGTGGATGTAATCGGCGTCTGCAAAGAGCGTGAGCGGCTGAACCATAAGACACCGATGAAGTTCAGACGTACTGTGGAGATCGAGACAGATGTGGTAGAGCTCGCAGTCTTCGACGACGCCGTGCTTCTGGAAGGCCATGGTGTTCCGGTATCCGACCGAATCAAAGCCCTCCAGCTCGTGTTGCGAGCACTTTTTCAGTGGTACCTCGAAGGCGAGGCGCCACTCGCCGAAAGTAGCGGTCGCGTCGGACTCCAGGGACGGCACCCATTCGCGGAGCGTGGTGAGGACGCCGCCCTTGAGGTGAACCCACACGATCGCGCGGTTGTCGCTGAGAAGGCGGACCGTGAGCGGCTTGAACTTGGCGTCGAAGAACTTGTCGTGCGTCCACTGGCGCAGGATACCGTGCGCGCTCTTGCGGAGGGAGGCGAAATGCGCGTCGAGCGAGCCGTGTGAGAGCGCGGCGACCTGGTCGAAGCCGTACATGTGTGTGTGCCGGATCGAGTCGCGCGAGTGGTCCGGAAGGCCAACTTCCCACCCGCCGGAGGGGTGCTCAAGAGGCTTGTGGACGGTCTCCCAGCGGGTGTCGTGGGTGTATAGAACGTCGTAGTGGACGTCCTTGAGGAGGCGGAGGTACTCCTTGGTGAAGAATCGCACGAGAAGTTCCGTCTGTTCGCCGCAGAACGCGTCATCCTCGTCGAGACCGGGGAAGTGCGACTTCAAATCATGGTAGCGCGGCTCTAAGTGAGTCAAAGAACATTGAGTCACACTCCACGATATGATCAGTCGGCGAGAACGCGCCTTTGTCAAAGTCGAGCCGAAGGGTCACAGCGCGACCGTCGGCTTCGTCGGAGTACAAAACATCGACGACTAGAGCAACCTTCCAGCCCTTGAAAGAGTGAGTGATGTTCCTTCGTTCGACGAGTCAGCCTGATAGAAGCGGGACCTGGTTAATGAACCACACACCCATTGTGATCGAAACAATCAAGTTCGTCGATGTTGAAGTACATGATGAGCTCCTTGTCGCAAACGATCTCAACGGTAGGAGGCTCCAGTCCCATACGGAAGCGGCCGTACGTCCCTTGCCCGTACGACCTCGTGTTGAACTGCGCGAGGAGTCGAAGAGGCCAGTTGCCCTTCTCGCCGTTGATGCCGCGGTAGGAAAGCATGGACGACTTGAGCCAGATCGAAGTAAGATAGGTGTTGATCTGGTCGACGCTGATTCCTCGGATGGAGTTGTGGAAGAAGGCCTGAGAGAGGTCCAAGAGAGCGTAGTCGGTGATCATCATCGGGCTGTAGGGACCAAACTTGGGAGGGGAGAAGAGAACATGGTTGCCAGCTTCCTGGAGCAATTGAAGATAGCCCGCGAGGAAACGCGTGAGCTGGACGCTCCCGAATGAAACATGCGGGAAGGTAGAAAGAAGGACTGAGTCTAGAAAACATACATAGGTTGGCAAGTGCAAAGCGAATCGAATCGATTGGATGAGTACTCACTTTTGAAGTCGAGGATCAGGAGGTTGATCGTGCTCTCATATTCACTGATGAGAAGGTTGTTCCCATAGATAGAGCGGCTCTCGAAGGGGATGCGATAAGTAACCCGGAGAGGACCAGGGTACGGCGTCGATCACTGCTAACCGCATGAGCTGGGATTCATGTACTGAGCTATAATGCAAACTCACCCGCCTACAACCAAACGACTTTCATCCAGAGTGAGGTGAAGGACGGCGTTGTGGCCACAGATAAACTCCAGGACGGGCTTGCCGAAGGTGGCGTGGAAAGCGACATCGAAGGAACCGTCCAAGCTAGCAGCGCTGTACTTCACCAGGGCGTAGTTGGGTTCTGGAGATCCTCTGTTAATTCATGGACGATAGCGGTAACAACATTGGACGTACGGCTCTCTGGGCGACGCGACCCAGCATGCTCAGCGAGGCAGTGCTTCGCTGGTTATACAAAGCCTCGAGCTGAGCGTTGAGGTAGTAGATCGCATGGTGGGCGCCGTTCTCGTCAGAGCACATGATTGAGAAGGTATGGAGTATGGGGCGAGTTGGGGATTTTGTGAGAGGGTAGAGAAACAGCCGCCCTTCGTCGTGTTTATATACCTCAAAAAGGGCTCGCAGCGCACTAACCACCGGCAGGATCCTCTTTCGACATGTCCGTTCCTGCTGTCCAGTATTTTTGTCGTCTCTATACAGACACGACCGCAGTCCGGCCAGGGAAACCCCGGAACAATGGCCCTTCTATTGGTAGATCGAGACAGCTGTCACAGAGGGCAAGCATCAGAACTGCACGCGTACAAATGAACAACAGGAAGTCACGGGAATGTGCGGCAACGAGCCTTCGTATTCGTTGCCCGAGTTGAGCTTGGGAGAAATCTGGGACGCTCTGTGGCAAAGTCGGGACTAAGGACAGGGCGGGTACAACTGATGCGAGTGCCGGAATTGAGGGTCGCAGGCCGCTCCAGACCTGATGACAGGGCTACGGACGGGTCGTCGGCGGTGTGCGCCAGTTTTGGAGGCGGCGTGCGATTGCTATTTACCTGAGCTTCATGGTGGGACTGTGCCCTCCTTCAAATGACCACATGGGGTAGCTCTCCTCTCAGTACACTCGACAATGGGACTCAGCTTTGCGAGAGTGACTCCATGGTTGACCACGGATGCTTCGCGCCGAAGTAAGCTAGCGAGGAGCATTCTTGCTGTCTTACGTACCTGACAGGGGAATATACAATGGGAGGGCCATCGCAATGTTGACATTAGCTGGTGTCGGCGAATTGAACCCGGTCAGGGCTGTCCCGGGTCAAGCGCACACCTGACCACCGACATTAGCTTTACAACGTCGTTTACTACAACTGCAGCCTTTCTGTGAAGAAAGTACTCACCCTGAAATGGACCCTCTGTCAAGAGATGGATACGGCAGCATATGCACTGTGTCGCATTCTCGGAGTTTGCACGACGGCGGAATGCTTCTCCGAAGTCCACGGGATCTTGGAGCAGACACGCGATCGCCGCTCGGACTCGGTCCCGTTTGAAACGCGGGCCGAGGCGGACATCCTTAACCCCGCGTTCAGTTCTTAATTCGAGTGCTGTCTGTGTCCGGCCCTTAGCAGCTTGAGTTTGATGCTGAAGTGCGCCGAAGGCTACTGATCGTTGCAGGAGGGAATCGCTCGTGAAGACGTCAAGGATGTGATAGTGACGCTTTGCACTGGCAGACTGGTGTGTTTTTGGTGAACACGGGAGCGAGGGATCGTCCAAGGGACTCGGCTCAAGTAGGGAATGACGGCGGGCCTCTCAGGTTGGTGAGCGAGTCGGCTTCGAACGTGCGAGTTGAGAACAAGTTTCGAAGCGCTCGTCCCGTCACCTTCACCGTTCGGACCATCTCGCTGCCTGCTTCAGCCACTCTCTAACAATCAGAATGCATCTCTTGCTTTTACGGGCCCTGCCTTTCTTGACCCCTCTTCTGCCGCGCTTTTCACCGTCTTCCCCGCTCGTCGGTCCCTGACTACTCAACATGACGACCTGGGTCGTTTGTATTTATATGGTATGGTTCATGCAAACTTTATGCCGCCACCAATGGAAGGGGTCGACGGACCATTGCCGCAATACTGTCACCGGTGAACGCGTACTGGGAATCATTGGCTGGCAGTATCCCCCCAATGACCATGGAAGGTTGAAAGTCGCGACGGGCACCTACCCAGGTATGAGTTCACGCTTTTTCGCGCCCCAACGGCCGAGCAGACGTGTTTCACGGCAAGAAGTGGTCTAGTGGTCGTGCACGACGATCTCATCCCCGTCTGCCACCTTGACCCCCCTCAAATCGTGTCGGATGGTGTATGGATGCTTAAGAAATTCCCATGGGTGTAGTGTTGCAACATCTCCTGCGCCCCACCGAAGACGCATGTACTCTCTGCGACCGGAGCCTGCTTCCAGAATCCTAAGCGCAACCGCATGATCGCTGAGTCCACCCATAGGGCTTCGAGTCTCGTATACTCCCAGGTGAGCCTGTTTGTCGCTCGTTACGACCTGCCAGGAGGACAGCGCCTCACCTTCGCCCTCAGACAAGAAGAACGCAAGAGCCCGGCTTCGCGACTGTCCATCTGCATGCGCTTTCAAGAGGGTCGCAGGGGCCTCATGTCCATGCAGACGCGTTCAGACAGCCTTCCGTCGCCGGAGCGGATCGCCGTGTGCAACGGCGTTTTTCGAGGATGATACATATGTATCCAGCAAGCGGTGAGCGACTCGTCCTCGTTTTCGTCTCTCCCGTTGGCCCGACCCTTCTTGGTCCGCATGGGCTCATGTGTCCTCCACATGGGCAGCTCTCCCTTCCGTGGGTGGGCGCGCTCGTCCTCCACAAGACACACTCCCCCCAAGACCTGCACTATATGTCGGAGCAGACGGAGAGAGCGCACAGGCGATGTACACCCTCGGCGAGATCGCGGCGTGGATGTCGCCTTGGGGACCGGACACGGGAGGTTGGAAGTTGTTGGTATTGCTGGTGTGTCCGTCCCCTTGCATGTCTTGGCTGCAACACGGGACACTCCGTCACGGCTGGGGGGTCGGACCATTCGCGGCGGAAGGTTGTGGGTGCAGGATTGCAGGCTCTGTGCGCGGTCACGGGCGTGATCCGCACCACGTCTCGTAAAGAGCTACTGTACCCTCGTTCTCATACCTTGTTCGTTTGTTCGTCTGTATCCTGTTTATTGCCCTTGAGGCGGAGCCCTATGGTAGGCGGTACGTACAGCAATCCACAAAGGCGGGGAAGGCGAGCGCATACGGGGAGGATTCTCATATCGTCGTCACGGCGAATCGCTGTGGAATTGACATGGTGAGGTTCTGCGTCTTGCAAAGTCGTGAGATCGCTTGCTGATACCGCAAAATGTGTATCAGCTACAGAGACTCGAGCATCTACGTGACGAATGCGAAGACGGGCGCAGGAAAAGTTTGCCGTAGCTCCGTCACCGTATAATACTGAGGAGTGAATCCACAGCAAGCAATCCATCCCACCCAGTCAATGTCATATGTGCCGAGTTCTTAATGGTCTCGTACACACAATCCAATCGCGTTTGTCCGGGTGGACGCTTGCGCGTTGAAGTGACACACACCTCAAAAGAGGAACGTTGGATGGAAGAGCAAGATACAATTACAAGTCGGAAGGGGATGGTACAACAGGCGACGAGAGGGACCCAAAACAGAGCGAGCGGTAACACGAGAAGCGGAGAGGGGAAACCAGACTCGGGGGGAGACCAGGACGGAGCCGTACTAACGTCGGAAGCGGACCGCGGGGGGCGACGACGGGGGGTAGGGTATTACTAAGGCACGAGGGAACGTGGTGGGGAGCGTGAATACGGAGCGGGGGCGGGCGGGGCCGGCCATGCGGAGTGCAGAGGGGGAGACGCGTGTAGGCAGGGGTGTTTTTAGTGTTTTAGAGTTGACGGCGGTTGGGAGGGTGGACGAGTGGCATGCTGTGCACCGTGGCCGCTCCACAGCGATCGATCGTGGCACGCCCCCCGAGTGTTGCACCGCGGGTTGTGTGTCCCCGTCGCGAACCACCAGGGGGCGCGCCGGGAGCTTGAGCTTGAGCGTGGACGAGACGGAGTGCGCGTGGAGTTCTGATGGGCGGCCGGGACGTGCGAAAGCGGAGTGCGCGGGATCGGGGGGCGCGGGAAGGGGCGCTTCACACGGGGCTGTCGAGGCCCGCGACGACGGGCCTGCGTTCCGCGTTGGCCGCACGGGCGTGGTGCGCGCGGGCCTTCGCGTCGCTGAGGGATGGGAAAAGCGTGGTCAGGCGCGGGAGCCCGGCGCGGAGCGGGAAGTGGTTAAACTCACGGCCGGTTCAGCAGGCTCTCCGCGCCCTGGTAAAAGAATACGTCGTAGAGGAAGACTCCGGCGAGGCCGCCGAGAATGGGGGCGATGACCGGGCACCAGAGCCAGTACTGGCTGCGGAAGGTGAACACTGCGGAGCCGGCAAAGTCAGCGACCTGAACGCTCGAACGGCCACAGGGAGTACTCACCAGCACTGCCGTAGCCGACCATGGCGGTCAAAAGACGGGGACCGAGGTCACGGGCGGGGTTGATGGCGTAGCCAGTCTGCATTCCGAGAGCAGCACCGATACCGAGGATCATGATGAAGAGAACGAGCGGGGCAAGGCCGGGAGGCGGGGGACCGTTCCTGGTGTCGTTGATCGCGCAAACGACGATGAGGAGAACAGCGGTGCCAAGGAACTGCGACGACAGCATTAATGGCCTGGATTTAGGCGGATAAATCGTCACAGACTGACCTCGTCGAAGAAGCACGAAACGGAGGTCATGTAGTCAAGCTTGGCCGGAAGTGAGCGATCGCCGTCGGTTCGCAGAAAAGATCAACGTACTGCATACGTCGAGAAGAGACCAGCCGTGCCGGGGACGGTGCGGATGTGGCGGCCACCCTCAACAATGTCGATCGCGTGGATGTAGTTGGCGTAGACGATGCCGGCGCCGCAGAGACCACCCATCACCTGCGCGAAAATGTAGGCAGGGACCTTGCGCCACGGGAAGTCGCGCAAGGTGGCCATCGCGATCGTGACTGCGGGGTTGATGTGGCCGCCAGAAATACCGCCAGAAACCCAGACACCGAGCGCAGTGCCGACCGCCCAGCCGAAGTTGAGCGAGAGGTAGTCCTGTGCGATTTCGGCGTCAGTAAGGGGCGTGCGATGCGATGACGTCCCGAGAGCCGAGGCGTGCGAACCACACAATGCCTGGTCGCGCGCAAGGGAGGACGTCAGATGAGCGCACTCACCCCGTGCGGAGTTGCGACGGCGGGGTTCGCGGAGAGGACGACCTGGCAGTCGACACCAGTGCCGAAAATAATGAGGATCATGACACCGAAGAACTCAGCGGCGGGCTCCCGCAGGTACTCCCTGCGTGGTGAGAAGCGGGCTGGGTGAGAGCGAGATCGAGGAAGGAGATAAGGGGAGCTGACCTATACTTGGACCACGCGTTGGGGTGTTTTGTGTAGTGAGCGGTGAGCTCCTCCACCTCCTCGGTGCCATGGGTGAAACTCTCGATGTCCTCTTGGTGGGATCTGCCCTCCTTGGAGAGTGCGTCGCTGTCGGGGGAGATGACACGCTTGACGACGGAGCGCTGGGACATGGTGGAGAAGAGAGGAAGGGGGCAAGAGGGAAGGGGGCGGGGGAGGGAGCAGAGGCACGGGACATCGGGGAACAGGACACGGGAACTTATACGCCGGGGCAGGGGGAGATCCAGACGATCCTGGACGAATAATGGTGCGGGCTAGCGTCCCAGGCCGGAGGCCACCTCCGGGCGCGGGGACGAGACCGGGGCAGATTGAGCAGCGCGGGGCATGCGGAGCCCTAGCCGGGAGCCCCATGTGTCGTTGGTCTGCGTTCTGGACAGAGAGATTCGAAAGCGTCCCGCGCACCGGCGCGCCCACGCAGGCACACGTGATCCAGATCTGATCGTGCGCACCCGCCCGTGGGGGGCTAAACGCGCTCCGCCGCGCCCGTCCGCTCAGCTGCCTGCCTCCGTTTGGATCCCGCCAGGCCCCGCGCCCCGCGCGCGCACGGCTAGTCAGGGCCACTTTTGCTCAGTCCGACCGCGCGCCCGCCACATCATCACGTCCACGGCCAAGCCGGGACTGATCCACGCGCTCCGGCTACGGCTCCCAAGACGTAACCTCCCAGCCGTCATTCCCCAACCCATCCTCCTCAGTTTCCGCTTGCAAAATGCTGTCAATCTGTCTTCGCGGCCTGGCAACCGTTTGTGCACGCGGCAGGTCAAGCGTCGACGGTGTGCCGCATGCTTCCAACGCGGCCGTAAACTCAGAGTCAACGTCGTAGGCGGTTTACGGTGTCCATCTTCCCCGATCATCCGATGCCGACACGACCACCCGTACGTGCGTTTTACCCTTGTTGGCCGCACACTTCCCACTGAACGACAGCTCAACTCGGCTTCCGTTTCTGCGCTGTCCGTGTACGTATGCACGTCGCGTTACTACCGGACCCAGCTGTCTGCTCGCCGCACGCCGCCTCTCGCCTGCGGGTGACAATCCTTGCTCCTTCCTTACCCAAGTCGCGGCGCCGATACGACGGCGCGTGCTGCGTACGCGTCCGTGACCAACATCGCGGTCATGGGGCGCACGCTGAAGAACGCAGAGGTTCCTTCGCGGACGCCCGACCACACGTATCTCGCAGCTGACGAAAGGCGCGCGAGGCATCCACAGGCACACCGCCCGATTACCCGCGGCCTCAGGGCGTGTGTGAAACCCAGGTGGTCTTGCCTCGCTCCGATCGCTCGTCTTTATTGAACCCGGGTCGAGCGGCGAGCACTAGGGCCCGGTCAGGCCCCTCGCCGCCGGTATGGTCTTGGGAGGGCACTATGATAGTAAGACACTCTGCTCAAGCCATTTTCTGTGATCTTGTGAGGGTCATGGGCGAGCGCAAGTGCGAGGAGCGTCATGCGGCTTACAAAACGGAGAGATCTCTTGCTGCACTCGATCCACCTAACGTCGGATCTTCTCTGCTTTTCTGTGGTTCTCCGAGGGGCCGAGGCCAGGTAAGATGGTCGCCGGCGCAACAGACCCACTACGCCATGCATGTGCTGGGTCGGCGTGGTGCAGCACATATGCGCCATAGAAGATGCTGAGGATGGACGAGCGCATACACCGAACAAGCACTTCAAGTCCCTCTGAATAAGAACGCTATCGTCGGACGTCATCGCTCCGCCAGACCCTAACCTGAGTGCAGCAAAGCCGTCGAGGTGCAAGAGGCAGACGCCCGAGCCTGCAGCAGCGCAGCGGCACTCGCCTCTTTCGCGCCACAGCTCGACGAATACACTCTTTCCTCTTCCTCACCCTCCGCCTCCATATCCGCCTCATCCCACTTCACTCACGATGTCCATGCTCGACAAGTTCCGTAAGGGCGCCGCCAAGGCCGGCATTCAGGCGACCGCATTCATCAAGGAGGGCTCCAACAAGCTCGCGAACGAGTCCCAGCAGTTCGTCCAGGGCTTCACCCTCCCCGGCGAGGCCGAGAAGTCGGCCAAAATCCTCGAAAGCTTCCTAGGTCTGTCCGCTCTCTCGCCGCTCTCCCAGCGCACGCGTTCACAGGTGAAGCCATCCGGCCCATAGCCGATCCTGAACACCCGGAGTCCGCACTCAACGCCATCCCCAAGGCCGTCCTCCAGCGCGCGCGCGGTTCGTCTCCATTTCCCACTATTCGCCGCTGCCATTGCTAAATGTGGCCCAATCCCATGTCGCTCTCTTTGTCCCGACACCTCCCTTTTCGCGCCCATCTCCGCCCACCTCCCCGGCCCCACTCCGCCCGCCCTACCTCCTCCGTGCGCCCCCCAGGCCTCGCCATCTTCTCCGTCATCAAAGCCGGCTTCGTCTTCTCGGGCAAGGCGGGCTCCGGGATCGTCATCGCGCGCCTCCCCGACGGCTCCTGGTCCGCGCCGTCGTGCATCGCGACCGGGGGCATCGGCTGGGGCCTCCAGATCGGCGCGGACATCACCGACTTCGTCATCGTGCTCAACAGCGAGGAGGCCGTCCGCGCGTTCGCCCTCGGCGGCAACGTCACCATTGGCGGCAACATCAGCGCCGCTGCGGGCCCGATTGGCACCGGCGGCGCGGTGCAGGCGAGCCTCGCGCACCCGGCGCCGATGTTCTCGTACTCGAAGTCGAAAGGTGCGTGCGTGCCTCATTTGTTGTGTGGGGATGGGGATCGGTCGCGTGAGGGATGGGCTGGACGGTGAGGCATGTCGAGCCAGGTTGGACTCGTCAGCATTTACCGGTGGAGTGTATGCGCCTTCCTCGCCCATTTTGTGTTAAGGTGGATGTGGGCCCGCTCGCAGTCGCCTCGTGGGGTCGCAGCTCCGGGGTTGACCGTAAATGCGCCGAGCGCAGCAAAACGCAGGCCATTCCAACGCCATCTCCTGCTCCTGCCTCGCCTTCCCGCCCGCTTCCCCCGCCGTGCGCGTGCTGACTGCCCACGCCGCACCCAGGTCTCTTCGCCGGGCTGTCGCTCGAGGGCACGGTGCTCATCGAGCGCAAGGACGCGAACAAGGACTTCTACGGCTCGCCCGTGCCCGCGAAGGACATCCTCTCCGGGCGCGTGCCCCCTCCCGAGGTCGCGTCGAAGTTGTACGAGGTCATCGAGGCCGCGGAAGGCGTCGACGAGTCCGGCCTGCCCGAAAGCGCGTACGTGCCCACCGCGGCCGGGGACCACATGGACATCCGGCACGGGGGCACGGTCTTCGATGCCGAGGGGCACTGATCGGGGCGGTGGAAGCCCGGTGTACAAACTTTGGAGAGGAGAGACGGAGAAGGGGCCGGGGGATGCTAGACCTACGGTAATGTTTACGCCGCGACGACTTCTACGACCCACTGTAATAGTACCCGCTCGTCCCGTCTTCCGAAACCCGTTCTCTGCTGGGTCACTGTACATAGCTTGCACGCACACGTTTTCTCCGCACGCTTTCCAACGGCAATGTGTATGTATATGTACTGATTCCTATTTCATCCAAAATGACAGCGACGAGCGAGAGTCCCATTGAATGCGTATGTGTCGTATGTATGTTCAGGGTGAATTGGTCCGTAGACGGCGCGTCGCCAGGGTACGGGCCACACGTCGGATAAACATCGCGCATTCGTCTCCCCGACCCAGTGCGGTCCTCCATGGACACACAACCTCCGCCGGAAGATCCCCCTCGCTATCCTCGGAGATACCGGCGCGCACCCGCGTCCGCATCCGCGCCGGGGAGAGCGCGACGGACCCCGCGGCGGTCGATCAGCAGGCCAGCGGCGAGTCTGCGACAGTCCCTGGCCGCGGCCGCGTCGGCGGCACGAGCCCGTCCCCTCGTCTAGAGCCGCGAGTCCCACGGGTTCTCGTAGCCCTGGCTCGGGGTGGGCCGGTGCCCTGGCGGGTGCATGCCGTACGCCTCGGGCGCGGGCTCGTCCAGAGGCTGGTACCGGCGCTGGCGGCCGCCCCAGAACGGACCGCCGCCGCCGCCGGGGGCGGGCGGCGCGCCGACCTGGGCGTAGCGCGCCTTGGAGCGGCGGCTGCGCCAGATGCAGCCGCCGATGAGCGCGAGGAGGAGGACGAGGGCGCCGACGGCGACGCCGATGACGAGCGGGAGGCGGGCCTTGAGGCGCTGGGCGAGCGTGGCGGCGGAGGGCGACCAGGGGGAGTTGCCGCGGGAGGTGACGAAGTCCGAGTGCCACTCGGCCGAGCTGTTGGTCAGGCTGAGGAGCTGGACGTATGGGCTGGCGGTGGTGGTGGTGCCGTCGACGAAGTCGCCGAAGTTGATGTAGGTGTAGGTGTTGCGAACTGGCGTGAGGAGTGGGTGAGAGCAGTATGGCGAGGATTGAGGAAAACGTACGGAACGCCATGCCGAAAATCATGTCATACGTCGCACCATCGCTGGCGTCGAATGGCTGGAACTGTGCGGAGGTAGAATGGAGTCAGCCGCAGACGAGACAGCGAAGAGAAATCGACTCACAGCACCAACGCAGATGTGCTTACCGCTCGAATCAGTGAGGTTGAGGTCAAGATTCGTGTCCAAGGGGTGGATGGGGTAGCTGGCTCCTCCGAACTTGAAAGTGACGTTGACCTCTTTATCGCAAGGAATCTGCCAGACGTTTCCGGACAAGTCGCTGCGCGATACGAGTTGCGCGTTGGGCACGTGCGAGTAAAACGCTTCTGCGACTTTCCTGAGGGGAGAATCGATGAAACAAACTGCCACAAAATGGGATACATGACTCACGAGGGAACTTGTGGTAGTGAGTATCCGGTGTCAAAAATGACCTATGTCGTGGATGAGGTGAAGGTAGGTCAGCGCATGCACTCTAAATGCACTCACAGTGAGCTGGTGGCTGCTGGAAGTCGAGTCGACAGCAGTCTTTATGTTGAGTTCGCTGATGACGTTTTCGTTTGCGGGGCCGACTATGCCGTTCTCATCCAGAAGCACTTGCCAGTGTTGATTCACCGAGTTTGAAGACGGAAGCACAGTAACCGACAGCTTGGGCTGATTCACGACGTCCCCGTAGCCGGAAAGGATCTCGCCGACTGTGAACTCGCCCGTCTGAGGACTTGTTGGGTCGTCTAACCGTCCTAGGCGAACAGTGATGTAATTTGGGGTCGAGGTGTTCTGTTTGAAGATGCGGTCGAGCACGGGGTTGCCCTTATCGGCGTTGTCGAGGGCATCGAGCACTTGTGAGCCTGTGTTAGGGCCCAGGCCGATTAGTCCATCTCCGTCCGTGTTCTCTGAGTTGGCAGTCACTGAGACTGCAAGGTGGTTAGTATGCAGTGGGTGATGACGTCAGCGGGGACGTACTGAACGCCTGATTGGAAATGGTGTACCCCGCGAAGGTTAAATCAGCAGTCAGCACGGAGCCTATGGCGCTTAAATGTGAGTATGTTTCGAGGCGTATGACAGACATGATCACAAGAGTAGGCGAAATTATACAACAATTGGTTTGGGCGGTGCTCAAGCGCTCGTGCCCGCAGAATCCCTTCTGATCCACTGGCAACCGCGCACTCGGTGGCAGTCTCGCCGTGTGACCCAGGCGGTCCTTATTTCAGAAACAGGACCACCGATCCGAGCATCACTGGAAGTTGGTGTGGGACTCACCTTCCACCTCACCGACGGCATAGGTGACCTTCGCTGTCTTCGTGGTGTCAGACGTGTTTGGTACGTCGCCGGCAACCCACAGGTCGGAACTGTGTGTATGTGAGTTAGTCTTCCTACTGACTTGACATGAAAACCCTTCATGTGTAAGTATATTATCATAAGGGTCAAAACAATCCTTAGTAGCACATGAGCTCTGCGCAGATCCCTATTTCTCGCATACTCGCGCGGTGCTCGGTGGAGCAGAGGGTCTCTGGTATGTTTAATATGAGCCGTCTCGAAATGACGGATACCTCGCTCTCGGACTGGGGTATGCATGTTCACGAACATGCAATAGTGCATGTATGCTAGTGACGAAGGACGCAACGAACTGTGAGCCTGCTATTCGTTACGCAACTGGCTCGAGGGCACATGGGCATGTGGCGGATGCGAAAGCCGTGGACGACCTGAGGCCTGTGGCAAACACGTTCGGCAGCGATTTCCGCAAGCATGGCGCTCACTGACCACCTTCCCATCTATTCGGCACCCAACACCAGTCTAACCCGTACACCAGCTTGTGCGACTAGCAGCCAAGACCACAGACTGATGCAGGACGCGCCAGCGAGCACTGAGCAGGCACTGAGCGCGCCCAGCACGAGTCTTGAGGTCGTTTGGCAACTGCGCGCAAGACGGGGATCCATCACGCGGGGTAATCGCGGACACAAGAGAAACGGGGCGCAGACTCTGTGCAGGACGCACCTTCCTGTGTCTATTTGAACAGTGAAAGTCTTCCCGCCGAGTGTGATGTTCGTGTCGTACTGCACATCTCCGACATCCGCGACGGACGTGGTCCCAGATATGTCGGCTGCCCGGCGCGCGAGCCCGCTTGAGAGCGACCGTCGGGGGCGCGCCTTGATGTCAAACCTGATGGCCTTGGCGAAGTCTTGGGCGGAGAGCAGGAAGAGGGGGATGGCGAGCAGCGTCGGCCGCATGGCGGAGGGAGGTGGTGAGAGACGGAGAAAGCGCAGAAAGATAGGAGCAGATCCTTGCTGTCACCCAACGGCCTGCTGTGGAAGCCTGAGGGCAGACCGCAGCACGGCGCTCGTAGTCCCGATTTCAACGCACTGCGGACAGCAACGTCGACCTTGTGCCATGTTATTTCGGAGCGCGCTGCACCGCAAGGAAGTGAGGACGCTGGGATCTGAGATACGGACCCAGAGACAAATTCGTAGTCTAAGTGGGACGGTACACATGTAGAAGACACCACCGAGAGGGAGAACCGCTAGCCGAGCGTGGAAGTGGAGGGTGACCGTGGGCCGTGGCCGAGGCCCGACACCGGCATCGAGCACTGCTTGCCAACGACCTCGAGCCCCGTCCATACGCCGGCGCCGGTCATCTACCCCCGCCCCTCCGTTCTCGACCACCACCTCCCCACCCGACTGTCGCTCCCGTCTCGCGCTCTGCGCAATCCGCTCATTACAGGCCCAATGCGGTCCTACTTCCCTGTCCTTTCTCTCCTTCTCTCGCTCCGCTCCCATGTCTCTGCTCTCTCGTTCGACGTCCACGTCCGCTCCCGCTCAGATACGTTGACGCGCCGCGCCGACACGAACAACACCATTCCGGTTGCCAACACGCACAACTCGGAGTACATCGCAAATGTCACTCTCGGCGGTCGCGACATCCCTGTCCTCCTGGACACTGGCAGGTCTGCCCCCTACGCAGCCGCTCCTTGTCTGCTGTCTGACCGTTCTCAGTTCCGACTTATGGGTTACGGGCACTGTGCCGAACTCGAAGGATACGGGAAAGTCGGTCTCGCTGAGCTATGCGGTGGGCCAAGCATCGGGTGAGTAGTACGCATTCTCTCAGGCAGAGCTGGTAACGAGCTTTTGCAGGTGACATCTACACTGCTGACATGTCCTTCGCGGGCTATAATGTCGCCGACCAGGCTTTCTGTGCGTCCCTTTCTTTTCTCCGTCAGCGCGCGGTCCCCCGGACCTCCTCCTTGATCCTGAGGCGCACATACACCTGCTCACTTCATGTTTACAGTGCTAGTTAATGACACTTCCGCCTTCTCCCTTGACATTGAAGCCCAAGGATTCTCCGGGCTGATCGGTCTCGGTCCGGCCACTGGATCGGTTATTCGTGATAAGCTCGACGAACATACAGGAGATAGTGTGCTGGGACGCATCTTTTCTCAAAACACCACTACCGCCAACTATCTCACCATTCTCCTCAACCGTTTGGAGGACCCCGACAGCCCATCGACTGGTCAGTTGACCGTCTCGGAGACGCTCCCACAATACAGTAACATCACCTCCATGCCAAAACTAACCGTCGACAAGGTTCACAAGCTCACCGACGAGGACCAGCACTGGCAAGTCTACACCGACGTCAATGGAATCATTGGGCCAGATGGTAGTCCCATCAGCTACGAGTCAATCGTCCCCAGTGCTCCAGATGGTCAGCTGGTCGTCGTCTTCGATTCTGGTTTCACTCTCCCCCAAGTCCCCCGTACCGTCGCGGATGCGATCTATGGTCGCGTACAGGGCGCAGAGTACAACACTGTGTCCGAAGTCTGGACGATACCCTGCGACCAATATCTCACCTTGACGTTCAAGTTCGGAGGCGTTGAATACCCCATCCACCCACTCGACATCTCGAGCAGCGACTTCAACATGGTCAACTCGCTTGGCGACACGGTTTGCCTTGGTGCCTTCCAACCGATCACTTCGGCGTTCAGCTTGCTCGGAGAGTACGACATGATTCTAGGAATGGCATTCAGTATGTGTCATCATACTTTTGCCTAGCGCATGTGCCTCATCCCGCTTACCTGCAGTGCGCAACGTCTACGCTCTTCTCGACTATGGCAACTTCATCGACCACTCCGATGTCGACCAAGGCGACCCCTTCATTCAGCTCCTTTCTCTAACCGATGTGGCTTCTGCGAAACAAGATTTCGTACAGGTCCGTTTGAACGGTGTCGACACAACCGGCTCTTCCTCGAAAGCCCTTCTACCCACCAGCCAGGAGCAGCACTCTCCGATCTCCGCTGAGGAGAAGAAGAAGCTGTAAGTATTACTACACCCATCGCGTGGGACGGGTGCTCATAATTCACTGCTAGGTACGAGGAGAAAGTGCTTAGCCATTGGCCCGAAATCCTCGTTGGCTGTCTGGCCTTTGTGTTAATCTCCGCCGGTCTCATCATCTGGCGCTGCTGCGTCCACCGACGGAAGCAGAAGGCCGCCCGCTCCGCTGCCATTCTCCTCCCTGGGGACACTAAGTCGATGGGTGGGCGCCCCTCGTACGCTGGGTCTCAGGTTGCGCTCAACCGGTTGGACTACGGTGACAAGGACATGCGCCAGAGCTTCCAGCGCGAGTATCGCCCCTCGTTCGCCTCAAGCCGGCACCAAGTATGAACACTTGCTGCATACCTACGCCTGCCCCACTTCCGCACAGAAGAGGTTTGGACTTCGAGAAGTTGTGATATTGCCGCCTGCCCACCATCGTATCTTATCCCTCTACCGCTGTCAAGCTGTTGTAGCTCGATCGTCGCTGTCATCCCCGCCGCCCTGTACCTACATACTTCCATCTACCTCTCGCCCTCTTACTCCCTTTACACACCTTGCTGCTTACCCTCGCAGCTACTGAGCTTCCGTGCCGCCGAGCGGCCAGCTGAGCGGCCGCCTTGAAGCCAGCTATTACCTCCAGCTATCTCACTGGTTTCGCGGTACATACCACCTACCGACATACCTCTGCCTTTCGATGCGCACCTGTGGACAGGCCGCCTTTGCTTCTTTGCAGACCTCACTCCAGCAACTTCTCTTCGCGTTCGTCTTCGTGCCACCTAATGCCCCGCGCGCCAGCCCCCCTGGTGTATCGCGCTTCTCTGCTAATTTACACCCTCCGCTTCGCCTCACTTCTTGGACGTTACTTTTTACCCCGCCCCCCAGACATCGTGTACAACAATGCAGTCAAGTCTCGTACACCCCACTGATGGAAGGCCTAAGACCCCAATTCCCAATACTTGCGGCATTGGTCTGTAAGTCCTCTCCCACATACGAAAAGCAGAAACATCAGCATACTGCTATCGGTATGATTGACCTTGAAGGATGACTGTGAAAGGCCGGTCTGGATCTCTGGATAACACTGCTCGACAGTCAAAATTCAATATTCAGGTGCTGGAAGTGGTCGACTACTTCCAATCACCAGGTCATTCCCGGCCGATGGCCTGGGAGGGAGAGAGGATGGTCGATCGGCTAGATGATTATCGCGCTCGAGCCTCGAGTTCCCCGGTGGAGTTTGCATCAATTGACAATGCCAGTGCCACGGCCACCCAGCTACTAGTACAAGTCCGCGTATGATTCGGAGTCGTTTCGCATGTTCAGACGCCCACCGCACCGCCACTTCCTCCGAACCGCCACCGCAGGTATGCACCCCTTGGACATAAAGAACAAGGATGAGATACTACGAGACCGCTATGAGCAAGTATCAACGCATTAGATGTCTTTCTTGTTCCCTGATAATCTTCTTCAGGTTCTGTGGCATAATACCACCCGTCCCAACCCATCTGCTCAACCAACACGCCATCTTCGGATACCTCGTCAAGCCATCCCATCTCCTCAATAACCCTTCCCAACTTCCCGATCTGGACGATGACGACCTTAACGTTCCGTTCATCGTTAGGACGCTGGCCAATGAAGCGGGCATCTTGTCTGGGCCGATGGTGCTCATCGCCCACCGCCAGGATCTATACGATGGGAACACAGCAAGCGAGCACCACATCGTCTTCGCCCAAAGTCGGCGCAGGCTCCGCAGTGACGAGCACTGTGTAATCGACGTGCGTCCGCGGTGCGGCAATCTCCGTCAGTTCGAGAAGCTGTTGGGGCTTGAGGGCGGTCCGCGGTGGATGGGAACCGAGGGCGTCGGCCATTGAATGTTATGAATCACGCGCACTATTCCTCCTTGTTTCTATCATTCTTCCCCCGTTCATTGCAAGCCCACTTCTCGTAGCCATACGCCCTGTCTCTTTGTCATCGCTTCACGTCTGTCAATGAAGTGTTCGTCCGTAGTCTCCCCCGATCAACTCGTTTCCCTGCGTCTACTAGTACTTCGAATTCGAGAGTCGTGCTCAGCACCTGCACGTTGGCGTCAGGTTCGACGTTCATAACGTTCATCCCTTCTCTTGAGTCTCATGAGCCGAAAAGACAACCAGAAGGCTGCAGCCTTTAGGGCCCCCAGCCTGCTTGGGCAACTTGCGCTGTATAGGGCAGCGCTCGCCGTGGCCGCTCGTGACCGTGGTCTTGCTTGACTTGGAGTGGCAGCCGCCGCGATAGGTTCCCTCCAGCTGGCTCCCTCCCTCCCCCCGCACATCCCCTTCCACGGCCATCCCAACTTCCCCGTTGGTCCCCGCGCTTGCGGACCACTCTTTGCAGTCTCAATATAGACGATACCACTCTCGCGGCAGCACTACGATACCTTCATTCTAATCACACACCCCTGCCGCGGATATACCTCGAACTTCGACCGCAATGGCGCGCAAGGGTCCCGGCGATACCACCCCTACTGTCCACTCCATGGACGACTCGGAGCGCAAGGCCCTCATTGACCCCGAGGACCGCACGCCGGATGTCGACCAGGTGGAGGAAGGCTTCAAGTCCGCGCCAGCCCCGCGGGGCAGGCGCAACTGCGCGGTCTTCAGCGCGCTGTTCCTCTCGGTGCTGCTGATGACCGTCGCGTTGCCTTACCGCCGGTTTTTCATTGACGACTGCGATGCGCACACGCGCAAGGCGATGTTGGCCGCGGGCGGGCTGCGGAGCAATGGGACGCACGAGTTTAGGAAAACGGCGCTGATTGTGTCCATTGACGGCCTGAGGTGAGTGTGCGCTTTCCCCGGCTTTCGGGCTCTCTGGGCAAGCACCGAAGGACAAGTGGACATGTAGGCTGATTGCGGGCGCATATGTGCAGGGCGGACTATCTGGACCGCGGACTGACGCCGCACCTGCTAGCCATCAGCAAGGATGGACTTCGTTCGAAGTCAATGAAGCCCGTATTTCCGGTGAGTGTATGCGTTCTAGAGCAAGCATGATTGGTGCTTATACTTTACCAGACTTTAACTTTCCCGTACGCACTCGATGTCTGTACTGCCACACGCTGCTAACATGATTGACAATTGGCGTAGTAACCATTGGGCATTAATGTGAGTGTGCACGGACATATTTGACGTCAGAGACGCAGTCTGATTCGCTCCCTAGGACCGGTCTGTATGCCGAATCGCACGGCATTGTGGGCAATGTTAGTTGTCCCCGTCCATTCTGCATTCACAGACTGACACTCCTTGTAGAACTTCTGGGATCCTGCGACGGGCGAGGAATTTCACTACAATCGCGTTGAGTCCACCTGGGTGTCGCGCTGGTGGAACGGCGAGCCTGTATGTCTCACTGCGGCTGTATCTCGAATATCACTGAGTCAGACATGGCAGATGTGGGAGACAGCGGAGAAAGCCGGTATCATCACTGCGAACCTCATGTGGTGAGTTGCTTCGCATTGTGTCTGTTCATACGAACTAAGTTTTTTGCAGGCCGGGACCTCCCAAGACGATTCGGGGAGTTGAGCCAACTTATTTTGTGCCGTGGAAAGTAAGTTGCATACAACGACCTATCAAAGCTTATGCTGACCATTCCTGCTCAAGGACAAGGTCGCCCTTGAGGACAAGTTGGATCAGATCCTTTCGTGGATCGATCTCCCGCTTGAGAGGCGTCCTCAGCTTATCACCGTGTACGAGCCTTCTCTGGACCAAGCCGGTCATAAGTACGGACCTGGGTCTACGCAAGTTGACGTTAGTGGCATCTTCTCGTCAATGCTCTGTCGTCTAACATTATCAACCTACAGAAAGTCCTCAAGCAAGTGGACGTCTTCGCCAAGGACATCCACGACCAGCTCGAGGCGCGCAATCTTACCGACATCGTCGACATCGTCTTCGTCAGCGACCACGGGATGACAGACACGAGCCACCCTGAGTTCATCTTTGTCGACGACATCCTCGGCGAAGGCTGGGCACACATCACGCACGAGGACGGCTGGCCCGCTATGGGCTTCCGTTTCGACACTCCCGAGAACGCGGACAAGTACTACCGCGTGCTCCAGAACGCGTCCGAGCTGAGCGGCGGCAAGTTCAGCGTCTACACCCACGACACAATGCCGGAGCGCTGGCACTTTGTGCAGAACGAGCGGATCGCCCCCGTCTATGTCGTCCCGCAGATTGAGTACGCGCTTACGAACCGCATCGAGAACGGCGCAGGGTTGAGCAAGGGGGTGCGTATTTTCTCCGTTGTCGTTGGGTGCTGAAATGCTGATGTAAACATGTGCAGAACCACGGGTACGACAACGAGTATAAGGAGATGCACGCAATGTTCGTCGCGCATGGGCCGTTCGCCGCGGTCGTCAAGGCCGTGGAGGCAGACCGCGCGAACGCAACGGCAGCCGCGACGGGCACGCTCCCGCGTCCGAACAAGGGTTGGCACTCGACCTCGGACGATGCATACGTGATGGAGACGTTTGAGAACGTGGAGGTGTACAACCTCATGATGAAGCTGATCGGGATTGAGGACCACGCGGCGCCCACGAACGGGACGAAGGGGTTCTGGGACCAGTACTTTTGAGCGTCAGCGCCGTGACGACGAGGGCTGAGACTACTATATACTAGACGGCTCTTACTGCTGCTTGCTTTTAGAATACTCATACTGCTATTCGAGACCTAGAACCTGGTTGGGACGATATGTATGGACGAGTGGAATGGCCATTGATACTCGAGATGCCTGGTTCCTGTCGTGCACTGCCCGTCTTCGCGCGCTGTCCCGCTCATCGACTGTCCCCCGTCCCTCCGCGCAGTCACACCCGCGCCGCGGAAGTTTCACAAACCGTAATATTAATGATACTACTGTCCTCGAAAGTTTACAGGGGGGTTCGTAGTAGCTAAAGCGGGACGTGGGACGCTCTCTGCTCGGCCGGAGGCTGTAGCCGAGCGCTGTTGGAGATCTTTTTTGATCTGGCTGCAGCAAGTCCGCGTAGGTGATCGACCCTTTGGATGTCACTGTGGTCAAAATCGGCGTATGAACGAATTGCACAGTAAGTAAGTAGTGCATAGATGTAAGTAGGGAGAGAGAAAAGAGAAGTAATGCATGAAGGTATGACCATATCACAGATGTTACACGTCGTTCAGAACATCCCTTGCCGCCGGCCAGACGGACGTGATACGCTTGCACCACAGTCAGGCCCTTTTGGTTGGCCCAGACAGGTGTGCGCTCCATCTTCTTGTCGATGCCGTGTAGGACGTCCGCGACGGTGGGGGGGGTCGGCATTGAACAGGGCCTTGCACTCGGTAAGGCCATCCGTGGAGTCTTTCGACGGCAGCGATCTTGGAGAGGGGAGGTATCAATAGGGCGGTCACGAACGTCCCACCGGGGAGGAGGGCGTCCGTAGCTGGACGCGCTGCAGTCCGCGCGAGCGCACCGGTGGCGTGCTCCTGGCTCGCGTACGAGGCGCCGGCTGGGGATGTGGGACCGCGGCGGGGCTTGGTGGTGGTGGATGAGTAGTGTTGCAAATCGTCCCTGAGAGACTTCTGCAGTCTTTTTACGCGGCCAGGGCGCGCGCGGCCGGGTGGCGAGGGGTGGGGGGCGCCGGGGCGGACATCCATACGATGGTTGTGGGACCGGCCACCATGCCAGGCGAGTCGGGCTGGGTGGGATTCGTCCGGGGCTCGGATGCTGCATCGCCGTCCATTCGGTCATCCCCTGGCTCTCCGCCGAACATGGCCTCATAGGGTGTGGCTGGACCAGTGACGCCGAGCACGCCCATCGCGGAGGAGAATGGTGAGTAGTTTGTCTATCAGAGAGGAAAGCAAGGGTAGAGGAGACTGTTTTTTCATGGCTGGGTGGCGACTCAGAGGGCACGAGTCTGGGAGGGCTGGGAAGGGATGAGTAGCAGGAGATGATTACCGCGGCCCTTTTATATATTTCTGACTCTGTGTGCCACCCGTCGTCGAGCGGCGGTCTCTTTGTTCTGCTGCGACCTGAGGGATGTAGCACGATGGTAGCTGGACCAAGCAGAGGACTGAGCTCAAGCAGCGCGAGTGGCTCCGGCGCACAGGCTCGGGGTCCTGGGCTTTGCAGTGCAATATCGCTTGGTCCGGTAACAGTGGCATCAGTTCGTGGTTCGCCTCGTGCGCACCTACGCTTCCACCAAGAACTGCCATGTGGTACGAGCACTTGAGCCTCTAGTGGAACCGGGAGGGCGCAATGTTCGACCACAGAAAAGGTCACGTATGACATGTGTTGGTTGCTGACAGCCCGCTGGCGAGAGGAATACGAGATCGAGTGAAAAAGATGGCGATCCAACAGTATATTCTACGTTTTCGACTACACTTGTCGCTGTCCAGATACAATCACTTTCAAGCTAGGCACCGTAATCTGCATCACAGGTCAGAAAAAAACCGCGCACTCACCTAGGTAGTCTTTTTTTGTCTGGGTGGGCCAGCCTGGGCCAGGGAGACAACATAAGTTTGCAACTCGAAGGACTCGTGTCAGTCGTTCAGGTCAAGTCTCGCGTCTGGCGCTTCTTCTCGGGAGTCGGGAGTCGGCGCAGACGGCGCGGGCGAACGGCGCGAACCGGCGCGAGCACGTCTTCCCTGCTTGCCTCTCACTCTATCGACTACTCACCCACACTTTCCGAGTCGCCAGCTGCAAGCTCGACACCACTATCGTCTGCCACACACCCCCTGCAAGAGTTGTCCCGCATGAAAAGCAAGCGGTCCGGCGCGACCACCGTCGGACCGACCTCGAGTCAACCAAGGTCGACTTGTTCGACGAGGTCTCATAGCTCTCTGTGTTGGGGTCTACAGAGCAATGGGTGGATATACAGCTTTTGGAAGAATTCCGTGCGTGCTCTTATGTTTCTTTCGCGCATCGCTGCACCTGGGAGACTCGACCCGATCCGCCCTCTGCATTCTCATTCCATTCCTTGTGCTGCAACGAGTCGTTCGTCTGTCACGTTCTCGAGACCTTGTTCGAGGACGTTGCAGGCGAAATGTGCTATTTCCGTGCGCCGAAAGCCGTAAAGCTTCACACATAGAGTTGCTCTGCCTTCAATCTCTTGCAGAGTTACACTCGAGCCATGTGTTCCAAAGATCCAAATTTTGATGACCTTACAACTATTCTGGTAACTTTACATGGGGATCGTTGTGGCTAATACGGAGCCCCGACCGATTCGGAGAAATGACAGGAGAGTTTCCTGGAAGCGATCGCCCCCAGACAACCCATCCGCTGCCTCACCCAGACGGGGACCGGGGGGCTCTCTGAGCACACGGAGGTCCGCTTGAAGTTCGGTTTCGCGGTCTTCCAGCGTTCTGGAAGCCCCTGTACTCGCTCTCAAGGCTAAGCGATTTTCACTTCCCCCAAGCGATGAGTCACGGTGTACGCTTGAGCGACTTCACCACCGCTCGTCCCTCGCGGCACCGCGGGCAGCCGTGCGCGAGTACCGCGGCATCCCCCGTACGGCGACCAGCCGCGTCGCTTCGGATGCAGCGCAAGGGGTGTCGAGTAAAGAGTGGAAGTCTGCCCGTCGTACCGGGCGATTCAGGCGAGGGGGTGAGGTGAGGTGCACCGTATGATGATTTGGTCGTCCTTCTCCGATGAGCAATTGACCAGGGGCTGCGTGCACATGAGATCGCCTGTTCATGCGGGAGTTTGCCAGAACATACCTGCAGTGTCCGCGCTTCGGCCAATAGGAGAGAAAGTTGGAGTCGTTGCACAGCCGCGCAGGATAAGCGTGACCAGAATGACGATCCAGGACTTGAAAACGAATGGAAGGTGTCCTCTTGCCTGGGTGCTCACCTCCGATCAACCTTGGTGATCTGGGGGACTTGGAGACCAACAAGCATCAGCGTAGAGAGGGACGAAACATGCTGCAGTATCTTACCTTGTTCCGTAGACGCGATTCCTTGGGACGGGGGAGGGGCCGGAAAGCAGACCGTGTTTTGAGTAGTTTGTCTGTCAGAGAGTGAAGACAGCGTAGAGGCGGAGGGTTTTCCATGGTAGCTGAGTACGGTCCTACGGAGGGATGAGGACGAGGACACGAGTCTCGCGGCCTTTTATACCTATCTACAACCTTTCTGGCACTATGGGCCACCCGTCTCCGAGAGGCCGCCTCTTTGTCCCACTTCAAGCCATCAGGATAATGACAGCTGTGGTAGGAGTGTCACCGAAGGAGTCCTGTGGACCAAGCGGCGACCGAGCCTCTCAAGCAGGTGGTATGCGCATTCTGTTGACCCGACGGCGGTGTTAGCGCAAAAAACTACATTGCAGAAGAGGTCCGCGCTCCATCTCTTGAGCTTAGACCGGTCAGCCTCGGACTAGGCACACAAGAACACGTACGGGCCTGTGGGCATAAGCGTTGCAATTCAAGAGACCTCTATCACTACAACGATATAGTAAAACAGATCCGGCCGAGTGTAGCACCGACCGGCCACTTCCGACTTTGGTGTACGGGGAACGACGGTGACCGCTTCTCGATGTGTCCAGCGACCTCCGCGGAAAGGAGTTGGGGCGATGTGGCCTCGGGAGTCTGCGACAACTTTCGGGGACGCCTGAGCTTCAAGTGTGTCCGAGGACACTCTTTCTGCTCCTACCATGTACTGCCCCACGAAACAGAATAGTTCTGTGGAATGGCGCTGCCCGTTGCGACGTATTCTGATACCCTCCGTGTACTAGTATATCCACCTCGGACCCGTACCGTTTACTTGAACGTAACCTCCAGCCATCCCCTGCCAGGCTGAACTGCATTCCGAAGAACCCTATTTGTTTCGACAGCCACTTCCCTTCCACCTCCTTCGTGCACCGTACGACACATCCTGGGGGGATTATAGAACTCAATCCCCAGACATACAAGTTGAGGGAATCCCAAGGGCGCGCGCCGGGCCAGCACCCCTGCAAGCCGCTGGACAACATCGCAATCGACGCGCACCCCAGCAATCCGAAGCTCCGCAAGCTGACTAAAGGCCCCTCCCTGGTGGGCCCCCAGCGCCAGTGCGTCCACGCACGCGGAGGGCAGCTCGTGCTCGCGCATCCGCGACCGCAGCGTGAACGAGCGCACGCCCGGGAAGCGCGCGAACTGGTCCACCCAGCTGAGGAGGTCGATCCCGTCGTCGTCGACGATGTCCAGCTCGAGCTCGCGCACGCGTCCCCGCGGTTCCGCGAAGAGGCCTTCCAGCGAGGACACGGCGATGCTGAACAGGGTCGGCTGCGCGCGCATGCGCAGCGCGACGCGGTGGGCTGGGTCGCTCGAGGGGTCCGTGCCGGAGATGACGACGTACCCGCCTTCGACCGCGACGCTGAGTCGGGTGACTGCGAATGGCAGGAGGGAGTGGAGGCTCCGCGTGCGGGGCGGAAGGAGTCGGACGAACGGCGGTATCGGGTCGCAGAGGAGCAGTGGCTTCATGTCGGTAAGGGTCACAGAAGTGCAGACAGGGAGTATGGCGAACCGGAGAAGTGGGGCGATCTTGTCGTAGTCATCCGCAATGTCGAGGGTGCGCAGAGAAGGAAGGGTCCAAGTGATATATGTGGGAAGGGTGTCTGAGAACGTGACCAGCCCGAGAAACTCTTTGATCCGGAGCTCGCGAAGATTGACACACTGCGACAGGGAATGGGTGAGCACAGTCCCGTCAAGGAACGACTCTGAAGAGCGACAGGGACCGAGTGTCAAGCTCTGAAGCTGAGAGAGAATTCCAAGGGAGGGGAAGTTGAAGCCTTGCAAGGAAATCTGGACGAGCCCGGGAAACAGGCTGTTTGGGAGGGATACTTGCGCAAGCCTTTCGCTCCTCAGACTTGGGTCTCCAGGGTAGTGTACGGTCATATCGAGGGATTTGAGGGCAGGCATCCGGGATATAAGCAGTTGTTGCAACGCCGAGGAAGACCAATCTCGACGACTGACGGGACCAATCTGGAGACACTGCACTATGTGGAGGCAAGGGGCGATGTCGTCGAACGAGTCGAAAGGCATACGTACACTGCTCCGTCCACTCATGGTGAGTTGAGCCATTACTGGTTCTGGAAATCTGGAACCCATGGTAGATCTATGATTCAGAGTTAGTAACGTCAAAGGCAATAAAGTCACTCGAGAATTTCGCATACATTTCGCAGGAGAAGGGGGAGGGGGTTAGTCTTGCAAGGAAATGTGCGAACGTCGAACATTTTATACCTCTTATATACACTGCTGGTGTGCCATCTCTTCGTCGGTGGAGTGGCACCAAGCCCCGATAGCTTGCTCACAAGCTCTCAGTAACGCCAAAGTGTCTCCTTAACTTCAAGCTAAGCTTGATGAGCGGCGTTCTTGGTCGCAGTTGTGGTCAGCTACGAGGAGAGCAGGGTTGAACAACCGAGGGACGAGGGTGGCTCGCGTTCCTTGCAGAATCAACTTCGAGACTCGAGAGAGAGACTGTTCTCGGCGTGGGGACCAAGACGTGCTGACGATCAGAGGGGCAAGTAGTGTAGCCAATGAACATTATACTTGCTAACGTTAATACAGTATGGGCACGTGGTGTAGTTGGTTATCACGCTCGCTTAGCATGCGAGAGGGGTCCGGTTCGATCCCGGACGTGTCCACTCTGGTGATATGTTTTTGGGCCAAGTCGTTCCAACTTTTTTTCTTCCTCGTTTATCGCCCTTGAGGGCGGAGCCCTATGGTAGGCGTTGTTCCAACTTGATTTTGAAGAGTCGAAGCTGTGCCTAGGGCTGCCTATGGGATCGGACTACTAGCCTGCGCCATCTGTGCTCGCAACACTCGGGACGGCGACCTGTTTCATAATGATGCGCAGTCCGGGTAGATGGACATGCAGTCAAGCACATCGTTCCCTCCTGCATCAGCTTTGAAAAAAAATGATATACACAACTCGGCACTCTATAGCCAAGCACAAAAATCAAATGAGTAGACTATCGGCGGACCGTGGTCCTTCGTTCACCGCCACGAGTCGTTCCGCGTCACCGAGCCCTGCGCGGGCGTGGTGATGCTGTTGTTCGGGTCCGACTCCCACGTCACGCTGCCGCCGTTCTTCCGGATGTACTTGTACTCCACCACCGTGCTCGCGGGGAGCGTGATGGTGACTGCGCGCAGCGAAAACGAACGTCAGACGCCTGCGCACACGCGTAAGGAGGACAGAGGGCGACGTACTGCTCCACGTGGGGTAGTTCGCGGACGAGAGGAGGAGCGCGTTGTCGGGCGACCAGCTCTGGAGCTGCGCGACGCTGCCGGTGATGTAGATGTTCTCTGTCGGGCGCGCGCGAGTCAGCCCTCCTGGGCCGGATGAGACCACGACTGGAGCACTCACCGCCGAAGACGGTCGTCGCGTCGACGTTGAACGTGACCTGGACGGTCGGGCCCGCGTTCCCGCCGCACGTCGAGGGGAGGGTGAGCCCCTTGGCGCCCCAGCTCGCGAACGTCTTGCCCTCGCGCGCGGCGAACGACGTGAGCGCCGCGGCGTAGCTCCACGTGAGGTCTGCGGCGCTCAGCGGCGAGCCTGAGCTGCGGTCGAACTGCTCTGAGAGCGCCCCGTTCGACGGCGTGTGCTTGGCGTTCACCACGAGGAAGCCGTCCGCGAACGTCTTGATCGCGCTGGTCAGCGTGGTGAACGTCGCCGACGACGAGGGGTAGGTGCCCGCGGCAACGGACGAGTCGAACTGCTTGAAGAACGCGAGCGACGTCGCAGTGACGTTGAGCGAGCCCTGCTGCTCCCACACGATCAGCGCGTCGTAGAGCTGCTCGGCGACGGCGGACACGGCGAGGTACCACGGGTTGCCGTTGTAGTAGCTGTCCTCGGGGTACCGGCCGGTCGCGACTGCGGCGTTGGAGGCGATCCCGCTGTTGACCGTGTAGATGGAGCGGAACGAGTCGACGTAGACCTTCAGGTTCGAGAGCGCCTTGTCCGAGCACGGCTGGAAGGTCGTGGCGTCGCAGCCCGCCTCTGGGTCGAAGGTGTGAATGGAGGTGAGGACGGTGTTGGCGTCCTTGCCGGACCGCCCGCCACCGGTGTTGGCGGTCATGTAGCCCGCGCTCGGGTTCCAGTAAGATTGCAGGAAGCAGAGCGCATTGTTAGCCTGGGCGGTGTAGTCGCTGACGACGGACGTTTGCCCGATCTTGTTCGCGAGTGCAATGCCTTCGCGAAGAGCGCGGTGCTGGACAGCGGTGGTGAAGAAGGAAGAGGAGTTGACCTCCTCCCAGAGGTCGAAGCTGGGCATATGCGTCAGTGGGCTGCGTGTAGTGGTAGTACATGATAACTCACCCAGACAGGTTCCAGCTGTTCATGACATAGTCGAGATCGAGCTTGAGGATAGGCCAGAGGTTGTTTGTTACAAACGAGGTGCCGTTGCCGTTGGCGAGCAGCCAGTTGGCATAGGTTATGATCGCCGTCGAGCGAAGGGCCGGGCCATCTTCGCCACTGCCATGAGCCATCCGAAGACCCACACACATAAACATAGTGAGTAGCACGCACCTCGCTGAGGACGACCCCACGCGTCCGTGAACGCGGTCTCGTTGATGTTAAACTTGGGCTCACCCAGCCCGCCGGTCGAGACGGTCCCGCTCGGGTTCGAGACTTGCTGGAGCGTCGCCTCCGCGCTGATGAACTGGTCGATGAGCGTGCGGAGCGAGTCGTCGGCGCCAGTGGTGAACTGGTCGATGAGCGCCTTGAAGACGAGGGACGAGTCGCGGACCCAGGTGTAGAGGTAGTTCGGGTTTGACGTGCTCGGGCTCGCGATGACGACACCGGGCTATTGTCGGTGGTGGGAGCGACGCGGTCATGTGCGCGGGGGGATGAGCGTGTGTTCTGATTCGGCGCTCCTCGCGGGGATGGGAGGAAGACAGGAAGACGAGAAGCTGCTCACCCTCGCGCCCTGGGCCTTGGAGCCGGACGAGCCGATGTTGGCCAGCAGGCCGGCCTTGGCGGCGGGGGACTCGGACGCGACGTAGGCGTCGGCGGCGGTGGACTGGGCGAGGGCGGCGGTGGCGAGGCCAGCCAAAGAGGCGAGGAAAGCGAAACGCATCCTGTGGTGGTTCAGCGCTCAATGAGAGCCGGGAGACTGAGACGCTTTGGGGAACGAGCGGAGGAGGGGGGACGCTGTCGACAGCGGGGAGCTGGAGGCAGCATTATATATGCCGCGAGAGCTGAGACGACGGACGCGAATTGGAAGAAGCGGGTGACGGGGGCGGGTGACGAAAGAGGGAGAGTGCATGTGCGCGCCCGCCAAAGAAGGCGGTCAGGCGGGTCCGATGCATGGCTCATGCGCTCATGCCCAGCACGCACTTGATGCGGCACCGATCGACCCGTCTGAACCAACGTGGTTGCTGAGCGCCGACGACGAGGACGGTTCACCGAACACCTTGTCCACCGGCGATAGCCATTGGCCGAGAACGGAGGCAACGACGAGTTTTCTGCACATAGCTCCTCATCCCGGGCGTATCGCTCAAAGTCGGGCCGAGAAATGGTGTCGGACGGGGCCAGTGCCGGACTGTAGGATGCAGGGAAGAGAGATAATTTTGTTTCAGAGATCGAAGAGCGTTGGACGCATGTGCAGAGGTGGGGCGTGACCTCCCACTCTGATCAACGTGATTCCGCCGCGGAGCCAATATTCGTCATGCCAGTCCATATGCTGAACGGTTTGGAAACCACCCCTCGCTCGTAAGTGCTTGTCGTTCGCACACACTCTCTTTCCATCACCGGAGATCGAACATGTGCCAAGGAGCGCCCTTGACCGGCGTTCACGCCTCTTCTTCATCTTACACGCGCGTTTCCGCCATCGGCGGAGAGCAGGAATAGTACAGAGCATCGTACAACGACTGTGACAACAACAGCGCAGACCTAGCGAACAGGCAAAATGTCCTGGGCCGAAGCAGGTCCTGATCAACCACACCACGACCTCGTCAGCCCCGCCCTCTGCGCCCTGGCAACACAAGCAGCACACTCACCGAATATCCTCAAGTCATGACAACACACGCCCCGTCCGCTCACCGCGCCCGCCTGCCGTCCTCGAGCTGGGCGAGGGTCTCCTCCAGCACGAGCGCGCGGTCCGCGTCCAGCCTCGCCTCCCACTCCGAGTCCACGCTCGCGTAGCTCTTCGGCCGCTCGCCCTCGGCCACCGCCGGCGCGCGCAGCCGGCCCTCGCCGTCGACGCCCTCCGGCCGGCTCACGACGCTCCACTCGTCGCTGCTCCGGGGCCGCTGCGCGCGCAGCGCGTCGGTGAGGAAGCCGCGGAGGAGCAGCGTGCTCCCGCGCGTGTTCCCGTACGCCGGCGGGGGCGGGATCGCGATCTGGGCGTCCTCGACGTCGCCCGTGCCGACGCCCGCCTGCGCGAGCGCGGCGGCGTACGTCGGCAGCGAGGGGCGGTTCCAGGGCGCGAACGCGACGGAGAGGTCGGTGGACGAGCCGCCGCCGCCGAGGCCGTTCTGCCCGCGGTGCCGGGGCAGGACCGAGCCGGGGTGGACGTGCGCGTAGCGCTCGGCGCGGAGGCGGAAGGTGGAGCGCTCGAGGAAGATGAACTCGGCGACGACGACGAGGGTGAAGGCGACGTGGACGAAGATCTGCCCGGACTGCGCGGAGAATGCGCCGGTGGTCGTGGTCGTGGAGGTCTGGTCGCCGTCTGAACTTGACGACGAGGGGTCGGAGGAGGAGGAGGTAGTGGAGGGGCTCGAGACGTTGTGCGAGGACATGTACATCGCGGTGAGGACCCAACCGGCGATGGTCGCTCCGAGGAGTCCGAGCTGGAAGAGGAAGACGGCGAGGGAGGTGAGCCGCAATCCGCCGTATGTTGGTATCCGCTTCGGCTTGAGGAAGGAGATTAGACTCCGCTTTCCGGTCGAGTTGCCGGAGTGCACCGAGGCGGACTCCTCGGCGCGAGCAGGGCTCGGCGCGGGCGCATTTGAGGAAGAGGTTGAAGAAGAAGAGGATGTCGAGGACCTGGACGGGGCGTCCGCGGAGGGTGGGGCGTCTCGGTCGGCAGGATGTCGCCCGGGGAGGGAGGTGGAGGACGAGTTCGCATGATCGACGAGGTCCATACCTTCCTGGTAGCCAATCTCGCCGCGCTTGCTGGGGAGCGGCCCCGCTTGTGGGTGAGACCGGTCCCCGTCATCGTCATGGGCCACGGTCACAGTCGGGATGGTGTGCTGCTCTGTCTGTGTCTCGGCCAGCGGGGACGCGGAGGAGATGCTCGTCGGACTGCGGATGCTTGAAGGGGCGCTCGACGGGGAAGCCATGGCCGTGCAGGATCCGGGAGCGAAGAAAAGAGCGGATGTCGTGCCTGCGTCTGGCGCACGAGCACACGGAGAACAAAAACCGGGGGCACAGGGCCCAGAGAGGAAGAGGAAGGAGAACGGCGGAGTGCGTGCGAGGCGTGAAGAAGAAAGGCAGCGAGCCCGTCCCTAGCGTCCCTGTGCTCGGTGTCCCTGGCACAGGGCGCGCGTCTCCAGGGACATGCCACCATTCTGCATCCGGCCGCCCTCCCAGACCATCAGCCTTCCGCACGGTGCCGAGCCAATTAAGGGCCTCCGCAGCGGATGAGTGCCGCACATCTCTTGATCGCCACCGGATTGGTCGATCAAGACAACGCCGCCCACTACTGCACAGGTGCGCGCGCCCGGCGTTGAGTACGTTGGTTTACAAGTATGCACCCACACTCCCTCTAGATACTCTTTCACCTGGAATATCCTGGTTGGGTGTCTGCAGTCCTCGGCACGCTCTCCTTGTGCTCGTACACGCACTGGCCTCTCCGCGGACGAGCACTAGGGTCGGCGCCCCCGCGAGCTCGTGGCGGGAGCGATGCACACCCTGCAGTCAATGTAGTGCCCTCTCGTGTGCGCAACGATCCCGTCGTGCGTGCGATTGGATGCGACTCGAAGTGCGGGGTCGTATGCATGCCATGTTCGTAGCAGCCAATAGTCGAGTTCAGCTGAAAGTACGCGGGAGAACACTACAGATCTGCATTCATTTTGGGCTCTTCCCGGTGCATGATCGGTCCCAGGTCGACGGCGGTATAGAACGAGAAGTTCTTCATCTCGGGGCCCTTGCTCGCCCGTGCGACCGTGAGGGCGTCGCCGTGACTTCCTCGTCGCCGGGTTCCGGGTCGTCTGACCGGTACGTGTACGACACGAGCATGTTGAACTGGCAACGCGGTCAGCACCCAGATGCCACCAACTCCGCACTCCACCCGCCAAGCAGTACACGCACCTTGACTTCCCCGCGCGCCTCCTTGGGGATGAGCACCTCCCCGCTCACAATCGTCACGTTCGCACGCTTCTCGACGACCCCCACCGAACGCGCCTTGCCCCCACGACCGTCCTTGCCCCGTCGCCCGCCGCCCCGCGCGTCCTCGAGCCCGTCTTCGTCGAGGAACATCTCCTCGTCCTCGTCCTCGTACTCCCACGCTTCCGCGTACGCCCCCACCGGGAACGCTGCGCTTGGGAGCTGGATCTGGAACGTGCTCCGCCGCCCCCGTTCCGCCGCCTCGTCCTCCTTTCCCCCCGCATCCTGGCTGGCGCCGGCCGGTGCGACCGCCTTCGCGAGCCGGATCTGAATCGGGTCGTAGAGCGGGTTGGTGAACGCAAGGTGGAAGGAGTACGAGTGCCCGGCGATGAGCGCGCCGGCGGCGTTCTGCTCGTCTGCGCCCGCCTGGGCGGCGGCGGCCTTGGCGGAGCGTTTGAGCATCTCGAGTGCCGCCTGCGCGTGCGGGAGCGTGACGGCGATCGCAGGGAGGTAGTTGGCGGCGACGAGCTTGATCTTGAAACGGACGGATTGCGCCTTCTGCTCGGGCTTGATCAAGATGTGTCGACAGCTCGGGCAGCGCTTCGACTTCTTGGACTGTAGAGGGATCCGGAGCGGCTTTAGGTCGCTGGACAAGGGCGGATGGCTTCATTAGCGTCGGACTACGGAGGACTGATAGACGGCGAACGGGAACAAGTAGAACTAGACAAAGAGGACAAAGACACACCGACGAACAGACTACTCACCTCTCCCGCAATGACGACACCCAGCTGTTGGTCCATCGCTGGTCCAGCGCCGCGACCTCGCTAGCGCTTTCGAGGTGCCGGAGGAATTCAACGTCGATCTCGCCACTGAGCGCCGCAGCCGCGCCGACCTCGACCCGGGCCTTGTAGTCTGGGTACTCCTGGCGTGCGGCGGCCTTGTCCTTCGCACTTTGCCGTCCCGCACGTGAATGCGCGAGAGGATTGTACTTCCCCACCCCGGGGATGTCGCGCGCGAGCGCGGACGACGCAGCGGCTGTGATGGGGTTCGCGTGCGCGTGGTGTGAGTGTGCGGCGGAGGATGGCAGGGCGGAGGAAGAGGATGATGCACGTAGGAAGGGCTCGAAGTGTTCCTTCAGGCGCTCGAACTCGAGCGATTCCGGCGCCGAATCTTCGAACCTCTGCAGCTGGGCTGCGAGTAGGCGGGGGAGTTGGAGATGGAACGGTGAATGCGAGGGCGAGAAGTGGGTATATGCGCATGTGGAGATAAGGATGGGAGGCGCACCTGCAAGCCCGGTCGGCTTCTCAAACGTAATCCCAACCTCGGCCGAGTCCCACCGGCAGTGATTGCAGTAGAGGAAGAATGGCGGTTCGCCGAGAGATGTTGAGACGATAGGTGATTGCCTGCTATCCACGTCCTCCGGCGGGTCCGAGGGAACCACGGTGAGCGTATTGCGGCAGTTCGGGCACAGGAAGCAATTCCGTGCGCATCTGCGGTATATGCTCAGTCGGCCTTTCCTCTTCACGGCCTCGCGAAAAAGAGGGGAATGAAAGGCAGAGCGCACCGATTCTTCTCCGCACGCACGCTCGCGCTGGGGACTTCGAACAAACAGTTCGGGCAGTAGTACCCGCTCACCTCGAGTAGCACGCAGCGGTTGCACCGCACCGCGTCGCACTCCTCGCAGAAAAAGAGATTGTGCAGTGGGTGGAAGCTGTATGCCGACGACGCTAGGTGGGGTGGGGGTGGGTGCGGCGACTCGGCCATGCATGGGCAGTAGTACTCGATCTTCGGTGCCATTGAATGGAGGTGGCACTGGCCAGAGCAGACGAAGGAGGAGCAAGCTCGTCGTTGGGATCACTGTATGTACACTTGAGAGCTAGGTCGCGCTTTTGAGGCTATTGTCGGCGGAGGAGAGAGACAAGACGCGTCGGCCGCGTGCATTCTCTGCCCAGTGACTCGGCCCGCTTGGGCCGTTGATTAACCGACAGTAGTGACGCGCAGCTGTTTGCCTTCCACCTTCATGCTGGGCATACTTATGCGGGTGAGTATCCCCGGTCGCGTGCCCATTGAAGTACTGACACCGCGCCTTCCAGCTCGGGCGCGTCAAATGAAGCCGAAGTTGAACGTTGAACGGGGCGCCGCGCTATAACCTTTGCCTGTAAACTGCCATGGTCCCAGGCAGGGGGCGTCCACACAGAGATCATTCGACAACTGCAAAAAGTTGCTGGCGAGAAATGGGAAGCACTCTGTTTTCAGGACCCCGCACACTCGAATGGGGTGGTGGTGGGGTTGATGTAGTACGCGGTCGTCACGAGCGGATGCCCCCTGATCCCAGGGCGAGCACAATGCATAGTACGCGCGTGAGTCGTCATTCTCCTACTGATCTACGCCCGTCTACCACTCAGAAACTGCGTCTGTGGGCAGGTACTAGCCGAAATTGTGACGGGTGACGTGCTGAGGCCACGGTAAACCGAGCACGACCTCATATGTACCCTCCGTACACAGGGCCCAAGAATATTCCGCCAGATGTACGGCACTCTGCTGTCTCTCACTCCCCATTTTCAGTGCGGAGAGATGGGACGCGCTTCTTCGCAATGGCGTTCTGGTTGTGCTGAGGCTGTCAACTCGGCGTGAAGCGAGCAAGAGGCTGGCCAGAGGTCGACGATCGTCCTGTCAGCCCCGCACAGAGCCTATGTAAACCCGTCGGCAGCGGTCACAAGCCCCCATCGTCCCTCTCACTTGAACCTCCACTATCTGCGCTACCCCGCGCCTATTGTGTTACCCCACTCCCTCACCACCAGTCTTCAGCATCATGTTCGCTAGCTCGCCTTGTAACGTCCGCCGGTTCCGGAAGGCCTTCAACCTCGCTCCATTCCAGGCCCTCGTGGGCGACGATCGGCGGGCCCACGGTATGGATGTCGACATCCCCTCCACGCCGAGCACACCAAAGGCATCTGTCCGCACATCCGACGTCGCGAATGAAAGCATGCCTGGCCCCTCCGTCGGTGGTCGCGAGAAGCTCATGGCACAGAGGCGAAGGCGGGGAGTGGTGGAGCCTCATACAGTACGTCCTCGCTCAGCTCGTTGTCTAAAATATCCACTAATCGTTTTCCAGCCCGAGCGCAAGCGGGGTGCTCTCCAGCCTCCTTCCGCCCCGAGGAAGAGGCGCTTGCCGAAGGGCACTCTGTGGGACCTTCCTGATTTCAAGGTGTGTTCCTTGACCGCTACGCATCCTACCGCTCTCACGCTGTGCATCAACGCCTTCTTCACGTCGGTCACGCCAAAGCCGACTGTCCGCAAGTTCGACCTTATGGACGCCGCCGCCGCCAGCCCCAACGTCGACGACTCTGAAGAACCCATGACCAAGAGGCGACGATGGGGAGCGGGAGAACCTTGCACGGTATGTGATCCATGAGATCACCGTGCACTGCTTTTGCTTACCTTCTTTCAGCCCAAGCTCAAGTCGCTCGTCGTCCAGACTCCTCCTGCCCCGAAGAAGCGCGTTCGGCATCAAGGTCCTGCGGTCAAGGTTTGTCGCTTTACCGTCGTACATCGCACTGTTCTCATGCTTCCCACTAGCAACGCAAGCAGTTCATTGCCGCCACCAAGGATAGGATCATCATTGATAGTCCCTACGCGGCGGCCGCGTTCCCTTTTTCCTTCGCTTTCCCGACTGCACTTGTTGGCGTCGCCGATCAGGAGCCCAACCTTGGTTCGCTGCCTTCGCCCATGGAGGTTGACGCGCCCCAGGCCCCCGCCGTCGTTGAAGCCCTCGAGTCCTCACCGTCTGTTGTCATGCAAGACGTTCTGCCCAGCATCGACCAGCTCATCCCGCGCTTCATCCGGAAGAGCGTCGCGAGGCGTCAACGCCGTCTCCAAGTCAAAGCTTACGGTCCCCGTCCTCAGCGCCAGGCTCTCCCGCGCGACGCCCCTTCCGTCGCCTACGACAAGGCCAAGAGGCCTCACGTCCATCGCGTCCCAGCGCGCGAGGCTGAAAAGCCCACGGTCCTGGAGCAACAGCAGTTCTATGAGGCTATGGCTTCTCTCAAGGCGAATCTGAACCTCACGGAGACCGCTCAAGACGATGCGATGGACAACATGGAGCTCGACCATGAGGTGGAGATCATGGACGACGAGTACATGGCTGTCGACGACGAGGACGTGGAGATGGCGAGCACGGACCAGGTGCGTAGCTGTTTCGTTATCGCATACTCGCCGCTGATGTTGCGATCCTTCCCGACACCCAGACCACGGACGCAGATGACGATGTTCAACCAATGGAGGACCAGCGCCAAGATATTTCTGCGTCTCTTCCGTACGCCGAGGTGTGTATTATCTCACTCTCACCGCTTTCGTGCCCCGCTCACACACCATCTTAGACCGCAACTGTACAGAAGGCCGGACCCCAGCAGTGCCCCTGCCGCCGGCCCCTACGCTTCCTTCCCCGACCGTCATCGAGACCGTCATGGACGTTAAGTCGCCGCAGGCTACCGTCGCGGTTGAACAGCCGCGGACCACCGTTGTCGATGAAGAGTTGCAGAGCATGATCGTCTTCAAGGAACCGCAAGCCGTACTCATCGGTGTGGAAGAGTCCAAGGCCTTGCCGGAGACCAAGTCGTCAACGATATCTCTGCCGCCTTCGCTGGTCCTCCATACCCAAGGAATCCTTTCCCTGGAGTAGCTGCGTATTCAGAGACCTCACCGCGGCCGATGCCGACAGCAACATCGATAACAGCAGCGAAGACTTCTATACTGGCGGTGGCTGGAGCGGCGCTCACCAGGATGTCTAGACCACTTTGACCCCTGCGCGACTTTCCGCTGCCCATGGGCCCGCTCACGCTCTGCGGTATATCTAAGAGCGACATGGTGCCCCTCGCCGGAGCTTAAACGGACCTCTTCGGACCCAACCTGTGACCCGGACGACGCTACTCGCTGGTCGGCCTCCCTGGACTCCCCGCCTCCTCTGCTGTTCAGCTTACGCTCGTATGGGACTTTGTCGCCCTGTCCAAACGCCAAGTTCTCGGTGGGCGTGGTGTCGCCCTTCTTGGCGCCCTCCGTCCAGGAGACTCGGAGGCCGAGGCCGAAGAGGTCTCGCCTGACGCGGAGGCCAGGGAAGGATCGTCGAGGAGCCGGAGGAACAATCGGAAGATTGTCACGACGCCTACGAGACCTTCGCCTATGCCGTCGTCGAGGTCGTCGAGAGCACTCCCTGGGCTCGAGACAGGCACTCTACCATCACTCAAGTACCGTCGGCCGTTTCGTCGCCATCCCCTCCACCAGTCTCGCCTTCAAGCAACGTCGTTCCACACGACGGCTCTCGCATACACCCCGCAGGAGTTACACTTCGTCGTGCCCGAAGGACTCCCTTCTACTCTCCCGCTCATTCCGGACTTCAAAGTCGCCTGCAGCATGCCGCCCCCAAACACCGCAGTTGACTCGGCATCACGACCCTCCCCGAGCTCCTCTCCTCACGCAACTCGATCCAGCTTCTCTTCGGGCGTCTTATCAAGAGTTCATCCACGATCTTTTCCTTGCACGATCTTTCAAGACACGCGGTTGCTTCCGTACCACACCACAATCTTGGTTTCCTTTCTTGGTTCGACGCACACTACGCCTATTGCAAGACCACTCTGCTACGACGACTAGACTCCATCTCAACTGCTTCCGCATCATCTTTTCTTGGGTTCTCGGTTGCTTGCATCATCTCCTCTGGATCTCTCCTCATATACTGGATTTTACGACATAACATACGACACCTTCAGCTGCAAGTTCGCATTCTCGCACGACATCACTACCTGGAATTTCGAAGACATCTTCTCCCCCGCCGATACCACATTCCCAGCCATATGCTCGAGTCTCATACCCCATCTCCGTCTATACTGCTCCCGCGCTGCTTCCCATCGAGCCTACGGTTCCTGCCCTCTCCCGCTTCCTCGTCCAGCACCATTCCATGTCCAAGATCTTCAACGTCCGCCCCTGAGAGATGGGTGCTCTTCGTGGTACGTCCGCCTCATCCCTCCATCCACGTTTGACTAACGCTATTCTCGCAGATGCCGCACGAGCCATATGAGGTTCTGCAACTCTCGAAGAATACACATCCCGCACGCGTTCGGCTTGCTCGCCGCCCCGCGGCGTGAACTCTTTCAGTGTCGTCCTGCCGTTGCCTGCCCACGCGTGCCCCGGACATGTTGACAGCCCAGACTGCTGATACCCACCGATACGACTTGATGCTGTACGTCTATGATGTACGGAATCGCCCGTAGCGCGGTGTCCGTAGTCTGGTGGTGTTCTGTACGCTTATGAAAGCACTCAAAAATCTTTCTTTTCCCTTCTATCCCTCGTGTGGTCCGTGACCCCAGATGCCCACCCCTCGCAAGTCATCTCGTCTACGCCGCCCTGTGCCTTAGCACACTTCTCGATGGTGCTACATTGCGCCTCGGCGCCCGAGTTGTAGTCGTGTTAATTGCACCAGCTCTGCCGTGGAAAGTTCGAAGCGGGAATGGCCCTCCGTACTTTCTGCGAACGGCGTTCACGTTCAACGCTAGTAGTTCACAGGTCTCATGGATCGAGCCAGAGCGGTCTCCCGAGGTTCGTAAGTCAGGATGGCTCTGAGTGCTTGCCATTCCAAGTCGGAGCTGCCGTACGAGCCTCGTCCCCTCGGACAGCATCCGTTTCCCTCGCCCGGCCCAGGAGCGGCTGGATGATGCGAGACTGTCGAGTTGCATCACTGGGTGGGGACGAACAAACGCTTGCGGCAAGATCTGGATCCGCGTCCCAGATTGAGATCCACGCGACCCTTCAGATTTAATTCCAGATGCGGCCTCGAGCAGCTCAGTCCGATGAGAAAGCGTCGCGGCTCGATGGGATCTATAGAGCACAATCACAATCTATGCGTGCACGTACGTGTGGGATGTCGTCGTCGAGGTTCGTTCCGCCGCCACCGACGAGGGTGGGAAGTCAGAAGCGCGGGTGGGTGGGGGGTTGTATAAGGATACGAGCCGATGCGTGTGCGTACGAGTCTCTAGGCGGCCGAAGCGGGGGGACGGGGGCGGCATTAGTGGGAATGCGAAGGGGCCAGCCGGGACGAGGCGAGGCGAGAGAAGGGGCGGCGAGGCGACGTGTAACTGTCCGTGTCCGTGTGCGGCACGAGAGAAGGTCGTCCGTGGATCCTGGAACCAGTCTATATGTACCGACGCAGTCTAGCCGAGGCGAGGCGAGGACACATTCGACACTAGATTAGCGGGCGCGGGCGATTAGGTGTGGTAAACTGATCGGTCGTCAAGAATAAGGGCGTGTCGTGGAGGCGGAATCGGATATATGGGGGAGCGGTGGTACACGAAACAGCGTAGAGTGAGTGGTGTCTATGAACAGAGCAGGGATAGATAGATATTACGGCGCGCAGGCCGGGTATCGGGACTCGGGAAGGAAAACCGGATCGAGGGTCATACAGTACGCCGCCATCTCTGCAGCCTGCTTCATTCATCGCACGGGATTCGTACCCCGCACCTCGCTATCATCGTCACGCGCCTACGCTCCAAGCCCTGAGGCCGCCGTGAACGCACTGAACCTGGGAGCTCGACCTTCTGCTTCGCGTCGTGCTCGCGCAGGCTCAGATCACTCACGGCCCCGTCCAAGCTCCGTCTGCGAGAATCCTTGTCGAGCGCATCCGGACGTTTGAGTGGTGATGACGGCGACGACGGCAGGTTGAGCGGTGGAAGCTTGATAGGCGGGGAACCCGAGCGCGACACGGCACCGACTTGGACGATGCATGGCGGCCTCACTGCTGGCGCTGAAGGTCGAGCCTGTGGGGAGAGCGGTGTCGCCTTCTCGTTGGCGGTGGCGGGACGCGCGCACGGGGATGGATGGGCGTCATGCCGAACGCAGCGCGCACAGAGTGTGCCAGGTGGGCGTGATGGTGGTGGTGATGGTGTGGCTGGTGCGTGGACGAACGCGAGTGGTGAGGCGGGGAAGGCGCGCGCGAGCTGGAACCGACGCGCTACCCCCATCGACAACGATGATCGATTGCGTCCGGCTCCTGGGGCTGCTGCCGCTGCTGCTAGGGCCGCTGGAGAGCTGGGGTGTCGGCAACGAGGTCGTTGACGTACGGTCGCTCGAGTACGGGATATGGAAGCTCGGCGGCGGCATCGAGAAGTGGTCGGAAGAGAATCCATGCGACGCGCCATACGCCACGAGGTCGCCAGAGCTGCTACGCTTCGCCATGCGGCCGCTCATGACACCACTGTGGGCGGGCTCCCAGCAACTGCGATCTTGCGGCTACGGAGTCATAGTAGTGGCCGTACTCCTCACGGGGCTGTCCATAGACGCAGGGGGTAACCGGAAGGGCGAGGGCGCACGCGAGGGCCGCTGGAGTGAATGTTGAGCGTACGCAGTCCGCCGAGAAAGGGGCTAGTCGACGGCGTGTACGCGTACTCAGTGCCGCCCGGTGTTCGAGAACCCGTCGCGTACGGAGAGCGTTCTACCGGACCCTGGTGAGGAACCGCAGGCGAGTGAATAGGGTGCATCGAGTCAGAATCGGAGCTAATGGGTGAAGGCGAGTCCTCGTGGCCAGGGTGAAGGTGCGGGCGATGTGCGGCAGGATGGGGATAGGGATGTGACCAAGCTCCATGACTGTGGTGTCCCTGCGAGGGCGCGTGGCGAGGGTGTGAGTGCGCGCCATCGACGGCGTGTCCAGAGGAGGGCGGGGCATGCCAGGAGCTCGCGCTTGGAGCTGCCCATGCTTCGGCGACGCGTGTGCTTGACAGACTCTTCATCGTCGCGGTGCGAGTCACGCTCGCGGGAGGTGCCGAAGTATCCACCTTCCTCTGCAGCGTAGTGCGACGATGAGGACGAGAAGTATGGGGTGGCGAGGGGTGTAGCGGTTGCGCTCTTGGTTAACCGATGAGCGGACAAGATGTCGGCATGGCGGGCCTCGTACTCGGCACGACGGAGCATCTCCATATGGCGCACCTCGAACTCGGCTCTCCGCAACGCCTCGCTTCGCTCCAGAGCGTACAACTCCTCCATGGCAACGCTCGATAAGGCGGAAAGGGCGTTGGGACCTGAGGCAGGGGGAAGATGGCGGTCGCTCGGCGGGCCGGCCCGGGAGCGTGCCGAAGGTCGGTCGTACGCGGTGGAGTCGGGGGAGTAAAGTGCGGTGGGTCTGGCGTATGATTCATCCTGAAAAAAGACGGATGAATGAGACGGCCGAGAACAAGATATGACATGGGATGTGGTGCGAAGGGAAGTGCTGCCCACCTCGTCGTCGCTGTTGGCACGGCTCCTTGCCTTCTTCTTGATGCGCATGCTCGACTCCCGTGCGTGCAGATAGTCGGCATCGGCACTGGACCCGGCCGAGTACTTGCCTGCACCGACCTCGATGGGACCGTCAGCTGGGTGGTCTAACCGCGCCTTGGATTTCGACTTGAGCCGGGGTGGCTCGAGCCTGCGGCGCCGACATAATGCGACGCATCGTGGTTGGTGTGTATGCGGGAATGCCGGGTGAGCTCATCGGAGCGGGAAAAGCGTTTTTCGCAGCCAGGGAAGGTGCATTCAAACGGTTTCTCGCCGGTGTGGGTGCGAATGTGTCGAGTCTGGTGACAGAACGAGGGAAATGAGCATCGCAGGAAATGCGAGGTGCGGTGGAAGGGAGCATGAGGCGGTGAGCAGTGCGGCACACACCTGGTGCTCCAGCCGACTGAAGGCCCGGCCACAGAGGGGATAAGGGCATTTGTAGGGGCGGGGGGCCTTCTCGAGGGCGGGGGCTGAGGGAGGAGGGGAGGCGGGGGAGTCGTCGACGTCCATGACTTTTGGGGGGTAGAGGAGGGAGAGAAGATCCATGGTGAGATGAGCAGAAGGAGGGGTGAGGGAGGAAAGGAAGGGGGTATTAGTACTGGGGGCAGGAGGTTACGTACGGCGGGACTGACCTGGGGAAGAGGAGGACGATCTCTGGGAAAGGCGTGGGTGTGGGCGAGGAAGAGAGGGGGTGGCTAGCGGTCGCCTGGTGTGAGTGAATGGGCGTTCGGGCGGCGAAGAGGAGGCTGGAGAGGAGGAGGGGCGAGGGGTGAAGAGGCCGCGGATGATCCGATGGGCTGGGGCGCAGGCGGGGGAGAGGATGGTGGAGAAGAGGAAGCGGAGGGAGGACGCCCGAAGGGGGTGGCCGCGCGAAGGCTGTGGGGAAACGGAGGGGTGGCAGATGGCGCCTGGCGGACGCGGGGGCGGGGCGCGGGGTGGGAGGACGCTCGGCAGGGCTGGGGCGTTCGCGCGCGGGCTGGGGCCGGCGCGAAATTTGCGGGCGAAGGAAGGAAAAGGAGCGGAGACGAGCTGGCGTCAGCGCAGGAGGGAAATGCGTTTCGGCGGGCCCGGCGCGTCCCTCGTCCATATCGGGCGCCGTGCCCTCCGATACGCCTCCTCGGTCGTTCCGACTATCTTCCGCCCTCTCCTCCACCACCCACCTCATCCTCTCTGTGTTTGAGCCCTGGGGGGCCGACGGCGCCCGTGTCGCGCTCAAGGTACATCCGCCTGCGCGCGGGGTGTCGTGCGTCGTGGGCGTGCCGGACGTGGGCGCGCGGGGTTGGGCGCGCAGAGCCACGTTGTGCAGCTGCTGGCGGACAAGACGCCCGCAGGCAGACGCCAGACGGTTGCGATTGCGGGGCAGGCACCAGCACGCATCTCAGATGGGCGCAGGCAAGAGCGGGCCTCCGATCACCCCTGTCCTATCTCCTCCGTTCCCCAGGTAGCCGACAATCACGTTCTGCTGCCGTCCACCCCACGGGGACTGCTCTATGACGTTCGTCTCTACGCCTCGCCCGATATCACGCTCACCTCTCTTGCATGTTGGCCACCGCGAGGTCCTCTTCTCGCCCTGCCCGGGCGCGCGCCCCGTGCTGTGACACGCACAATGACGACGCTCGTCTATTTCCCTGCACAACAGCTTACGGCACCCCCGGTGGCTTCACCTGCGCGGTCCCCGCGACGCGGAGAACACGCGTACACGCGCACAACGACCAGGCGGCACCTCCGCGGCACGACGCTGCAGCAGTCCCCCAGTCGCGGTCACGCGGCCGCCCTGACTACGGCATTCCACCAGACGCGTCGCGCTCGCGCTTGACCTCGAGCTCGAGCCTGCTCCCGACGCGCCCTCGCACAGCCCAGGCGAGCGCAGATGCGACCGGCGTCCCGTTGAGCTCGCCAAGTGCCTACCTTGACGACGTGCGCTGCGCCCCATGCGCTCAGCTGCCGGCATCGTCCGCGTCCGGCCGGACGAGAAGCAGCACCGGCTTGTCCGACGCGCCCATGTACATATGTACATATGAATGCCCGGGCGAGCGACGAACACAGGATTGGCGCGGCGCAGTGCACATGTCGCGCTTTCGGCCTCGACCTAACGTAAATCTTCACTCGGAGACGGCTTGTCGTCCAACTGCGCTGGTGAGTGAATTCGAATGCATACGTGCCCCAGGCCCCTCGTCGTATTCTCGGGGCGCAATGCTCGCGAACCACTCGCGCACCCGCCGCGCGGTGACTGCTGCACATGGGCAACCGTGTGCTCCAGCCGCCGCGTCGGGAGCGGCCGTTGCTTCAATGGGTACAGCCCGTCGAAAGCCGCCGGGCGAACTTCGCCCCTACTGCAGTCTCCACTGCGCTGGATGCCGCTTCGTGCGTCCTTCTGCTTCGTGGTGTTGCGCATCGCGGCTTCGGATAGTGTGCTTTCCACGTCTATTCCTTGCTCCCCCCGCCGCTCACTCAGCACCGTCTCCGCCGTGAGATGCGCAGGGCAAAATAGAACTCCGCAGCTCGTGCATGACCTCGACACGCGCCGCGGCGGCACACTGAGCTGCCAGGGCCCGAACGCTCGAAGTCGTGCACATCAGGGCGAAGACGTCGCCCGGCCGGCGGCTTCGCGCGAACTTGCACGAGTTTAACTTGCTCCACCGTTCTCTCTCGTCGCGGACGACCCCGCGCCTGCCTTCTGCGCTGTGCCCGTCGCCTCTCTCGTACGAACGACCCTGGGACCTGAGTGGGCGCAGTCCTGCGCAAGCACGCACCGTCGTCCACGCCGAGAACCTTGTGTGGGGCCCGTTTGCGGGGTAACTGCGACATTTGCCCGCGTCGCCCTGCATCACGCACGGCGCACGTCGATACGGAACTCCCCCACGAATGGGCTTCGAACACGCCTGCGCACACAGCGTGTGGATCGTGCCACACGGAACAAGTACATGAGTGCCATTCGTCCCGGGCGTCTACTTTGTTTCGTACTTCTGACGCGAACATTATCGGCAGACCGTACCGGGATCCGATGCCACAGCGTCGACACCTGGGCTGGAATCTGAGGCTTGCTGGAATCTGACCACCTCAGGGCAGAGCGCGCAAGCGCAAAGTATCTGCCAACACACATGAGACCCCCCTCGGCGACGCAGGTGCCCCACAACTTTGCACGGTGCATCCTCGCAGATTCCTCCCGCACGGGTACAAACAACGTTCGTCCCCCGCGCCCTATCTCTGGCCGGCTCTTCCCAAGCACAGACCGTCAGATCGTTCCTCCGCCCCCTCCGAGCCCCGCTCTCCCCGCCCCTACGATCGCAAACGTCAGGTCCTGTCCTGGTCCTGGATCCCGTCGTGATACGCCCATGATCTCGACGCGACGCGAACGATACCCGGCCCGTAGCCATCTGCAGTTTCCCCGCACAGCAGAGTCGGAAATCGGAATCCGTGATCCCAACTCCGGGCGGCGCGGCGCGGCGGCCCGCCGCGGCCCGCCCCGCATCGCCGCGGGTCGACCGCCGACCCCGCCCCGCCACCGGGGGTGTCCAGCTGACCGGTGACCTCCCACATCCGCCTCGGGCTTTCATGTGTTTAAAGCCGGCGACACGGGACCGCCCCGCGCCATATCGGACTTGGTCTCGCTCGCCCAGCCGATCTCGATGGGCCAAGGGCGCGCGCAAGCCTAAAGCCTCTTTCCCCCCACCGGTCACGCGCGCACCCGTCCTCGCACTCGAGTCTCCGTCGTCCGAGGCTCGAGCCCGTGTGCCCGGCGCACATGAGGATCGTCGTGCGTGCTTATGGGCCCGTCGTTCGAGGACGACGAAAGGACCCTCGTGCCTGGGCCCCCTTCCGCCGGCAGCGACCGACGCGCTCCCTGGAGATGGTTGGCCGGCGACTCGACTCGAGCCGGGCCTGGACGTGCGGGGGAGAGCCCCGTTCGAGCTTCGATGGCGAGGCAACGTCGGCGCGCTTCCGCGCGATGATCACCGACGGGGACGCGCTTGAGCTTGAGCTTGGAGCCTTCACGTCGGCCGGAGGCATCGTCGAATCGTTCGAACGACCCTCAGGCTTCAGGCGGCCGCCGCTGGTATCGCCGTCGCCCGTGTTCACAGTGCGTGTTAACCCGCAGGACCTTGCATACTCCCGTCGCAGCCCTCGAGCGGACACCGGGGTGCAACTCCGTAAACCCCCCAGATCTCGGAGAAGCCCAACCCCCAGACCTAATAGACAGCGCGCGATGGGGAAACGACAACGCTTCGTGCGACGGTCGCGGCTCGACCGCCGCGCTTCGAGGCGCAGGACGTCTTCGAGGCCTTCGTCGCGTCTCGACCCGCGAGGCTCGAGCCGCCGGCGCCGTCGCCATCGCGCCGACAATCCAGCGAGGACGGCCCCGGGCGCGGATCGACCGCGCCCGCGGGGGCGACGGCCGAGCAGCCCGTCGCCCGCGAGGGATCGTCCCCGGGCGCGGTGGGCTCATCCGCAGACCGTCAGGGCGCAATGTATGTAGCAGAAGGCTTCCCGGGGGTGATAGACGTGGGCGGGAGCAGACGGGGGGCGCATCGGCGCATCGGCGATACTGCTGCGATACGATGCGCTCGATGCCGGGCGTGTGCATGCGGGCTGCACCGCGTTCGCGACGGTCGACGGGAAGGTGGTGCTCGGTTCTTGCATGTGGCGATCCGCGGAAAGTCCGGGTGGTATAGAGACTGCTTTCTCCGTTGGAGGGGTCCGGCGAGGTCGTGCGAGGCTTGAATTCGATCGCGGATTTCGCCGTTCGTGAAGATCGGGGAGTGATGGAGAATACGACCGACATTGTGGGCATCGAACGAAGCCGTGACTGTGCGTCGGAGGCCTCGACCAAGCGGTGTTTCATGAGCAGGAACTCGGACGATGTGGCGAGGGTTGACAGTACCGAGAAGCCGTGTATCGAGCGCAGAGCATAACCCCAGGTAGGGTGTGGAATGTCACTTTACTGCAAATGATCGGAAACGTGGGGGAGATTCAACAAGTCGATCACGATCGAGCTGGATAAATCACGAGCACATTTGGCTGGAGTGACCGAGGAACGAACACACTGGGTGAGTGTTTTTAAGATTGACAACTAGTATTCGAAGGCGCTGTAATTCGACGAGAGCTACACTGTGTAAGGATGATGCCAAGTACGAGCACAGCGGGACATACCTTCCTTAAGAGCTTGACGGAGATCCCTTCACCTTGGCTAGCTCTGACAGCAGTCTTGCCCGTTCGTTCAGCAGCGCGAGGGTGTATTCTGTCGGCGCGTTGTGCGGGGTGACGATCCTCCGTTGTCCGCTCGGGAAGCCTAGCGCAGGAGAAGGAGTTTTGGACAAGCCAGAGTAGGATTGCAACCGTCGAGAAGTAGAGGAGTTGCTGCTGGGAGTCCCCCGTTGATAGTATGACCGGAGCTCCGTGCCTTCGTCCGCGTTGTGGATAAGCCCTGCGTAGCGAAACGGCAACGGCGTCTTGGGCGTTGGGGGAAGGTCGTCGCCTTCGTCCTCCGCGTCGTCGCAGTGGCAGACCGAACTGAGCGTGGACACGTCCTGGCTCATTCCGAGCGCAAAGAAGGGGTCTTCTACTTCGTGTATGCACCTCGCTTGCGACCGCACCGTCCGCGTACTGCTTGTAAGCGCGACTGGGGGGAGGGAGGACAGGTCCGGGAGCTCAGTGGGAGCCAGAGCTGCTAGCTGCTCCGAGGGTGTTGACATCATGGTCGTGTCTGATTCCGCGAGGCCAGAGGGTACCATGGAGAGGTTGGAGTGTGCAGCGCTTGTGACAGTGGACTGCACCGACGGGGAGGAAGAGTGCGTGTGCAGCCGGAGGGGCATGACAGGCGGCGGGTCCGCACCGTACGATGGGCCGGCGAGGAGACCCTTCTGTCGCCCGAGCCAGCAGAGGAGCTCACCGACAAACTCCACCTCGTCGTCCTCGCCCGCGGCCAGCCGACGCGGGTCGACGTCGCTCAGCCCAACACACTCGCCGTTCATGACGTCGGTCTCCAGAACGCCGAGGAAGATCTTCATGGCTTCGACCTGGCTTGCGACCTCCCGCGAGGAGCGTATCTCAGCGGAAATAGGCAGACGCGTGTGGAGGACGGACTCGAGGATGCCGAGGAGAAGACCTGGGGTGAGGTCGGCAGGGGACTCGAGTGCGAATGGGAGAGGAATTCCGAGATTCTGAAGGAGCTCATTGAGGGAAACAGTGAGGTAAGCGGCCTTGTGCATTGAGGAACGAGGAGACGAGCCTAAATGCTCTCGACAATGGTGGTTGGGACTGGTCAAGTCCGACTGGGAATGGCCGCATTCGGGCCGGTGGTATGTCACTGCAGTGGCTCTGGAAACCAACAAGTGTAAACAGCGCGCACAAGCCCGAGCACCGCCCCGGACCTGAGTCTACTACACCAGCTGGGTTTCGTCTTCAAAGCGCTCATCGACCAGTTTACTATCGGCGCCGACGACTCGCTCCACACGCTCATTGACCGCGTCATCAATGCGGAGGCGACGCTTCAGCAAGTCTCGAACTCGAGCGGGACCGTCTCGACTGGCGCGGGCTGGGTGAGCCCAACTTCGACATCAATGAGACCGCGTTCACGGACGCGCAGTGGGGTTGTCCCCAGCGAGGTGTGTGCTGCTTTCTATGTTTGTCGGGTTCCGGGCGGCTCATGGCGGCGAAGATGGCCCGGCCCTTCGCTCGACGGTGATCATAACCTATGCCAACTGGCTGCTCGCCAACGGCAATGGCACCTCGTTTGTAACGAACAACCTCTGGCCCATCCTCAAGCTCGACCTCGACTAAGTATGTCATGAACAGCTGGAGCATGACTGGGTGAGTTGTCACCATGTCCTACCACTACGTGCAACCCGTTGACGCATATATCCAGCTTCGACCTCTGGGAGGAGGTAAATTCTTCTTCCCTCTTTACACCACTCAGGCTAACAATGCGCTCTAGTTCTTGCAATCGTACTGGAACCCGAGCGCGGGCTACATGACCGTTAACACCGGCGGCGGGCGGTCCGGCAAGGACGCCAACACCGTCCTCACCTCCATCCACACCTTCGACCCAGAGGCGGGCTGCGACGCCACGACCTTCCAGCCGTGCTCGGACAAGGCGCTGTGGAACCTGAAGGTCTACGTCGACTCGTGCCGCTCCATCTACACCGTTAACAGCGGGATCGCGTCCAACGCCGCCGTTGCGACCGGCCGGTACCCCGAGGACAGCTACTACAACGGCAACCCGTGGTACCTCGCCGTGTCTGCTGTCGCCGAGCAGCTGTACGACGCGCTTATCGTGTGGTACCAACAGGGCTCGCTCGCGTTCTTCCGGCAATTTGACTCTTCCGTCGCAGCGGGCACCTACCCCTCTTCGTCGGCAACGTACACCACGCTGGCCAGCGCGATCGGAGCTCGGGCTCGCCGCTGAGCGCCGCGCACCTCACGTGGAGCTACACCACGGCACTCACGTCGTTCGCCGTACGCGGGGGCAAGACGTTCGCGAGCTGGGGCGCCAGGGCCCGTTCAGGTCACGTCCAATGTCTTCGTGACGACCATCTTTAGCGGTGAGTGGCCTAAATCTCGTTGACTCCAAGAGAGCTCGCGCTGACGGCGTTCCAGCCTTTCGAGCGGAGCGGCTGCCCACGTTGCATCGACTTTGCGAAGCTCACCCCAGACACACTCTCGACCATGCAGCAGAACAACAGTTACTGCAGGAGCCTTTGGATCCAGCTGCAGGATGGGACCTACGACCTCGCTAAGACCTCGTTCCCGCAACTGAGGCTACAGCTAGGGCGTCCCGTTAGCCACGATATCTGGTTGATGCTGGCACTGTTCAACAACCACAACATCACGAAACGTGCGTGGAGCACGGCTTGCTACACCCGCGAGCCACTCGAGGCCACCATACAAAGGGTCAGAATGGTTGACCATGTTGACCATTCGGGGCTCCGAATCACCGACGCCGATGTGGTGATACGAATATAACTCTCCCCTGATTGTGAGTGGACTGTGGCTTCTCATGCCTCCCCTCATCTCACGCTTTGCCGGGTAGGAACGGCCTGCTTAAGACAACAATGTTGTCCCGCACAGCTGTCCCCGGCTCTTCAACGTCCACGTTTTCGGACTATGTCCCTGTCGTCGTCGCGCCGCTCACCCTCGTTGCTTTCCTTACGTGACTCGTCGCTTTCCACACCGTCGAACCCCTCACCAATAAATCTCTGAACGCGATCGCGCTCGCTCCCCATCTACATCACCGGCAGCGTTGTGAAGCCCCGACAGAGCCGGTCTTCCGATCAGGTGCACCTCCGCTCGTCCACGAATTACCCCACATGGAGCAGTACATCACCCTGCTTCCTCCTTGTGCGTGCGCGCAGGCGTCTGGCCTTCACTTCATTTTCACTGCGCAATCGGTACCGTCACGCTCCTCGCGAACGCGGCAGCGGGGTACAAGTACATCCGCACGAAGGGCGGCAACGTGACGTGAGCGTCGGACCCGAAAAATAGCATCACCACGCTCGCGCAATGACGCGGAAGGACTCGTGGCAGTTGCTCATACGCTTGACCTGTCTTCCTCATACGTGGAGTGGAGGTCTACATGATAGAGAGTAACTGGGCCGGGGGCGACTGATGTCAGAGGACCAGCGGCCTTTTCCGAGAACCCGGGCCGAGTCGGCTCACATAATCGTACAAACATGCGCAAAGAGAGAGCGCCAGCGGCGTACCAACATCATTGGGCTCGCTCGTGTCTATTCCGAGCCGGCCGTCGACTTTCCCTACTATGGCGATAGCTTTGAAGGGAGCGAGGGCAGAGGTGAGTCGGGAGTAAATCCTGTCACACACAATCCTAATCAGTGCCCCGCGCAGGCGTTCCGCAAGTATTGTGACCGCTTCCCTCCCACGGAATTTCAATCCTTGCCCGACGACCTCTACCCCCACGGCTCCTATAACGACATAATTCCCGTCGGTTCGCGGCCCGACCCCAGCGTTTGGGAGCGAGAATTTGACAAAGACACGAGCTCGGTGCACCTCATTCACTTCGGGTGGGCTCTTGACGAGGCGTGGGCTCTCAGATTCGCGGCATACCACAACATATGCATCGACATGAAGAGGTTCATGAGGGAGTTTCAGTTCGAGCGGAGCGGCTGCCCACGTCGCATCGACTTCGCGAACCTCACCCCAGACACGATTACAACCATGCAGCAGAACGGCAGGTACTGGAGGAGCGTCTGGATCCAGATGCAGGATACCATCTACGCACTCGCCGAGAGGAAGTTTCCGCAGCTGAACCTCCAGCTAGGGTGTCCCATCAGCTACGATGCCCGGATGATGCTCGCACTATTCAACAACCATAACATCACGAAGCGCGCGTGGCTCACGGGTTGCCACACTCGCGAGCCACTCGCGGCCACCATACAAAGGGTCGCCGAATGGTTGACCGTCCCGGGTTCCGAGCCACTGGTTCCGATGTGGTGGTACGAATACGACTCTCCCCTGATTGTGAGTGGGCCGTAACTTCTGGAGAGTTTCTTCGTCTCACACAGTCCCGAGTAGGAACGGTTTGGCGTAGACAACCAGTAGACCTCCAATTATCACGCTCTTTTGTAATGCACCTTTTTTGAATTTCCTCTCGCTCTATGTCGTCGTCGTCACACCACCACCCTCTCGGCGCGCCCCTCAATCTCTTCACATCCCCCACTAATCGAGAACAAGATCACGCACGGTCCACAGTAGTAAACCCCGGGACATGGATTCCGTCTACTTAGGTCTGCGTCCATCGCCCCCGGTGACGGACCGTGCCCGTTTAAGTACCATATTTCAGGCCCTCTTCAACTAGCCAGCTTCCATGATGCACACTTGCAGTTCATGCCAGCGATCCATTGTCACGAACATTTGAAACACTACGACCACAATCATCAAAGTAGTGTCTCACTATCGTTGACGTATACACTCAGACCCCTCCCTTCTCCCTCGCACGTCTAGAGCCTTAGGGACCTCCTCCACGAAGACCACCCATGCTACCTCGTCATACTCGCATGCTCCATGTGCATGCATCCCTCAACCGCATGTATGATACGCCGTAGCATCTCCTTCTCCGTCTCCAGCACGGCGGGCGGCTTGTGTGCGCGATGGAAGCCATTTCCATTGATGTTCGCAAGACCACCAGACCACTTCCTGCCGTGAAACACGTCAGCTCGGCCGTCGAGGACGCGAAAAAAGCGTGAACTCGTACCTGGGTAGGTGCCCGCCGTGATTTTCAGCCTTCTATGGTCATCGAGGGGATATAGAGAGGGTAACGGGGAGAGCAAACGCGCTCGTCGCCACTGGGGGATTTTCGGCGACTTTTGTATTGATTTCCGACGCGCGTCCGGGAGCGCCGCTCTGAGCAAATGCCATCGGACTTCCCCAGCATGTGTTCCACTGATGACAGTATTGGGGCAATGGTCCGTCGACCCCTTCCCTTCATGGCGGCGTAAAGTTCGTATGAACCATACCATAGATGTACTAGTACGAACGGCTCAGGTTGTTCAAATCTTGAGAGGGACTCGACGAGCGGGGAATGCGACTGGTGGAAAACACGGCAGAAGAGGCGACAAAGAAAGGCGGGGCCGGTAAAAGCAAGAGATGCATTCCGATTGTTAGAGAGTGGGTAGAAGCGAGGCGGTGGGATGGTCCGAACGTTGAAGGCGGCAGGCCACAGGATGAGCCGTGCACAGTGCCAGGTCAGTGGGGACACTGGTCTCCGAGCGCTTCGAAACTTGTCCTCAACTCGCACGTTCGAAGCCGAATCGCTCACCGACTCGAACGGCCGCCGCCATTCTCCTACTTGAGCCGAGTCCCTTGGACGATCCCTCGCTCCCGTGTTCACCGAAAACACGACGACTGCAACAGTCTGCCAGTGCAAAGCGTCACTGATCAGATCCTTCAACGTCTTCACGGGCGGGGGTTCCCTCCTTGCAACGATCACGTAGCCTTCGGCGCAACCTCAGCATCAAACTCAAGCTGCTAAGGGCCGGACATCAGACAGCACTCGAATTAAGAACTGAACGCGGGGTTAAGGATGTCCGCCTCGGCCCGCGTTTCAAACGGGACCGAGTCCGAGCGGCGATCGCGTTGTCTGCTCCAAGATCCCGTGGACTTCGGAGAACCATTCGCAAGCTGAGTCTGTCGTGCAAACTCCGAGAGTGTGACACAGTGCATATGCGTGCCGTATACATTCTCTTGACAGAGGGTCCGTTGCAGGGTGAGTACTTTCTTCACAGAAAGGCTCACAGTTGTAGTAAACGAGTTGCGAAGCTGAATGTCGGTGGTCAGGTGTGCGCTTGACCCGGGACAGCCCTGACCGGGTTCAAATTCGCCGACACCAGCTAATGTCAACATTGCGATGGCCCTCCCATTGTATATTCCCACTGTCAGGTGCGTAAGACAGCAAGAATGCTCCTCGCTAGCTTACTTCGGCGCGAAGGATCCCGTGGTCAACCATAGAGTCACTCTCGCAAAGCTGAGCCCCATTGTCGAGTGTACTGAGAGGAGAGCTTACCACCATGTGGTGCATGAGTGAAGCTGCAGAGGGTACAGTCCCACCATGAAGCTCAGGTGAATAGCGACCGCACGTCCCAACGCCGCCTCCAAAACTGGCGCGCACCGCCCGACAACCCCGTCCGTAGCCCTGTCATCAGGTCTGGAACGGCCTGCGACCCTGAATTCCGGCACTCGCATCAGTGTGTGCCCACCCTGTCCTTACGGCCGTTAGGCCAAGTCCCGACTTTGCCACAGAGCGTCCCAAAATTCCCCCAAGCTCAACTCGGGCAACGAATACGAAGGCTCGTTGCCGCACATTCCGTGACTTCCTGTTGTCCATCTGTACGCGTGCAGTTCTGATGCCTTGCCCTCTGTGACAGCTGTCTCGATCTACCAATAGAAGGGCTTCGACCACCATTGTACCGGGGTTTCCCTGTCCGGACTGCGGTCGTGTCTGTATAGACACGACAAAAATACCTGGACAGCAGGAACGGACATGTCGAAAGAGGATCCTACCGGTGGTTAGTGCGCCTGCGAGCTATTTCGTTGAGGTATATAAACACGGCGAAGGGCGCGCTGTTTCTTTACCCTCTCACAAACTCCCCAACTCGCCCCATACTCCATACTCTTCTCAATCATGTGCTCTGACGAAAACGGCGCTCACCATGCGATCTACTACCTCAATGCTCAGCTCGGGCTTTGTATAACTCAGCGAAGCATTGCCTCGCTGAGCATGCTGGGTCACGTCGCCCAGAGAGCCGTATGTCCGATGTTGTTACCGCTATCGTCCTTGCATTGACAGAGGATCTCCAGAACCCAACTACGCCCTGGTGAAGTACAGCGCTGCTAGCTTGGACGGTTCCTTCGATGTCGCTTTCCACGCCACCTTCGGCAAGCCCGTCCTGGAGTTTATCTGTGGCCACAACGCCGTCCTTCACCTCACTCTGGATGAAAGTCGTTTGGTGGTAGGCGGGTGAGTTTGCATTATACCTCAATACATGAATCCCTGCTCATACAGTCGACAGCGTCTCGACGATGTACCCTGGTCCTCTCCGGGTTACTTATCGCATCCCCTTCGAGAGCCGCTCTATCTATGGGAACAACCTTCTCATCAGTGAATATGAGAGCACGATCAACCTCCTGATCCTCGACTTCAAAAGTGAGTACTCATCCAATCGATTCGATTCGCTTTCATTTGCTAACCTATGTATGTTTTCTAGACTCAGTCCTTCTTTCTACCTTCCCGCATGTTTCATTCGGGAGCGGTCAGCTCACGCGTTTCCTCGCGGGCTATCTTCAATTGCTCCAGGAAGCCGGCAACCATGTTCTCTTCTCCCCTCCCAAGTTTGGTCCCTACAGCCCGATGATGATCACCGACTACGCTCTCTTGGACCTCTCTCAGGCCTTCTTCCACAACTCCATCCGAGGAATCAGCGTCGACCAGATCAACACCTATCTTACTTCGATCTGGCTCAAGTCGTCCATGCTTTCCTACCGCGGCATCAACGGCGAGAAGGGTAACTGGCCTCTTCGACTCCTCGCGCAGTTCAACACGAGGTCGTACGGGCAAGGGACGTACGGCCGCTTCCGTATGGGACTGGAGCCTCCTACCGTTGAGATCGTTTGCGACAAGGAGCTCATCATGTACTTCAACATCGACGAACTTGATTGTTTCGATCACAATGGGTGTGTGGTTCATTAACCAGGTCCCGCTTCTATCAGGCTGACTCGTCGAACGAAGGAACATCACTCACTCTTTCAAGGGCTGGAAGGTTGCTCTAGTCGTCGATGTTTTGTACTCCGACGAAGCCGACGGTCGCGCTGTGACCCTTCGGCTCGACTTTGACAAAGGCGCGTTCTCACTGACTGATCATGTCGTGGAGTGTGACTCAATGTTCTTTGACTCACTTAGAGCCGCGCTACCATGATTTGAAGTCGCACTTCCCCGGTCTCGACGAGGATGACGCGTTCTGCGGCGAACAGACGGAACTCCTCGTGCGATTCTTCACCAAGGAGTACCTCCGCCTCCTCAAGGACGTCCATTATGACGTTCTGTACACCCACGACACCCGCTGGGAGACCGTCCACAAGCCTCTTGAGCACCCCTCCGGCGGGTGGGAAGTCGGCCTTCCGGACCACTCGCGCGACTCGATCCGGCACACGCACATGTACGGCTTCGACCAGGTCGCCGCGCTCTCACACGGCTCGCTCGACGCGCATTTCGCCTCGCTCCGCAAGAGCGCGCACGGTATCCTGCGCCAGTGGACGCACGACAAGTTCTTCGACGCCAAGTTCAAGCCGCTCACGGTCCGCCTTCTCAGCGACAACCGCGCGATCGTCTGGGTGCATCTCAAGGGCGGCATCCTCACCACGCTCCGCGAATGGGTGCCGTCCCTGGAGTCCGACGCGACCGCTACTTTCGGCGAGTGGCGCCTCGCCTTCGAGGTACCACTGAAAAAGTGCTCGCAACACGAGCTGGAGGGCTTTGATTCGGTCGGATACCGGAACACCATGGCCTTCCAGAAGCACGGCGTCGTCGAAGACTGCGAGCTCTACCACATCTGTCTCGACCTTCACAGTACGTCTGAACTTCATCGGTGTCTTATGGTTCAGCCGCTCACGCTCTTTGCAGACGCCGATTACATCCACGAGTACTCGCTTTTCGCCGACCTCACCCAGGACAGGCAGGGGATCCGCCACTCCGTCCTCAAGCTCCAGGCGGCCATCCACTACGTCACTCAACACTACTTCCCGGCCCTCTGCCGGGAGGCCTACCACGTCCTCACCAGCGTCCCCGTCTGGAAGCCGAACGCGACTCTCCCCTCCTCCTACGCGCTCACCAGCGTCGACTTCCAAGTGTACTCGTCCGCGCGCGTCACGCGCAAGAACTGGGCGCACGTCTCGGTCGGACACCAGCCTGTGCTCGTCGTCTTCGGCATGACCGCGCACCGCGCCCCGCCCGCGCACCACCTCGACTGGTCGGCATCCTGGGTGGTGCAAGCCGAGGCCGCGCGCGGCTTCTCACACGGGACGCTGAGTATCGCGCGGCGCGTGTTCATGGACGAGCGCGTGCTCACGCTCCTTGCGCGCGTCAACGTGCTCACCACGCTCGTCCCCCAGCGCGCGGACGCGCTCGAGCAGCATGATTTCCGCGGGCTCCAGCTTGTGCCCTGGGCTCGCCACGAGCAGCGCAAGAAGTGGCCGGCCGAGTGGGTCATCCAGCCTCTGGCCGACGACGGCACGCTCCAGTACCTCTGGCGGCACGACGAGCGCTGGCAGTACGACTCGCGCGGCAATGCGAACCCGACGAACACCTCGCGCGGCGTATCTTGTGAGTTTGTGCTCCGGCTCGGTTGACGCAGCATGCCAATAGGACTCCCCAGGCGTCACCCGCAACTACGTGGAGCTCCCGACCGCCGTCAGGCAAGGCGCTCTGAGCATCAAGATCGGCGGCGAGGTCGAGCTCAGTGTCTCGCTGCAGAACACGAGGACCTACACGTACGGCCCCGCCTCTCTTCCCCCGCTCCCACTTTGCTCATCACCCCCATCCCTCCACAGCGCCCGCGCGTCCGTCAGCTGGTCGACGCACGTCACCGTCCACACCCTCGGGAACACCATCCGGGTCGACACCGTCGGTTCGCACGACCCCGTCTTCACCCCGGCCACCTACGCGATCGGGCCCGACGTCGTCCCATTCGCCGAGCTCGCGCTGTCCGCGACGCTCGCCGACCCGGTCATGCTCCTCGTCGAGGCGTTCCCGCCCAAGGTCGACCTCGATGGGCTCGTCCGCGAGATGCGTGCGTTCGAGGGCGCGTGGCAGTACTGCTTCCCCCTCGCGGGCGCGGGCGCGTATGCGCTCGGGAGCCCGATTTTCAATGCGGACGGGGACCTGCTTTTCGAGTTCCGTCGGTACGGCGCAAGCTCGCGCGAGGGCGACGGTGGGCGGCGGCTCCGCCAGAAGCGGGCGCCGCTCGCGATCACGAACGGGAGCGCGCCGGAGTGGCAGCTCGCCACGCCGCGCATTGGCGTCGAAGTCATCAACGAGAGGACGGACGGGCCCGGAGTGTACAACGGTAACGGTGAGTGCGCCGCTGTGATCGAGCTGGGAAGTGCGAGCTGACGCATGGCTTTGTAGGCAACCCGACGTTGAAGGCGACTGCTGCCGCCCCGGAGTTCTCTGGGTATGCTCCCAGCGAGCTCGGGGTGGGGGATGACTCCCAGGCCTCCATCAGCGTCGCGGAGTGAGGATCTGCTGCACGCAACGTGTCGATGAAAGCAGGATGCCGTTCAATAGTTACGCGAGTCTGTCTCTGAGCCAGTCGTGAAGATGAGAGTTGTGTTCGTGTTGTCGTACTGTACCGCGCTCTCTGCATATCATAATCATGGATTTTGGTGGTTCACAGCGGCCCCGTTAGTTCATTCTCGTCGAACGTAGTCCCTCTCACATGAGCAACAGTGCTGACAGCCGAGCAACTATTGAAACGGGCTGGGCCGCTCATGGGACCTCATGTATGTATGTATGGGCCGTAGAGTCACTAGCCGTACGCGACACCGCTGATCACTTGCCCCCCATCCAGCCACCCCAGCGCGAGAAGACACCCGCGTGAAGACGCCCCACGACCGGTGCAGACGCGAAACCAAGCCCGGCCCCACTGCGAAGTTCCCCGGATTCCCTTTCTTTCTGCTACTATACTACTACTGTACCCATACTATACGCACTCGGTCTCTCTTTCTCACTCCCCACTCATACACACACCCCGAGCCCCACAAGGTTCACTGGCACGCCGGCTGACGCCTGCCGGCAAGTTTCGGTCCGCTGCGCCTTCGGGATCCTTCCCGAGGGAGCATATGCAAAGACGACGCTCTCCATTGTTCTGGGATACACTACGTACGAACTCACTGTATGTTATGCCTACCATAGGGCTCCGCCCTCGAGGGCAATAAACAAGGATCCAAAAAAAAAAAAAAAAAAAAAAAAGAGTCACTAGCGCACGTACCTGGTGGAGGAACCACGTGGCCCTGGCCCCCAACGCGAAGTGCACACTGAGGTTCGCGGCACGGGAGCAGTTTCGATCCCCCACTCGCACCTACCGGTTGCGGGCCCGGCTTGACCCGGTCGCGGCATAGTCCACGCGCGTCGCCTGCCCCTCCCGTTTACACACCCTTGCCTGGCTTGACCCGGTCGTACCAACGCGCGTCGCCTGCGGGGTCCCATCTCGGCCCATCTCGCCCCCTGTCCCCCTCCTCCTCCACGTCGAGTGAGTGCTCGTCGCGCTCCGGCGCTCCGTCCTACGGAACCGACAAGCCCACTTACCCCATCCCATATGCGCTCGCGGCGATTCCGCCGTGGCACGACTCGGTCGTCTGAACGATTCGCGGCGCCTGCGGCCGCTGGACTTTCTGCAACTGCCTACGGGCGCAGGCCCGTTACATAGCACATGTACTCAAACGAATGCGGGATACGTTCTTAGCTGTGTAGTTACACGCACATATGTGACACATAGGGATAGAATGAGAATAATAATAATAATAATAATAATAAGGGAGCAGTTTCGACATTGCGTTGACGTTGCAAGTCATCGACTCTTATACTTATCTTGTAACTTGGAATGACGGTTGACCTGCCCTAGCCGCTCTTGGTCCCTTGACAGTTGAAAAACGTTTCGACTGTCCAAGAAATGCATTAACGGGGAATCGAACCCCCCGGAGGGTCGATGGCAACGACCCAGTCGCAGCTCGCCGGCATCCCCATTCTCGTCGCGCATCATCGGCTCTATCTTCCTCTATAATGCCAGAGCCTTTGAAGGACCAGGAAACGGAGGTGAGCTTGTAGTACATCTCATCACACACAATCCCAATCAGTCTCCCGCGCAGAACTTCCGCGAGTTTTGCGACCGCTTCCCTCCCGCCGAATTTCAATCTTTGCCCGACGAGCTCTACCCCCATGGATCCTATCAAGACATGGTCTCCGTCGGCTTGAAGCCCGACACCAGTATCTTGGAGCGAGAATTCGATGAAGACACGAGCTCGGTGCACCTCATTCACTACGGGTGGGCTCTGGACCAGGCGTGGGCCGTCAGATTCGCGGCGTACCACAACATATGCATCGACATGGGGAAGTTCATGACGGGGTTCCATTTCGAGCGGAGCGGCTGCCCACGTTGCATCGACTTTGCGAAGCTCACACCAGATACACTCGCGAATATGCAGCGGAACAACACTTACTGGATGAGCCTTTGGATCCAGATGCAGGATAACATCTACGCACTCGCCAAGAAGAAGTTTCGGCGACTGAACCTCCAGCTAGGGTGTCCCATCAGCCACGATATCCGGATGATGCTCGCACTGTTCAACAACCACAACATCACGAAGCGCGCGTGGATCACGGCTTGCTACACCCATGAACCGCTCGCGGCCACCATACAAAGGGTCACAGAGTGGTTGACCATTCCGGGCTCCGAACCACCGACGCCAATGTGGTGGTACGAATACGACTCTCCCCTGATGGTGAGTGTGTTGTGGCTTCTCCTCGGGCTTCCCCTCATCTCACGCTTTCCCGGATAGGAATGGCCTACCTAAAGACAACAAGTCGCCTCGGCTCTTCCGATCATCGTGCTCTTTGTCCCCGTCGTTGCCGCACCCGTCACCCTCGTTGCTTTCCTTCCTTTCCTCCCAATCAAACTCTGAGAACACGATCACGCACGCTCCCTAGCAGCCTCCAGGACATGAATACTACACGTTTTCTCGGCTTGCAGATGTCGGCACCTGTACAAATAGTGAGCGCTTTGGCTTCTATACTTGAAGTTCGATGCATTGTCACGAATAAAACACTATGACCACAAGCATCGAAGTGTGTTTCATTATCGTGACATATATACTCGGACTCCCTTTCTCTCTCTCTCTCGCATGTCTAGAGCCTCAGGAGCCTCCACTCTCCACGAAGACCCGCCCGTGCCACCTCATACTCGCATCTCCCATGCGAGTGCATCTTTCGTCCGTCAACTGCATACATAGCATCTCCTTCTCGGTCTTCAGCGTGGTGGGCGGCCCACGTGCGCGATGGCCGCCATTCGCGTTGATGTTCGTGGGACATGGTGGGAATCGAGCCCTTCGGGGACGTTGCCTCGGCGGCCGAGGAAGGGAAATTGCGGGTCGTGGTAGCCTTCAGTTCCATCCTCGTCGTCGCGGGAAGCTCAGCTACGGAGAAAAGAGGGTCAGAGTAAGCATCACTACGCCCGCGCGGTGCTCGGCGAGGCGGGGCAGCGACCGACGATCCGCTAGCTATTCGTAAGATTGTCGTTTGCTTTATGATGATGAATGCTGTCAAAATATTTGCTACATAACGAGTGCACATGCCCGAAAGTTCTCCTCCCCTTAGTCACGTACTCGATCCGGCAATATCTCCGTGCCCGACATATCAAAATAAAAAACATCCCGATTCGGTAAGGTCCTAAAATTACATGATCCAACATGTGTGAACTATCGGATTGGAGCGAGAACGCTATAGACTCGGAGGTTGGGTAGGAGCCTGCACCTGGGTGCGGACTCCGCGACTCGTCTCTCGTCTTCAAGGCGCGAGTCATCGACCAGTTCACCACCGGCGCCGACGACTCGCTCCGCACGCTCATCAACCGCGTCATCAATGCGGAGGCGACGCTTCAGCAAGTCTCGAACTCGAGCTGGACGGTCTCGACCGGCGCGGGCTGGGTGAGCCCAAGTTCAACATCAACGAGACCGCGTTCACGGACGCGTGGGGTCGTCCCCAGCGAGGTGCGTGCTACTTACTATGTGTATGTGTGTGGGTTTTCGGATGGCTCATGGTGGCGAAGATGGCCCGGCCCTTCGCTCGACGGCGATCATAACCTATGCCAACTGGCTGCTCGCCAACGGCAATGGCACGTCGTTTGTAACAAACAACCTCTGGCCTATCCTCAAGCTCGATCTCGACTATGTCATGAACAGCTGGAACCTGTCTGGGTGAGTTATCATGTACTACCACTACACGCAGCCCACTGACGCATATACCCAGCTTCGACCTCCGGGAGGAGGTCAACTCCTCTTCCTTCTTCACCACCGCTGTCCAGCACCGCGCTCTTCGCGAGGGCATTGCGCTTGCAAACAAGATCGGACAGACGTCCGTCGTCAGCGGCTACACCACCCAGGCTAGCAATGCGCTCTGCTTCTTGCAATCGTACTGGAACCCGAGCGCGGGCTACATGACCGCCAACACCGGCGGCGGGCGGTCCGGCAAGGGCACAATACCTCCTCACCTCCATCCACAACTTCGACCCAGAGGCGGGCTGCGAGCCACGACCTTTCAACCGTGCTCGGACAAGGCGCTGTCGAACCTGAAGGTCTACGTCGATTCGTTCCGCTCCATCTACATCGTCAACAGCGGGATCGCGTCCAACGTCGCCGTTGCGACTGGCCAGTACCCTGAGGACAGCTACTACAAGGCAACCCGTGGTACCTCGCCGTGTCCGCGTCGCGGGCAGCTCTACGACGCGCTGATCGTGTGGGCCAGCAGGGCTCGCTCGACGTCACCGCGACGTCGCTCGCGTTCTTCCGGCAGTTCGACTCTTCCGTCGGCCACGGGCACCCTACCAGCCGTCCTCCGGTGGTGAACGCCAAGCACACGTACTCGAGCGGGCGCTCTCGGCGCAGTTCGACAGGAGCTCGGGCTGCCGGCGCCGGACCCACGTGGAGCTACGCCGCGGCGCTCACGTCGTTCGCCGCGCGCGAGGGAAAGACGTTCGCGGGCTGGGGTGTCAAGGGCCGTCCAGGTCACGTTCAATGTCTTCGTGACGACCATCCTCGGTGGTGAGTGGTCTGAGTCTCGTGTGACCCCAAGGGAGCTCGCGCTGACTGCGCGCCCGACAGAGAAAATCTACACCGGCAGCGTCGTGCAGCTTCAGAGCTGGTCGCTCGACAATGTGCTCCGCTTGTGCCCGTGCCTTTGAAAAAAGCTTAAGGATATTGGCACTCCACGAAAGCTTTCTTCTCCCGTCTTCGACGATTTCAAATTCCACCTTCCTTATGCATATTTGTCACCTCTGTCGTTCGCATGGATATCTGAAGCTCGGTTATTGTTTGGAATTGGGGACGGGAGGAATTTAATATGCATCTCGCGGCTTCTGCGTCGCATTCCATACATATTTGACCATCAACACAAAGGATATATTTCGCCGGCGAACCTCCTTGACCCTGTATCCCAGTCATTCCAGTGCTAACGCTCCCTTGATGTGCTCAGTACTAGGCCTTCGAACCCTTCTTCTTACCGGCCTGAGACACGCTGCCGCCTTGCTTCCACCACCCCGCGTCGCCGCCCTCGCAGGCCCACCCTTTCTGCCCCTCGTTGGCTCTTCTTCTTATCTCTACGGGGCGTATCGACGTCCGTTTCCCCTTCATCGGCAGGAACATCCGCAGTACCAGCGGGTCGGGTCCCGAACCTTCATCGTCCGCGTCCTGAACAGATTCCTCCTGGTTATGGACTTCGGGCACATGAGGCTGGTCCCCGCTGATCGTCGACGAGCTTCGCGGTTGGAGGGCCATGCGGCGCCTCTCAGCCACCTCATCGAGAGTTAAGGCTTCGCGGCTTATCTGCGCAAGTTCGGGATTCCCCCTTCCACGGCGACTGAGGAGCTCTTCATGAGGAGTATCAGCTATGTCGTGGTCGTCCTTGTAAAGCCTCATCGACAAATTGCGTCCTCCTTCGGATTTGTCGTCAGTACCAGATGACGGGACTGGCTGGAATTCCGACTCGTTTGCGGACTTTGCTGACTCTAGACGTTTTGCGGTGGTCCGAGCCAGACCTTCCGTCCCTTCGGTGATAATCGATGAGATTGCATCCTTGAATGGCGAACGCACAAACTCTAGCAAGTCTGCATGAAACTCCTCCGACTCTTCTTTTGATACCTGTGCGAGAGTACTAGTTAATCACGGCGTCATGTGATTTGGAAAGTTGTACTTGCCCGCTCATATTGAGTTGTGCAGTCCAACCAACTTGGTTGGATACTGAAACCCACACTGGCGTGATGGCAACCCTCCAGAGGAAGAGAGAGTGAATGGAGAAATTGATCAGACAATGAGTAGGTTGTGGAATCGGAAATGTGCATGTCAGGATCCCCTCGTTGTTCGTTGACCTTTATCGAAGGTTCGTTGAGGACAAGAATATCTGGGACATAGCGAGCGGAGGATTTCAGATATGATCGGATAATTTTCGTGACAACAGGTGTATCTTGGCTCTGGTCTTGAGGAATGGTGAGGTCTTCACGCACGAGGTGGTTTGTGTCGCCTGGCCGTTTGAAGATGAAGTGGGAGTAGTGAACGCCGAGAAAGAGGAACACCGACACATGGCTCCGGCTGCGGTTTGCTTCAAACGCAGCCTGTACTTGCTCCATGGTTTGCTTGGTATGCTGTATGACATTCTGCAACGGCGGTCTGGCACTTTCCAGTCAAAAGCGCCGCCATTGGCGACTGTGTCCCGCACGATCTGGGAAGGCGGCGGCTTGACCTCCCATATATCTAAGAGAAGATCGGCAAAGTGTTTGAACGATGCACCGTGCACGTCCGACCGTGAAGGGTCAGTGCGTTCCGTCGACGTATGGGAGGCCACCGATGGGGTGGTGTGTAGTTCCGGTCCAGGGACTTCTAGTGCTGGTGCCTCCAAGTCAACCCTTTCCATTAACGTGTGGAGCTCTGCAATGCCGGAAGCTGAAGACGGAATTGCAGACGAAATTTCGGAGGCCTCCCTGGCTTCGTTGTAGAATTGTCGTAGATGAGGAGGCGCGCCAGATCAGGATAGCGCTGTTGCCGTTTACCCACCGGTGCACCAAGCAGGAACTGGGGCATGACCGAGGCCGTCCAAGAGTTGTCCAGAGAAGATTGCAGTGTGAGACAAGAGTGGGAGGCCACGTGGCAATACAATCCATAGAGGTCATTTTCAAAATTCACGCGGCTGATACATTTCTTCATGAGGTTTGAGACTCCACGGTCAAAATCGATGCGCGAAGTGGCAATATACTTCGAAATAATGAGTAAACATGAACATAAAAGAAGGAAGCCGGACGAGGACCTCTTTTGAAGCATATATTGTTGAGAACGCATCTCTGGGAGGGTCGGGGATGACAAGGTACTGAAGCCACTGCAATCAGATGCTATATCCCGACCTCTCATAGTGATTGTTCCGTACCTTCTTGGATCTGTGAATGGTTTTAATGGCAGCCTGCAATTCTTCGTCTGTTACAGTTTCACCGGACATGACAGGGATCAAAGCGGATGGGGAACGGGATAGCTGATCAGTGTGGTGATGGTAGAACCGTGAGCAGCCCCACGCAGGCGCTGGAGTCTGGACGTGGTACCGTGACAGCAGCTGGGCGCCATCAACCGTTCCTTGGCTCCGCCCCCCATTCCCGTGTCGTTCCACTGTCCCTCCCGGGTCCCCACTCCTCCCGTCGAGTCCCACCAGCTCCATCTTCTCTAGTATGGCAATTGCTTTGAAGGGCAAGAGGGCAGAGGTGAGTCTGTAGTATATCTTGTCACACACAACCCCAATCAGTGCCCCGCACAGGCGTTCCGCGAGTATTGTGACCGCTACCCTCCCGCCGAATTTCAGTCCTTGCACGACGACCTCTACCCCCACGGCTCCTATAAAGACATAATTCCCGTCGGTTCGCGGCCCGACCCCAGCGTTTGGGAGCGAGAATTTGACGAAGACACGAGCTCGGTGCACCTCATTCACTTCGGGTGGGCTCTTGACGAGGCCTGGGCTCTCAGATTCGCGGCATACCACAACATATGCATCGACATGAAGAGTTCATGAGGGAGTTTCAGTTCGAGCGGAGCGGCTGCCCACGTCACATCGACTTCGCGAACCTCACCCCAGACACGATTACAACTATGCAGCAGAACGGCAGGTACTGGAGGAGCGTCTGGATCCAGATGCAGGATCCATCTACGCACTGCGAGAGAAGTTTCCGCAACTGGACCTCCAGCTAGGGTGTCCCATCAGCTACGATGCCCGGATGATGCTCGCACTATTCAACAACCATAACATCACGAAGCGCGCGTGGCTCACGGGTTGCCACACTCGCGAGCCACTCGCGGCCACCATACAAAGGGTCGCCGAATGGTTGACCGTCCCGGGTTCCGAGCCACTGGTTCCGATGTGGTGGTACGAATACGACTCTCCCCTGATTGTGAGTGGGCCGTAACTTCTGGAGGGTTTCTTCGTCTCACGCCTTCCTGGGTAGGAGCGGTTTGGCATAGACAACAAGTAGACCTCCAGTCATCACGCTCTCTGGCAATGCCATTTCTTTCAATGCCTCCTGCCCATGTCCCCGTCGTCTTCACCGCCATCCTCTCATCGCACCCCTCACTCTCATCGCACCCCTCAATCTCTTCGCATCCACCAATCGAGAACAAGATCACGCACGGTCCGCAATAAATCCCGGGACACGGATTCCGTCTAGGTCCGCGAACATCGCCCCGGTGACCCGTGCCCGTTTACTATATGCAGGCCCTGTACACTAGCCGCTTCTACGATGCGCACTTCCAGTTCATGCCGGCGATCCATTGTCACGAACATTTGAAACACTACGACCACAAGCGTCAAAGTGGCGTCTCATTATCGTTGAAATACATCCTCAGATCCCTCCCTTTTTTTCGCACGTCTAGAGCCTCATGACCTCCACCTCCACGAAGACCCGCCATGCTACCTCGCCATACTCGCATCCCTCAACCGCATGTATGATGCATCGTAGCATCTCCTTTTCCGTGTCCAGTACGGCGGGCGGCTCGCGTCCGCGATGGTCGCCGTTCGCATTGATGTTCGCGAGGCATGATGCGATTAGTAAAGCTCTTCGGGGGCTGAGGGCGAGTCATGTAGCCTTCGGTGTCATCCTCATCGTCGCGGGTTTGCTGAGCTACGGAGGGAAGAGGATAAGGGACGTATCTGGACCTCTTATATGAATTCCTATAATGTTGAACTGGTGGTCAACTTGATGGAGGTCGGAAGAGCGATAAGCATCACTGCGCCCGCGGTGTTCGGCGGTGTGGGGCGGCGATCGACGACCCGCTAGTCATTCATTTGATCGCTGTGTGCTTGATTTGTTTCCCTCAGACGTGGAGTGAAAACGCAACATAGTGTGCAGAGTTGGACATCAAAGATTCGTCTGCCCTCGATCCCGACCCCGAAAAGACGAAAAAGTGAAATGATTTATGAATATCCCTCATCGCGTAATGCTGTCGAAAAATCTTGCTTATACGGTAGAATCAACGCGTGGACATGACCGGAATTGAACCGGGCCCCCCACATGCCCATGTTCAACGGACACCAGCTTGCTTTCTCGGTTCCGCCCCTCAACTCATCTTCTGGTACCACCTTCGACGACGCCTGTCGCACCACGATTATCCGTACCGTCTGCGTTGCGCTCACCGTGAATTTAACAGTGCCTGTGATTTGAATCGCTTAGGCCGTCGCAGGGGAAGTACGTGCTTAATTCGAGTCCACTAATAATGTCTCATGTATTAGTACGATATGATAGTGAGTGTTACACACATTGTACATTCGAGCGATCCTCCGTACAATCGATCACATTCTTCCCACCTTCCGAGATAAACGGGAGCCAGCGCGGCTGACGCTCAGTGCTCAGTCTCCTCCCAGGTGCGGCCGACGGTCTTGACGAGGTCGGCCTCGGTGATCTGCTTGCCGCTCGTGAAGTAGCCGGCGGCGATCTTCGCGTCGATCTCGACGCGCGAGTCGGGCGGGAGGAGGTGCTCGGGGATGTCGTAGCGCTTGATAATGGGAATCCCGGACTGGACGATCGCGTTGTATTTCCTGCATCACGACACCGCGTTTAGACAAGCGAGAATAAGCGACGAGGGTAAGGGGTGCTCACATGTCACTCATCGACACCATGTTGTCGATCTTCTTGATGCCGAACCAGTGGAGGACGTCGGGCATGAGGGCCTGGAAGCGCATGTCCTTGACGCCGGCGATGAGCTCGGTGGCTTTGAAGTACTTGTCGGCCGAGTCGCCGCCGCGCTTGCGGAGGTTGTAGACGAGGTACTTAGTGACCTCGCCGAGCGCGCGGCCCTCCTTGCGGAAGTAGACGACGAGGCCGACGCCGCCGCGCTGCGCGCCGCGGATGCACTCCTCGATCGCATAGGTGAGATACGGCTTGCATGTGCAGATGTCCGAGCCGAACACGTCAGAGCCGTTGCACTCGTCGTGGACGCGCAGGGTGAGCTCCTTGGTCTCGTCCGAGAGGTAGGCCGGGTTGCCGACTGGTGACGAGAGACACGTGTGAGCTGCAGCTCGTGGGGGGTGCGAGGACGCGCGTGTGACGTACAGATGTATGCGGTCAGGTTGCCGATGGGCGGCAGGAAGACCTTAATGTCAGGTCGTGTGATCAGCTCAGGATACATTCCTCCGTGTCCTCGAAGAGTGCACGACGGAGGAGGCCCTCGGATCTAGTAAAGCCCTGTCAGCATGACGTCTCACAAACGTCCTCGCCTGAACACTCACATGCCGAACCGTTCCGCGACACCAGGGAGGTACCACACGGGCTCGACGGCAGCTTTGCTGATACTTATCTCGACGCCGGGGTCCGCATCGCTCTGGGTGCCGTCCGCGTTGACGAGCGGGTGACTCTTGAGCAGGATCTTGCCGTCAATCTCAAGAAGGCCCTTGCGCGCCGTCTCGTCGATCTCGCTCAGCTTCATGTGCGCGCGTGTGACCGCGATGCTCGGGCGCACGTCCAGCCCGAGCTCTTCGAGTTCGCGCCGGTACACCTGCGGGACAAGGTGGCCCCACGGGTCGAAGGAGACGATCTTGTGCGGGTCGGACCACGAAGGCTGGGGCGGTACGGACACAGCAGGCTCTGTCTTGGAGTAGTCGGGCTTGTGGGCGGGGTCGAGCGTGCCCATCGCGACGGCAAGGGCGCGGTAGATCGAATATGAGCCGGAGTGCGCACCGATCGCATTCCGTTGTTTGATTGTTGACGGGAGACGCGAGCAGATGACGGGGCCACGCACAGACGGGTCGGTAGCTCCCCATTGAAGAGGGTAGGGCTTAATCCCGTGCTGGTCCGGGTAGGCTTTAGGAGAGGAGGTGCGGAAGGGAGAGGAAGAGGGGATGCATGAGGCAGAGGTGAGGACATGAGGAAGTAGTAGACTCACTGGTAAGCAGGACGCGCGAAGGATAGAGAAGCCTCTCCCTTTCCTTGTCGCTGAGAGGGCTGCCTTGAGCGGGAGACGTCCCGGTGTGCGGGGACGAGGTGGGACCCTCGGCTGCCATAATGGCGTCGCCAATGGGCGGAATGGGTGTGGTGACGCGACCCGGGGACGAGGCCGGGCTCGCAGACGAACGTGTGCTCAGCGCATCAAGCTGAGCGAGGAGATCGTTAGCATCGCGCGAACCGTGCAAGGTGGACAAAGGGCGAGATGGGGAGGGATTCACCTTTGCCTGGAGGGTCTGCTGGGAGACCTGGAGAGCGTCGAGCTGAGCGAGGATCTGGGTGAGGACGGCATCTGAGACGGGCGTGGCCATGGCGAGAAGGGGAACAAGGGCTGGCGGAGGAGGCGTTATAAGGCTCGAACGAGCGCAGGTTTCGGCATGGAGCGCAATCACCCTATCTCACCTGACGTCGGGCTATCGGGGCGACCTTGCGCGACTCGCCCACTGGCACTGTCCGCCTCGGGGTGTCCGCATGTAGAACACGGTGCCGCCACCGGTATGCGTCAAGCAGAGAGTGTCGCGACCTGCGAGGGCGGATGTGCTAGCGAGCATGCTGAGAACATGAGGTAGACAAGGTAAACATCGAGAACTGGTTCGGATTCAATCCAGCAGCTTCCAGCCACCGCTCTAACTCGCGTCTAATTAAAGGGAGCTCCGGAAGCATACATATCTTGCTGATAGCAGTGATACAAGCCTAATCCAGGGCGCCTTGTGTAGTTTTAGTTCAAATACTAGTGGCAGAACTTACGATCACACGAACGTGGGCATGTCATTGCATATGCCCCTGGCCGCAAACAAACAGGCCTTGCTGCCCAATCTCAGTACCAAGAACAAGTGAGCAAATGGTCAATTCGTTCGAAGGTCCACTGTCTATCATATGTAATGGTGACTGGGTACGCTTTCTATGTTAACAAACATAGGCTAGTGGACTGTCCTAAGACCCAAGAAGGATGAAAGTTCATCTTGGCTTGTCCAAGCTTGTAGTACCAAAACCACACCAACACACTAATCCTCTTCAAGGCCGTCCTCCACCACGTCCATCTCCGGCACGACAAACGTGTCGTCGTCGTCGTCGCTCAGGAACGCGTCGTCAACCGTGATGTCCTGCGCGTTCACCACCGCGTTCGCCCGCTCCGCTGCCCGGAACCGCACCTCGTCCTGGCTGATCTTGCTGCGGTACGACGTCTCCTCCCGGATGACCTCCTCACCGTCGACCTTCACGCTGCAGCTCACTTTGCCGCGCACCTTCTCGAGCACGTACTCCACCTTCTTCCTCGGCTTCTGCTTCGCCGCCCAGATCCCTAGCCGCGACACCGGGTGTAGCGAGTCCACGTCCTCGTGCACGACCCGCTCCAGGATGCGCATCAGCCCGAGCGTGCTCATCACCCGCGCACGGCATCGAGGTCGCCGTGGGTGTCGATGTACACCGCGCCGAGCAGGCTCTCGACCATGTCGCTCAGGAACTTGGGCGCCTGTAGGCTCGTGAGCGCCGCCCACGGGTACACCGCGTCCTCCTCGAGTGCACGCGCGATCGCCGCGCCGCGCTTCTGGTACCGGAGGAAGGTCACGTTGTGGTCCTCGAGGACGCGGTGCGACGAGTGCATGAGGCACTGCCAGAGGTACACCCGCTGCGTGTCGTCGACGCTCGTCAGGCCCCCGGTCGGCGTCCACATCGGCATCGAGGCCTCGACGGCAAGCGAGGTGTTGAGACAGAAGTAGGCGAGGATGTGCGAGTTGACGACCGCCTCCTTCTTGATGTGCATGTACCCGGGCGAGTAGTTCTTGCCCGCGGCGTGGTAGAGATAGTCGACGACGACCATATCGAGCGCGGAGTCGCCGAGGAACTCGAGCCGCTCGAGCGACATCGCCGCGGACTCGCCCTGGTAGGACGCGTGGGTGAGGGCCTGGACGAGGAAGGTCCGGCGGTGGAACTTGTAACCGATCATCTGCTCGACGAGCGCGAGCTGCTCGGGGATGTCCTCAATGTCGTCCACCTTGTGCATCTCCTCCAACCGCGCCGGGAGCTTCTTCCACGTGATCCCGAGGTCGAACTTCTCGACGCAATCTATCGCAGTATCGAACCCGCCGTGCTTGTACGCGGCCCCGATGAGCGACTCGACGACGTCCGCGAGCATCTTCGTCGACAGGTCCTCCGCCTTCTTCTTGCTCTTCTTCTTGCCCTTGCTCTCCTCGGCGTGTTCCATCGGCACCTGCTCTGCTGTTTCGGCAGGTTCGATCAACGGCGGGGTCTCCGCGTCTGAGATATAGTGCGGCTTCCACTTGCGCGGCACGAAGCGATCCCGGACGATCCACTTATACAGCCCGCTCTTCACCGCGGCGCGCGCGAGGCTCGAGTTTGCGACCGTGTGGTCCTTCTTCCGGCTCAGGTAGCCCTCGTGCCAGAAGGGGTACTGCGCATATAGTTGCTGGCTGACCACGAACTTGAGCACCGTGTCCCCGAGCGTCTCGAGCCGTTGGTAGTTGAAGTGCTCCTGGGCTGCCGGTGCGGTAGTCGCCGTCGTGAGCAATGAGAGTGGGGTTTGGGCCACTGGCGAGTCCACGAAGAGCTCGCGGCACATGTCGTTGACCGTCAGCGCCATCTGCAGCCAGCGAAGGATTGACGGGAGGAGGAGCGTGTAATGGATCTCCTCGGGCGACGCGAGCTCCACCAGGGTCTGGTATGGGTCCAGCAGGAACGGCACCTCGTCGGCCGGCCGGTCGATGCGCTTGTCGACGCTCTCTGGTGGGAAAGGGATGAGGAAGTTGCGGCGCTTGGGTAGCGTGCGGACAACCATGAGCGGGTACCGGACGATGAAGTCACTGTCCGTGTATTCCTCCCGCAGTCGCTCCTCCTCTTCCATCGATAGCGGCTCGTGCTGCCACCGGAGCAGTCGCAACGGCTTGTCGAACTTCTTCATCCCGCGTACAAGCCCCAGACCGTCAGGGTGCCCGAATGTGGCTCCAAACACGGCGGCGTTAGCCGTCGCGCGTGTCTCGTTGAATGCCGTCTCCCCGTGCGCGATGCGTGCCTCCTGCCAAGAGCGGCGCTCGTCCCAGTCGTCCTCGCGCCAACTCGGAGCCGGAAGAAAGAGGTATGAGAAGTCGTCCTTGTCGCGCTCCATGCGAGAGCCATAGATTCGCGAGAAGAGCCTTTGCGTCCATTGTCGTGCGCGTTTGACGTCTTCGTCCGCGACCGGTTCACTCGACACAGCGACAACCGACATCGACAGCTCCCGGCGTCCAGGGATGTACAATGTTGGAAGGTGTTCCTGAATGAACGTCGGCAACGGCTCGCGTGTAAAAATCTGCAACTCTGGGAGGCTTTTGACAGCTAGTCGATGCGCGAACCAGGAGGTGGAGTCCTTTGTCCGCCAAGGGTCGAGCTGCGTGGAGACGCGCGTCAAGCCTTCGCGCTTAGCGACCTCCGCGAGCATTGCCTTCACGTCGTCCCCCTTCTCCGGTTCGATGACACTGCTTAGAGGCAGCAGGTGGTTGTTGATAAGCCCCGCACGGTACAGCTCTACATATGCCTTGAACGCGACGCTTTGCTGTGCACGACGTTTGGTTCTAAAAATTCGGTCGACGGTGAATTTGCGCAAGCTACAGTGCCATCGTGAGCGACGATGAGCGCGTGAAAATGAGATACGCGTACTGCACCGGGAGAGCCCTGGGAAGGTTCACCGTGGCCCCCCATGGCCCCAGATACGGATCGACCTGGCGTTCCATCGGTGCAAGGGCGTGCCATCCCTCGACATAGTCAGGAGGATCAAGCTCATACAAAGGAACGTGGCTGTCTTGACCTCCGGCGGGAATGACGGCACAGAAGTGATTCAAATGGGGAATTGCGGAGTCGATGGTGAGAAGGGCTCTATTCCCAAGGTCAGTCTGCAGGTATTATCAGAGATTACAACGCGTACTCACCCAGTGGAAGCGACCTCAAAGTCCTGGTATCCATCCATCCCATCCACTTCTTCTTCTACGGACTCCAGGGCCCGTGATGGGTCGTTGTACGCCGCCATAAGCTGCCTCTCCGTATCTTCCCACTTTCTAACCACGTCTTGGGGGCCTAGCTCCTCGAACAAGATGACGAAACTACTCCTTCTGCGCCTCGCGCGACCTCGGCTTTGTGCCCAGGAAACGACGTTGGGTGGCACGTCGAAACGAACAACACTGCCGCATGCTTGGATGTCGATGCCTTCTTCAGCGACGGACGTAGACACGATCAGGTTCTTGTCGCCGATCTTGAAGTCCCGCAGAATGTCGGCCTGACTTTCCTCGATGATGCTTCGCGTGATATCCAGGAACGAATGGCGCTTGAAACTATTGGACGAGCCAAGCAGACAGCCCACGCGGAAGAGTTGTTCGGTTTCTGGAATCCGACGGAGGAGCTCGGCGAGGACGATGACGGTGTCACGGCGGGTGACGAAGATGATGCCGCTGTAGTCTTCGTCTACTGAGCGAAAGATGGTTTCTTCTTCCACAAGGTGGTCAACCAGGGTTCGCATCTTGTGGGTGAGCTCGTTGATGATGACTTCGATGTCGGAAGACGGCCGGACGACCGCGACGCGGTTCAGAATGCCGAGGAGGTAACGCTTCTCCTTCTCTTGCCAGTTGGACATGATGTTGTTGTACGGGTTTGCAGCGAGCTTCGCGCGTTCAATGACCTTGGCAACATACCAGTCCGCCGCCCACGTTCCTAGGTCCATGCAGATGTCTTCGGCCGCACGAGCAAAGTCCCGCAGCCCCTTGTGAGTGAACGTGTCCTCTTTGTCTATGGCTTTTGACAGCTGCTGGTCGATTCGTCGGCGGTCGTCCCCGGGCTGTAGCTTCGTCAGTCGACTCCGCAGCGATATGACGTACGGGTCATCTTCGATGTTGAGCGTATCGATCACGGCTTTCAAGGCTTGATAATTGACGGAAGGGCATCCGTCCCAGGTATGCACGGGCGACAAATAGGTGTAGTGCTTGAACTCCGGCCGGTGCACGTACTGAGCCAGCTCGCCGCGGTTATGACGCGTGGACCGGATGGTGCAATCCAAATTCATCTCTAGATCTCTTCAGGTGGAAGAGACCGAGGGTGAGTGGTCGCCATTACGGAGAAAGATATATCACCGACCGAAACGCAGCTTCCACATTGCTTCCGTAGGTGGGGCTTGCAGTCAAACCGAGTACCATCGGTCGAACGAGTGAATTCGGATCTTGAATTGTACCGCGTCGTGGGAGGTCATGATAGTGATTTTTCATGATCATGTTGTACGGGTGTTTCCCGATGGCGTGATGGGCCTCATCGAACACTATAAGCCCGATGTCGAGGCCCATGATGACGTAGCCCTAAAGGTACATGTAAATACAGGGAAAATGAATAAGAGCGCGATGATTTACGTGATGTAGCGCGTCGAGTAGAACTTGGGGAGTAGTAACCATGATCCTATGTGAAGACAGAATCTGACGCCATAGATGTGCGTCTTTCCATTGATTGGGTTCTGAGGCACCGGAGACTTGACCGACCGACACCGGTATAGCGGTCTTGATGACCTGGTACTGCTGCTCCACAAGCGCAACAGTTGGTGCAATAAACCAAGACACCTGCACGGTTTAAAAACATTAGCATTCAGGGTGGGAATTGCGGGAATAGATGGGACGAATAGCCGAAAAAGTCGCGTATAGGGCCATAGTCCGGGGGAAGTCGACACCGCAAGAGCAAAACGAAGGTTGTGATGAAGAAGCTCACCTTGCGAGGCTCGTGTTCAGCCTCGTGCTTCATGCGTAGCACTGCGATGTGCGTCTTGCCAGAGCCTGTGTCCAGAGCGATCACGATGTTGCGATGTAGACTCTCCTCCAGAAGTTCCTGCTGGTATGCCCGAGTGTGCACAGTCGCGGGCATCGGGTCCTGCATGGTGACGTCGGCATTTTCGGGCGAAGAGGACATGCCGGGGGAAGTCAAGCGGGTGGGAAGTGTGGTGCGGGAGAAGACGAGAGGGGGATTCTGAAGGTTCTGTGGCGTGCTGTTACAAGGTGTGAGAGGACCTTATTGCGACCACGTACCTTGCGACCCAAGAACAAAGCGGGATCGGTAGTCTTTCCGGAGAAGGAAAGTGCAAGGCGTGTTCTTCGCGGCAGTGCTTTATAGGCCCACGTACTGCAAAGACGGACGTGTCGGAGGTGCATAAGACGGAGATTATCGCCCTACCGCAGCATGCGATCAGGTGGTCGTGGGTCGTAGCATCGCAGAGCGCTCCGAAGAGTCCGCAGAGCGAGCCAGCACGTCAAGCTGTCGGGCGAGCGGTGGATGAATGTGCGATAGCGATTCGTGTGGACGCCGCAGAGCCGCAGAGAGTCATCATGGTGGTCGACGGAGGAGAACGGGCGTCTGGACGGAGCGCCAGGAGCGTGCGCGCCCTGGACGGGCCCAGCTGTCCGTGCCGCCGCGGACGCCGGGCACACAGTGCGCGCACCGGAGCTCGAGGAGAGCACACATCTCTCATTGCGACGACGATCACGACGAGCTCGCGGGCAGCACGCCAGGACGTAGCTCGGCTTCCGCCTTCATGGCCTCCATCCCTCTATCCCGCCTCTCTTCCACGGTCGCTTCTCCTCTCATCACTTCGCGCGGAAGCCCATCGGACGAGGAGTACCAGAACGATCTGCCATACGACAATCTGGACGACGCCCAACAAACGGCGCCGACATGGAAGAAGGACCTTTACATGCTTCTCGAAAAGCCCACTTCCTCTCAAGCTGCCTTCCTCGTCCACATCTTCACCACCTCTCTCATCGTGATCTCTGCTGTTGTCACTGTGCTGGAGACAGTTCCCGCCTTTCACTCCATCTCCGGAAGTCTCTGGTTCGGTTTGGAGACCACACTCGTCGTTCTTTTCACCATTGAGTACACCGCCCGATGCGTTGCACACTGGACGTCCTGGAACAGGTTCCTCGGTTGGGTCATTTGTGAGCGTTCTTGAAGGAGTCTCAGGTTCCCGCAACTCATAAATTTCTAGCATTTTACGGGATTATAGATTTGCTGGGTATACTGCCGTATTATATTGAGATTGCGCTGCAACAAGATACAGTGAGTCCGTCGTCTTCTCTTATTTTCCACTGACATCTCATACCCCTTCAAAGTCTACACTGTTCAGGTTTACAATCTTGCGTACTTTTAGGCTCCTGCGTGTATTCCGACCGTTCCGCTATAATAACACCATCCTACTGTGAGTATACATATTGGCTTTCCAGCGAAGTCCGACTGATTTCTCCTAGTACTATCGAAGTAATGTATCTCTCATTCCGTCGATCTCAGCACGCTCTGCTCGCCCTGGCTTTCTTCGTGATCATGGTTCTCGTGGTATTCAGTACTTTGTTGTGAGTTTCTTTTACGTTCCATGCGATCCCTGCCCACACCAACTTTTCCCCCCTAGGTACTTCGCCGAGAGGGGAACATGGGACGAGACATTGGGCGTATTCCTGAACGTGGATGGAGACCCCAGCCAATTTGCTGTGCGTGCTCCTTTGCAAGGTGTTCGTACAACCTGCTCACTTTTTCGGGTAGTCCATCCCTGCCGCTGGGTGGTTTGTTCTAGTCAGTGAGTACTTGCCAATCGCTTCTCTCCGTGCAGCCTGTCCAACCAAGCGTTCCTAGCCATAACTACCGTCGGATATGGCGAAATCGTACCTCGTTCCACTCTTGGTCGCCTGATCACACTCCCTCTGCTGGTTTTCGGCCTGCTACTCATCGCTCTTCCAACATTCGTCCTTGGCCGCGAGTTCAGCATAGTCTGGGAATTTATGGAAGAGGCTCAGGTGCGTTGTAACCCCCCATACGCGTTTCAATTCTTACCCTTACCCTTCATTCTGTCATCTCAGCGAACCCGGGATGAGGGGGACGACACCGAAGGCTACCACGACCTGCCCTCTCCCCTCCTCAGCCGCCGAGGCAACGCCCCGCGCGGGCTCTGGCGTACTGCCCCTGAAGAGCTATCACGACCGCGCCCGAATACCTCCGCGTCGAGCGTCGGCGCGAACGGCGGTCCTCGTGTGCGTGGGCCGCCCGCCGCGCTTGAGACGGAGATCGCGGAGTTGCGCGCCAAGGTGGAGGCGCAGGAGGAGATGCTGCGGCGCATCATGTATGCGGTTGAGGGACGAGGGTTGCGCGTTCATGGAGCTCTTGAAGACGGGAGTGTGACAAGGTAGCACGAGTGGCTCTTCGCGGAGAGCAGTACTTGTGTACGAGTTCGTTTTCCGGGAGGATGTTGGGGTCTTGCTGAGTATATATAATATATTATCGATAGTACTGAGACATTGCGTTCCGGATGCTTGGATGCTTACGATCATAGAAACTACGACTTGTCCGTGATACGACGCATTGTGGGTATGGATAACAAGTGCACATCATTTAAAAGAGCGTGTTCCGTGACATGAATATAAGGACGTGAACATTAAGGATCGTCCTGCCATGAGATGCGGGAGCCAGCCCCGTCCATCATCAATCGCAGCCTGAGGTCTATTCGATTAGAAGCCTGGCCACCGCTCGCGTTCCGGCCTCGTCACCATGTGCATGTAGATGAACACGGCTCTGGCTGGTCGCTGGGGTCCCCGCTTGTCTGCATCCTTCCAGCCACCTATTCACGTTGTTCTCGGTGGGTCTCTGACCATCTGTATGGAGTGGAAGCGTGAGTATGTATGAGTAAAGCGCGCTCCGGCGGTACGTTTGAGACGGTGCATTTGAAAACACTCACGAGCGTGGCGCTGGCGAGGGTGGCCCTGGGACTTCTCGCGACGGTGCTGCAACATGTGGGTGTATTCTTCATCGATGTGTGCCTCCAACTTTCTAGCCTGTTCTCCGACATCCCCTCCCCTGAGAAAGTGCTTGACCCGTGCCCAGAAGGTGCGTTTGGGTACATCGGTGTTAGTGGGCTGTGCCATGGGAATGGCTGTTGATGGGGATGCGGGTCGAGGCGGTAGGGAGGGAGGGCGATACGGAGGAGGCGATACGGAGGAGGAAAAGCGGAGTAAGAGCGGGTTCGAGTTGCATCGTCCTTTATAGGTGTTGTAGACCACACTCAAGTGCACGGACAAAGACCAGTCCGTGTTGTACTCAGTGGCGGGTGCTTGATCATGGTCCACAACGGGACGTAACCACACTGCTTCATCTGGGTTTTGGGGATTAGTAGTGAATATCGGAGAGTGAAGGGGGACACACACTTTGAATCATGGGCTAGAGTCGAGGGTGGCCTAAGTTGAGTTGCGCCCACACGATTGAGGAAATCACACTTGGAAACTGAGAACAGCGCTCGGAACGTTATTGCAATAACACAATTAAATATAGAGGACACGAGTCATCAAGAAGATACCATGATGACGAGAGGAGACAACAGGATCAAGGAGGGTGGGCGCAAATGCGTAATGGGTGACGAGAGTAGTTGATGGAAAACGAGTGTTGGTCTCGACGAGCAGGAAGGGTGAGGAAGGAGTCGGATCACTGATCCTATGAGCAGCAGAATGTGAAGAAATGTTGTTAAGAGAGACTTGTACGGAAGGTGGTCCGGGAGCGAGGGCTACTAAACTCAAAATGTAGGGGCTGCCGTGCCCCCGAAAGAGTTGGATCGAGGCCGTGGTCGCCGCGGACGGCACTGCGATGTGGCAGGGTAACGAGGGCGCGCCGTCGTCGGACCGCCGGTACGATAGTTGGAGTGTGCCGCAATCCGTCCCTGAGAGCACTGGGAGGAAGCGCCAGTGTAGAGTCCAAGGGCGTTGCTTCCAGGCGTGGGGCAAGGGGAACAAGAAGCCGCGTTCGTAGACGGCAGGCCTCGAAGAAGGTCGGCGCTGGAAGTGAAGCTCGCGAAGTTTCCAGGTGGGGCGTAGCTCGTAGGAAGGGGTTGGTACATTTGGCCGGCAGCTTGAGGACTCCTTGCTGTAACTTCCTCGATGCTGCTTTCTCCGTCGCTGGACGCGAGTGAACAGCGTTGCGGCGGAGGAGAATGCCACACGTTCCGGTAGCGATACGTTTCGAGCTTGTTGCGCGGAGGGGGAGAGCCTGGGTGGCACCGAGTAGGATACTCGTAGAACTTGCTTTGACTAGAGGAGTCGTCATAAGGATTGGTCGAATGCTGCGATCTTGATGATTCGCGTTCGCGAGAGGGAACGAGGCAGCCCTTGAGAGGCGTGTCCTGAGTTCTGAGCCCGGGGGATTTGTAGGACGGTGGCGGAGAAGGGTAAGGGTAGGATGGAAGGGGAGTCCAAGGCATCCTTGGTGCGATATGTGGGGAGCTCGATGCGCGCGAAAGCTGATCGAAAGACTTCGTACGCTTCATGGGTGATGGGGTGGCTCGGGTAACCCGTCCTCGCGATGCGAAGTCCTCCTGGAGCTTCCTGAGTTCGTACTTCTTGGACAGCGCGTTGTGCCTCTCCCAACCGCACCGCGGGCATGAGAAATCGTCCGATTTCGATCGAGCCGTGTGCAATCTGCAGACCTGACACAAGGCCTTCGAGGATGACGCAAAGAGCCTCTTGAGGGTTTTCATCTCGAAGAGCGCAGAATCAGGAGGGTGAGTGAAGGGGCGGCTGTTGAGAGAAGGATGGTCAACGCGGCTTTTATTGCCTCATGAGGATGAAGCTTGTGGAACAAAGAGGCCGTCCGAGGAGCGGTGGCGACAGCCGCCAAAACCAAGCCAGAACGATATCGAGTGGCTCATGCTTGATTTGTGACCAATAGTGGAAGGGCCTGAGGTGCGTTGTGGTGTTGTGGTCGTGCAAGAAATTTTGCAGGCGAGCAGATCGCGAGAAGGTCGATCATGGCCAATGCGAGATAGAGGTAGGTCTGCACGTGACCGCTGCGACCACTTCAGCAACTTTTCTCCTCGGGGCGCTCGCGCCGAGACTTGCAAGTTGCAGGCTCTGGTTCCGACTTCCCTCTCCTAACACACAGCTACCTCTCCAGCCCCCACACTTCCATTGCTTTCCGGTGTACATCTGGCTTCTACATCTATGCGCAAGCAGCTCGATCCTCGCATCCCCATCCTCATCAACAACAATGTCAAGAAGAACCACCGTTCGTTCATAGTTTTGGTCGGAGACAAGGGTAGAGACCAGGTACGTCGCATTATGGAGACATTGGCGCGACTCTAAGCTCGCACAGATTGTGAACCTGCATTTTCTGCTCTCTCAAGCACGCATCTCCGCGCGTCCTTCGGTGCTATGGTGTTACAAGAAGGACTTGGGGTTTACAACGCGCGTAGCGACGGCTCTCTTGCTGTTTACGGATGATGACATGCTTTCCTCCCTTCAGTCACCGCAAAAAGCGTGAAGCGAAAATCAAACGGGAGGTGAAACGGGGAACCCGTGAACCCAACGAGCAGGACCCATTTGAGATCTTCATAACTGTTACCGACATTCGCTATACGTATGTATCGCTATGATTCGGCCAGCGATGGACCCTTACAAGCCGCGTATTCCAGGTACTACAAGGAGTCACAGAAGATTCTCGGACAAACCTTCGGCATGTGTGTACTGCAAGACTTCGAAGCGATTACTCCCAACCTCCTCGCGCGGACAATCGAGACGGTAGAAGGGGGAGGTCTTGTCGTGATTATGCTTAAGACCATGAAGTCGCTTAGGCAGCTGTACACTATGACAATGGTATGTAAATTCTTCACGCTCCAGTATTCGAGGTCGTTCAACCTGCCCAGGACGTCCACTCCCGCTACCGCACCTCCGCCCATGACTCTGTCGTCGCGAGGTTCAACGAACGTTTCATCCTCTCCCTTGGCTCCTGCGACGACTGTCTAGTTCTAGACGACGAGTTGAACGTGCTCCCCATTTCACGAGGCAAGGATATCAAACTGCTGGAGGAAACGCGAGGGAAGGGTAAGGAGGAGTCTGAGCTGAAGGACCTCAAGGACAATCTGGCGGACACCAAGCCTATCGGAGACCTTGTCAAACTGGCAAAGACGATTGACCAAGCCCAGGCCATCCTCACTTTTGTCGACGCGATCGCAGAGAAAACACTGTCGTCGACGGTCACTCTTACGGCTGGTCGTGGTCGAGGGAAGTCTGCGGCTTTGGGACTCGCTATCGCGGCAGCACTAGCCCATGGATACTCAAACATCTTCGTGACGAGTCCAAGTCCGGAGAACTTGAAGACGCTGTTCGAGTTTATCTTCAAGGGGATGGATGCCCTCGGATACGAAGAGCACCTGGATTATGATATTGCGCAGAGCACAAATCCGGACTTTAACAAGGCGATTGTTCGGGTAAACGTGTTCAGGAATCACCGTCAAACCATCCAGGTGAGTAGTCTGCAATCACACATACGCGCCCCGCTGACAAGTACACAGTACATCCAACCCCAAGATGCTCACGTCCTCGGTCAAGCCGAACTAGTCATCATTGATGAAGCAGCAGCTATCCCTTTGCCGCTAGTACGCAACTTGATCGGGCCCTATCTCGTTTTCATGGCCTCCACCATCAACGGCTACGAAGGGACAGGTCGCTCACTATCCCTGAAGCTCATCCAGCAACTTCGTGAAAGCACTCGCCCTTCACTCACAAAAGATGCTGTGCCCACAGAGGACGACGCCGCGACGGCCTCATCCTCCAAAAAGCCCATTGCGAAGGCCGCACCAAAAGCGCGAACATTGCGCGAGATCAAACTCGACACTCCCATCCGTTACGCACCCGGCGACAAGGTCGAGAAGTGGCTGAACAGCGTCCTCTGCCTCGACGCGACGGTCGTCCCTCGCCAGACGCATATGAGCTGCCCGCACCCAAGCAAATGCGAGCTCTTCTACCTCTCGCGCGACACCCTCTTCTCCTACCACCCCGCGTCCGAGGTCTTCCTGCAGCGCATGATGGCGCTCTACGTCGCGAGTCACTACAAGAACCAGCCGAACGACCTCCAGCTGCTCTCCGACGCGCCCGCGCACCACCTCTTCGTCCTCCTCCCGCCACTCAAGGACGACGAGACGCACCTGCCCGAGCCCCTCGTCGTCCTCCAGGTCGCGCTCGAGGGCAACATCGCCCGGCAGGCGATCCTCGACGGCCTCTCCCGCGGCTTCCGTGCCGGGGGTGACATGATCCCCTGGCTCGTCTCGCAGCAGTTCCAGGAGGGGAAGTTCGCACAGCTCTCGGGCGCGCGCGTCGTGCGCATCGCGACGCACCCGGACTACGCGAACATGGGCTACGGCGCGCGCGCGCTCCAGGCGCTCAACGCGTACTACTCGGGCGAATACTTCGACGTCGACGAAGCCGCGAAGGCGGAACAGAGCTACCCCGACCCGGCGAACTTCGACGAGGTGCGTGGGAGGGGATGTGGTCGCGCAGGCGGCCATCCGTCGAGGAGACTGACGTGGGAATGATATGCAGGACACAAACCTGCTCACGGACGAGCCTAGGGTCCGCGCCGTGTCGGCGATGCCGCCGCTGCTCCAACGTCTGACGGAACGGAAGCCGGAGATGCTCGACTATCTCGGGGTGTCGTATGGTCTGACCCCGCAGCTACTGAGGTTGGTCATCCTGCGTGCTGCGGCGCCGGAAGCTAACGCATTTATTAGGTTCTGGAAGCGCGCGGGGTACGTCCCGCTGTACCTCCGCCAGACACAGAGCGAGCTCACGGGCGAACACACCTGCGTCATGGTCCGCGGCCTGAACTCATCGACGGATGAGGAGCTGCAGTGGCTTGGAGAGTTCACGAAGGGTGCGTGGTCGCATGCAGCAGGGCGCCTGGTGACGCCATGGCGGCGGCCGACTCCAGCGCGTTTGCTAATTGCGAACTATCAAACGCAGATTTCCGCAGACGATTTTTGATCTTGCTCTCGTACAAATTCCGCGAGTTCGGGAGCGTGACGGCGCTGAGCGTGCTTGAAGCGACGAATGGTGCATTGAAGAGGTTTGACCAGGACGCTTCGCGAGGTATGCTATTGGCTCGGGCTCTTGCCGGTACGCGCTGATTGGTGGCCACCGCAGAATTGGTCTCGACGGAACTGTCATACTACATGTCACCGTTCGACCTGAAGCGCCTGGAGTCGTACGCAAACAACCAGCTGGATTACCATGTCATTATGGATCTTTTGCCACACGTTGCGCAGCTGTTCTTCGAGAAGCGATTCGGCGCTGAAGTGCATCTGAGTGCAGTGCAGAGCTCGATCTTACTCGCTTTGGGGCTTCAGAGGAAGGTGATCGAAGATGTCGAGGTGGGTTCACTATGCGCTACGTATCACCACCCGATTTTATTCACCTGGACCCGCATCGCAATGAACAGAACGAGCTGCAGCTCCCTGTCTCCCAAGCCCTTGCTCTCTTCGTCAAGGTGATCAAGAAGCTAAGCAAGAAGCTCCAAGACGTGCAGAAGGCTGCGATCAGCGCGACACTCCCCGCCCCTCCACCCACCGAGCGCACGACCGAAGATGGTGAGCGCGCGACGTTCAAGCCACTCGCGACCGCGCTCGAGGACGAGCTCGAAGAGGCCGGCGACGAGGCGGAGCGCGCGATGCGCGAGAAGCAGAGGGCCATGATCGACGCCCTCGACTTGTCCAAGTGAGTATCCACTTTCCTGTCATCCACCTTCACCTCTTTTCTGTTGTCCCTTGTCTCTCGTGCATCGCGCGCCCTTCGATATGCACCCGCCGCACTCCCGCCGCAACTCCGACATCGCGTCCTTCCTTCCCCCCCTGCACGAGAAACCGGGGTGCGCGCGTGGGGTTAGAAGACCCGCGCGCGCAACCCGTGCCACTCGGAGTCCTACACACGCGTGCGGCGTCGCTTGGCACGCGGTCCCGTCGCGGCGCTTGGCGCGCCCCGCCAAGTGACGGCGGGCAGCTTGGCGCAGGGGCGCACGGACCGCGTCGCGCTTCGCGAAACTCGCGCCCTGCTGATCGCGCAGGGCTGGCGACGCGGGGCCCCGCACGAGGACCCGCGCGCGGTGCTTCTGCGCGGATGTCGGGGACGGGAGGGATGTGGGCTCGGCGCGTTTGGCGCCTTGGCTCGCGCGCGGCGGGCCCGTTCGACGTTCTGTTCTGTTCGCTCGTGTACTTACGCACGCGCGGTAGCGGGTGAACGTCGCGCCCCCCCGTGCGCCCTGTCTGCTCTCCATCCTGTCAGCTCCAGGGGTCTTTTCTTTCTTCTTCGCCTTTGATCCGCTGCGCTCGCCGCTCATTCGTCCCGCACCGCCGCCGCCGCCGCCAACCCCGAAGCTGACCTTGGCCTTCCTCTTCCTCCCTCTTGCGTCCACGGCGAACGCACGCAGGTACGCGATCGACGACGGGTCAGCAGACTGGTCCGCGGCGGAAGCGCAGGTCGGGCGTCTCGCGTCGGGCGCCGACGGCAAGTCCACGCTCGTCTCCGTCAAGCAGCAGGGGGCGGGCGCGCTGGCCGCGACGGGCAAGAAGCGCAAGGCTCCGGAGGACGCGGCGGGCGGCGGGGGTGGGGAGAAGAAGGCGCGGCGGAGCATGAAGAAGGGCAAGCGGTAGCGGTTGCGATGGTCGGTCGGTCGGTCGTTGTGCTGCGAGATTGTGTCTGCACAGAGCAAGTACATGCGCTCGAAGTTCGTCCGTGACGGTTTCGAGGAAGAAGCGTGGGCGGAGTGGTCTCCGCCGCGCACGTTGTGGCGTCGTGGTGAGCTTGGCCTGAGGGAACGTTTCCTTTCAACCGGGGAAGATCTGTGATGTGCGAGCTGGGAGCTGGCTGAAAGAGGGCTAGTGGGATTAATTGTGCTATCGAGCACTGAGCGATCGAAAGGAGAAGAGGCCGGCGGACCATTCGTTTGCGTCCGCGCATACGTATCGGTCGGTCTGATGGAGGTGGGTGTGGTGGCGGGATCTTGGCTTGGACGATGAGGGATACAGCGGGCTGCTCCCAGTGCGTGCAACTACGGGTCTTGGCGGTGCATACGTCGCAGCTCTTGGCCGCGAAAGAACCATCCTGAGCCCAGTCGTTGGAAAGATGTCGAGTTGCCGCGTTCCGACGATTCGTCCATGGCCTGTCTATCGACGTTGGAAGTGTTCCACTCGTCTTCATCAACCTCGTGGGCACCTCTGCGGATTCATCTCGACGGTGTGCTGCGGTCTACGGCATTTCGCGTGAGGAACGCTGGCAGTGGAGCACCGTGCGTCGATCGGTGGGCAAGGTGATTTTGACTGTGGATGTGTTGCAGTGCGAGACGAACAGCGCCGTCTGTGGAGTCCGGACTCCGGATGGGGAGAGGGCGGGGTCAGCCACGATCGCAGAGAGGCGCTTCGCGCGAAATTCTGTCGGAACTGTCCCTTGAAGAGCAGGATGGCATGTGCCGCGCCCCATGTCTCCCTCGCTGATCAGAAGACGAGCTCGAAGAGCTGGGCAAGGCTGCAGTCGGTCGCCAGCTTGTGCGTCGCGCGTCGCAATTGCATTTTCTGGCGGACTGCGTCTGGCCAGTACTTGGCGACGAGTCTTTGTGGGGTGTCGCAGCCAAGATCTGCGGGTGAAAGTCGAGATCTGAGAGAGCGGGTACGCGCTGTGGGGGCGGCAGTGATGGGGTGTACACTGTGTCGATTTTGTCCCTTGGGCAAGGCGCTCGTTGTTCAAATGCATGGTTCGATGGCTCTCGTAACAGATCTAGAGCCACAAATTGGCGGCGGCTGCCGAAATATCACCCGGCTGAAACGCCGGGTTGAGGCGGCGGCTGAGGGTGAGAGGCTGGGACAGAGCGTGCACGCCGGGAGGAGGATGACCGGGGCGGGCAAGGGGCGGGGGAGAAGAGCCGGCCGCGGCGGGGCCCCGCACGTGAGGCAGGTACGCGGTGGAGAGGCGAACCCGCGCAAGCGCCCGCCGCCTTCTTGCTCGCCGTCCGGCTCTCGGACGGCGCGCGAGTATTTAAAGCCCCAGCTCGTGCTCTGGTCCGTTGAGTGTCCTCCCCGCTCGCTCCTCCCAGTCGTCAACCATGGCCCCCTACTTCATCCGCAACCTCCTCCCCCGCCCCGAGGCTCGCAAGGAGGGCCGTCCCCTCCTCGAGGTCCTTGGCACCATTACCCTCGTCCAGTGGGGGATGTTTTGGTCTGGGTACGTCTTGGCCCTTGGCGCGCCCCCGCCCCCGCCCGACTCCCCTCCCGTCTCACGATCGAGGCTGATCTCCCCCTCTTCCTTGGCTTGTGGGTCCACCACACAGCTGGCTCGCATGGACGTGCGACGCCATCGACTTCTTCTCCGTCTCCCTCTCCGTCGACCGCCTCACCGAGCAGTTCAACCGGAGCACCCATGATATTGTGCGTGTCCCTCCGCTCTGACCGCGCCCCCCGCGCCTTCTCCTTCGCCTTTCTCACACTTGCATGCCCATCAACCAGACAACCGCCATCACGCTCACGCTCCTCTTCCGCTCTCTCGGCGCGGTACGTCGTTTTGACGCGTTCCCGCTTGCCGCCGCTTATCCGCCCATTCAACCCAGGTCATTTTCGGCATCATCTCCGATCGTTACGGACGCAAATGGCCTCTCGTCTTCAACCTCGTGCTCATCTCCATTCTCCAACTCGGTGCCGGCTTCGTTACAACCTTCCAGGAATTCCTTGCCCTCCGCTCTCTCTTCGGTATCGGTATGGGTGGTATCTGGGGCCTTGCCGCCGCCACCGCTCTCGAGAACTTGCCCGTCGAAGCCCGTGGTCTCGCATCCGGTATCCTCCAGCAAGGCTACGCCGTCGGTTACCTCATTGCCGCCATCATCTCCCTCTACCTTGTTCCTACCACCGCGACCACTTGGCGTTCGCTCTTCTGGTGTGCCTCCGGCATCTCTGCCTTTGCCGCCGTCATCCGCGCACTTCTCCCCGAATCCGAGGTATTCATCCGTGCGCGGCAAGAAGCTCTCGCCCGCGGCAACAGCACGACGAACAAGACCAAGGTCTTCTTGCACGAGACTGGCCAGATGCTCAAGCGCCACTGGCTCCTCTGCATCTACGCTGTCCTCCTCATGACTGGTCAGTGTCGATTTTAGCTCCTTCCCTCCCACACAAACGCGCCCCGCTCTCCCGCGCGCTTTTACCCTCTCAGTTACTAATCATGAAATGATGTCACGGGCAGGCTTCAACTTCCTCTCCCACGGCTCTCAGGATCTCTACCCCACGTACCTCACCAAGTCGAAGCTCTTCAGCAGCCACGATGCGACCGTTGCGACTATTATCGGTAACTGCGTGAGTACCTAGTACCCAAAGTCTGTCCGCACGTGTGTATTGACAGGTTGTGCCTGAACAGGGTGCTATCGCGTGAGTTTACAACCTTGAGATGTGACCTTCAGCTGACGCCTCTTAGTGGTGGCGCTATTGCCGGCTACGTTTCCCAGTACATTGGACGTCGCCTGACCATTATGTGAGTACTTCATGATGATGACACCGACTGCGCGTGTGTTCTGACAGTGTTTCGTCTCTAGCATCTTCGTCCTGATCGTTGCGGGTGAGTCTTTGCATCGACCGGCGCGTATGAAACAGAATACTCAGATTCTGTGAAGCTTTCATTCCTCTCTGGATCATTCCGAATTCGTTCTCTGGGCTTGCCGCCGGCGCGTTCTGCATCCAGTTCGGTGTTCAGGGAGCGTGGGGTGTTGTAAGTATCCGAAGTTACCGATCCCTTGGAATGAAACTGACCGCTCGGGCGTGCCGCTTAGATTCCCATCCAGTTGGCGGAAATCTCTCCCCCTGCGTTCCGCGCTACCTTCCCTGGTGTTGCCTACCAGCTCGGTAACGTAAGTGCCTCCCAAGCCTGAAACGACAGTGTGGATTTCTCACTTTGCCTTGTCTCCGTGTGTACAGATGGTGTCTTCAGCCTCGGCACAAATCGAAGCCAGTAAGTTTTCCCTGCGTCTGCCGAGTTGCCTAGATTCGGGTGTGCTGACGGTGTATTGTTAGCTGGCGCTGCGAACCTGAAGACGACGATCGTTCAGAACGGTGTATCGATCGTTGTGCCCGACTACGCCAAGGTGCAGGGTATCCTCATCGGTGTCGTCGCCGCCTTCGTCATCTTCATCACCGTCATCGGGCCCGAGAATTACGCCTCGCACTTTGAGAACGCGAAGACGGCGTTCGAGGAGGGCGGAGGCGCGGACGAAACGCGCGAAGGCAACATGAAGGAAACCTCGCGGCCCACTTCGCTCCAGGTCGACAGCGAGAAGCGAGCGACCCCCGAGCCTGTCTAAACGTGCTCATCTCGAGCAGTGGTGCCGGCACACGCACCCTTTGGGGGGCTCGCGGCGCGCGAGCGTGTTTTGATATCAGGACGATGATGTGCTGTATGCCATATCGGTGTGCCCTTTGCTTCACGCGCCGACCCCCCTACCCTTTCCACTACGCTCGCACTCTTGCCTATGGGCGGACTGCGCGCCACGAACTTCGAGATGTTTTGTTAACGACAGCTGTGACGTTTTTGCTGTAGTGTATAAGTAGCCGTCGATCAGACAATGAAAACTGCTTCTATCTCAACACCTCCTTCGCGTGTGTATGCGTGCAATCTAATCCGAAGAGGATCTCCTCTGATCTTCGCGTCTGGAAGTGCTCGCCGTTCACCGGCACCGTTCCCTGCTATCCAGTCGGGGCCGCACAGAAGCAACGCAGCACATATGGGTGCTGAGCGCAGCACGCGGCGCAATCGTCGAGCGCATTCATCTCCCGCGAGGACCGCTGAGCTCAGCGCGAAACGGATCTGATGGCGCGTACCTCGGCGAGAGTTCAGGAAAGGTGGTTCATCATCACGGCGGGCGGGTCACTTCCGTACGTGGGTGCGTACGCGCTGCGATGCTCCGTCCCGGGGTCGAGCTCAGGCAAGCTCCTCCATTAGAGGTGACTCGGACTCGTCGCGCGAGAACGGTCGTGTCGGGCGCGTCGGGCGCGGGGACGCGGTTCCGAACTTCCGACTCGGAGACCAGCACCCACCCTCGGCCGATCATACGGGGCGCTCGATGGATAAGTTGGATTTCCGCAGGGCTCGAGTCTGGCCGGCGAGCTCGGCCCACAGAAGATCCAACCGCGCCGACTGTCTTGTGTGTGTCGCCGGCGCACGAGCAGCGACTCGGACATTCGGCCCGCCGCACCGACTCCCGAGCGCGGATCTCGATCGCGCAGATTGCAATAAGCGGCTCGGCGCTCGGTCCCGGCGGCGGGATTCTGCTGCGGCTGGTCCGCGGCGTCCGCCGGCTGCAGTGGGCCTGCAGAGCGGTTTTGCCTCAACCGTACGCGTCGCACACGCACACGAACGCGTGTGGGACGCTGCGGAAAGAAGCTGAGCTCCAACGCCCAAGGGAAACGAAGGACCGGAAGGCATGGGGCGTGGTTGAGCTTCCGCTTTTTGGAAGGTGGGTGTGTACATAGCACGGAGCCGGTGACGGCCCGGATCTCGGAGGGGACTTTCGGAATGATGCCGACTACGTGAAGGATGCAAGCGTCCAAGGCCGGAATGGAGCGATGTCAAGCAGGCTGTACATGCGCAAGTTTCGGACGACACGCCAAACGGCTGTGCGGTGACCGACTCGGCCGACGGCCGATGGTATGGTGTTGTGGTGGGGCGACCGCCAGCGTGCGGACGTCGTTTGCATATGTACATCTCGAGCGGGCGTCGCGGGGGTGAGGATGGTGAGGGTACGCAGAGAGGGGCGCACTTCTCACGACGATCAATTGGCCAGGAGGATGGCGGCTTTTTTGACTTGCCAGCCGAAGTCGGGGCGCCACATTGGCTCATGGGGACGGCAGCGTTGAAATGGCGGTCCGAGGATGGCGTACTGCGTGATGGACCACGATGCAAACTGTAGGGAAGAACGTGCGCGTTCGGTCCGGATGCATGCATCTTGCGTACGTGAGGTCCGCTGGTGGCCTTTTGTCGTCGAGAAGGAGGAATGTGCAAAGCAATAGCTTGACAATGGTAGTCCAAGTCCACGGCGTTTTACCTCCTTGAAACAATACTTCAAAACATTGGGGTCATCACGTAAGCGTACCCGGACCCACGTATCATGCATCATGTCCTCGGCGCACGTCGATAAACCTTTGTCGACACCGCCAACTGCCCAACGTAGATTCCAGTTGCAAGATGATAGACAATAGACGTGTACCGCTCCTTCGGGTCCCGGTAACGGACCCTGCGGCCGCTCCGAGATCCCCCGAGCGGACCAGGTCCCGCCCGCGCCCGCGTAGGGGAGGTACGTAAGCGGGGGAGGGGACGCGGGGACCAGGAACCGCAGGCTGCCGGAATCATTCAATGAACGCGTTGCAGCGCGTCGGCTGAGGTCGAGACGCCGCGACGCGTCCGATCTAGGAACTGGATGGGTACAACACAAGCATTGAGCAAATTTCGAAACGCGCACCCCCAAAGGCGATCAAGAACACATCTTCCTTATGTTCTATACACCTGAGATCTTCAGCTAACATCGATCGACTGCGAAGTCTCTCTGCTAGCACACAACTTGTGAGAATTCCCGCTTCGCTATGCCGAGCCAAAAAAAAACAAATACTGACCGTCTTCGCCATGGTCCTCAGGCACGACGTTTCCCTGATGTCATCCGAGGTCGTGCGCCAGGCAAACTCCCTCCCTCACCCCACACCCGGGATCCACGTGGGTACGTACCGGGGCCCGAAGTCACCGGCGAAAGCTAGCAGTTGTGGGTGTTCACCATACTATGTGCGAGGGCCCGACCACATCAGCAGTCAGAGCATCGCTCGCAACAGGCAGACTCTTGATTGGCTAAGTTTCTGTACGCGGATGGCACCATCATCTACTCACATTTGCCGCACCCTGAAACCCATAATGACTCAAGCAAGCATCAACAACTGCATCATGGCTTACACAGGCACATTCGGACTGTAGTAGATTCGTCTTGTCCACCTTCGTCGTCTCGTCATGCCGCCACTACTCCTCCATTCTTCAAGTGGCAAAGGTCGAGAATCATGCCAGATATCGTTGGTGTACACCCATCCAGCTGTTGGCGAGCGAAATTCAGACTCTGTTATAGGAAATGGAAAGGAGGCTCATACCTTCGTCTGCACCTAAAGGCTCGGCCCACGTCCCCTCTAGATCAGGCCTCCAATCCTCCGTCTCCACAAACGACCACCCATGCGCAAGAGAGAACGTGAGGTTGCTGCTGTGCAGAAGGATTAGCGGTTGCCCTCACATAGCACGATCGGAGAAACCCCGGGAACGTGCTAACCTGACTTCATGGCTCCCATCCTCGTTCACGCCGCTCCAGCCATCGCGCCCGCGCGTCCACGCCTTGCGCTCCCCGGATTTCAGCGCGGCCTTGCTCCACGTGCCTTCCGGTTTCGCCTTTGTGGGCTCTTCGCCGACGTTGCCGCCGCTCGTCCCCGGGACCCAGCGCTCGTTCTCAAACAGCTCGACTTCGCGCAGTTCCGAGCCCCAGTGCTTGTCTTCCAGGTTGTCGTCGTCGATGATGCGAAGTACGCACGCGCGCCAGTGGTTGGCATGAGCCCCGAAGGCGGCCTGGAGTGCTGGGAGGAGCGTGTGTTGGGTGAAGGGATGGGTCCAGGCGAAGGGCGCTAGACCCAAGACGAGGAAGGTGGCGCGCATAGGCAGTAGGTTGACGAGGGGGATCATTCCGAAGAAGGTGACGAGAGCGAAGGTGAGTATCAGCCCAGTGTAGGGAGAGGAATAGGAGAGGTATGGGACGACCTGCACAATCAAGTCGTGTCCATCCGAACTGAATGCAAAGTTCTCAATATATGTGTATGAGCCGTATGAGGGAAGGACGTACACTGCCCCCATGAGGTTCTGTATGGCTTGCAGATTTGCTAGCCAGTCAACGCTACCCTCATTCGGTTGGCTTGGCGGTGGTGGCTGCTGAGGCTTCGGAGATGGACTTTCCGACGCTCCTGGGTTGCGCATCGAAGGATGAGTAGCGAGCAAAACGCCTATGATCACGGCATGGGGTATGAGGAGGATGAGTCTAGGAAAATAGCCTGCGGGTGGTCAACAAAAAGGGCGGGAGACAGAAGAAAGTTGGCGCACAGAGGAATGCATATGCAGCCATCCACACGAGCGTATACTTCCAGCTCTTCTTCCATAGCACGATCTCCTCCACACGATCCTGCAGCCAGAATATGGGAGTGCTTTTCGACACGAACCTTCGGAAGTTGGTAGTGGTGATGGGGATGGAGAGCGGGTCGCGTGTGGAAAGAAGGCGCGCCCCTTTGCCTGAGCCGTAGTCACGAGGAGCGGCAGGAGCATTGACAGGAAGCTGAAGGGCGGAAGAGAGCAGCATAGACGTGAGATTAGAGCCTCCTTTCGATGGTGACATGGGTGCTGCAGGCATTCCGGTCGTGGAGCGAACGGGCGAGTGCTCAGGGCGGGGAAGAGATGTGACTATCTTCGGTGCTGGACGAAGGTCGTCGGTGGGTTTGGCTGAGCGCAGACGGGTGGCATAGGAGGGTATCTCGACATAGTCCATGGTGGCCATGACTAACAGCGCAGCGCGGTTGGGATTTGGTGGGGATGCACCGAGAGCGCAAGGATGTGGCTGAGAGCAAGCCGCGAGGCGACGATGACGGAAGGACCGCTTGCAAGCTTGTCTCTCCCGATCACCTTCAGGTCCATGTCGGGCCCACGTTCTCGCTATCTCGCCGCTAGACCGAGACCTTCGTGGCTCCCAGAGCCAAATGCAGATGAACTAGCAGGCGAGCACACCAGAGCACACCTCGCTTTTCCACGTCCACCATGACTCGAGCCCGATTCGCCGTCTGGCTCGTCGCCGCTGCCGTTGCTTTCTTTCGACCAAACCGTGCTCGACGGCGTGGGATGGACTCCTACACCATTGCCCGTCGCCAACTCGACCAAATCGTTCTGGATCGACAGTCCAGGTGCTAACCCTCTCGCAAAGGAGGGCAGCACTGGTCCCCTCACTCCTTTCGCCGACGTCTGCATCATTGGGTCAGGCATCTCGGGCTTGTCCGCGGCTTACAATCTCGCGGACGAGCCTGGTCTAGGTGTTGTCGTCTTTGAGGCACGCGATTTCTGTCGGTTTCTGCCCTGCTTTGACCTGCGAGAAGGACACTAACTCGCGGATTGGATGCACAGGCTCTGGGGCTACAGGTTCGCCTGTTGAGCTTTTCGCGTCCGCTCCACCTCATATCTTCTACAGGTCGCAACGGTGGTCATTTGACGCCTTATCTCTTCCAAGACTTCCGAAAGAAAGCGCTCCAATTTGGTTCAGCACAAGCCAAAGCCGGGTTCGATCTTGAACAGTACAACGCGCGCGCGCTCGTCAAGATAATCCAAGACGAGGGCATCGCGGACGCGATTGACCTTGTTCACGGCGGCCACACGTGCATCCTGATGTCCGACGAAGACTGGGACGATCTTCAAAACGATTTCGAGGCAGCGCGCGCAGCGGGGACGGACTTGAGCAGTGTGGCGTGGTTCACCAAGAAAGAGATGTACGAGGTACGTCTGCTAACCTCAGTGCGAAAAACGTACCTAAGCCGACGGTATTTCATGGACAGAAATATGGCACGCACTATGCTGGATTCACCTTCGACGTTTACAACCTCTGGCCACTCAAGCTTGTGACCCAGTTCTACCACATAGCCAAGCGCCGTCTGCAGTCCTCTTCCGGTTCTCTTTCGCTTCACACCAACACTCCGGTAAACGAAGTGTTACCTTCCGGAGAAGATTGGGAGCTTGTCACCCCACGCGGATCAACCACGTGCAAATACGTCCTCCATACCACGAACGGCTACGCAGGCCACCTCCTCCCTTCTATGAGTGGTGAAGCGGGCATTGTGCCCGGGCGCGGCCAGGTTGTCACTACACACTTACGGAACACGGGGATGAGCTCTTGGTCGAACTTGAAGGGCGATGAGTACTGGTTTCCTCGCCCTGGCGGAGCCGAAAGTCCTCTCATCATTCTAGGAGGTGGGGGTCACACGTCTGGTGTCGTCGACGACTCAGTCACCGAGCAACACTACCATAACTTCCTCCTCAAGTTCCTACCTGAGGTGTTCGACACTCCTCAATACGAACCCGAGATGGAATGGGTATGTGCTTTTCGACCGAACGACAGTTCGACGACTTACATAGATGTTATCAGACAGGAATTATGGGTTTCACTAGTATTGGTGATCCTTTTGTGAGTCTCAGTGAGGCTGTGCGCGTACGCAAACATGCTTATGGAACCCTGCAGGTCGGCCCTCTCGAGCCGCTTGAAGGGAGGAGCTTCAAAGGGCAGTACATCTCTGCGGGCTTCTCTGGACACGGCATGCCGAGGACCTTCGCAAGGTGTTTATCCATGGCTCCGATTAGATCTGACTTGAGAGCTGACGACCCAATGACAGCGCTCAATCGGCAGCGCAGATGATCTTGGCCAATCTTCATGGAGAAACGTGGGCGCAGCCCGAATGGATCCCTGACAGGTTCCTTACGTGGAACAGGGTGTAGTCCTAGCATGTCTCGTATCTGGATATCGTTACGCAGCTGCTGGCGCTGTGACGTTGGAATTCGGCAGCCACTAGACGTGCTGCGAGATGCTCCACCCTGTTCGGTCGTCTTTGATCAATCGCAAGAAATCAGGCTTCCTATCCACATTCACTGCCGAACATGTGGGCTAACTCATCCGGATAGTCACTTAGCAAACATAGAATTGAACCTCCGCGCGCAAACACCGCGCTACATCTCGTTTCCAAGTCGACATCGCCGCGACTGTGCAGCTGTTGTTCGTGAAGCATCGGGCGCCTGACTGCATCAGGTGCTCCCGGAGGCTCGAGAAGCACGGAAAAGAGGTGCGCCTGCTGTTCGCCACGCTCACCGGGACGCGCGGCTAACCACATCTTACTGCTTGCTAGGAGACCCGCTGCGCCTCCTCCGAGAATGCAGTGTGCCATGGCATTTGGATCTCGCAACAGCCATACACCGAGGAGTTCTGCCAAATCTAATACAGTGCCCTCATGTGCCACGAAATCTCTGCCTGTGCATAACAGCGACGCGAGCAGCAACTGTGGACCAACGCTTGTTGAGCACACTGGAGTCCACAAATTCCCGACAGTGTCCATTCCTCGATGTGGACGCATCAGCGGCGTCCACCAGAAGCCACCGTCCATCCCGGCCTATAAATCCCTCCACTCCACCACTATGTTTTCCAGGCTCCCCCCGCTCCCTCCGCCTTCAAACCCGCTAACCTCCTGAATTCCTCAACGCCATCGCCTCCGCCATGTTTTGCAAAGCCACGCTCCTCGCTCTCGCCCTCGCCATGATCGCCGCTGCCGAGCCCATTCGCGTCCACCCCGGGATCCGCATCGGGCTCACGAAGCGCACCAGCCTGACAAATGCGGACGGCACCTTCAACGTCGAGAAGGCTGTGCGCCAGATGGAAAAGACGAAGATGTCCGTTCCGTTCCTCATCGCACTGCCGGCGCGTCGCACCGCTGATCATCTTCCCACCGTTCCCACAGCAAACACCGCCAGAACCTCGCCAACGTCGCGAAGAACTCCGACTCCACTTCGGGCGGTAGGCACGGCCATTCGGGACACGGACACCATTCCTCTGTGTCCCTCCCTTCGCACTCGACCGCCTCTGCTTCAGTCTCCGCCACGGCCTCTGCTTCAACCTCCGCCGTCAATCCCATCGGCACTCCCAGCACCAGCGGCTCGACCGGGAAGGTACCCCTCACGAACGCAGAGGCGGGTGCGGTCTGGACGGGGCAGATCAGCATCGGGAACCCCCCGCAGCCGTTCGTCGTCGACTTTGACACCGGCTCGTCCGACCTCTGGGTCCCGTCCTCGTCATGCAAGGGGTGCGCCAAAGGCTCGCACCAGTACAACCCAGATGCGTCTAGCGGGAGCGCAGCCCACGACGGATCGTTCGAGATTGCCTACGGAGACGGCTCGTCCGCTAAGGGGACGCCGTACAGCGACACCGGTGCGCCCCCCTGCTTCCCCTCTCCGTCGTCCATCTCCCGGGCTGACCAGCGCGGACAGTGAGCATCGCCGGGGTGACGGTAGCGAACCAGTACTTCGCGGCCGTGACCTCCGAGTCCTCCGAGTTCCAATCCGAGCCCTTCGACGGTCTCCTCGGCATGGGCCTCACCGCGCTCTCCTCGCTCAAGCAGCCCCCCTTCTTCCTCAGCGCCGTGAGCCAGTCCGCGGTCGCCGCGCCGACGTTCGCCTTCAAGCTCGCCGCGACCGGGTCGGAGCTCTTCCTGGGCGGCACCGACCCCGCGCTCTTCTCCGGGGACGTCGAGACGCACCCCGTCGTGTCCTCGAGCGACCTCAACGGCTTCTGGGCGATCGGGGGCGGGGCGATCGCCGTGAACGGGCAGACCGTGAGCGGCCTGGGCGAGCTGCAGAGCATCATCGACACCGGCACGACGCTCATCTACGGCTCGATGGACGCGGCGCAGACGTTCTGGGACGCCGTCGAGGGATCTGCGCCGTTTGAGGAGGAGGAGGGGTTGTGGACGTTCCCGTGCGACGCGTCCCCAGAGGTCGCGTTCAGCTGGGGCGGGAAGGCGTGGACGCTCAGCGACGACACGTACGTGTCGCCCTGTTGTTGTGCTTCTTTGATGGGATGGCCTGCTGACGATTTCGTGGTAGGTTCAACCTTGGGTCGGTGGAGGAAGGGTCCAGTGACTGTGTGGGTGCGATCGCAGGCCAGGACATGGGCTTCGGAGACAATGTGTGGCTCGTCGGCGATGCGTAAGTTTTCTGGACTGTCGTTACGAAGTCGCCACTGACCATGTCCGCAGCTTCATCCAGAACGTGTACGCTGTGTTCTCTACGGAAGACAGCGGCTCTGTGGGTTTCGCCGAGTTGAAGTAGTCCTTCGACTGGCAAAAGCTTCAAGCCCGTTCGAGTTCAGGTGCTTCTTGGGTACTTTCTTGGTCGGTGTATAGCCTGTCGGGGTCTTACCAGATCTGTTTTTCTTCGAAGTCATGGTGTATCAGATACCCATATCATGTAATAGCGTCTCAGCTGGGGGTCAGTGTATGCATGCAGCCTTGTTCAAATGTCCACAAAGTTCAGCCCGACACTCCGAGTATGTGATCGACGGCGGGGCTGAATGTGGTTGACATGGGGACTTCAAATGAGTACATCGGGTTCATTGAAGATCGTCGAGGGTTGCCCGTGCCATGAGGTTCGTTCTCGCCGCAGCCTACGCTGGCTGCTGGTACGTAGATTTTCCGGCCCGGCTCGGGCCCAGATCAGCGCTTATCACGCTGCTACTGGGAAGGGTTCCGTCTTCGTGACTCTGTTTCTTTCACCTTCCTCACCGCTCGGACCTCCTCGACATTCACCAGCGTCGACATCCTTTGCGCGTGATGGACTACAACAGGCGGCTTCTCGGCGCTTCATCGTTGAAACATCTTCATGCGTATGATGACGCGGCAATCGACGCGACAACACTCGACGCGCTCGGCTCTGGGACGGTAGCTGCTCGAAAGTGGAGTCGGATAAATCCCGCGTAACGCGTAGCATGCCCCAGCAGCCATTACGCGGCCGCTGCCCACCCAACGGGCTCGACGCGTTGTGTGCTGGCTTATATCTCTCTCACCCACCGTCTGACTCTCCAACAGCATCCCTGCGCGGGATATCCCAACCCTTCCACTCGTTCACTCAGTTCTCGCCAGGAAATTTCCTGGTTCATCCCTCAGCCTCCAAACCTTTAACTAGAGCCCAACTAGGTTTTCTCAATCATGTTCTCCAAGACAGCGCTGCTTACCGTCGCTCTCGCGCTTATGGCGTCCGCGAGCCCACTGCCTCCTAAGAATGGCGTCGCGGTTCCGTTCACGAAGCGGTCATCATCTATGAAGAACACCGACGGCACGTTCAACGCCGACCGTGCGATGATAGCGTCCGCGAGGACGATCAAGTGAGTGCCTGTTCCCGTGCGTCTTGCTCCAGTACTAACGCGCCCTACCCCCGCCAGCAAGCACCGCGCCAACCTTCTCAACCTGGAGAAGAACGTGGGCCCCCATGTCTTCAAGGAGGGCGCTTTCATCAAAGAGCTCGCCGTGCTCCCCTCGCACCTCATCAAGCGCCAGTCCGAGCCCCTCACCAACATCGACGATGACATCGAGTGGGCGGGCGCTGTTTCGATCGGCACACCCGCCCAGAACTTCTTCATCGACTTCGACACCGGCTCTTCCGACCTCTGGGTCCCCTCCGCGTCTTGCAACTCAACGACGTGCGCGAGCAAGAGCCGTTACACGGCCTCGTCATCCTCCACGAGCGCAAAGAAGAACGGCACGTTCTCTATTCAGTACGGCGACGGCTCTACCGTATCCGGACCCATCTTCACCGACACGGGTGAGTGTTTGAACTTACAAGCCCGCGTGTGTCCTGGTTGACAGTGACGCCGCGACCTTGGACAGTTTCCGTCGCTGGGGTCTCGGCCACAAAGCAGCATTTCTCCCCGGTGACCACACTCTCAACCAGCTTCAACGACGACCCCATCGACGGCATCCTCGGGCTCGCCTTCCCCGCCCTCTCGAGCATGAACCAGGTGCGCCGCGCTCCCCGTGCCTCCCCTCCGCCGCTCTACAGCTCACGCCCGCCCGCCGCGTCCTCAGGACCCCTTCTTCTTCTCCGCCGTCGCCCAGCGCGCCGTCCGCGCGGGCGAGCTCGGCTTCAAGCTCGCCACGAACGGCTCCGAGCTCTACCTCGGCGGCACCAACCCCGCGCTCTTCTCCGGCGCGCTCGAGTACCACGGCGTCGACGCCTCGGCCGGCTTCTGGCAGATCGGCGCCGCGAGGGCGTTCGTCGGCGGCGCGGCCGCCGTCGCCGGCTTCGACACCGTCATCGACTCGGGCACGACGATCATGTACGGCCCCCCGGACGCGGTGAAGGCGTTCTACGGGGCCGTCCCGGGCGCGGGCGTGCACGACCGGGCGCAGGGGTTCTACCACTACCCGTGCGGGTCGCTGCCCAAGATCTCGTTCGCGTGGCACGGCGGCAAGAAGTGGGAGGTCACCGAGGAGAAGTGAGTGCTTTCGCTGCGACGCGACGCGGGAGACGCGGGTGCTGACGCGTGCGCTCCAGCTTCAACCTCGGCGAAACGAAGAGCGGCTCCGGCAAGTGCGTCGGGGCGCTCGCGGGGCAGGACATCGGTCTGGGGAGCTCGGTCTGGCTGCTCGGGGATTCGTTCATGAAAAACGTGTACACCGCGTTTTCTACCGACAAGAAGGCGGTCGGCTTCGCCGCGCTCGCTTAAGCGGCGTCGTGCACCCACTACTTGGCCTCTTGACGTGTAGTATTGATGGCGTATCGTAAGTCACGACCACTATAAAAGCTTTCAGCCATCGAGATCATAGAACGTGAGGCACGAGCACTGAGATAGTGCCAGCATGTCCATTTCCGAGGCCATGGTTCCAGGACTGCGAGGCGTCGGCAGTCTTGCTGCTGACCGCTGGGCATATATACTAGTGTCTCAGCTGTATCTGGCATGGACTACTGAGGCTAGTATAAGCACTATATTTAAGAACTCGCGGACCATCCATGACAATACATACAGTGTGAAGAATTCACGGACACGAAGTGGCCCAAGAGGTGCGATGCATCTGTCAAATTAGCCACATAAAAAGGTGGGGACATGTAGGACGGAGAACCTAAACCACATTTGCCCTCACAGCCCCGCTCTTCGTCCCATTCTCCCAACTCGATGCGAAGAGAGTTCCGCTGGATGATGTAGTGAGAGCAATAACGCATGCGCCTGCATGGTTCGTATACACGCGGAACAAGGCGTCCGGGAAAGCAATTATGCATTGATCGTATAACTATGGATACATCCCCCAGGTCCCCGTATACCTGCACGAAATGCTTTTATCCCTGGAAGGTGAGGGACGCGCCGACCTTGTGCGCAGCGACCTCCGACGAGACGTCGTTAATGCGCTGGGTGTCGAGCGCGAGACCGAACGACGCCTTAACGCCGGGACGGAGGCTCTGGGTGTAGCCTGAAGACACGGTGACGTGTCAAAGAGGGGGCACGCGCCAGAACAAAGACAGGTACACATACCGAGAGCAAGGATACCAGAGTTGTTGATCTTCGCCTTGACGTACGCGGCGGAGTCTAGGTAGACCTTGGTACCGACTTCGAGCGAGACGTTGCTCTTCGCACGGGTATCGTAGACGGCCTTCGCGCCGGCCTCGACGTCCTGGTTGACGCGGTGGTAGTAGCTCGCGGCAAACGTGCTGAGGTTGCTGAGGCCCTGGAGGGTGACAGCGTACTCGGGTGCGTGGTAGCCGGCGGCGGCGGCGTACTTGGTGATCTTGCCCTCAGTCACGTTATACGAAGCCTCAGCACCGAGGAGGAAACCATCACGGCCGACGACGGCGTCAGCGGTGAACGTCGGGCCCTGTGAGGAGAGTGCAGCAAATGAGCGCGCGAGCCACGGCATAGGTGAGGGAGACGCACCTTGAAGATGTCAAGGAAGGCACGGGTGTGGAAGCCGGGCTGCTTGTAGACGGTGGTGAAGAGGGCAGCCTTGGCACCGGTGTCGGGGGTGAGCTGGGTCAAGAGGTCGAGCTTGACACCCTTGGCGATCTGGTTGTCAACCTCGACCTGGGTCTTGAGGACATTGGCAGTGGTCCAGGTCTGGGTGAAGGTCAGGCCGTGGGGCTTGTTGATGAACTTGGCCTCAATGTCGCCGGAGATGAGCTGCGACTTGGTGTCCCGGCTGCCGCCAACCTTGAAGAAGACGTTGGAGGGCGTGACGGTCTTGACCTCGAGGGACGTGCCGCTGATCTGGAACTCCTTGCTGAGTAGGTCGTTGGACGACTTTCCAAGGTCCTGGACGCGTCGGCGCGGGTGAGTACGTGGGCGCGAGCGAGCAGAGGCGAACGGTGCAGACAGACCTTCCAGGAGGGGGGCACGGGCTGAGGGAGAGACATGGCGTGAGGAGGATGGCGTGAGGAGGAGGAGGATGGTGAGGAGGAGTGACGTTGCGCGAAAAGTTGGGGAGCGGTCCGCTTTAAGGCGCCGGAGCTTCCCGGAAGCCGCGCATGCGCGTGACGGCGTCGCGCCCACGTTCGCCCCGCGCGTCGTCGTCGTGTCCGCCTGCGCGCGCATCATCTGCCCGTCCCGTCGCTGCGTCCGCGTCGCGCGTTGCAAACTTGCACCCCACCGCGCGATATCTCACTCCATTGGCACCACTACCGCCCGCCGTCCGAAAAGGCCACGTGATGCAGCCACAAATACTCGCGCCCCGAAACTCCAGTCCGACGTCCCGCGCGCGCCGCACTCGCCCCCGTCCGCCCGCAGCAAACTCTCTCTCTCGCGCGTATCTCGCGCACCCTCTCTAAGCTTCTCCAACGCCCGCGAACCGCCGCGTGCCCATCGTCGTAGCCATCTTTGCCCGATAAGGCATGGTCGCCGCGTTCCGTGCAGCCCCCCGCTGTCCGCGTCTTCTCCAGACTCCGAAGCCTCGACCTCGCGCCAGAACCCTGGACTGCCCCCTCGTCCCGCCATTTAACCCTCCTCGAGCCTGCGCCCCCGTCTTCTCGTCCCGCCATCGTCCTCTCTCGACCCTCATCCACCTCGAAACCCCACGATCTTCTGCGCCAGCAATGCTCCGGTACATCTCAGCCGACGTAAGCACCTCCAGCGGCACCCAGTGCGCCGCCCCTCGCGCTCAGCCCCTCTCTCTCCCCGCATCCCCGCCCGCTGCCCCGACGCCCCCGCGCGATGCGTGCGCACGCAGGAGCTCGCCGCGATCATCAAGAGCGACAAGGTCCCGATGAAGGACTACCTCGTCATCGACGTGCGCGACGACGACAGGGACGGCGGGAACATCACCGGCTCGCACAGCGCGCCCTCCGCCCAGTTCTACGTCCGCGTCAACGACCTCGTCCAGAAGACCAAGGCCGTCCCCACCGTCGTCTTCCACTGCGCCCTCTCCCAAGTTAGGTCTGTTGCGCCCACCTCACTCCCGTCGCCCAAGCACCCCAGAGACTGACCGCGCTCCTTTGTCCTCAGGGGACCCCAGGCTGCGCGCGTATGTGCCACCACTCTGCCACACACTCACACTCACGTCTGACCACGGTGTGGGCTCTGCAGACCTACGCCGAGGCCCGAGATCAGCTCGAGGGCGACGGCGAGGACATCCCGCACCAGGTCCTCATCCTCCGCGGCGGCTTCTCCGACTTCCAGGCGAAGTTCAAGGACGACCCGAAGCTTGTCGAGAACTGGAAGAAGGAGGTCTGGGGCACGGAGTGGATTTGATCGTTTCCGACGGCCGACTGGCCTGCACAGCGTGTGTATTTTCAACAGCATTGTATCCATACGTGAGATCCCCGTAATATGTTCGCTCATCCACGGCTGCCTCTGCACCTCGTCCCTCGTCGTGCGAGAGCCATCCACGTAGTTAGATGTGAGGAAGTGTCTTGCTCGAACCTCTTGGGGGCGTGTGCAGCGCGTTGGATTGAAGGGAGATGAACGTACATACACCAGTATGTCCGCGAAGACCTCTGCCGTTGCAAACACCCTCATGCCGCCTTGGATGAGTCTCCAGTGGTGTCCTCGGGCTTGACAAAGCGCTTTGGAATGCCCTCAATCACGCGCTGGACCCGCTTGTGCTCCTCCATCATGTTCTGCTTGCAGATGGTGTACGTCCCGAGGGAGATGCACATGAACGTGCCGACCGCCCAGTTCGAGCCGACGAACGCGCCTGCAAGCATCGAGCACTCGCGTTAGTACACGGACGCAACGACACGCAAGCGGGGCGTCCGCTCAGGTGGCGAAAGCGAACGGACGAAGGGCGGACGAAGGGGGACACAGAGACGCGAAAAAAGACAACGCACCGCTCGTCATCCCGCGAACGAACCCGATCCCGACGCCGCTCGCGATCCCGCTGAGCAGGCTCTTGCGCGTGCACGGCATCTCGCCTATCCGGTCAAAGTCGCCGAAGGACAACCTCTTCCTTGAGGAGAGCGTGGGGGCGCGCGAGGTCAGCAGGCCCCGCACAGGTGTTCACAGGTAAAGACGCACCTTGAACGCTTCCTTTAGGTCGCTCCATGAGTTCCCTGTCGTCTCAGCCTGGTAGATGACACCCCCTGTGGATCCTGAGGGCGGAGGCGGTGAGGATGGTGTTGTGGAGGCATTAGGGGTTGGAGAAGACATGGTGGCAGAACGAACGAACGCATGCACGACCCCTTGGCGCTCATGTGTTTCTACTGGTAAAGCGCGAGTATGTACAACGTCATGGTTTGCAGTTGAAGACAGAACTTGAGGATCTAATTGATTTACAAGAGCAAACATACACTACCAAGAAACAGCAAACACATCAAGCCAACATACATAGGAGCCATTCATCAAACAAGCAAAGAAAATCCCATTCATCCATTAGACACTGTGAGCATCCAAACCGATTGGCAGGACACAAGACAGAATCTAAAAGAGAAGCGAGATCCCCCGACGACACAAGCCGGTAGTGCAGTGGCAAGGTCATCGCACCCCCGAGTTGCAAGCAGAGCTCGGAGGACAAGGGCGGCAAAAATTAGATAACCAAGAATGGAGGCGGTGCCTCCATAATAGTGGTTAAACTATTAAGAACAGATACTACACTTGATCTAAGCCAAAAGGCCAGAGTGGTAAGGAACATCGAACGCGCGGGCGCAGCTTATATACGGGCACCTGTGCGCACGGACCAAGCTGATGTTTGGACGACCGCGCGTCTGGTTTCAGCCAAGCGATGAGAGACGACACGCTGTTAGACTATACTGCTGGTAATACATCAATTGTATCGCATTAATGGGGTAGTGGTAACCTGGGTCGTTGCCATCGACCCGCCGGGGGTTCGATTCCCCCTTAATGCATATAACTGGTCCTTGTGGTGTTTTTTCCTCAAAAGCTTCTAATAAGCAGTGCACATGGTTTGTATGGCAACAGTAGTGTAGCTTGGTATTTACATTTTCCTCAAAGTGTAATGTATGGTGTCATGCCCGTGCACCTCTGCGTAACGAATTTCCGGGATGCATCGAAGCTTCCTCCAGCGTGCCCTGCTTCAGTCGCCTGCCTAAATCCTGGACACCCAGCACTCCTCCCCTCCCCTTCTGCCTTCGGTCGTCCTCGAACTTGCACTCGTCCTTGAGCACTGGGCTCTGCGGTAGTAGACGGTCTGTGTCAACCACGAATTCGACGAGCTCGTTCTGCAGAGGAAGATAACACGTACGTGAGGAGGGCGGCGCATGTACTCGTCGTTAATGTTGTGGTCCGTCGCCGGAGGGAGCGGAACGTCTGGTGCGCCTTTTTGAACGTTCAGTCCTCGTCCGTGACGTTCGTATGGCCGGAGCGATCTGAGCTGCGCGCGGTGGACGTGATAGAGTGATGGGCGTATCGAGTGGGTAGATGACACGATATATATGTGCGTGGTTCGTGAGGTGCACGGTGTCTACATGCGGCGATCGTTGCAGACTGCGCGTCATGTCAGGAAGTGCTAAACGCAGCTCTCCCAGAGGAAAGGGATGCCGTCAGCACTTGTTCCACCCAAAATATACGGTCGAGTGCTACCCCGTCTTCCACAAACCAACTCCGACACAATGCACCTTCGTCATCACATGGGACATAAAACCCAAGTTTGCCTTTGGCGAAATAGTGTAGAGGGGCGGTGATATGTACACAACGCGTGGAAGAGGCTGGCAACATCTGTTAAAGCGATGCTTGTGTTCAGCTCGCCGTACACAACGATCGAACACTTACCTACCGTCAGCCTCACGCAAGGCTGACACCGTCAACCCCGCCCTCCTCCCTACTCCTCCTCTCGTTCTCTTCATAGACCGCCCTCCCCACCTCCTCCAACCTCTCCAAATTCTCCGGCTGCCCAAACTCCAGCCGCCACGTCTCGTCGTCCCGCAGCTTGTGCCCGAGCGCCAGCTTGACCTGCGCAGTGTAGCCCGCCTCGCCCGCCCCGCGCGCAATCCGTTCCCGCCGCCGGTCCGCCTCCGACATCCCGCGCAGGACCGTCGCGGGCGGGCCCTGACGCATCTGCCGCGCGAGCCGCGCCGTCATCTCCCCGCGCCGCTCGCGCGCGCGCTGCGCGGTCTGGTTCCGCACGCGTTCGCGCCGCGCGCCGCGCACGAGCGCGACGAGCGCGGCGGGGACGCCGCTGTTCGTGCGTGCGTGGTCGCGCTCGAGGGCCGCAGAAAGCGCTACCCGGGCGGCGACGAGGGGGGCGCCTGAGTGGCGTGGGGAGGGGAGAATGGCGTGTGAGCGTGCGGACGGACGGGAGGTGGAAGGTGGGGACGCTTACACCAGTCGGACGCGTTTCCGTCGAAGCAGGGCTCGAAGGACGCGTTGTCGCCGCGGACCTCCTGGGCTAGCATCTTCTCAAACTCGGCTTCGGTCTTTAGGAGCCGCATCGTCTCCCCGTACGCCTCCGACTCGGCCATGCGGCGGGGGCGGGCCTTCAGACGTGAAACTATCATACCGGTGATGTGTATGGGTTGGGGAGACAGACGGGGGAGAGCGCGGTGTGCCAGGGTTGGTAGCATGAACCCTCCCGTAATGATAGGCTGAGGTTTTGCCTTCTCTCTGAGATGGGCCTGAATCGAATACAGGACGAGGGGAGGGGGATGGAACGTTCGGTGAATGGTTGCAGCTAGGTAGACACCAATGGGACATACCATTTCCGTGTCATATACCATGTCCACCCAGCGCTGCATATGTGCGCCCCCCAGCATGCGGCTGTACCGGTCGCAGACCTTCTGGTAATGGGCATCCCCAGCGTTTGCCTGCTTGAAGATATCCCACCACTGGGGGCCAACGTCGTTTGTCAGTCCCGTCAGCCGTCGCCAACAGTCTGGTAGCCTCTCGCACCTTGTGGGCTGTCCGAAGGCTGCGAAGAACCTCCCCTTGCGCTTTGACGTTCTTCCTGACGCGAAAGAACGCGCGCATGCGCGACCTGATCTTCACGAGCAGTTCACATGAGCTCATATGGAACACGGAAAGCATGGACGTACGGTTTCAGTGGGAGAGTCTCGTAGTATGCCTCTATACAGAGTCCATAGCGTCGGTATTCTGTGCGAGTCGTAGCGCGTGAGAGGATGCTTGAAGGGTGTCGGACGGAGTTGGGAGATTCTGACTGCAAGCTGGGCGCGGTGCGCAAGCGACTGAGCAGAGGGAAGGGGTATAGTCATTCGGGTTGCGAACTCCGTGGATGGGTATAGGAATCCAGCCTAGGACGGCATTGAAGGGGTGGCCGTGGAAGGGCAATGGTCTTCAATTTCGCCGTGATGGAGTGAGAAGGCAAGTAGGGAGAACAACAGGCGCCTTGGCCGTCGAGCTCATTGGAAACTTGCTAGGCATCACCGACGTACGAACTGAAATCCCAAGCACGGCATCGACGAGGCAGGAAGGTGTGTAATATGTGATTCTTGTCGTTCGTTCGTGGGCATGATATCATACAAGGTACATTCTAGCGTGAATAACTACAGCACAAGCGTCCAAAATCAATGCGCCATCGTCCTAACAGATCCTCGCTGTCCCTCATTTTCTTCTAGCAGCAGCACGCATATACCCGAGAGTATGAAGACGACAATACTCGTGTACACAGGGAACGAGTGGTCCATCGTGAGGAGCAAACCTCCAAGGATAGGTGCAATCATCCCTCCTCTGCATAGTGGCCCATGGTCAGTCATATCTCGGCGACATTGAGGAACATAAACTCACATTCGAGAGAGGGCAGAGGCGATACCACATGCAGTTCCTCGTACTGGTTGGGTATGTCAGGGTGGCCGGAACGTAGATGACAAAAGGAAGCGCACCTTTTGTCCCGAAGATTTCGGGAGTCCATCCATACAACACCGCCCACATCGCCTGTAGAGTGAGGCTTTCAGGAAAGCGCATGGCAGATGCAATGAGACCGAACCGCACCGTAGCACTCAAACTGATCCCCACGGTGCTGGCACGCACGAGCCATGGGTGCTCCACGACGACAAACATGGAGCAAAACAGCGCAGTGACGAAGGTGCTGCCCGCAAGAGACCACCGACGTCCCAAGCGCGAGTCGATCAACCACGCTCCGAGCTGTGTGTGTATTCATACTTCAGTACCATGCCTGCAGACGAAGGAGAGTGGCCACTCACTATCGCCCCGGGACACCCTCCCAGTGAATATATTACGACGTCCCAAAGACTATCCTCCAGCGACTTCGGCGTCGCGTCTGGGCTGTTCGACGATCCCCGTGTCTCGAGCAGCTTGGGGAGGAACACGTTGAACATCGTGTACGCGAGCGACATGCCACACCATGCAGTCCACACGAGCACCGTCGTCCGCAGCCACTCCGGCGCGAGCACCATTGCAACGCGGTCGATCCATGCGAGGAGCGGGCGGCGCATCCACGACGGCAGAGCCTTACAGATGGGCCCGGTCTTCGACTCGATGTAGGTCGACGCGGTGGACTGGCGTCGTGAGAGGGGGGACCTCGGCGGAAGGTGGAAGAGGGCTGGCGGCGCAAGCCCGCTTGGAAGTAGTCGTCGTGTTCTATTGTAGACGTGGGAGTTGAGACGAACGCAGGGGGTGGCAAGGGCTGAGGCAATGGGGTTCCGAACGAGTGCGAATCGAGGGCGACGTCAGGCGACCCTGTGGAGGAATATGTCGCACCGGAGACTGGAGTGGCGTCCCGCAATGCTTCGTCGTCTCTGGTCTCCACCGCCTTCAAAGCACCCGGTGGAGAGTGTAGGGGAGAGGCAAGGGTGGATTGTTCAGGCTGGGCGTGCACGACCGTGTCTTCGATGTCATCTAGATCGAGCTCAAGTTCAGAGCCATTGAACTTGGAGATCATCTGCAACGACTCGATCGCTTCTTGTGGGCGTCCGGCATGCACGAGGTACCGAGGTGACTCGTGAAGACGGAAGAATAGGATTCGTGCAATGAACATGCTCAGTGTCTGCACTTGCATGATCAACAATCCACCCTCCCCTCATCGATCGACGCGAGGGACTTACTACGAGCCCAAGCGCTATGAGAACATATTGCCAGCCGGTGTTTTGGGTATTGACATCGCAAGGTGCTGGTGCTGGAGGGCATGATCGACTGGGTATGAGGATGAGACTGATGACGGCCGCAAAAACCGCGCCGAAGGAGAAGAACACTGATAACGCGGTCACGAGGTACTGCTTGCCATTCGGCATGTGCTCCAGAAGGAGGGTGCCGTCAGTAGGCATAGAACCCTACAGCGCTGCGTAAGCAGGCGCGCTGAAAGGACGTAAGATTCGACTCACCCCAACCGCGCTGCCCAGGAGGAAGAGAGCAAAGCACAACCACGCAAACGTGCCGACGAATGACGCGAACACCCCGAACACTGACGTCAAGAAAAGCGTGGCGTTGAACGCGGCCGTGCGTCCCATGAGATCGGAACCTGGGAAGCTGTGTGGGCAAGCGAGACATGGAAGGAGTGGGAGGACGTACAGGTTCCCCAGCCTACTGCCCCAAACATCATACCAGCGAACATGGCTGCAGATAGCGTTCCAACATAACTGTCCCCCACTGAGGAGGCACAGGGGTCAGCATGGTGTACAAATGCACGAGCATGAGTTCAGTACTTGGCAACGCATTTGCGACGCGAAATGCAGGATGGGTGTGAGGCTAAAGATAAACGAAAACTTACCAGAGAAGTGCCGCTGAACGCGGGGGAGAATGATGGCTACTGCTTGTATCCACATCTGCTTGAATGGTCAAGTAGGCGGTTCAGACGAGCCTGGGGTACGCACATTGTCCGCCATCCAGCCTGAGGTGCATGCATGAGCACATGTTCGGCTTAAACGGCAGGAAAACTCACCGAATCCACAGAGGCACAAGAGCGTCCATTGGTAGGAGCCTGGCACTAATGAACCCTGGAGTAACATCGCACGGCTGAGCAGACTCACCCATGCCAATGCGATCTATGGTCCTATCCAACGCGGTCCTCCCATCTCCAGGCTCCGCGAAGGCCTCAATATCGACGTCTTCACTGTCTTCATCAGGCACGGAGACGTAGCTCATGCGGGACGAGGTGGACCAGAGCCCAGAGGCGCGAGGGTTGACAGAGGACATCACTGCTACAATACTTGTCTTATCCTAATCCAGGGCCATGGATTGCTGACAACTGCTGACAGAGAGGGTACCAAATGGAGTTGGCGGGAATCACCGAGGCTGATGAAGACTGGCCGGCTGCTGGACGCAAGCCAGGGCAGGGAGACAGAGCAGAGGGGGTTGGAAACGAGTGGCTGAGCGGCGGCAGCGGCGAAACGCGTCTAAGCACGGCCCGCATACTCGGGAATCGGGAGCTTCTATCTGGGGTTGTAACTTGGACGCACGCGCGCGACAAGCATACACGCCCCGGGGCGACCATCTTTCTAGTGCCACATTAAAGCCGAGAGAAAGACAAGTGAGGTTTTCTCTCGCCCATAGAAACCCATAGAAATACTTTTTCTGGCTGCACGTGGATTTTAAACCTTATAAACGGCTCCCAGAAAAGCTCCCAGAAAAATGGTGGCCCTGGCGTGATATCGCGTCGCGAGTCCCGATTGCATTCGTCCATATCAATCATATTCGGCCTTGCGAACCGTGCCTACTATCAAGTAATTGTACATAGCGAAGTGGGTGGCATTTGCTCAAGATATTGACCTCCGTCATAACCTAGTTTTCGATCGTGAAAATCCCGGTCCGACCGTCGGGCTATGGACCCAGTTAGCGTCTCACACGGAATATGGAACATGGAAAACTGAGAATCCTTACTCGCGTTGTGTGACAAGCTGTTGGTCCATCAAACTCATGACCGAATATGTTCGCCGGTGTACTTCTGCACATCTCATCCCAGTCGTCTCCGTGGCGTAAGTTCATCAAATTGGCGGAGTAACGCTGTTGAAGCGGAATCAGTAAACCGACTTGAAGACCGAGGGGTACAACGATACTCGACGCACCTTCCTTCCAGGTTGACCGGGCTCCGAGCCCTATGCATTCACGTAGTCAGTGATGCTGGATCAGATAGGCAGTCGGACCACAGCTAACCAAATACGCAAAACCGTCCCAATAAGTTCTACACTCGGGTTCGTCGGAGATGTACCATGTGGCCCATACGGCACCGAAGCGCTGTTGGGGGTTTAGCCAACTCTTGAGGAGTGCTGAGAATAGCAAGAAAACTCACTCCACGCTCGCAGGAATTCGGTCCTCTTATCCACCGTCCATGGAACTGCGTCGACATGTCCATGCACAGTTCATACCAACCTATATCTGCGGGCAGATCCCCCGGGATGTCGAGTAGACGTGCGGTGTATGCGCGAGTCCCATACGTCCTGCACTTGCCGTCCACGTACTGTAGTTCGGTGAAATGCGCACCCCGAGCCTTCATCTCCACATCCTTGCGCCTGGACTCCCACAGCAACTCCTCTTGAGCCCAAGCATCCTTCTGCCGCTCTTGCTCTTGCGCCCATCTCTCCTTCTCCTGCTTCATCTTGTTCTCCCACTGGACTCTTTCGTGCTCCTTCTCGTGCTCCCACTCTTCCTTCTCCCGCCTCTTCTCGTGCTCCCATCCCGCTCTCTCCCGAGCCTTCTCGCCCTCCCACCTCGTCCTCTCCTGCTCCCTCTCGCTCTCCCACCGCGCTCGCTCGCCCTCCCACCTCACCTTCTCCCTCTCCCATCCATCGCGCGTCTCGTCCCACCACGTGCGCTCCTCCGCCCACTGTGCGCGCTGCTTCGCCCACAGCCCGCGCTCCTCGACCCACTCTGCGCGCTTGCGCCCCTGCGCGAGCTCCTCCTCCAGCCACGTCGCGCGCCGCGCGCCGCGGTCCGTCCAAGACACGCGATCGGCGGCGGTGTCGAGGACGCCGAGGTTCTGGAGCACGAAGGCAAGGAGCACGACGACGAGCGCGGCCGCGTACCAGTGGCGGGCGCGGGACGCCTTCGACCTGGCGCTGGCGGCGGTCGGGTGGAGAGGGGTGCGTTCGTCGACGACGGGTGCTGGAGAGGCGGGCGCGGGGGGGTGGGGGATGGAAGGGGCCGGCGAAGGAGCTTCGTAGATTCTCGTGTATGGCGGGGGAATTGGGGATCTGGCGTTCACGTTCATCGCTGAGATCGCGGACGCGTGCGACGGCGGGCCGTGTACTGGCGGGCGACTGAAGTTGAGCACTGTATGAGGAGACAATGTAGTAGGAGACTTACCTCGGGGCATATGAACAGGAGACAAGTCGAAGTGGCAGAGCGATAGGAAGAGGGAGGGCTCCCAGATAGAGAGGAGGAGTTACGTACCAAGCTACCGCAGCTACAAGGTTTGCGAAGCAGAGATATTGAAGGGGCACAGTGTCAACGGTCAAAAAGATAAGCGGTAAGCAGGGGTTCAACGACGCTGGGGGCACCAGACCAACGATGGTTTTGAATACAGTACATAAGTACTGCGAGATACATGGGTGTGCAGGGATCGCCTTATGCGTGCACGGTTCAACTATATCGTGCAAGGTCGGGCGTCTTCCAAGAGCATGTGGTTACCATACCCGCTTACGCAGCATCGCGTGCCGACCTGTACGAGGGGGGCCCGGTACATAGTGGTGGTCTCGGCTCCAGACGTTCTACAAGCACTCCCAACGTGCGCCCACCCCAACGCAGTAGCTATATAATAGAGCGTGGAGGGTGGACCAAATTGAACGAAAGCGGCTGGAGGAGGGCACACCAAATCGGGTGTGAATGAGAACCGCACAAAAGCTGAATTTCTCACGGGTAGGCGCGCGTTGGGAGTCGTTCAATGAGACTGCGCAGCTCTGGCACCTGTCCCCGACGGTCGGAGCTGACGGACTCCGGAGGTGGCCCCGAGATGTCGCGCGGAGGGCGGCCCGAGCCTGTTGATCAAACATGCACCCGCGCTGTTTTGCACCGGGTGCCACGGAGAGCTACTAGTCGTGCAGGTATGTCTTCAATCCCCGAGGGACCGTCACACGCAGCACGTTTACGAGCATATGCGCAGCAGCTTGAAAGGCGATGAGACCCGCAGCGACGGTGCTACGGGCGCCGTCATCTCGGAACCGGCTCCAGGTCGCTGACTCTCTCATGTCGTGCCACCGGCCGGGAGACCCGCGTCTGTTCTAGGATCGACTATCCTATAAAGTTCCGCTCCCGACGTCATGGCATACTCAGTCTCGTCCACCCATCACCTTCACAATGCCGCCCTCTCCATTTAGTCTTGTAGCGCTCGCAGTGGGGGCATGGGCTCTCTACAAAATATACGTCAAATTCATCATGCCCCGTCCGGAGGACATCATTCCCGCACCACCGCTTCATGCCTGGTTCCTGGGTGAGTGAAGTGCACCGCATTGCTTCCAAAGCTCACGTCGCTCTCCTCAGGACACCTTCCGATGGTTATGGGCCGCCAGGGCTGGAAACAATGGAGTGCTTGGGCCGATGAATATGGCACTACCTTCAGACTCAAGTTCCCCGTCGAGGTAGCTATCTGCCAGGTTTCATGTCACGCATGCTTTGAAACTGATCAGGTTAAATCCGTAGAGGCGCGTGGTGGTTACTCACGACCCCAAGGTACTGCATCATGTCTTGGTCAAGGACAGCGACAACTTTCCCAAACATATCTCGCCATCTGAGTACGTTGAATGGTCTCTGTTGGCTATGAAACTGACCAGATGCTCTAGTGACCTTAAACTTCTCCTCGGCCCAGGAGTGCTCACTACCGTGGGGCACCAACACAAACGGCAAAGGAAGCTTCTCACCCCAGTATTCGCCGCTTCGCATCTTCGAAACATGGCAAACATATTCTACAATGTCGCCCACAGGGTTTGCGCATCAGTATTATTCCCATGCGAGCACGGTTACTAAGCGCTTCGACAGGTGGTCGAAGCTATGGAGAAACGGATTCCCACTCACGAGACTGCGGAAGACCTGGATGTCAACGGTTGGATGGCGCGCACGACTCTTGAAATGCTCGGTCAGGCCGGCCTAGGGTACTCCTTCGACAACTTCCTAGACGACTCGACGGACGAGTACGGACAGTCACTGAAGATGTTCTTGTAAGGCTCTCCTCAACTTTGCTTGGGCCGTACTGAAGTTTAATAACAGCCCAACGCTTAACTCTGCCGTGTTCATACAGATTGTGGCCCCGATCATGTCAGAATATATCCCTGATTGGCTCAGCTGCGCCTTATGGCGCATATTCCCGAATAAGAGCATCAACCGCATGATGCACATTCGGGACACGATGTACCGTCGCTCCAAAGAGATTATTTCGGAGAAGAAATTGGCACTCGAGAGAGGCGACCAGGCGCTCGCTCATGAGGTCGGCGAGGGCAAGGACATCATGAGCATTTGCCGTGAGCGATGATTTCGCTTCTTCCCCTCCATCGACTGACTCTGTCCTACGATCCAGTGAAGGCCAACATGTCCGCGGCGGACCACGACAAGATGGACGATGAGGAGATTATTGCCCAAATGTCGTACGTGTTTCACTGCATCGTGAAGTTTGGCGGCAGTCTCTGAGTCATCATCTGCTTGGCAGTACGTTCATTCTCGCCGGAATGGACACGACTTCGAACGCGCTCTCACGCATCCTGTTGCTCCTCGCGGAACACCCGGATGCTCAGGAGAAACTGCGCGCTGAGATACTCGAGGCGCAGGGGGTAGACCGCTCGGACATCTCGTACGAAGACCTCATAAAACTTCCCTACCTCGACGCAGTCTGCCGCGAGACGCTCCGCCTCTACGCCCCCGTTCCGATCACCGGCCGCATGTGCGAACTTCCCACTACTGCTGCTCATTCTCCAGCTGACCGTCGGAGTGCTCAGGGTTGCCAAAGACACCGCTATCCCGCTCTCGCAGCCGATGAGGGGTGTTGACGGCCGCGAGATCAACGAAATCGTGCTCAAGCGTGATTCCGTTGTCATCACGTATCTCCAGGGCAGCAACGTCAACAAGGAACTCTGGGGAGAAGACGCGCTGGAGTGGAAACCAGAACGGTGGCTAAGCCCTCTCCCAGGTGCCGTTGACGAAGCGCGAATCCCTGGGGTGTATGCGCACCTGTAAGTACTAATCCACGGGCCATGTTTATTCGCGCATTCACTGATGTTCTAATGAACAGAATGACGTTCTCTGCCGGATCTACATCGTGCATGTGAGTCTATGCGTCAAGGTCTCTCGTGCTCTCTTCTGAGCCGTTGCCATCTGCAGAGGATTCAAGTTCTCCCAAGTTGAGATGAGTGCGTTCATCTTCTGATATTTATCGCCAAATTTTGGTTGCTAACGTCGTTTCCGGTTCAGAGGTTGTGTTGTCCACCCTTCTCCCCGCATTCTCGTTTGCGCCAACGGACAAGGAGGTGGTGTGGAACTCGTCCGCGGTGCTTTATCCTACGATGGGCTATGAGAAAGAGTTGCCGGAAATGCGTCTCATGGTAAAGATCATCAAGGACTAATCGAACGCAGTGGAATACTCTCACAGTATTAAGGGTCGCTAGGTCTGGATGGAATGGGGGGCTGTAGCGATACTGCTAGCCTTGACGCATCTCAATGTATACTGGTATCCATGCTACACGCGATATGAATCAATGTATGGAACGAACTATGTTACAATACACGCCGTGTAGAGTGACGAGCAGAGATTCATGGTCAAGAGACTATGTAGAGGAACGACGTCTGCGAGCCTACCCATCAGTCACCGCTCTCCAGCACGGACTACCTGGCCAACAGGCGGGGGGAAGTATCCAGATGGCCGCGAAGACGAGGCGACGACGGCCGCATACGACTTCCTCACTGGCGGAGTAATAGAGATGTACGCGACTGCCTCCTCCACAGCGCCCTGACGGACAGAAGCGTCCTCGACGGCAACCGGGCTCCACGATCCCTCGGTTCCATCTTCATCTTCGACATCCGCCTCGCAGCCAGACTCCGGAGAGAGCGCGGATCCATCGACTTTGCCGACCTCGACGACGAACCCGCCCGAGGGATCGTGCCGAGCGGACACCGACTTGTACGGGAGGTCTGTCTTCACCGGGTGAGGGAGGAAGCGGACGCGCCGGCTGAGGCGCGACGGCGTGCAGGTCGACCTGATCTCGTCTCGGTCCGCCGTGTCGTCGTTGATGAAAACGCGGCGCATCGACTGTGTGAGGTGGGTCGCGAAGGCCGGGTGGAGAATGGACGGAATGTCGGAGGCGCCGGTGGCTGATGACGACTGGCTTCCTCCCTGGGAGAGAGTGGGCGAGCTGGAGGGGTAGTATGGGCTGCTCGGCGACAGGTCGGCGGTGAAGACACGCTGCCACCGCGCGGTGTGGTAGCCGTCCCAAGGCCGACCTTGAGAGTCGTCTGACCACATAGGGTCGATGGGGTAGAAGGCCCCGCGTGCAGGCTAGACGATCTAATGAGCTAAGTCCTTGATCTGATAGGCCATGAATTCTTACAAAGGGCTGCAGGGTAGGTTGGCTGGCGGAAACTCCGGGAAGTCGCCAGCCCTCGCCGCCGTGGGGTTTGGGCCCGACTGCCAGTCGTGTGGATGTCGAGGTTTTGGCCGGGCGAGAGATGACGGGAGAGAATGTCATGTTCGTAGCAGCGGAGGACGATTGCAGAGACAGAAGGGGAAGAAGCAGCTGGAGGATGGGGTTACCATGAGATCTGGGTTTTTATGAGGCCCATGTGAGGTGGCAAATCGCATACCTTGCTTTGTGTTATAGCTGTCCATCGAAGATGTGTGGACAAAGACACTCCGCTCTACAAAGGTCTGTTATCAGATCCTCGATGTCCAGAATAGTGGCCGATTTGCCGTGCGGACAGGGCGGAGAGCTTCTCGGAGGGCAGCCCCACACAACTCGGGCCTTCACATCGCAGTCGTACGCGGCTGGAAGTACTAGTTCGCACCTGCGCACCATTAGCACCAGGAAGAGGCCGGCGGCTGGCGTACGGACAGACCACAACCGGTCTACCGGACAGAGCACGCAGAGAAGGCATCGAGCCAATCTCTCCAGCAAAAACCAGTATCTCGGAAGAGAGAACCAAAATAAATATATTGTCGTACCTAAGAACGCCCTGAACATCGCGGTGCTCGCAAACGTCTTCGACTGAACTCGCCCGTTGCATTATGAAGGATTGCTCGATATGTTCGACCAGCTGCCCGTGGACTCCGCCGACTCCGTCCTGCTCATCGGCTCAGACCCCGCATCGGCCTGAGACCCTCTGCGCCAGGTGCCCGTCCGCTTCGCCTTGCTGCGCTGTGAAGCTGTCCCAGACGAGCCTGACCTGGGCCCCGAGCCCAACGAGTCTATCGCCAAACAACGGAGCCCTCAGCTTCCCGGAAGCAGACGAAGAAGACCAGACGTACCTCCGCTCGCCTCGAGCAGCGACGACGTCCGGGACACCGTCCCTGCGCTCCCGCCCGTCCCGAACGCCGCACGCTCGAGGTCCCGCTTGAACGTGCTCGAGCCTGCGCGCGAGGATCTCCGTCAGCCTCCGTCGCACCGTGCAAGTTTGTCGTCTCTCGTTCTCGCTGTAACCCATGTCCAAGTTCCGCGTCTCCAACTGCCCACCTCCACCCCCTCTCCCTCTCGCAAAACCCACCGAACACACAGCACCAGAACACTCACCGAACCCCCCACCCCCCTGCGCCCGCCGCGCCGTCGCCGCTGCCTCCTGCCGCGCCAGCATCGCCTCGAGTCGTGCGTTCACGTCCGCGTCGCGCGCGTCCTGCTCCGCCGCACGCGCGAGCGCCGCCGCGTGCCGCTCCGCCGCGCGGTCCCGCGCGGTCGCGACGCCGTCGCCGACCTCCTGGATCGCGGCGGTGAGGCGGGAGATCTGGCCGATGAGCGACACGGCCGACGCAGAGGTCGACGCGGACGCCGGAGACAGTGGAGACACGGGGGCAGCAGTGAGACGGGGGCTTGGGGCAGGAAGAGCCGGTCCGGCAGCACCGCTGTTTGTCGCCGTGAGGTCGAGAGACGCGGTGGGGGGTTTGGGAGGATCCGGGGGTGGTGTGTTGGAACCGCCGTCGTCGGTGGGGTCAGCCGATGGGGACGAAAGTGTCAGGTAGGTCACCACCGACGAGCGATCGGAGGCTGCGGGGTTGTGGGCAGCTTGAGACATCTGTGGTTAGTGGGCGAGTGAAACGGCCCTTGACACGGTACGAAGTCAACGAAGAGGAAAGGTGGCGGTAGAGAAACAGTGTTGAGCGCTTGGGCGCCCTACGGACCGCGCTCCTTCCAACCAATGTTGCAAAAACATCAAATGACCATGGCACAAGGACAGAACGGAGGGGTGGATGCCACAGGTGGGATGATTTGCATTGGAGCTACTCCGCTAACATACACGTTGGTCGTGGCCCTCTCCGACCTAACACGGTGCCAATTTCCTCTTCCTATGAAACCCACGGGTACCATCGCGCCATCTCCCACCGCTATCCTCGACACCGTGGCGGACGGATCTGCCCATCGAATAACAGTCAGTGCGTTGCATGCTAGTCAAGGTTGAGTGAAAACGCACCTGCTACCCTCCATACGACGATCCGAAATCGTAGCGAGCCCACGAAGAGCTCCAGGGGAGGAAAAAATTGCCGAAAAGGCCAACAGCACCAGAGTAGTCTGAATCGAGTTTCGCGGACGGAGGAGGGGCACGAAGCCGTCCACTGCCCTAACGCGAGCCGCGAAGTGCACTAAAGGACGCGGCCGCCCGCGCCGCTCCGGACCCCCAGCGCGAAGCTGGAGGCAGAGGCGGGCAGGTGGGGTGCGCCCGGTCCCCGCGCCGTTTCCCAAAGCCCGCTCGCCGCCCCTCGACGCCTAGGGGCGTGTCTCCGGGGCCCGCACGAGGCGGGGGGTGCAAGCACCCCTCGGTGGGCTGGATTTCTGGTGCGGCGCTCGGTTTGTTAAAACCGGACCCAGCTAGAGTCGATCGAAGGGGGGACTGGAACGCTCAGACCTTAGCCCGCTCACGAGCGCGGACGCTCCCCTGGCCCTGGGGAGCGTCCTGTGTGGGGTGAGCCTCGCGGCTTTGGTGCTGTCGGTGGAGGAAAGAAGGAGAGCGTGGGCGATGGAATTTTGACTCGGGAGGAGGCACGTGACCGTGGACACGTTGATCAGGACAGGGGCGCGGTTGGCCGCCCGACGTGGCCGAGACTCAGACTCCGCTTCTGCTTCTCCAACGTGCCCAGGCCACCGACATCTCAGCGACATGCAAGTCTACGCACACCGTTGCGGCGGAACCGTGTGAGCAGGGTGTGGGCAAAAGCCTGGACAATCTCACGAGCCGCCACGGATAGTCCGTTTCGCTTAGGGCGTTGTCTAGCAGCGTCCACAAACAACGCTGATGGACATGCATCTGGCGGGCACTCGCCCTGATTGGGTCCTGCCGCCGCATAGCCGGGGCCGTGGCAATGGCCAGGGCAGTTCGGCCACAGAATGAGTTCGGCGCTGGCAACCGCCCCTGCGCAATCCCACTGCCAGACTTCGCCGCGATGGCCCGGCACGACGCAGCGCAGGAGAAGGATCGAACAGGGCAGGATGGGAACCGTGAGCGGCCACCAAATTCGACCGGACTGGCGCTGGCGATCGCGGCGCGTCCTGACGTCAACTTGTTGGTGGAAGGATCCGGAAGCCTGATCATCGTCCTTGCTCGTCCTTCGCGCCGACGCGCCCGGCAGGAGCAGAGGACGCGTCGATATATACCCACCCTCCCCGCCCTGTCCACCTCGCAACCCCCGCACCCGCCATGGCTGCTCTCCTCCGCCCCGTGCTCAACGCCTCCGACGCCTTCCTCAAGCACCCCCTCTGCGCCCTCGCTGAAACGGCCGCCACCACGTACGTGCGCCCTTCTTTCTGCCCGCGACATGGGCCAACGCGTTTCCAGCCTCTTCAAGGCCATAGCCCATGGCGCGCTCATCATCCACACCCCCCAACACACCTACCACTTCGGCCAACCTCTCACTCCGCACGCGTCCCTCGCGCACCCGCCCAGGGCCCCCGTCGCCGAGCTCACCGTGCGCAGCCCCAATTTCTGGCTCCGGTTATGTGCCATGGGCGACCTCGGCTTCTCGGAAGCATACATGTACGGCGAGGTAGAGTGCAACGATCTCATTAACCTCTTCATGGTGCGTGCCCGCGATCCCCACCCCCGCTTCCCCGTCTCCATTCCCGCGCTCGCGTCCCCTCTGTCCCCGCTCTGATTACCCCGCGCGCAGGTCTTCCTGGCCAACCAAGAGCAGCTAGGCACCCTCGAAAACTCGCTCTTGACGCGCCTCGGCGCGTACATTCCCCAGCTTGGGCTCACCGCGAACATCGTCAACACGCTCACGAATGCGCGCAAAAACATCAGCGCGCACTACGACATCAGCAACGCCATGTTCATGGGTCCGTCTCTTCGCGCCACGCCTACGCGCACGCGGACACATGACCGGAGGACTCACGCGCTTCACCCCACCAGGTTTCCTTTCCAAGGACATGACGTACTCGTGCGCGATCTTCCCAGAGCTCGATTCCGACCTCCGCGATCCCTCCCCGTCGTCGTCTGCGTCTGCGTCGCTCTCGGCCGCGACGTCGTCTTCTGGCTCCCCACGCAGTAGCCCCCGCGCGCTCCACACTGGTACCTCGACGCCGTCGACGCTCGCGGACCCCGAGGGCGGCGTGGGCGATACGCTCAAGGAGCTCCAAGGCAGCGCACTACGGCTCTTCCACCTCGACGGCGCGGCCCACCTCCACCACCACCGTCCTCATACACCGTTCTCCGCAGAGGGCGAAGACGCGCTCGAGGACGCGCAGATGCGCAAGCTGCGGCACATCATCCGCAAGGCGGACATCCGTCCCGGGCACCGGGTGCGTACCCTCATCGCATATGCACACGCGCGCGCTCCGTGTCCTCACTCACGCACGCGCGTCCGAACAGGTCCTCGAGATCGGCTCCGGCTGGGGCTCGATGTCAATCCTCATCACGTCCTCGATCCCGGGCACGACCGTCGACACGCTCACGCTCTCGACGCAGCAGGCGGAGCTCGCGCGCGCGCGCGCCGCCGCCGCGGGGCTCGCGGACCGCGTGCGCGTGCACCTGCTCGACTACCGCGCGATGCCCGCCGCGTGGGCGGGCGCGTTCGACCGCGTGGTGAGCGTCGAGATGATCGAGGCCGTCGGGCAGGAGTACTTCGAGACGTACTGGGCCAAGATCGACTGGGCGCTCAAGCCGGACACCGGCGTCGGGGTCGTGCAGGGAATCACGATCCCGGAGGCGAGTGAGTACAGACGCTTGTTATGGATGGAACGCGAAGAGGGCTGACCTGGGTTGGTGCTAGGGTTTGAGAAGTACATGCGCGACTTGGACTTCATCCGGAAATGGGTGCGCTCTGTCTCCGTCTTTCCAGTAAACGCAACTGCTGATCGTGTTGTCCGCCGCGACCTGTTCACGACACGGTGGTGTATGGCCTCAGAGTGCGTGTCTCTTCCTCTGCAGAATCACACCCGTGCGCTGACGGACCGCCGCACACGCAGTCTTTCCCGGAGGCTTCCTCCCCACACTCACCTTCATGCTCGACACGCTTGCCAAGGGTTCCAAAGGCCGCCTCGTCGTCGACGCGGTCGAGAACATCGGCCCGCACTACGCGCGCACGCTCCGCGAGTGGCGGCGGCGGTTCGAGGCGCGGTTCGAGGAGGCCATCGTCCCCGGTGAGTCTCCCTTCGTTTCCTCAGCCTTGGTTTGCTTGAGACGCTGACTAAATGAGCGGAACAGCACTCCGGAAAGAGTACCCGGCGGTCATGGGTGCCGACGACGCAACGGCGCGGGAGCAGATCGAGGTGTTCCGGCGCAAGTGGATATACTACTAGTGCGCCCCGCGGTCTCCCCAGTCTGTGTGTGCTTTCGCTCACTCGTCCGCGCAGCTGCTATTGCGAGATCGGGTTCACGACGCGCAAACTTGGCGACCACATCGTCACGTTCACGCGAGAAGGAAATGCGGGGTACGGCTGTCATGTGTCCGAGTAGGCCGTTTTCATTCTTGCTGGCTGGGGTCTGGGTTGCGTGTCTATTTGGGGACAATATTGGATGACGGTCCGTAAGCCAGACCGCTCTTACTAGACCCGTAAATGCAATTCCGGAGCTTTAAGCGAGGCTAAGCGACGAGAGGGATCTCTGGCGTCAAGCCAGCGTCAACGGAATGCCTCCACCGCGCGGAGACCTTAGCCAGACCCCATGGAGGTCCGTTGAGGCCCAGTCGTCGATTTGTCAGCGCCAATAATGGTCCACATCACTACCTCCCGTCCAAAACAGGCCTTCAGGAGACCTCTACAGCTTTTCGGGAGGCTTGTTTGCTCTGCGAGGGGGGTGCCGACCCCTCCACAGACTTTTGGGCGCTTGTTATTCCAGCAGCCACACTGAGATCCTCGGGTATCACTTTCTCGTCGGCATCTCGGCGGAACTGCCCTTTCGAGCGGTCTAGAAAACTACGGAGCGTCCGTAGTTCCGTATTTCCTTACGGAAAGTCACCCATTGCTGCACTACACTACCGCGCATGTAAACATTGTAGACGCTCCGGCAGTATGTACAAAGGAGATGCTCGACACTCGTTGACAGTGCAGACAGAAGATGAAATCACCGCCGGATCATCCACAGCGCCATTCATTTACGTACCGTGCACCGTCTCCGAGCAAGGCCGTGCCTTGTGCGGATTCGACCCAACCAGGGCACAACCGCAGCGATTCCCCGTCGTCTTCCCAGTTCCTCCGTCCAACGAGGCAGGCCGCGGGGCGCACCCCGGCCGGTCTTCATCCGCCCAATCGCATCCGACCCTCCGCGCCACACGGACTCACGCCCCACCGCCCCGCTCCCGTCCAGGTCCCCGCTCACGCTCGCCCCCGCACTCCCCGCGCGGCTGCTCCCGCCCAGCCGCCGCGAGGCGCGCGCGAGCTCGGCCGCGAGCACCGCCTGCGCGCGTCCCATCTCCGCCGACGCGGCCACGAGCTCGTCCGGGCTGAGCGCGTCGTCGTGATCTTCGCCGCTGCCATCGCCGTCGTCGCGGGCGAACGCGGCGCAGGCGGCGCGCAGGGCCTCGAGGCGCGCGAGGCGCGAGCGCGCCATCGGGGGCTCGGAGTGGGGCTGGCGGCGGGCCGGGGTTGGGGTGGGGGTCGAGGTCGAGGCGGACGGGCGCGAGGAGGCGGAGAGGTCGGCGGGCGCGGTGCGCGTGCGTGTCGGGCCGAGGCGCGGGGCAGTGACAGTGACAGTGGTAGCGGCCGGAGGAGGAGGCAGGGGGTGGCGGTCTGTGAAGCTTCTGTGCGGTTGCGACTCGGAAGCGTTGGGAGGCGGAGAAGCGGAGGCGGGGCGGGGCACGCTGGGAGTGGGCTCGAGTTTGGGGTCCAGGTCCGAGTCCGGGTCCAACATGGTCACGTCGTAGGTGTTGAGGGGCAGGCTGAGGGAGCGTTCGTGCTCTTGTACGAGGCTGGTGAGCAAACGGGCTTCGTCGTCGTGGTCGTCCGCCTCTTCCGGTTGGCTGTCGGGGATGACCTCATCCACCGCGGCTTCGTCTTTGTCTGCGTCCCTTGTTGCGAGGAGGCGGCTGTTTTCAAAGATGTTTGCATTGTTTTCTTCTTCCTCTCCCTCGTCGTGATCTGGATCCTCGTCTTCGCTCGGATGCATCGGCACTTCCCATGCGTCGTAGTCGTCCGAAGGGGGTACAAAGGCTCTAGCGTGCGTGCGGGTGACGACGCCGAGCGAAGGTGCTTCAGGGCTTGTCCGTAAACCTGCTGAGCGCCGTCCTTCCGCGCGGGGTCTCGGAGTCGACGCAGTGCTAGCAGACGGCGTCCGGCTGCCCCCGCGCGAGCGCGCCGGGATCTCCACGCCGTCGAAAAGCCACCTCGCGCCCGTCGGCGAACGGCCGCGCGAGGCGCCTCTGCCCCGCCCCGACCTCGGGGAAGAAAGAGCGGGCGACCCGGACGTAAGCTTCGTCCGTTTGAGCGGCCGCTCCGGCGTCGTATGCGGGCGCTCGTGCGCGACACGGTGAGCGCTTGAGCGCGAGGCTCTTGGGGGGCCGGCCATCGACCTGGTGGACGCGCTGACAGACGCTGACGTGGCCGTGTCCCGCCGCTTCCGAGCGGCGTCCGATGAGATCCCGACGGTGCTCGTGGGGCTAGTGCGCAGGCCAGAAAGGTGGTCTTCGGGACGCTGCGCGGGGGTGTACGACGGCGGGCTGTACGTTGGCGCGGAGATGGTGGGAGGAGGACGGGAGGGCCGCGAGGCCGCGTCGGGACGCTGCGCGCTCGGGGGCAGTGCTGTGGTGGGGATGACGGAGATCTCGCGCGAGGTCTGTGTGGGCAATGGGGAGGAGGTCAGTAGAAGGTTGGAGGGCGGGCGAGCGGCGGGCACGTACTGTGGGAGGTGAGAGGTCCGCTGGACCCTGCGATGTGGCGGAAGTGGAGGTTCCCGAGGGCCCATTGGCGTCGTGATAAGCCTTGAGCACCGTTTTGACCTCGTCCGGATATGCGCCGGCGAAGTGGGCTACAGACGGCTGAATATGCTCCCAAAAGTGGAAAAAGGCTTCGGGTCCGAGGGCCTGTTCAGGTATGCGTACAAATACAGAGCAGAGAAAAGGTGCCAGGGCGTGAAGGGTATCTTCGGACATGGGTATATCGCGCAGCGCGATGAGCGCGTCGTAGTATAAAGTGGTTACCTGTATTGTGAGCGGTCAGAGAGGAGGCAAGTGATTGACAGGTCGCGGATACGTACAATTTCGTTGTGCTCTTGTTCGAGCAGCAAGCCGTGTTCATCGCGGATCCATGTAGAGAGGCCCTCCACCATGGATGTTAAGAGTAAATAGGCAGCGCTTGGAGAGGAGGCTTGCAATATACACCGAATATTACCGAAAACCTGGGTGGCCTCCGGTACACTGACCGTGCCTCCCGCGTACAGGTCACACAGGGCGGTGTTCACGGCGCGCAAAAAAGGTGATGGCTTGGCGAGTTCATTTGAGAGCGTCGCCCGTGGAAGAAGACGCAAGAGCGTTGAAGAGCTTCCGAACAGACTGCGAGTCGGGGTCATTAGTACGAGCGCTGTGTGTGAAGCACAGTACGTACCTAGCGGTACTCGTCCTGCTGCTGCTCCGTTCCATGAGTGCGTCGAGAGTGGTCAGAGAAGGTTCTCTTCTAGACTCCGCATGCGAGAGCACGCGGTCAAGAAGGACATTCCACGCAGTCGTGTCTTCGTCGGACATCAGCCAGTCTCTCCTGAGTGACAGGTTAGATCGAACCCTCTCCATAACGCAACTGGTTCCACTTACTGCATGGGCGATGCTAAAAAGTCGACGTACATTTCCCAGGTCGGCTGAGAGTCCGTGGACGAGGCAAGTCCGCGAGCCTTCAGCGACCACAGCTGCTGCCTGATGACTTCTTCTCGCTTCGCCCCATCTTCGAGAACCAATTGCGAGATAAGATCCGTAGAACTCGTGGCGACCAATGAGGCACAAAAGGAGCCCCAGATGGTCTTGATGTCTTCGTCGTTCAGGCGGAAGTCGTGGAGGAGGAACTGCGTTAGGAGGGAGTCCGCTGCGACGGCAAGCCATGCTTCGCTGAAGACATATCGCATCGTGTCCCATAACTGAGAGCAAAGCGTGAGGACTCTTGCGTGGGTGTCAGTTTCTGGAACGCTGTGAACGCTATTGCTCGGCGTCCACGAGAAGAATGCGGCGACAGTGGATACGGCGACGTCCGAGAAGTGCGGAGTGGACGTCAAATGACGGCGCTCTTGGGTGAGATGCGTCTGAACGAGAAGAAGCGCTTGCCAAACTTGTACGAGGGAGCCCTGTGCGTCCTTGTCATTACATACAATAGGAGTGATCGGGAAGCGAGACCCACCTGCAAAGCGACGAAGTCAGGCCGTGCGAGCTCTCTGAATGCGCACGCCTTCCAGATGTCGAGGATCTCGGTCCAATGTTGCTGAATGCATTCTTCGGGGAGAGGGGAGATCGCTGTGATCGCGTCGAACCGGTTTTCTGCACGGATATTTGAAGTAAACGTGATCGCATCTGCCGTCAAAGTCTCCCGATTGAACAGCACCTTCACAGGAAGTGAAGAAAGACTCCACGTTCGTGAAGCGCCGTTGCTGGAGGTGGCCGGTGAGGACCCTCCAATGACGCTCACTAGCTGTGTTAGAATCAACGGGACGTGTTGATAGACCGTCTTGGAAAGGTGAGTGGACATATCTTTGAGCACCACGAGTGCGCTGGATAGCTCAGATACAGTCGGCGTAGACATAGATGAAGCGGGGACGTCCGAAGAGAGGAGTAGGAGCGTGGCCACAAGATGTGCTCCGATGCTATACCGAAGCTCTTGCCTGAGGATCCCGAGCCCAGCTGTTCTTCGTTTGGTCGTTTGGTCAGAGATGCGAGGTATTCGTGTCCAAGCCCAGATCAGACATCTCCACAGGCAAGTCGTGAGCTCGCTCCCGAGGCGAGTGTTCGACTTCACCAAGCGTTCGGCGATATGGATGATAAACTTGCAGGATCTACTTCCCTGGAATAGATCGGGGCCGCTTATCAGGATGATGCTACATGCGATCATTGTCGCCCAACGAGAAGGGATGGTTGTTTTCGAGGCATCTTCCTGCAATGCAGCCGTGACCAAGCTTGGTAGCTCACCGGATGGGAGTTGCCGAGCGAGAAACTGTCGTACGCCAAGAGACGCTGCGCTAAGAATGTCGCGGTCGGAGGTATCTGTAAACAGGATCGCGAAGGTAAATGCGGACAGTGCTGACGCCGCCGCGTTCCGTGTCGCTTCTTCCGTGGAGATTAACGCCGTGAGAACACCCGCGAGGATGTCGGAGGAGTGTGATAAGAAGGTGGAGGGGTACGTGACCCAGAGGTGCACGAAAACCTGAAAGATATCAAAACGTTGTAACGGGTCGTGTTGTTCAATACTCACATCCAGGTGTCCCGAAGTCAGCGTCGAACTACTCGCAGCATCGGCCAACCACTTGACGATCTCCCCCTGTGCATAGATAATAGGGGCAATTGGGAGCTGTAGGCTCGAGAGTACCGATGTTGCAAGTGCGACATTCTTTTCGCCATCTCCACATGAAGGTTGGGCAACTTCTAGGATCCCACTTAGAAGATTGTGTAACGAAGTGTCTGTGCATGCATGAGCGAAAAAGGGGCTAGACGCGCACAGTCTGACATACCCGAAAAGTAGCGACTAACAGCTGGCGTCTTGAGAACCGTAGAAGCCAACTTTGTGGCGAGCTGGGCCACCAACGCCTCGTCTTGAGCCACAAATAGGCGCTCTTCGGGAAGCTCAGAAGGTTCCGGATGGAGGATCGAAGCGAAGCTCTCGCCGTGGGGTTTGAGCCGGTCGACTATATTCCGCTTTATATCGCGTTGGAAACATCGTGCGAGCGTCCCAGCCATCGAGCTCCATGCATTTAGTGAAGGGTATGATTGTTCATTAACGATGAGCAACGGCTCGACAGCTTGTAGTCTCGACAACAGGGTGTGATAGGCGTCTTGAAGGTCATGAACTGAGATGATCACGGAGTCTTCGTCCACAGAAGATGTAAGAGTAGCGATAGGAGAACTGAAGAAGGAGGGGGAAAAGAGAGGCTCCGATACTGAGGCACGATAAAGTGCGGTGCTAGGTTCCTCGGTCATGACCCCTTGCGATGTTGTTTACGCGGTGCTGATTTGGCATTGAGAGGTGCGCGTCGAACACAGAGGCGCTTGGAGGGGTAAATCCAAGGAGGTAGCCGCTTCAATGAAGAGAACGATGGTGGTGGTGGCGGTAGTGGTGTGAAGTTCGACGGCTGACGCGCCAACCACTCAACATGCCAAATCGGGCCCCGAAGCACGGACCACGCTATCAGGCGCCTATTACCCGCATCTGTCAGCTGGCGCCTAAAGCCTCACTCCGACCTCGTCTTGCCGCTACTTTCAGGCTTGTAGGGCAAATCTCCGGCCGGCATACCCCTCGCTTGCCAATGCACTGCCAGTTGCGGTCCTTGTTACTCGATTGCTCCAGCTCTGGCTCCGTGCGAAGCTGAGACGAAGGTGTGGGAAGTGGCAGAGCTCCAGCTTTTGGTGATTTTACGGTTCCCTATGCATCGCTAATCTTTCCACCAGAATGGCTCTTCATGCCCAAGATCAGTTATATTCTAGCCTGAGTGGATGACACCGCACATGCCATGGTAAGAGTTTCAAGTGATGGTGCACACAGATCATTGACCGGGAGAGCAGGATCCGTCCTCACATTCTCACCAGAATGTCCAATTCTGCATGATTTTGTCTGACAGCTAGTAACAAACCGATAGAGACCTCGCATTCCTGCACATAAACGGTTGGTTGCGGCGGGAAAAATGCGGCCGCGCGCGCACACAGGCATGGCGGAGCGAAGCGACCCTGGCCGCTTCGCGCAAGCGTCGCTTTTATCGCGCTCCACCGCAACCGACCGTTATGTGCGGAAAACTGAGGTCTCTATCGATGTGTTACCAGCTGGAAAGGAGTTCGCGGGAAGGTTGCAACCTTGCCGTATGCATCTCAACCTCAGGGCATCGGCCTTATGCACATGGATTCTTGACAGCCTCCCTTCCAATCGCGGCTGCACTTCCGGCGTAACTCCGAGGTAACGTATCATGTGTTGATGCGCATTCGGCTACATGTTACTGGGCAGGTTCTGATATTGCGACAACGTTCGCTTCTCGATCAAACGGTATGAGAAAATGCCAGGAATTGAAATCTCCAGTGACACGACGTTCCCAGACATGAAGACATAAGCGATGGCAAGATGTCTTCCGGCATATCATATCTGCGGGTGTCTCCTGGCCCCTCTCCCACTTCCTTCCCCCCTGCCACGATGTCTCTCCTCGCCCACGCAGGAAAGGTCCCCCTCTTACTTTCAATGATTTGGGCCCACTATGTGGCATACACTTCCCCAAACCCTGTCGTCACCGAGCGATCTGCAGCGCTTCCGGCAACTGTAGGGCGCGCAACAGTCATCATGAGGCCGGTGTGGATGCGACGCGTACACAAGGTCAGAGATGCTTCGTTTTATACAATCAAGTCCTTACTCAATGAACGTCTCCCAGGCGATTACGCGAGCCATTATACTTGCCGACGCTCTTGCAATCGTAACTTCGTTGCTTCTCGAAGACATCGCTACCTCGCTCCACGTTGACGAAGCCATTCTTGCCACTTGTACACGCATCCGCATCACGCCCTTATTCCTCGTCGGATGGGCGTTGGTTATCAGCGGAGCCTTGTTGAGGAAGGCATGCTACCGCGAGCTTGGCAAGCACTTCACATTCGAAGTCACGGTGCACAACGACCATCGCCTCATCACATCTGGTCCGTACTCCGTCGTCCGTCACCCGGCCTACACCGCGACATGCATCCTCGTCCCCGGAGCGGTGCTCTGCGCTTTCAGCGAGGGAGCATGGCTCAGAGAGTCTGCGTTCCTCCATTCTTGGATGGGCCAAGTCTTGGCGCTGTTGTGGGTGGCGGACCTGACGTACGTGCCTTTGATGATGCTGTTCAAGCGGGTGCGGCTCGAAGACGCCTTGATGAAGAAGACCTTCGGGAAGGAGTGGGACGAGTGGGTGAAGCGTACCCCATGCGCGATCTTGCCGTGGATCTACTGAATGGAGAACCTTCTGTAAGTATCTCGTCGTTCGTCCCAAATACTGTGTCCGGTGGATGTTCTCAATTCGAGTCGTTCCAGATGCTTTCTCTTTGAACACTCTCACCGTTATCTATCGCTGTCAATTAGATAGATGGGGCTGGCGGCCGCCAGCCTGTGCAATTGACGTTGTGCATGTCATCCGGCCGGAAGGCTCTTGTGCGCTCCGCCGCTGCGGGTAAACTTCGCCAGGCGACTGCAGCATTCCAGGCTCCTCAAGCATCGCACGTAAGTAGGTTGCCGTTCGGCACCGCGCGACAACGAAGCAGCTGACGCTGGTTCTAGAACTAGACACGGCCGCCATTGAGGGAGGCGGCCGCGATGCTTCCTACACGATGACCTCATGCGCGACCGGCCGCCCTTGCAAGCACACAGCAGTGGATGTGGGATGCGTCTCAGGTGCCTGGGATCCTAGCGTTCCCACCTCGAAGGCGGGCAGCTGATCGGCCTATCGCCTGTCAGCAGCTCCGCTGGTCCGTTCGCAGGGCGTGTATATGGACTCGGGCCCCTGCGTGGCTGGGCACGCCCTCCGCTTGAAGCGGCTTGGAGAGGAGCGTTCCCGCCCGCACGGCTCCCGAACGCATTTGTGCGCGGCTTCCCATAGCCCCGCGCCGATCCGCTCCGCGTCTGCTACTACTGCTGTGCAGGCCCGGACCAAGAGAAAGAGCGCCTGGTGATAGCGGCGCCCGCTCGACACATCCCCGGTGCTGTCACTACAGACGCGTGAGTACTTGTGAAGGAGACATGGAAAACACAGGTTCCATCGCCAAGGCGTTCCTAGGGAATGTGTCCATTTGTGGTCCTAGAAGGGCCCCCAGGTTCGTCGGTATAAAAGCTTGCAGAGGTTCCTCCGTTGAACTGCGTCAGAGCCTCACGACAGGACTTTTCGCTTTCATACGACTCACTATTCTCCTACCCTGCGCAGAACCAACCATCTACCCGCTATAACTTTCCGTTCACCCGTACCCTCGCCAACAATGTCTTTCGCCGACCCAGTGCTGTTCAAGATCCCCCTCCTTCTCATGACCGCCTACGCCAACTTCATCACCTTCACGCCCCCCAATCCCCGCACGGAGCCCGAAGAGCGGACCAAGTACTCCAGCGTGAAGTACATCGTCCGCCAAGTCCGTCCACCCTGGGTCCGCGCCCTCGAAAAGGTCCGTCTCTCGGCGCGCGATCCCTCCACGCGCCCAACTAACCCTCGTCCCGACCCCCACAGACCATCACCCAGTCCTTCATCCTCTTCGAAGTCGCGACCATCCTCGCGACCTACTTCCCCCTCCCCGTCGCCGAGCGCATCCTCCCCACGCTCGCCTGGCGCCCCGCTGCCTCCGCGCTCGGCGTGCGCCTCACCCCGCTCTTCCTCCTCGGCGCGGCCCTGTGCGCGGTCGGCGGCGCGCTCCGCCTGCTCTGCTACCGCGCGCTCGGCCGGCACTTCACCTTCGAGCTGTCGCTCCGGCGCAACCACCAGCTCGTCACCGACGGGCCCTACGCGGTCGTCCGGCACCCGAGCTACACGGCGCTCATCATGGTCACCGTCGGGACGCTGCTCTGCCTGGTGGGCGGGGGGTCGTGGCTCGCGGAGAGCGGGATCATGCACACGCTCGTGGGGCAGTTGCTCGTCGCGATGTGGGCCGCGGAGGTGGCGTGGATCCCGGTGGTGATGATCATGCGCGTGGACACGGAGGACGAGATTTTGCGGAAGGAGTTCAAGGACGAGTGGACGGCGTGGGCGCAGAGGACGCCGTACAAGCTCGTCCCGGGGGTGTTGTGAGGTGGACATGTAGCTGTGCATAGACTCCTGGCAGTAGTACTTGGCGTGCTCGCGTTGTACTTGTTTGTGTTCTTGCTCTAATACCTATGTGTCCTAACACCGTCGCTCGGTTCCGAGAGCCAAACGTTACCGTTAGATCTGAGTTCTCGGAAATGTAAGGCGTATTCAAGCTTCGAACAGAGCAACTATCATACTTTTCGATCGGGCTCGCTCTCGCTTGCCGCTTCTGCGTCGCTGTCCTCAATGACCTCCTTGCTCTTCACCTTCCTCTTGGACCGCTGGAGCCCTTTCCGGGGAGGCGGACGCCGGACCTTCACCTTCACAGCCTCCTCACTAGCTGGGTCTGGATCCCCATCTGCGTCGGCCCCCGTCGCGCTCCCACCGCCACCGTCGCCCACGTCCTTATCCTGACCCCTCACCTGCGACGTCGCCCGTGTGCGCCTCCGCTTCCGAGGCCGCCGTACCGCCGTGGGACCAAGTCCTTCGTCCTCTTTTCCGTTCCCATCCCTGTCCGCACGCTCCGCCATACTGTGCCTCTTGCGGCGGACGTCAAACGCGTGGTGCGCAACCTTGTCTGCGTGACAGTCCGCGGCGTCGAGCTCATCTTCCTCATCGAGCTCCGCCTCCATGTCTTGCTGTGGGAAGTCTACGGAAAGCAAGTCGTCCTCGTGCGGAGGCTCCCCAACTGCAGGGGCGGCGAGCCAGGGCATAAAGGTCGCGGGTACGACACCGTCGGCGGCCGTTGATTTAGGATCAGAAGGGTGGATGGATGAAGGAAGGTGGTATATCGGGGGGAAGATGGTCCGGAGAAGCGATAGAGAACTCGAGGCGGTCGAGCCCTCGTCTACGGTGCCCGTCTCCGGGTCATTATCGTCCACGCTACGCGAGCAAGAACCGTGGTCGGAAACCGGAAATTGCGCGTCGTCTTCGTCACTGGGGGAGTCGAAGCTGGCGAGAAGCCCCGCGAAATGGGCGTCCTTGTCGAGAAACTCAGCCCCGTAGAGCGTCAAAGCGTGCTTCACATGGGTGCCGTAGATGTCCTACACAGGGTGGTGAGATTCGAGGTCGACCAAGTGTTGGCTGTGAACTACACGTGCCTGGTTGTCCTTCTGACGCCACACTTTAGTCTGCATTTTAGCAAGCCTCTCCTGCTCACGCCACGTGATGGTGCGAGACATCACTTGGGCGACGAAGGTGACGACCAGACTGTAGAGCAATGACAAGGTCTCTGCAGAGATCTGCGAAACGACTTGTTTTGGCACGTCGTGCAGCCTGTTGTACGTGCTATTCCATAATTCAGCACTAAGCATCAGAACAACACGCATATACTCACCGCATTAGCCTCATGAAGCCCCCGAAATGAAACAAGCCAAGTCCTTCCTGGCGAAGCCGGTCCGGCGTAATGCCCATAGAAAGGAACTGCATTTGCCGCTTGTAGGTTCGTGTAGCACCAGATATGTGTGGATGCCGAGTGTCCTCCGCGGCGTCGTCGTCTTCGTCGTCGGTGTCGTCCGGTGCCAGTGATGTTGCGCGTGATCTCGAAGTAGAGGCTCGAGCCTGGGACGGGCGCCGCTTGGCTTTCCTGCCTGGTTTCATACGCGAAACGTCCTCGTCTGCATCCACCCCGGCGGCTTTGGCGCGTTTGCGACGCATGTGCAGACGCTTCCGATAGCGGCGTCGAGAAGTAGGCGACATCTGAGAGACGTCTTGATCCTCAGCACCAGTGTTGGCAACCGAATTTTCATGGAAGAGAGTGGATGAGGTGTTGAGCGCGAGTGGTGGGAGCAATGGTGGTTCGGGGAGGGAGGGAGTGTGGGGTTGGGACGCGTTTGTCTGCACTTGAGGTGATGCGGCCTTGGGAGTAATGCCTGACACGGCCAGAAGGAGTGGGTCGATGAGACTGTCCTCGGTCATCTGCTTCACCTCTACAGCGCCGTTTCCTTGCAGCGGGTCTGAGAATGATCCGGCGAAAAGGGGGTCGTGTTCGTCGACCAGCATCATATTCTCCGGCGGTTCCGACTCTACTTTCCCTCCGCCCTTCTCGCCCCCGGTCCACTCCTCTTCTTCATCCTCTCGTAGCAGCCGGTCAAGGGCCGCAAGACCGTCCTTATCCAAAGAGCACAGCATGTCTTCGACCTCCCAGCGAGCCCTCCGCTCCCGCACCCACAAGTCGAGCTGTTCTCGTCTTCTCCGTTCGCCCTCCCGATCTCGATGCGAGCTATGTTCGTGATCGAGGGGAACAAGAGAGGCTCTGAAAGCCCGGGAATGGTCGTCGCGTTCCTTGTTGAGGTCCTCTGCACCCATGACCGGAGCGAGGGCGATCATAGACTGTGCGGCCTGCTCCTCGAAGGCGAGAAAATCCGCCGAGGATTCGATGGCGGCAGGAAAGTCGTCTCGTTCGAGCGCGGGCGGGGCTTTGAGTACGCCGTTCCCAACATCTTGAACCGCCTGCTGGAGCTGAAGAATGTATGTGTAGACGTCTGGGACCGACTTGGTCTTGACCTCTTGGGCGATTAGGTCGGGCCGAAGGCGAGAGTGGATGGACAAAGCACGGAAGAAGAGGTCTTTCTCCGCTTTCGACCAGTAGGCATTTGGTGGTTGGCGTGAGCGAGGAAGTTGGTCGGTGTCATGTTTCCCGGCGAGATGGTGGTGGAAATCTTGTACAGTTTCGCAGAAGAGGGAGATGTATGTTCGGTCTACTTCTTCCTCAGGGGTTTTCATGGATCGTGGATCGTGAATGGGTTATAGACCAAGAGTACCATCTCTCCGAGACGCGAGAGAGACACGAAGCGAGTCAGGGTCGACGACGGAGGGAGGAAGAGGATGCAAGCGCAGGGTCTGCGCGAAAAATAGGCGAAAAAGCGCGCGATTTAAGGGAATAGGCGCCCATGCCTTGTTTCTACTCGGATGGCGCAACTCCGGGAGCGTCGGAGTCAAACTGTACTTATCGCCAATTGTACCTCCGATAGCCTAACTATTACAACCACCTAGCGCGCCTTCTCCGACTCAGTCCAACACCGTCGTATACTTACGAAGCAGCTCAGACATCTGGGTGCTTACTCCAGCGCATCCGTGGCTTGGTGTCTGGCAATGGACCCCCTCAAGGCCTCAACTCTGCAGCAGTTTGGTTGTCTTATACAAAGAACTTCAGCTCCAATCCGACCCAGAGGTGACGGTGTCCTTTCAGCTCGTCTAGCATCTACGCGACTCCGTTACATCCCAGAGACCAACACGATCTTATCCGTGAAGAGGTTCTGGACACTGAGCATCTTGCCACCATCTCCGACATGATCAACAACAGACCTTTGTAGAGTGGGGTGTCTTTGTCCACACGTCTTCGATGGACCTCCGAAGCTATAACACAAAGCAAGATATGCGATTGCCACCTCACATGGGCCTCATAAAAACCCAGATCTCGTGGCAACACCGTCTCGGCCGCTTCTTCCCCTTCTGTCTCTGCAGTCGTCCTCCGCTTCTACGAACATGCCATTCTCTCCCGTCATTTGTCGCCCGGCCAAATCCTCGACATCTACACGACTGGCAGTCGGGCCCAAACCCCACGGCGGCGAGGGCTGGCGACCTCCCGGAGTTTCCGCCAGCCAACCGACCCTGCAGCCCTTTGTAAGAGTTCACGGCCTATCAGATCAAGAACCTAGCTCATCAAATCGTCTAGCCTGCACGCGGGGCCGTCTATCCCATCGACCCTATGTGGTCAGACGACTCTCAAGGTCGGCCTTGGGACGGCTACCACACCGCGCGGTGGCAGCGTATCTTCACCGCCGACCTGTCGCCGAGCAGCCCATACTACCCCTCCAGTTCGCCCACTCTCTCGCAGGGAGGAAGCCAATCGTCATCAGCCACCGGCGCCTCCGACATTCCGTCCATTCTCCACCCGGCCTTCGCGACCCACCTCACACAGTCGATGCGCCGCGTTTTCATCAACGACAGCACGGCAGACCAAGACGAGATCAGGTCGACCTGCACGCCGTCGCGCCTCAGCCGGCGCGTCCGCTTCCTCCCTCACCCGGTGAAGACAGACCTCCCGTACAAGTCGGTGTCCGCTCGGCACGATCCCTCGGGCGGGTTCGTCGTCGAGGTCGGCAAAGTCGATGGCTCCGCGCTCTCTCCGGAGTCTGGCTGCGAGGCGGACGTCGAAGATGAAGACGGAACCGAGGGAATGTAGAGCCCGGTTGCCGTCGAGGACGCTTCTGTCCGTCAGGGCGCCGCGAAGGAGGCAGTCGCGTACATGTCTGTTCCTCCGCCAGTGAGGAAGTCGTATGCGGCGGTCGTTGCGTCGTCTTCGAGTTCGAGGCCGTCTGGATACTTCCCCCCGCCTGTTGGCCAGGTAGTCCGTGCTGGAGAGCGGTGACTGATGGGTAGGCTCGCAAAGAAGTCGTTCCTCTACATCTCTTGACCATGAATTTCTGCTCGTCACTCTACACGGCGTGTACTGTAACATTGTTCGTTTCAGGCATTACTTCGGATATGATGAGACACGATAGGTAAGGTAGGATGTGGAGACATCACATGAGGCCGTTCGAGATTCGCGCTCGCGGTAGTGGGCCGTGACGGGCTGGCAGTTTTCAGAATGCTCTCCAATGACCTAACACTTACAAATTCTGCGTCTTTGTGACGAGATATCGCAGGTAGCATAGATACCGGTATACATTGAGACGCGTAAAGGCTAGCAGTATCGCTACAGCCCCCCGTCCTATCCGAACCTAGAGACAGCATCCCTCAACCTGCAAGAGTATTCCACCGCGTTCGATTAGTCCTTGATGATTTTTACCATGAGACGCATTTCCGGCGACTCATTCTCATAGCCCATCGTAGGATAAAGCACCGCGGACGAGTTCCACACCACCTCCTTGTCCGTTGGCGCAAACGAGAATGCGGGGAGAAGGGTGGACAACACAACCTCTGTACCAAAAGCGACGTTAGAAAACAAACATTTGGCGATAAACATCCGAAGAGAAACGCACTCATCTCGACCTGGGAGAACTTGAATCCTCTGCAGATGGCAACGACTCAGAAGAGAGCACGAAAGGCCTTAACGCATAGACTCACATGCACGATGTAGATCCGGCAGAGAACGTCATTCTGTTCATTAGAACATCAGTGAATGCGCGAATAAACATGGCCCGTGGATTAGTACTTACAGGTGCGCATACACCCCAGGGATTCGCGCTTCATCAACGGCACCTGGGAGAGGGCTTAGCCACCGCTCTGGTTTCCACTCCAGCGCGTCTTCTCCCCACAGTTCCTTGTTGACGTTGCTGCCCTGCAGATACGTGATGACAACGGAATCACGCTTGAGCACGATCTCGTTCATCTCGCGACCGTCAACACCCCTCATCGGCTGCGAGAGCGGGATAGCGGTGTCTTTGGCAACCCTGAGCACTCCGACGGTCAGCTGGGGAGTGGGCAGCAGTAGTGGGAAATTCTCACATGCGACCGGTGATCGGGACGGGGGCGTGAAGGCGGAGCGTCTCGCGGCAGACTGCATCGAGGTAAGGAAGCTTTACACTGGGTGCCGTCCCTGTAGCCTGGGGATGCCACTCATATTTCTGACAGTGTAGCCCGGGGATACCGCTCGGGTGGGCTCATATGAGCGGGCGCTCTGTAGCTCTAGTTCCCACTCATATGAGGGCACAGCCACACTTATAAGCCAACTCTATGCCGCCTTTGTATTGCACCGTTGTTACTACTGCCGCTTTGCAGCTACTGCGTTAATATAAGCATGTAGCCCACGTTGACCCTCATATGAGCCCGTCACCGGCGTCATCGCTCATATGAGCGTGTAGCCTACGTTGCCCCTCATATGAGCTTGTAGCCCACGTTGCCCCTCATATGAGCCCGTCACCGGCGTCATTGCTCATATGAGCGTGTAGCCGACGTTGCCCCTCATATCAGCGTATAGCCCACGTTGCCCCTCATATGAGCCCGTCACCGGCGTCATCGCTCATATGAGCCTGTCGCCATTGTCGTCGCCCATATGAGCCCATCACCGGTGTTGCCATTCACATGAGCCAGTTGGCTGCGTTCTGGCTCATATAAGCCTGTCAACAACGTTCTCTCTCGTATGGGGATGGTGCTGATGCTGTGTAACATCTGGATGGCTGCTGCATGTATTCAAAAGGATGTGCCTTGTGTTTCTATTTATACGAGCATGCAGCCAGCTTTGCCACTGATATGAGCTCATCGCCAGTGGTGCCGTTCATACCTTGCTCTGCAAATTGCCATACCATGCTGGCATATAGTAACAGGGCTGCATATGCTGCTAAAATAAAAAAATTACCAGGCTGGTGTAGCTCTGTGGCGGCGGGGGGCTGTTTTAAACCACTGTGCAGGCAACGCTTGAACTAGATTCCAAACGTAGAGAGGTTTCAGTGACCACAGCAGGTTCTGTTGAGACGGTAACCTCACGCTAGTGGGTGTGAAATATCACCTGTGGCTTAGTAGAGCCTGTTCAGAAATAGGAACTGTTTATTGACAGGCCGAGATACTCGGGTATATATACAGAGGTCGAGCGAGTGGCTGGTGCTACTGTACAGTACATGAGTGAGGCTGAAACGAGAGCAAAGAAAGGGGATACACTACGGTATCATATAGTAGCTAGAGATAGCTCTCTGGAACGGGGGATGCACGATCGGAGACGTGCATGCCATGCAGTGGCGTTCCGTAGAGCGTGCCGTACGGCTAGACGCTCTTAGGTAAGCCGAGCCGCTCGGCGGCCCATGGCCGAGTATGCCGAGCGTTCTCACGCGTAGTCCGCGGTGTATTTACTGTGTTCAACAGTTTCAAGGCAGGCGGCTGAGCCCTGTTAAGCATTCATAGAAAGGGCAAGACTGCCTATTGACTGAGCGTGGACCCATAGCATTTCAGGAATAATATACACTGCATTGAACTATCCCCTCCATAAGAACCAAGCCTGTATGAAACAAATTAGGCCGACACTGGGTGGCGCTTAACAACAGCTGAAAACAAGCCCTGGGCATCATGTGCAAAACGGCCCCACATCGCAGCCTGCCTGTAGGCATAACTTTGCCGCCCAGGGGAGAAACTGGTGTTCGCCCCCCTGTCATTCCATGTTGTCTCAGACGCACGGAATGACCGCACAATTGCATCCATCTCAAGAGTGAGCCAGCTGATCTCCTCCTGCCATCTGCCCTTCCTTTCATGCCCTCTATACCACATTGAACGACGAGCTGTGGGTTTAAAAGTGAGTGAGGGTTGTAAACATACACGAAACAGATGCGTACTTGCAGCATGGTAGTTTTTTCTGCATCTGCCCCTTCTCCAGCAAACGTCCACAGCCATGACGGATGTTTGTGTCGTTGCCCACGCAAGGAAGCTTCAACAATAGATGCATTGATGTTAAGGTCTGCTGGAACAATGGGTAGGTACGTGGCCATATGCTTCTGCAGGAGGGCCTGTTCATCCGGGTCTTGAACATTGTGCAAGGCTAGGAAGGCCTGGCGGGACTGCATGTAGATCCTTACATGCCGTGCAATCATTTGGTCACAGACTCTGATGTCGTCAAAGGAACGTAGGGAGGCGCGGGTAGAAGAGGCATTCCGTACACCTGTGGCGAACTGGTAGGACTTGTTGGCAATGCCATCCCTGATGGCGTTAATGCTGTCGTGCATATCTGCCTGCCGAAGCTCCCTCTCTTGAATGGCAAGGGGCCACATATTGTTACGCAGGAGATATGCCTTGCCAAGTGTTGCAGGGTTGACAATGGGGCGCGACTCTGGGGCGCCCACGTGCTCTGGTGCGATAGCAGGGTCCACTGGGAAGCCGTCATGGACATCGATTCCTTCATGTGCATCCCATTCCTCACCAAGTGTCGCAGGCGTGGAAAGGGAATCGAGAACTGGGTAAGAGCTGGCAGGAAGGAAGGTGGCCCCGGATTGATTAAAGCGCTTAATGAGGGAGAGCAACTTCTGGCGTTCCTGGGCAAGGTCGAGGCGGGCACGGTCTGTGGAAGTCTTGCTAAGCTGCCGAGCCATTCGTGCCACAATGACCCTGAGGATATTCATCAGACAGGCCTGCAATGAGGAGGCCCCTCCAAAGAAGAAGGGGCTAGAGGGAACAGAATACACACCTGCGGCGATCTATGGCGATGCCAAGGACGAGCCATTCAGTGATGTTCGCTGCCCCAGCATTGTTCTCTTCTTCAACCATAGCGGTTTGTGTAGCGATGATCCCAGGCACTAAAGACCTATTCAGTGTTTGCAGCGAGACCGCGCTCAAGACAAACCTACACGGGTTTTTGGCGAAGCTGAAAATGTCTTTTTTCGAAACGTCCTCACTTGCCGCATTGTGCGCATCATTCGCCGCTGCAGTCCACAAGGCTATCTCGTCCTGGGTGGCGACACCATTGATGTCGTGAAATGCTTTCTTCGCAGCCGCACATTCGACCTGGGCTGTGATCCACTTGCGACACTGGGTGCGGGCTTACCCCAACCATCAGCAGGCGAGCCAGGTAAAATACGCCACCCTCACCAATACGAGTTAGCTTCATCCAGTTGGAATCACACATGTGATCGTCTTGAACCTCTTGTCGGTGGGATGTGCTCATGCCGCGGGTGCTGTCGCCAATGGCATTCAGTGGTTTCCACAGTGGCTCCATCGTCTCCCCATCCTGGATGCCTGCCCAACGGACAAAGTTCAAAGAGTAACGGGCGAAGCAGTCGTGTTGATGCCCGTGCACATGGAACTGGCCAATCGCCCAGAGAAATGTAGCCTCTGGTGGAATTTCAAGAAACGGGGAGTTGGAAAATCTTGTGGCCATGTTGATGTGGTATTGGCAAATGATGTCATATATGAGCAGGAAGGAGGAGTAGACCGTGTATGCCTTCAGCGCCCAATTGACTGAATAATCCATGTTCCGTTGCCTGTGAAAATTATAAGGTCATGGAGGAATCCTTTAGGGAGAGACGTACGCTTCTCCTCGTTGAAAGTCGACAGCAGAATGTGGCACAAAGACCCCATGCCTTGAACACGCCGCTGCACCTATGCCTGTGACGTCCAAGTGGTCTTTTGTGTTATGCGACTCCATTGCTGCGCGGTGTGAGTTGCATGTAGAACGGGGCCTCTAAACAATGCCTTCATTTCAGCCATCAAAATGGATTCATATGACAAGCTCTACCCACCGCCTCATTCCGTGCAAGTGCGTCTGCAAGGTGTGCTTTATATTGCACACGGCCAACCATGTGCATCTCCCCATCCATCAATGAGACATCGCCTAATTCAGAGGCCATCTTCATGTGTTGTGCACAGAAGTTCCCGTCGAAGACAAGGGATGCTGGGTATTGACAACTGAAAAGCGCAAATCAGTTTACGTTGCATCGAAGTCCCCTGCATAGGGCTTGCACACTTTAGGAGCGATCCCCCGGGTCATAGGCCAACAAAGCTGGTTCTCTCCAAGTGTATGCACTCGCCTGGGGTTGATAGAGCATACCCAGGGGGGCGCTGAATGGGTATACAGCCATGATGTGCGGGCGCTCGGAGTTGGTAGAGCACACCCAGGGGGGCGCTGAATGGGTATACAGCCATCACGGGCGGGCGCTCGGAGTTGAGAAGCCACCACCAGACGGGCGCTCAAGTGGCATACAGCCATCAAGAGCGGGCGCTCGGGGTTGAGAAGCCACCTCCAGACAGGCGCTCGAAGGGCATAGGGACATGGCTGATATGTGCTCGGAGGACATATGCCCACCAGACGTCGGGGCCCCGAGTGCATAGCAGCCATGTATGCTCGAGTTCATACATGCTGGATATGAAACGAGGTTGGAGAACATACCGCTTGGGGTTTTCCGCCCATCCGGGCGGAGCGTTTTCGCCCTCACGTAGGCATGCGGGACATTTGACTGCGAGTTCACCAGGTCCGGCCTCCCCTCCAGTGTGACCAAACCCAGCCCGCATGTTGTGAAAAAGGACGCGATGCTGCCTGGACGTTCGGAGCAGACCCTTGTACCCAAGCTGGCCAAGTGATTTGTCAGAAAAAAGACACAGGTTTGAAAAATTGTTTCTGTACAGCCAGATCACCATAGAATGCCCCATCTGTTTTGCGACAGAGATAGGTGTGGTAGCTCATAGCAGACACTTTGCATTGTCGGTTTGTCAGAGAGAAATCCTTCAGGACGTCGATTGTATAAACAGTCCTCACTCGTCTTGAAGACGCAGGGTAGAAGCCCAGACCCAAAAGCTGCTCGTCTTCTGAATTTGCTGCTGGACATTTGCAGAATGTAAATGACAGGCGATGGAGTCCATTGGTGTGGATGACTGAGATGGTGCGTTCGCCATAGTATGTCGGAATGCTAATGTCAGAAGGGGCATCTGGGGGAGTAGGGGAGTTGGAAGATAAGGGTTCAAAATTGTCATCTTCTTCAACGGCGTCTTCATCTTCCCATTCTGGATGGTCTTCGAAGGCATGCGCAGGGGGTTCGGTTTCTTCCACTTCCTCATCTTCATCCTGACCCGCTTGGCTAGAGGCAGTTGGGCTTTGAACCTCGCAGGCATC